TTCAGAAGAATATAGTAGAAATACTCCAGAAAGGCTCCTTCAGCAAGAAAAATACAGCGGACGCTATGACGTCTTTTGGCGATTTGTAGCGGGGTTACTCCAGAGCCAAGATGAAGAACAACTGTGTAGGTTCTTTCAATTGATGGAGGATAAACCGCACGACTTCCTGGGTCCAGCACATCAACGGATTCTCATGCATTGCTTCGGTGAAGTGCCTCCAAACTCCGGCTTAGAGAATCTTCGAACACTGATCGAGGCCCAGTTGAAACAATGGGCACTTTTTGAATACAAGCTTCGGGGAGAAATGACGTTATGCCGTGAAATGGAGTTTCCCGACAATGTCTTGATTAGTATGATGAATGAAGGGGAGCCTGAAGATGTAAAGAATGCTATCCTACAAGCTCTGCGGCATCGATCAAACTTCTCGGTTTGTCTTGTAAACCTGATAGCATATCTTCTAGGACAGAATGTTTCCAGCGACTTGGAGTGGTTTGCCATTAATGCATTAGGCAGACAAACCTCTTTGCCAGACAATATTCTCCAAGCTATAGTGCATCGACTGGAGCATTCTGAATGGTATATAAGGCAGTCCGCCATTGATGCCTTAGACAAATAAGCCTGTTTGTCAGATGATATTCTCCAAGCTATAGTACATTGCCTGGAAGATTTTAAAGGGGAAGTAAGAGAGTCTGCTATTAATACCTTGGGCAAACAAACCTCTTTGCCAGACAATATTCTCCAAGCTATAGTGCATCGACTGGAGCATTCTAAATGGTATGTGAGGCAGTCCGCTATTTATGTCTTTGGCAAACAAACCTCTTTGTCAGACGATATTCTCCAAGCTATAGTGCGTCAACTGGAGGATTCTGAAGGGTATGTGAGGCAGTCTGCCATTGATGTCTTAGGCAAACAAACCACTTTATCAGATGATATTCTCCAAGCTATAGTGCGTCGACTGGAGGATTCTGAAGAATATGTGAGATGGTCCGCCATTTATGCCTTAGATAAACAAACCACTTTATCGGACGATAGTCTCCAAGCTATAGTCCATCGACTGGAGGATTCTAATAGGCATGTGAGGCATCCCGCTATTTATGTCTTTGGCAAACAAACCTCTTTGTCAGATGATATTCTCTAAGCTATAGCGCGTCGACTGGAGGATTCTGATAAGTCTATAAGGCGGACCGCCATTAATGTCTTAGGCAAACAAACTGTTTTGTCAGATGATATTCTCCAAGCTATAGTGCGTCGACTGGAGGATTCTAATGGGTATGTGAGGCAGTCTGCCAATTATGCCTTAAACAAACAGATCACTTTATCAGACAATATTCTCCAAGCTATAGTGCGTCAGCTGGAGCATTCTGAAGAGGATGTGAGGCAATCTGCCATTGATGCCTTAGACAAACAAACCTCTTTATCAGACGATATTCTCCAATCTATAGTGCTTGTGCTTTCCAAGAACACCTCCAGTACAGATTCTGAATCTGTAAGCATGCTACTAAAGCAGGATAACCTCTATGATAGTTTCCAAAATTTTGATGTGGAAACTTTGCGTTCATTATATAGATTATTGGTTCAGCAAAGCTTCAGTGAGCATTTAACTTGCTATATGCAGGATAAGACCTTCTATATTAACATGCCGGATCGACAAAAAAGGGTTTCCTTGGTGCAGAGCAAGGATGTGTTTCTGGATGCGTTTCGAGACGAGGCAGTGGCTTTGGGAAGGCCTCTCACAGCATCAACAGATAACCTTAGATTGCGTTAATTTATTTATCATCTATTACTGTATCACACCGAGTTGCACTGTTAGAATGATACGTCGTGCTAGCGAACCTAATATTAGCGTTGCCACGGTTAGTTTTGGAGCTCGTTGTATGGCCGCAACTGACAGGCTGAAGGAATGACTAGCAGCTGCATGAGATGTGTGCGTTCCTCCTCAACCAGTGCTCCAGGGCACTAGCCGTTCTGCGTATGATGGAAACCTGTTCCAAAGGTCAATGGTTCTGTATCTTGTGATGGCAACAGAATACGAGATAATTTCAAACGACAAAGTGCCAGGTTTACCAGACATTGTCTGGACGCGTGCCCAGACACAGTCGAATATTCCAGAATTGTGTTTTATCATCATACATGTATTGTAAATAAAAATCCGTATCGAGAGGTAAAGTAATGTTTCCGCATTAACATTATTCCTCCACTATTCTATATTTATAGTAGTGTCTTCTTGGCACTGTTTCAGATGAAAGAGAAGAGAGTGTCAGTTGTTACTCTGAAGGTGCAAACTACTGTACTGCCAGGAGGACTGTATCTCGAGGTGACGAACCTGAGCTGCGAAAACTGCTAGAAAGGAGAAGAGAATTATTGAATCGATTGTTATGTTGTGGTTAACGATCCGACGCGGCAACGCTAGCCATGCCCGCGACCCGCGCCGCTATGGGTTGCGACGCGACACGCACCCCAAATCCTGACGACACCCTAACAACACCACCAGGGATACAGCGAAGCAAATCAGGTCGGGAGATTAAGCAACCAGCGTATCTCAGTCAAGAACAGGAAATTGACAACCAAAACAAAACAACACATCTCAAGCATAAGAAAAATAGACTGGCAACAACCCTCTGAGGCAACACGCTCGCCAAGACGACTAACTCTAACCCCAACACCAACAGCAACGAAACAACAACACAGAGGCTGCTCCAGGAAGTAAAGGGCTTACGCGAAGAATTACTGCGAAGGGACACCAAGCACCAGCAAGAGCTACAAAGGCTACATGAAGCCTTGGCAACAACACAACGTGAACTGGAAGAAATCAAAGTCCAAGTTACAAGGACCCACTCCAGCACATGCTCCAGCGACAGACACCCCATAATCATCCAGGAATTGCAGTCTCTACGGAGTGCGATCACTACCCCAACTACCGTAAGTGACCACCCATCGTGGGCAGCAGTGGTAGCAAATGGAAACAAAGCACAAGCAGCCCCAGGGAGCGCACTGCCCGGAGGCAGGAAAAGACAGGCTAGAGAGACCAACTGTATCAGAATAAGCACTCAAAGGGGAGAGGCTGGTGATGACTGCGACAACACTACCATATTTAGGAAAAACCTACCGCCGGAAGTGGCAATGGCCCAAATCCAGACAGCGCTTGCCAATGCACCTGCAACACAGGATACACAAGTTCTAGGGGTCGGAGTCACCAGAACAGGATACCTGATCCGGTTCCACAACAAAGATTAAGCCGACACAGCACGATCCAACACCGAATGGCTGGGAGAACTGGGGAACAACACCAAGCTGGTCCGGCCACGGTTCGGGGTAGTTGTGCACCGAACGCCTACAGAAGAGCTCATATCATTGCAAGATGACGACGCACGCATCCACAAAATCATGGAGGAGAATGAGATGGGACTGCATGGATTTCGAATCAGTCAAATTGCCTGGCTCCAGAAAGACAAAGAGAACGCCATTGGAAAACATGGATCGCTTGGGATCTGGTTCGACAGCCGCGAGGCCGCAGAATGGCTAATGGACCATGGCCTGCTGGTCGGACGCACCCATATTGGCAGCGTGGTACCCTTCCAAGTGAAAGAGAAGAGGTGCTACCAGTGCCAAGGTTTTGGCCATTTGGCATGGGCATGCAAAGAATGGGCACGGTGCGGACACTGTGCCGGTGACCACGATCAACGAAACTGCGCACTAGGCATGAGAGCAAAATGTCTCAACTGTGCTGGAGAACACCCAACTGGTGATAGGACTTGCCCCAGGCCCGCACTGCCTCCATCATTGCAATGACCACACCAAACCTGAGCATACTACAGTTGAACACTATGAAAGCGAGACCCTGCATGGAAGCGCTAATTAACGACCACCAGACACAAAATCTAGACATTGCATTTGATCTGTTGATATGATGATGTAGAGATTCTTCGGTTGACATAGAGCAGACTGCGTCTCCTCGAGTCTCCTTGATACGTTGGTTGGTATAGGCGCCATGCGCTATGATTAACGTGTGTATTGTATGCGGTTAGCGGTGGTTCTTGGATGAGAAGTACCATCCCGATGTTACTGCAATCAAATTATGCACGACAGAAAGACAAATATTAATATTCTCAGTATACGTCCAGCCAACCAATCCTAGCCAAAGGGCAGGAGAGATATCAGTACAGCCGCTGTTGAACAAAATAGAATCCGCTATTCAGTAAGCAACCGAAGCCTCGAGCAGAACGACATCGATCATCATGGCTGGAGACTTCAACCGCCATCACCCAATGTGGAGTCGTAATCGGATCTCCACGGTGGCAATTAAACACGCGGAGGAACTAGTCAGCTTCTTCTAAGGACTTGGACTCCATTCATGCCTCCCCCGGGGCACACCTACATATTGGTCATTAAGCCACCCTGGAAGCACCTCAACCATCGATCTCATGGTCACCAACCACCCAGAGAGCGTCGTAAAATGCCACCTGTACCATGACCACTATGGGTCGGATCACCGGGCCACTTACTCGCAATGGTCCCTTCAACCAGTATGGAACGCAGAACCAAAACCTAGGAAGGCATACGACCGATCAGACTGGGAAAAGATTGGGAAATCAGTGCACGCTCAGATGGCCCCTCTCTCTACAATCCAGTCGATCACAGAGCTCGATAGAGTAGTAGAAAAGCTCATCTCCTGTACAACAAAGGCCATAGACCAACACACGCCAGAAATGAAACCATCACCGTACGCCAAACGATGGTTCTCCCCAGAGCTGAAATTACAACAAGGAGAGGTCAACAGGGCCCGTCGCAAATGGCAAGAGAGCTGCGCCACAAGAGGCCGCCAACACACAGTATTGAATGCCCTTTTCCAAGACATGCAAAGAAAACGCCACGCGTGGGCGCGAACCATCGAGAAAGTCAAATCACAACACTGGAAGGAGTTCCTTGATAAGGCGGGAGAAGGACATCTTTGGAAAGCAGCATCATACATGAAACCGCGGGAATCGTATAGCTGTATTCCACCACTAAAAGACGGCATAAATGAGGTGGTAGACAATGCATGTAAAGCCAAATTGTTCATGGACGCATTCTTCCCCAAGATGGCAGCACCAGAAGCCATGGAAGACCCAGAACACAATGAAGAAATTCGATGGGATCCAATCACTAAGGAAGAGGTCTACCGAGCCCTACAGCGCATGAAAACCAGGAAGGCTCCAGGAGAAGACGAAATCCCAACGCTGGTATGGAAGCAAATTTGGCCGTACCTCAGCGAAGAGATCTTCCAGATCTTCACAGCATCAATTAACCTCGGATATTACCCACAACAATGGAAAAGAGCGAGAATCGTGGTCCTCCGGAAACCGAACAAACCGGATTATGCCATCCCGGGAGCGTACCGACCGATCTCGCTCCTGAACACGCTTGGCAAGGTCCTAGAAGCGGTTATTGCAAAACGTCTCTCTTACTACGCAGAGACCTATAACCTACTGCCAAACACTTAGTTTGGCGGTAGACCAGGACGCAACACAGAACAGGCACTTCTGATACTGTCTAATGCAATTGACAAGGCATGGCTCCGATCCAAGGTAATAACGCTGGTCGCGTTCGATCTCAAAGGGGCCTTCAACGGGGTCAATGGAGGTGTTCTCGACAGCCAACTCAAAGCGAAAGGGATTCCGTCGGTTCTCCGAGCCTGGATCACTAGCTTTATGGAAGAGCGGACCGCTAGCATTACCTTTGACGATTTTGAATCACCATAGTTCCCCTGGAGAACGCGGGTCTGGCCCAAGGATCTCCATTATCGCCAATACTGTTCATCTTTTTCAACGCTGATTTGGTAAACCAGCCGGTCGACCACAAAGGCGGCTCATCAGCGTTCATTGATGACTATTTCCGATGGGTCATGAGATTGTCCGCAGACGAGAACCTCCGAAGACTGCAGGAGGACAACATTCCACGGATCGAACAGTGGGCGAAACAAACAGGCTCATACTTCGCGGCAGAGAAAACAGAACTAATCCATCTGACCCGGAAAAAGAACAAGCTGAGTAAAGGACAGCTGATTATACAGGGCACCACCATCAAAGCAAGCACCACCGCCAAACTCCTCGGCGTGGTATTCGATAATGAGCTCCGATGGAAACCGCATGTACAACAGGTGTTAAAGAGAGCCACGAGAGTCAACACGGCGCTGGGTGGCCTGCGATATCTGCGCCCAGGCCAAATGCGACAATTATACCAAGCCTGCGTCACCCCGATTGTAGACTACGCGTCCATGGTCTGGCACAGCCCCACGAAAGATAAGATGCATCTCAGGGCCCTCAACACAGTCCAGAGATCAGCGCTCATACGAATTCTGTCAGCATTTAAGTCGGTGGCGACCGCCACTATGGAAGTCGAACTGTTCACACTACCGACCCGCCTTCGTCTCCGCCAGAGAGCGCAGATAACCATTGTCAACTTACTCACACTCCCGTGGGACCACCCGATACAAGGAGTACTATTGAGGGCCAGAAGACGACGGGATAATGGTGGCAATGGCAGCGGCCCGCAATTTCCCCTTGCTAAAGCCATGAAAACCATGAGCCTTGAGCAATTCAGCAGATTAGAGACTATCAATCCCAAACTGACAGCCCCGTAGAAACTACCAGCATTTAAGGAAATTGACATCAACCCAGACCGAGAAAAGGCACGGAAGAACGCCGCATCCCTCCTCGCAAACCCTCACCAAGTGGTCTACTCCGACGCCTCAGGACATGACAACCACTTGGGGGCAGCGGCAGTGGTCCTAGACCGCAACCAGAACATAGTGGCGTCTCGCAAAACGGCTATAGGCTCAATGGCACATTGGTCCATCCACATAGCTGAGCTAATTGGCGTCTACTACGCAATCAGTCTGGCGCTCAAAATCTTCCACCAAAACGGACAGTCCACCAGACCCGGAGCGGGTGAAGCAATAACAATCCTGAGTAATAGCAAGTCAGCAATACAAGCCATCAAGAACCCACGCAACACATCTAGACAAAGAGTGATCGAGGCAATCAACCAGTCAGCTTACGAACTAGATAGCCGCGGCATTCCTCTCCGTCTCCAATGGATCCCCGGTCACTGTGACGATCTGGGGAACGATGCAGCGGACCGCCTAGCCAAGGCAGCGGTTGGCCCGACTAAGACACACCCCTTCTGTCGACCGGTCTCGCGGGAGAAAGCGGCAATTCGAAGACAGATCTTAAAGGAATGGGAAGACGAATAGAAGACATCCAATAAAGGAACCCACCTACGGAGAATTGATACCAAGCTCCCGGCCATCCGTTCCCGCCGGCTATACCAATCGTTGCCCCGGAACCGGGCTTACTTACTAACTCAACTACGAACAGGACACTCTTGGCTTGCAACCCATGGGAAAGCTCTCCGGCATCGCGAGGATAATAAATGTGAATGTGGAGCGAAAGAAACGGTCGTCCACATTCTAATCGACTGCCCGAGATTAACAACAGAACGACAGAGACTACGGAAGGAGGCCGGCGACGCGTTCGGCAACGTATCGCTCATGCTTGGAGCAAAGGGACAAGGGATTACTAGCAGCTCTGCGCCAGGCGGCATTCTAGATGCTGTTCTGGACTTTGCGGAAGCATCTCAAAGGTTTTGTAGCCGTGGGCCAAAGGACCCACAACAACAGAACCCAAGGCAAAGGCCGACCACAGGCCCCTAGGCGAGGCATAAAGTTCGCCCGTAAGAAATGTGACGATGACTGTAATTAGAGCTACAAGGATACAGATAGTGGTTGTAACCTGCATATCGCTAGAGTAGCGAGGGGTCAGGGTAAATGAAATCATCCATCCATCCATCCATCCATCCATACTGTACTGCCAAGATGTTCTTCACCACAATTTGTGCACAGCTTCTGCTCCGGGTTCCTGCTTTGATTCCTCATATTGAAATGGCAATTAATACTGACCCATACATTTCAGGAAAATGGATAAAAGAATAATTTGATAAACTGCTTCTCCAACCATTACTTAGCCTGAATCAAAGTGAGCCTATAACCATCACGATTGGGATTGAAGCATTAGATGAATATGAACATGCGGGCGACATACGGGCCATACTTCAACTTCTGCCCCAGGTGCAGAAATCAAAATCTATACGTCTCCGAATATTCTTGACTAGCAGACCTGAATTGGCAGTCTGCCTTGGCTTTAATCAAGATAATTCTTATCAAGATCTTGTCCTCCATGAACTTCCCAAGCCCAAGATTGAACACGACATCCGCGTGTACCTGGAAGACAAGCTTTCTAAAATACGTGATGAACGCTTATTCTCTAACGACTGGCCCGGGAATGAAGCTATCAAAGAATTGGTGCAGATGGCTGTTCCATTATTTATTTTTGCCGCCACGACATGCCGCTTTATTAAGGAAGGAACACATCCAAAAAAGCATCTTCAGGACTTTCTTAAATTCCAAGTAACCACATCTGCATCTCAGATAGGCAAAGTTTACCTCCCTATCTTAAATCAACTCATGGGAGATAAAGAGGACGACCCAGAAGAGCTTCTGAAAGAATTCCGGGATATTGTTGGGGTTATTATTCTTCTTGCTACACCACTGTCCGTCAAGTCGCTTGCACGGCTTCTTAATCTGCCTGAACAAACTATCAACGAACTATTAGATCTATTACACTCAGTGCTGAACATACCAAGCGACAAAGATGTTCCAATCCGAATCCTGCACTTATCTTTTCAAGACTACCTCTTGACCACGGAAAGCCTTTTCCATATAGATGAGAGAAAGACATACCAGAAGATAGCACTGCATTACCTTCATGTCATAAACACGAGTCTCAAGCATAATATTTGTGGCCTACCAAGTTACAGGACACAGCGAGATGATATTGACAGGCAGGCTGTAAATCAGAATCTCTCAGCGGATCTGCAATACGCCTGTCAGTACTGGGCATACCATCTTAATCATAGCGAAGCTCGTATTGTTGAGTCCCTAGCTTTTGATTTTTTGAAAAAGCATTTTCTTCACTGGTTGGAGGCGCTGAGCCTAATGGGTGTTATATCAGAAGCAGTAGCAATGATAGATGCGGTACAGTCTGGGGATGGGGTAAGTTTCCCCTATCATCTATACTTGACACATAACTAAGATTATAATTACAGAAGGGCATAGATGTTGAAATTTCTGGCTTTCTCTATGATGCTAAACAATTCATTCTTAAAAACACTTACATTGCGGGTATTGCTCCACTCCAACTTTACAGTTCCGGGCTAGTATTTTCACCAATGCAAAGTATTGTTAGAAGGATATTTTCTGGTAGTATACCCAAACACTTGCACATACTACCACAGGTGGAGAATTTATGGAGCCCAGGACTACAAACACTCGAGGGCCATTCAGATTCAGTTCGTTCAGTGGCCTTCTCTCTGGATGGGCAAACCCTAGCCTCAGGCTCTGATGATAAGACTGTCAAGCTTTGGAATATCAAGACTGGCTCTGAACTACAGACCCTTCGGGGCCATTCAAGTTCGGTTCATTCAGTGGGCTTTTCTCCGGACGGACAAACTCTAGCCTCAGGCTCTAGCGATGACACTATCAAGCTCTGGAACGTCAAGACTGGCTCTGAACTACAGACCCTTCGGGGCCATTCATACTCGGTTCATTCAGTGGCCTTCTCTCCGGATGGCAAACCCTAGCCTCAGGCTCTAGCGATGGACACTATCAAGATCTGGAACGTCAAGACTGGCTCTGAATTGCAGACCCTTCGGGGCCATTCAAGTTCGGTTCATTCAGTGGCCTTCTCTCTCCATACCGTAGAAAATCCTGCCACTAGGTCCGCCACCATTCCACAACTCCATCATAATTGCGGCCTGACTTCATACAGTATTAATCCTCAAATATCTTTATCAAACAACTGGGTTGCATTGGGAGGTGAGAATCTACTGTGGCTTCCTCCCGAGCATCGTCAATTTGAAACTTCAGCTGTCAAGGATGCCACCCTTGCTCTTGGGTATAGTGACGGGCGAGTTTCTATTATAGGATTTCATACGCTGTAGATTGAATTTTGTTGATTGATATATACTCTCTATTATTTATTAATCTCTCTTTAAAAGGAGGGCCTGGGATATCCGAGCATTATATAGTATTCCATTTTATCTAGTTTCACATTAGGGGCTCCAGAAACAAAAAGAGTGTATACTGCGGTGACACCAGTTTCCGGAAACCCTGTAGGTGAGAACTCAATGCAAATACGAGTTCAATATCGAACGTGTTGAAGGAGATTGAGACAGATGTAGGTTTAGAGGCGAGAGACATAACAAGAGGAGCAGTACAGTCTGTGTGTGTGTGTGTGAATTCATACCCTGACCCCTCGCCGAAGCGATATGCAGGATACCACTATCTAATCCTTATCTATGTCTATGTACATCAATCCATTACATAAAGACGAATTTAGAGCCTCGTCACGGCCTATGGTGGCCAACATGCCTGGTACTCTGTCAGCGGCCCTACGGCGCCCGGCTTTGAAACCTCTGTGATGCCTCTGCAAAGTCGAGTACTGCACCTAAGATGCTACCGCCTTGCATATCACCCTCCTTACCTTGCTTACCTTGAGATCCTCCTCCCAGCATGTCCGAGATATTGTTAAATGCAGTCCCGATCTTCTTCCGTAGTTCTTGTCGTATGGTCTTCAATTTGGGACAGTGAATCAGGACGTGAACCACTGTTTCTATCGCTCCACATTCACACTTGTCATCCTCTCTATGGCCATGTAGTTTGCCATGTGTTGCTAGCCATGAGTGGCTGGTTCGGAGTTGGGTGAGCAGGTAGGCTCGATTGCGTGGTAGCGAGCCATACATTCTCCAGGTACGAACTGCGGGTAGATTTCTATCTATCCGCCAAAGGTGGCCACCGTTCTTGGACGTCTTCCATCCCCGTTCCCATTCTTCTTGGATTCGGTTGCGGATGAAACCTTTTTCTCGTGAGAGAAGATGTTGGAAGGGATGTTCTTTATCTAGGCCAACTGCTTCTTTAGCCAGTCGATCGGCCGCCTCGTTTCCCAGGTCACTATAGTGTCCTGGTACCCATTGGAGTCGGAGCGGAATTCCCCGTGCTTTTAACTCCCGAGCTGATTGCCGAACCGCTTGAATAATCCTCTGGCCCGACTTGTTCCGTGCATTCGAGATAGCCTGTAATGCTGACATGCTATCACTGAGGATAGTTGCTGGTTCCTGTTGGCTTGCTGTGGTGTCCCAGTTTTCTAACGCGATCTTAAGGACAAGGCTGATAGCATAATATATTGCCATGAGCTCAGCTGTATATACTGACCAGTATTCCATGGAGCCAATACAGACTTTCCGGTGTTGGATGATGTGCTAGTTCTGATCTAGAGCTACCGCTGCAGCTCCTAGAACATTCTGTTGGCCTGATGCATCCGAGAAGACTGTGATACCGGCTGCTTTTTGTCTAGCAGATGCTTTCTCTTTAGCTTTGTCGTGGTCTGCTTCAATGTCGATTTCTATAAATGCTAGTGTCTGCCACGGTGGTGGGGGTGTTGGATCAATTGTCTCCAGAGCCTGGAGTCGAGTGAGGTTCATTATCCGCAGGGTCTCTGCTAGAGGAAATCGAGGTCCACTTCCTATATGGTTGCTCCGCGTTACTGCTCGGGTCACTACTGTATGGCCTGGGTGATCCTCTGGAAGGGTGCTGAGGCGGGCAGCCACTATTTGGGCACGTTGTTTAAGTCGTAAATTGGTTGGAAGCACATAGGCTTCCACCTCTAGGGCTGCCGTGGACGCCGTCTTGAAGGCAGAGAGAATGCGAATAAGGGCGGTTCGTTGTACAGTTCCCAGTGTTCTCAGGTGTATCTTATCCTTTAGTGGGTTGTGCCAGACGGTGGATGCATAATCCACGATTGGTGTCACGCATGCTTGGTAGATTTGTCTCATCTGCTCTGGGCGGAGGTGTCTCAGTCCCCCCAGGGCGATATTCACCTGGGTTGCTCGCTTGACTGCTTGCTGCACATGTTCCTTCCACCGCATCTCCTTGTCAAAGATCACGCCTAGAAGCTTTACTGTATCGCTTGGCTTGATTACCGTCCCATTTATTATGATCTGTCCTACCCCGTGCTGTCTTTTGAACCTTGTTAGATGGATTAGTTCTGTTTTCTTCACGTTAAATGAGGATCCCGTTCGTCAGGCCCATGCCTCGATGCGGGGGATATCCTCTTCCTGAATCTTTCTAATATTGTCTTCTGCAGACTGACCGGCTCGCCATCGAAAATAGTCATCAATAAACGCTGACGCGCCGCCATGGTGGTCGACTGGCTGGTCGACCAGGTCGGAGTTGAAAAATCTAAATAAGATTGAGGACAGCGGGGATCCCTGTGCCAGACCAGCATGCTCGAGCGGGGAGATCTCCGTCTGAAAATCATCGAAGGAGATGCCGGCGTACCTGTTCTCCATGAAGCTCCGGATCCAGCGCCTGGCTACGGTTGGGATGCCTTTGGCCTGTAGGCGGGCGTCAAGGCTTGAATCATTCACTCCATTGAATGCTCCTGTGAGATCAAATGCCACCAGCGTGATCACCTTTGACCGTAGCCATGCGCGATCAATCGCGTTTGCCAGGGTTAGGAGCGCTTGTTCTGTGTTTCGTCCTGGCCGGCCTCCAAACTGGGTGTCTGGAAGTAGTTTATAGGACTCAGCCCAGAATGACAGTCTGCGAGCCATGACGGCTTCTAGTATCTTCCCTAGGGTATTCAGTAGAGAAATAGGTCGGTATGCTTCTGGTACACCATAGTCTGGCTTCCCGGGTTTCCTCAGCACTATGATTCTCGCTTGCTTCCACTGGTGAGGATAGTGGCCTAATTCTACTGATCTTGAAAAGATGTACGTGATCATCTTCTGGAGATATGGCCATAGATGTTTCCAGACAAGGGTTATGATCCCATCCTTCCCCAGGGCCGTCGTTCCCTTAGCGGCTTTGAGTGACCGATGTACCTCCAGTTCGGTGATTGGGTACCATGGTATTCCCTCTGAGGGTGGTACTGGGTCTTCTATTTCTGGGTCTGCCATCTTCGGGAAGAAGGTTTCTAGGAGCACTCTGGCCTTTGCGTCGTTTTCGGTGATTTCTTCGGATCCCACTTTTAGTGGCGGGATATTTGTATAGGGGTCTCGTGGGCGCATGTATGTTGCTGCTTTCCAGAGGTGGCCTTCTTGGGCCTTGTCTAGGAACTCCTTCCAATGGGCGGCTTTGACCTTCTCGATGGTTCTAGTCCATTCTCGTCGTTTATGACGCATGTCGTTGAAGAGGGATGTGGTAATTGGGTGGCTGCTGCCTAGGGTAGCACAGCTGCTCTGCCATCTTCTATGAACTTGGTTTACTATAACCTGTTGGGATTTGAGCTCTGGGGTGAACCATCGTTTCGAGTAGGGGGATGGCTTCTGTAGAGGCACCTGTTGATCAAGGACTGTCGTTGTTGCTTCAACTAGTCGGTTAACTTCATAGTCGAGGTCTGCGGCGGAGCTTATCTCAGGTCCTTGACCAAGTAGTTCCAGCAAGGCTGAGCCGATTTTATCCCAATCCGCTCTGTCATATGCTCTCTTTGGTTTTGGGTTTTCGTTGCGTTCTGGTCGTAGGTCCCATTCGGAGTATGTTCCGCGATGGTCTGAACCGTAGTTGTCCCGATAGAGTTGGCATTTCATAAGTTTTGCAGGGTCATTGGTGAGCGTCAGATCGAGGACTGATGCCTTCCCTGGGAGGCTTGGTGACCAGTATGTTGGCGTGCCTGGGGGTAGGCACCATTGGAGTTTGTATGTCTGGAAGAAGTTTATTAACTCTTCCGCTTGAGATGTAAAAACATGGCTAACGGGGCGGTGGCTCCATGCCGGGTGATGTCGATTGAAGTCTCCAGCTAGAATAAGCCTTGTGGTCTTATTGGGCTCCTTGGTATACTCTTCAATGGTGTTTTTAATCTCCGCTAGTATCGGTTCAGCAGCGGTCGTGCTAGCGGCTTGGTGCGCATCCAGTGGTGGGATGTACACTGAGAAGATAAGGAACTGTATCTCCGCAGTCCATATTCTGATTGCTACCAGATCTAGGTGATTGCACTGGATTTGGCAATGGGAGGAGGTCGAAATTCTTTTATTCACATAAATCAGGCTGCGGTATCGGGTGGATTCGTCGGTATTTGAGTATGTTGGTTAGTATAGCCGCCAAGCACTGTAGTTCACATGGGTGCGGTATGTGGTAACTGATGGTTCTTAGATCAAAAGTAGATCAAGGTTCTGGCTCTGGTGGTCATTAATGAGGGCTTCCATTCCTGCCCTGGATTTCCAGACGTTCAGCTGTAATAAACGTAGTGTTGATGACATTATTGGGAGGAGTTCAGGTTAAGAGGTGCTTGGCACCTCTTATGTCCAGTAGGATGTTCCCCATTGCAGTCTGCACACCTTGGCCTTATGCCTGGAGGGCAGTTACGTTGATCATGCTGGCCGCTGCAGTGGCCGCATTTTACCTGTTCTTTGCATGACCAGGCTAGATGGCCAAACTTCTGGCAGTGGTAGCATCTCTTTAGTTCAACTTTGTAGGGTTCCACACTTCCAATGTATCTTTGTCCAACTAGGAGGCCATTATTGATGATTGATTCTGCGGCCTCCGGTGTATTCAGCTAGATGCCCATCGATGCGGCCTTTCCCAGCGGTCTATCCTTCTTCTTGAGCCATGCAATATCCTCGATTTCAAATCCTTTCTCGGCCAGGTCATTTTCTTCCATGATCTTCTCAATCCCTTCTCTCTTTTCCTTCTCCAAGTCAAAGTCCTCCGTTGGCACTCGGTGAACCACAATGCCGAATTGGGGTTTGACCAGCTTGGTTTCGTTCCCCAATTCTTCCAGCCATGCGGTGTTGTTCTGGGCTGTTTTGGCCGACTAAGCATCTCTGAATCTGATTACATAGCCTGTTTTAGTGGTGCCAACACCTGCTACCTGTATATCTTTAGTGGATTCTATGTTTGATAAGGTGGTCCTGATATGTTTGTTGGCAGTATCAGTAGGCAGGAACCTTGTGAAGTTGTCATTGTTATTTCCATTGTTATCCGTTGCCTCTGGCTGTGCAGTACTGATCCGGACGCAGTTCAGTTCTTTCTGGGGTCGTGGGAGTATATTGATCGTTGGTGGGATTGTGGAGGCTACTTCAGCCCATGGGTTTGGGGGTAGGATTGTAGTTGCCTGGTTCTCAATCTGGGTGCGTAGCGCCTGAATCTCTTCCTGTAATTTCACATTCTGTTCTCTCAGGGTGATTTGTTCCGTTTTGATTTCACGGACTTCTGCCCTTGCTAGCTCGATTATGTTGGTCTGTTGGGTGATGACTTTCTTTAGGCTGCTAACGAGGCTCGCAACCGTCTGGTATGTAATTCTTTTGCCATCGTCCAATGAGGGAAATTTAACCACTGGGGCTCGTAGGGTTTCTGCTGGGTGGTTCTGTCTCCGACCTGGGGCTGTTGGGATGGCCTCATTCCGTGCAGAGTTTTCCAGCGTCTGCGGACCGCCTTCGGGTACTGCCATCGGGCCGTTTTTAGCTCCCGTTCGGCACACCTCCTCGATCACGGTCTTTGAGTTCCTTCTATTCTGACCGTACAGCTCTCCGCATTCCGGTATCTTGATTTTCCAGTTTGTGGATACTACCGAGCAGTACAGTCTGTGTGTGTGTGTGTGAATTCATACCCTGACCCCTCGCCGAAGCGATATGCAGGATACCACTATCTAATCCTTATCTATGTCTATGTACATCAATCCATTACATAAAGACGAATTTAGAGCCTCGTCACGGCCTATGGTGGCCAACATGCCTGGTACTCTGTCAGCGGCCCTACGGCGCCCGGCTTTGAAACCTCTGTGAGAGCAGTACAGTCATTCTCGAAATCGGCTTGACCAACCAACATTGATGACTCTCTTCTTGCCCACTGCCAAGACCTTGGTCTGACACTTTTGTGGAGTTACCTGCTTTTAACTGAGGGCTGCTGTAAATTGCTGGCTATGTAAAATATAAAATATACACAGTATCGTATCTGTATTACGGCTCGTCATGATTGAGCTCCACTTAAGCGATCTAAGTTAGAGGACACCAAGGTATGACGTAAGTCAATAGAAAGGCGGTGAACATACAAGCACGGACTAGGGTATAGGCAGTACTCGACTTTCAACCCCGCAGTTTCATCAGAACCATCATCAATCGTCTTTGTCCAGAATTATGTCATCAGGCAAAGAATTTACTAAGCACAAACAAAAATGTCGATATCACAATAATAATCCATCTTGGTGCAGCGCAAAAACTCAATATGGCGATGAATGTATGCAATCTGTTTGGGGGTCCAAGGATGGCTACATGCCAATATGCCGCCAACACCAGAAACAGTGCATAAAGGCCAGTTACTGCCGTGCTTTACAACCATGTGGATATCCATGCAACGGGAAGATAAAATGGGTGCCTCATCTCCAAGTCTATTTTTGTGACAGGCACCGAACTGAGGCCCCCTGCTACTTCTTACAGAAGCTTCCTCTTGAAATTCGATATGAGATATATTACTATCTCTTTCCGAGCCAGTTCATCCCAGCCAAGCGAGGAGACGATATCTACAATAGAAAAAAGGCAATCTTGCAGGTTAACAAACAGATCTATGAAGAGGCACGTATAATTCTCTACCGCCAAACGCAATTCGGTATCGAGGTTACAGAAAACACGGTCACGATGATGGGGATCTGCCGTGCGCGAATACCAGAATCGTACCAACTTGGCGATGGACCGGTTACACAGTCCATCAAAAGCTTTAATCAGCATTTGCGGCAACTAGTGTCCCCGTCATCTTCTCTATCTTCTCTATCCTCTAATATTCCTCTACCCGGGGCTACTACTTCTGCTACTACTTCATGCGATGCATGGATAGAATTTCCTGCAAAAGAGCCTCTTTGGCGCCAGATACGGTCCTTCCGTATCGAGATCAAGCCTCCTTCATTCGCACCAAATCATCCTGAGAGTTTCAAGAAAAGATTTACCCTGCTTTACGATATGACTTGTCGGGTTTTAGAACATGTGGAGGTCATTCGACCCTGTATAAGACGATTGAGTATTGTTCTCAATATGTACCCGATTGCAGTATACCCCATTATCGTTCAGGGACGAATCATCAAAGCGATTCTTAATTATTGCATGCCCGTATGGAATGTGGAACAGCTCAAATTCTATATTGCATTCACATCTAGCCGGGAGCCGTCATCGCTGTTCGATATACTGGGGGATCCAATCCTTAAAGTTAGGAAATTCTTCCAAAACGACACTTCTACTCTTCAGGAGATACTAAATGAATCACGAATCCAGATAAATATATACCGAGATCAGGTTTCTTCATCTCCGAAGATCAATCTTCCATCAAGAAAAATCCCTCGAAGCGCGTTATATCAGATGGAGGCGGCAATTAAGATGCTTTGCCACCCTTTTATTTCAAACTTTATCCCACAGCGAATGGCCCAGGTAAAAAAGGAACACATCTTAGCCATTATCGCAGAGCGTGAACAAGATGTGCAAGCTTTCCAGGCAGCCTGTGGCAGTATTTCTGCGATTTTTGGTTCATACACCCAGGCGCAGACAAATTTAGTAAAAATGATTTCACAAGCGATAGAGAATACAATCATGGAGCCAATGAAGCAGAGCACTAGTGAGGAGGGAAGCTAGACATAGGGACTTGCATGGATAGAGATCCACTCAATCAGTACTGTTTGTTGAATTAGTGTTTGTAGTTACATTATAACTAGTACCTTGAACAGGAGACGTTGTCCTAACGATCTGTCGGAACTAAAACGGTAGCCAAAACACCACTCTACCGAAAAGGAGATCCCCTTGGTGGGTCTTTATGGTATTGGTTTGTGTGTGTGTGTGTATTTAACGGCCGTGGTTCGTGACTCACACGCTTCCCACCGATCCCTGCTGGGACATAGGCCGCCGAGGGGTAAGCCTCGGGCTTCGAATCATCTATCGGATTATATACAAATAATAGATCTTTGGCGCATTTCCATAGCTGCCGTGGTCTTACAGGAAGGTCCACTTCTGAGTGGTCTTTAGATATTTGCCAGCTGTAATGGTCCACCTACACTCCATGACCTATCATTCTGCACCATCATAGTTCAATAGTAAGTTTTACGAAGAGAGAAAGAAGGGAAGAAAAAGGAAAAAGAAAGAGAAAGAGGAAAGTAGAGGAAGTATAGGACTGTCTTAGCTAGGCGCTAAGGAGGGGTTGGCGAGGGCAGATGTCCTCAAAGAAGCGGGTCTCTGCTAGCTATGTGGCTAGCTTTTGGGCTCCTTTTGCAGTGCCTAGTAGAAAAGAGATAACTTCAGAAGGGGGCCCCGGGGGGCAAGGCGCTCGTCTCTTGGCTATGTGGCAGAAGAAGAAATGCAGAGGTGCTTTTCGTGCTCCACATCGACAGAGAAGATAAGCATCATCATGATTAAAACATTCGTGGTAGTTTGAAAAGTCACTATGACCAGTACGGGCCGCGATGATACGGCTAAGGTCAAGTCTGTTGAGTTGAAGCTCTGTAGGGCGTTTAGGAGTTGTAGTTATTTCTAGATTTTGATATGTTTATAGAGCCACAGTCTGCCACTGTGTCTGAGTAGCGGAATGGGATTGTGTCTTGGCGTATCTCTTTAGCGAGGCATATGAGGACTTGTGTGGATAGGAAGGGATAGAGGCAGCTCCTTCTTTGGTAGCAAGATCAGCCGCTTCATTCTTAGGGATTTTAGCGTGTCCAGGGACCCATCGGATTTGGATTAAACAACTTTTAGTATATGGAAGTCTTTCGCGGAGTGGCTAGGCGGCTGCAAGAGTGCGAAAGGATTCAAAGACTTCTTGGGAAAATCCTGTGGAGGGAGATAGGAGGCGTGTAGCAACTTCCAGGTTGTCAAGGCAGATCTATAGGTTGGTAGTAAATCGAGCTGTTGGGTATGCTATTGCTGCTTAAGTACCAGCTAGAGCTGCTTCTGCTTCTACGTCGAAGACCTCTTTCCTGTGTCCGTATGAGAGTGAGAAGCGGAGTAACTAATGGTGTGCTTGAAATACAACATAGCTACCCCCAGCATGTCCATTTACTAGCCTAGAACCATCTGAAAAGACTATAATATTAGTGCTAGGGATGGTGTGTTGGAAGTCCATGAAATCAGCCGCTGCCTGTTCCTTAGTGCGTCCCATAGGAGCTCCTATTCGAGCTTGGGCATTCTCACGCGACTCGCGTGGAAGCCAGGGAGCATATTGGAGAGGGTTTATTTATTCAGAGTTAGGGAGGGCTAGGACATGGCGGGCAAATTGGCTGAGTTGTCGGCTGTTGCTGGAAACCTGTTCTGCACGCCTTCGGAGTGGGTGGTCAGGATCAAGACGCCGTAGGCAGACAGATGCAAGGAGGGCTATTTGATCTAATTCAATTTCTGGTGGAGAGAATCCAGACTCTCGATATAGAACAGGTATTGGGGTTGTGCGGAAAACTGGAAGGACCGCTCTTGCGCCTGTTACTATTACTTTAGTTAGTTTCTCAAGATGTTCTCTAACTCAATTTGAAATCTGGGAGTGATCACCAGGTTTCAGCGCCATAGTATGCTTTATGGAGTACACAGGCTGATACAGCCTGTTGTAGTAGATGAGGTTTAACTCCTCGGACAGTATTCCCTAGTGAGCGAAGGGCGTTAGCTACAGTAAGGGCTTTAGATGCTGTTTTGCCAATATGCCATTTAAAAGTTAGCTTTTTGTCGTATAGAATTCCTAGCCAGCGTAGATATGGCTGTTTAGTATTTTCTAAGACAATAATTGATCTGGCTTTCACTGAAGGTGTGCTGGTTAGATTCTGGTCTGCTTTATGTCGGGAGAAGTGAAGAAGCTCATACTTATCTGGTGCAAATGTAATGCCCTCCGCAGCGCCCCAATTAAGAGCTTCTTGGAGTGAGTTTGATAGGGCTTTGCAATTAGTGTCAAGAGATAAGAGATCGCTAGGTTAGCTGCATCGTCCGCGTAGCCAAATCTTTTCCTTGGGTTTCCTAGACGGAATAGGGGCGCTATGTAGAGCATGAAGAGAATACCAGAGACTAGGGATTCTTATGGTAGGCCACAGGCAATATCTGTTGAGGGGCCGATCTCTCCATCGAGTCGGATCTGGACTAATCGCCCAGTGGCGAAGAAGGCAATCCAGAGTATAAGATTAGCAGGCCAGCCCTGCTCGCGTAATCTGCGGATCAGTCTGCCGAGAAGCACGGCATTAAAGGCGCCCTTAACATCCAGGGTAAGAAGTGAGGCAGTCATGCCTTGATTTAGTGCTTGCTCAACATTATGCGTTAGGCATATGGTCAGATTAATTACAGATCTTAGTGGGAGAGCTCCAAACTGTTGCCTTGCTAGTACTTTGTAGTGTATGGAGATCCATGCCATATTCCGCGCCACCAGGCGTTCAAGTCCTTTACCCAGGACTGAGAGGAGAGCAATCAGTCTTTTTTGGTTTCTGGATAATTGCTAAGATTGCATGTCGAAAGCATTTTGGGTGGTAACCAATCTTTAGACAACCTTGATATAGCATTAGTACCTTATCCTTGATCAAATGCCATGCTACTTTGAGTATGCACGTTGGGATTTCGTTGGCGCCAGGAGCTGTGTTTCCTGCGTGAAGTACTGACTTCTCCACCTGTAACATCGATATATCTGGGAAGTAGAGACTAGTGGAAGGCACTGCTGGGGAGTCCAGAGGTATATCTCCTGCCTCAGCCAAGTTTTGGAGAAGATTGCGAACTAGTACATCTCGTTTCTCATGTACAGCAACTGCTGGGAAGCTGTTGGGTCTCATCGGATCCCTCAGTGGAGGGCTTCGAAAGGTGCCTGTAGACTTATGCCATTTACTCATATCGAAAACATCCTTCATTTGTGTTACTGTAGAGAGCTTATCTTGCCAAAATTGTCGTTGAGACCGCCTAGTTATCCGGCGGAAGTCTGTTTTTGAGCAGAGGCCTGAGCGGTAATTGTGTGAAGCTTTTTTGCAGTTATCGTTCCACCATGGTTGTCCTATGCCTTGTGACATGGTTCTCATAGCAGAGCCTGCATATGCTCCTTGGATTGCAGATGTTAGTTTTTTAGCAAGTGCGTCAAGGTCTTCTTTTGTCGTGGCTGAGCTCTCGATATCAGCGAGATTAGAGGTAAGGAGTGAGAGGAAGCAGGTGTGGTCTAGTGTGTCAAATCTCAGTTTCTGGGCTGTTTCCAGATATCTCTGATCCCACGGTACAGTGGTGATCAGTGGTCGGTGATCTGAGGTTGCGTCTAAGTGGCTCGCTATGCTGGCCTTGGCTCCCGCGAGTGCTAGAGGGCTTGAGGCAAAGCTGAGGTCCAACACGTTTCCCCTATCATGTGTGGGACAATCTATGTCGGAGATGAATACTAGACCCTGGAGATCCAGCCAATTAATAAATGGCTCTGCGAAGTTTGTGGAGCTGCGGTTTAGCGATGGCTGCCATCTATTGTGTAGTAGATTTAGGTCGCCTGCGAGTATTGTTGCTTGAGGGAAGTACGCCTCTGGAAGGGTGCTAAGGGCTTTCGCGGCTTCACCTGCTCTGATGGAGCCTGCTGGGGCATTATAGACGTAACTATTAGAGCTGACTTTCCTGTGGGCGAGAAAATCTGAAGGAAAAGGAGATCTGAGACCTCTTTCGTGTCAGTTGTGAAGGGGCGTAGCTGGGAGGTTCGGATGCCTTTCTTTTTTCGGACACAGGTGAGGACTCGTGGCCTGCCACTTATTGCCCAACTGTCAGTTGGGGAGAAGCATTCGTATGATGGATGTTTCTTTGTAATCTGTCGGTTGAGATCCTTGAATATGTATGGTTCTTGGATTAGGATAATGTCAATGTCGTTAGTATATGCCAGTGTGAGAACTATTTCGTGTGCGTCTGGCGCGTGCCCTACATTTAACTGTAGGATTTTGAGAGGCGCCTTTTGAGTTGGGTAGTGATAGATCATAGCTCCTGTTCAAGAAGAGAGGTAAACCGGTTCTGTGGCTGAGGGGTTGTAAAGCGGACTGCACGAGCTGTAATTGGAGGATCTTCAGTAGGGGCCCGTGGTGGAGGGGTGACTGAGCGGAAGGGAGAGATAATCTCATGGGTTGGAGGCTGAGATGGCATCTCGTCTAGTGCTATAGGTGTTTCTTGTGTGCCAATGGAAAGCTGAGAGCTACATCCTCCTTCAGTTCGAGCTTTTGCAAGGTTAATAGCACAGGATTTGCGGATCTCTGCTTGTTGAGCTTTAGTATGTTTGGTGTTGCCTTTAGGGCGCAGGAGGCATTCTGGAGAATCAGCTGGATGTGGTCCATGGCAGTGTATACATCTGGGAGGGCACTGATGAGGCTCCAGGGCTGTGCAGCGGTTGACATGGCTCCCTTCAGTATGCTCTGAGGAGCCGCAGAGCCGGCATCGAGAGGGGCGGGCACAAGATCGTGCATTATGCCATTTCCAGCATCGTGTGCACTGGACAACTGTCCTTTTTGAGAGATAGCGAGCATTAGTGATAGTGCCAAAGAGACGTAGCTGGGTAGGCAGTGGTGTTTTCATATCTTCAGGGAAGTTGACGAACCAACTGGAAGAAAGAGTGTTGGGATTGGCAACGCTCGCAGTAGTCTCACTGATTGAGATAGGCTTGAGACCCGTAATTTCGCTAATCTCTGAAGATAGTATTGTGGGATTAACAGGGATTAGAGAGTATCGGCCATCTGAGATTTGGCCAATTTTCCTTGGCACATTAGTGACTCGGTATGAGACCCATCGGGAGCTGCGTTCTATCTGGCAGTTGACAAAAAATGCAGAGATAGTCTCTTTTTGAGCTTTGAGGGCCAGGAGGGCTTCTGGGGATGAGAAAACTAGTGCGAAGTCAGTCTTCGTGGCTTGAACTTCCTTCAGTGCTGAGTTATTTGAGTTCAGTTGTGTCCGTAGGCTAGAGTAGATAGCGTAGGCTTCCATCTTTCTGGCTGCATGGTCACCTGGAAGGCGTACAAAGAGCCGGTTGTCAGGAGGCGGTTGTTTCACTAAAGGCATAGGCTTTTTTGATAGAAACTTTAGAGTGAGTGGTGGAAGCTGATTTGACTGGGGCATATTGGGTGACAGTCGCATAAGTTGACCGTTCAAGACCTGAAGGGGGACGTGAGGGAGGGGGTGAGGGGGGTGAGAGATTCAAGGTAGGGGAGGGGGAAAAGGGAGGGGCAGGTGGAATGGAGGTTATCGAGATGCCGCTGATATAGGCGTTGAAGTGTCGTTGGGCTACTGAGGCAAGGTCATCGCTTAGAGCGGTGAGGGCTCTCAGTAGGTGAGGAGCGAGGCCAGTGGTTTGGCTGCGGTGTTTATTGAGGAATGCAGCTATAGGGCTGAATATCTTTTGACCGTCAGAAGCTCTTGTAGTGGCTGCAGACGTAGATTCTAATAGGGCTGTCTGTAGAGGGCCATCTGTGCCAGGGCCTTTGCGCGTCATGGTGTTGCCGGACGCGTCGTGACGCGACAATGGCCGCACTCCTAGAAGCTGGGTGGTGGAAAGGGTGAGGAAGTTGTACCTCTAGCTATTTGGTATGGTTATCTGCAAGGGGGTCACAGGTTGGGGTTGGGGTCGTTTTGGTATGGTATTGGTTTGTATCAGGTGCGAACGTTCCGTATTCGCTCGTAATCACGTGATATATTTCCAACACGATTCGACTGGCACGCGATCTGGTACCTCAATCACCGAATTGGAGGAGTGGAAGTTTACTTAAATGCGAGACGTTTGAATGATCGACTAGGGGGGTATCGTGGGCGTTCAAAAGACTCAGATCTGATGGCGAGTCGGGGTTCCGACCGAAGTTGCCATGGCTACACCCACGAGTGCTCATGAATCGCAAAATAAGAGATAGGTGTAGTAGGATGAAACAAACGGTTCAAGTTCCTGTGGCATGGCTGCCACGCGAATAGGAACGAATGGGAGTTTCCGAGATCTACAGCACTGTGGGTTCCACGATTTTCCATGGGGATCTTCCGGAATTATGCAGCGATTAGGCTTACGTGAGATATTTATGCAGGAATAATATTTACTATGCTGATTGATTGGCTTAAACAAGCCACTTTCCGCAAGGTTTCCGCCGAAACCAACGCTTCTAATGCGCATAGAAGAGGCTTTTTGGAGATCTTCCGCCGCTAAATGTAGATCATTTTGCTGACTGTTCATAGCGATTTTGATGCGATCCTCTGAGAAATCCTCATAACAGAGTAAGATAGAGATATATACATTACTGATAAATCTGCACAATAACACGCTGTAATACAGATACAATACTATGTATATGTTACGTTTTACACAGCCAGCAATTTACAGCAAGCCTCAGTCAGTTAAAAGCAGGCGACTCCACAGAAGTGTAAGACTAAGGTCTTGGCGGTAGGGCAAGAAAAGAGTCATCACTGTTTGTTGGTCAAGCCAATTTCGAGAATGACTATACTGCTCCGACCGATTTTGCAACGCACTGTAACTCTCGAACTCTCAGGCGACTGTACTGCATCAGGAATACGGAGGATAGATTAAATCGAAAAGAACGAATTTGAACCGATTATTGTGGTGATTAACGAGCCGACGCGGTAACGCCAACATGCCCGTCGCGACCCGCGCCGCAGTAGGTCGTTCCGCGACGCGTACCCCAGATCTAGATAATCCCCCATCATCATCACCAGAAATACAGCGAAGCAAATCAGGTCAGGAGATTAAACGACCAGGGCACCTCAGTTAAGAGTAGGAAAGAGAAAATGAAAATAGAACGAATCATCTCAGCCATAAATGAAATAGCCCTGCAGCAATGCTCCAAGGCAACACGGCTGCCAAGCCGGCTAACCCTAATCCTAACGCGAACGCGACCGAAATAGGAGCACAAATGATTATAAACCTTATTAACAGTCTAAAGAAAGCAATCACCCAATAAACCAGCATAATTAAATCAGTAAGGGCAGAGATACAGGAGGTTAAAACAGAATAAATTGCCCTGAGAGAGTAGAATATAAAGCTACAAGAGGAAATCTGAGCACTGCGCACACAGATTGAGGCCTAGACAACCATAAATCTACCACCAAGTCCATGGGCTGAAATAGCTACTAACAGTAACCCATAAGACACTAACACCATCTGACGGCCCCAAAGGGAATTGAACTGCGTCCGAATCAGCACCGCACGGCCAGTTGAAACCAATGACAATAGAAGCAACGATGACAACTTTACAAGATTCCTACCCACAGACACCGCAAATAAGCATATCAGAATGGCCCTAGCCAATACGGAACCCACCAAAGATGTACAGGTAGTGGGCATTGGCGCCACTAAGACCGGTTACGTGATCAGGTTCAGAGATGCGCAATTGGCGGAAACCACCCAGGAAAACTCTGCGTGGCTGGAGGAACTCAGAAACGACATCAAACTAGTGAAGCCTAGATTTGGTATTGTAGTTCACTGAGTACCAACTGAAGATTTTGACTTAGACAGAGAAAAGAAAGAAGGAATCGCAAAGATCACGGAAGAGAATGACCTCGCTGAGAAAGGATTTAAAATAGAAGATATTGTATGGCTGAAGAAAAAGGACAGACCACTAGAAAGATTAGCATCAATAGGTGTCTGGTTCAACACACTAGAGGTGGCAGAATTAATCATTAATTATAGCTTTCTAGTTAGACAAAGATACATTAGCAGTGTAGAGCCCTACAGGGTAGAACTAAAAAGATGCTACCACTGCTAGAAATTTGGTCATCTCGCTTGGTTATGCAAAGAACAGGTGAAATGCAGCCACTGCAGCAGCCAACATGAACAACGCTACTACCCACCAGGTATTAGACTGAGGTGTGCAGACTGCAACAGGGAACATCCTACAGGATATTGGAGATGCCAAACACCTCTGAACCCAAACGTATCCCAATAATGACAACCACACTCCATCTACTACAGTTGAACATCTGGAAATCCAGAGCAGGAATGGAAGCCCTTATCAATGACCACCAAAGCCAGAGCCTAGATCTACTTCTGATCCAAGAACTATCCATCACCACATACTGTACCCATGTGAACCATAGCGCATGGCAACTATATCAATCAACATACCCAAATACGGAATCAACCCGGTTCCGTAGCCTCCTCTACGTAAACAAAAGAATTTTAACCTCCTCCCATCAACAGATCCACTGCAACCATCCAGATTTAGTCGCAATCAAGATATGGACTGCCGCGATACAATTCCTTGTCTTCTCGGTCTATATTCCTCTACTAGATGTGCACGAAGCAGCTAATATCACTGCTGCGGAATCAGCACTAGAAGAAATAAAAACTACCATTGAGCAACACACCAGAGAAACCGACAAGACTACATAGCTGATCTTGGCAGGAGACTTCAATTGACACTATCCAGCATAGAGCCACTGCGCGGTCAGCCACGTTTTTACCGCCCAAGCGGAAGAACTGATCAACTTCTTTCAAGAATATCAGCTCCAATGGTGTCTACCCCCTAACATCCCCACATACTAGTCATCAAGCCACCCTGGAAAAGCATCAGTGCTGGACTTGACACTCACTAATGACCCTACCACACTGATTAAGTGCCAGCTCTATCATGATAACTACAGATTAGATTATCACGGGACATACTCCGAATGAGATCTACAACTAGAACACAATGAGAATGCAAAACCTAACAGAGCATATAACCAAGCCGACTGGGCGAAGATTGGCCTAAAACTACTCGAGTCACCTGGTCAAACACTGGAAATATACACTACTACAGACCTTAACTCTAAAGTCAAGCAATTAGTGGAAACTACAATAAAGGTTCTTGATTAGCATGTCCCACTGCAAAAGCCATCCCTATATTCGAAATGATAGTTTACAGCAGAACTTAAATCCCAATAGATCACTGTGAACTAAATACACCAACAATAGCAGAGTAGCTGTGCCACCCGGGGTAGTAATCACTTAATCACTATATCTCTCTTTAATGAAATGCGCATCAAACGGCGGGAATAGACCTAAATGATTGAGAAGGTGAAAGCCACTCATTAGAAGGAGTTCCTCGACATGGCCTAGGAAGGCCACCTATGGAAAGTGGCAACATACATGCAATCACGGGAATTCTACTCGAATATCCCCGCCCTCTAGGTGGGATCGGTGCCAGTCACCAAAAATGAAGCAAAGGCCAAAGTCTTTCTTGAAGCTTTCTTCCCTGAGATGGCAGAACTGGAAGATAAAGACATTATAATACCCTCAGAAGAGATTCTGTGGTACCTAATTACTGAACTGGAAATATACCGGTCACTCAAAGCTGCAAAGGGAACGATAGCCCTAAGAGAAGATAGAATTATCACCCTGGTCTAGAAACAACTATGGCCCTATCTCTGGAAGGTGATCATCTACATCTTCATAAAATCAGTGGATCTAGGCCACTATCCTCACCGGTGGAAGCGTGCACGCATCATAGTGCTTAGGAAAGCTGGAAAGCCTGATTACGGATTACCAGAGGCATACCGGCCTATCTCCCTACTGAATACCCTGGGGAAGATACTCAAAGCAGTCATGGCTCGTAGACTGTCATTCTGGGCTGAGACCTACAAGTTGCTCCCAAACACACAGTTTGGAGGCCGACTAGGACGGAATATAGAATAGACACTCTTAGTACTAGCAAATGCCATCGATCGCGCGTGGCTACGGTCCAAAGTGATCACGCTGATAGCATTCAACCTTAAAGGGGCATTCAATAGAGTGAACGCCTCAAGCCTCGACGCCCGCCTGCAGGCCAAAGGGATCCCAGTTATTACCAGACACTAGATCCGCAGCTTCATGGAAAGCCGCTATGCCAGTATCTCCTTCGACGACTTTCAAATAGAGATCTCCTCTCTCGAACACACGGGCCTAGCGCAAGGGTCCCCGCTGTCCCCCATCTTATTTAGGTTTTTTAACTCTGACCTGGTTGACCAGCCTGTCGACTACTACGGAGGCGCGTCAGCTTTCATCGATAACTACTTTCGATGGCGAGCTGGTCCCTCCGCAGAAGATAATGTCAGAAAGATCCAGGAAGAGGATATACTGCGCATTAAGGTATGGGCCCAACAGACAGGATCCGCATTTAATGTGAAGAAAACCATACTAATCCACCTCACAAGATCTAAAAGACAGCATGGGGTAGGACAAATTACAATCAATAGGATGACCATTAAGCCCAGCGACACAGCAAAGCTCCTCAGCATAGTCTTTGATTAGGAGATATAGTAGAAGGAACATGTACAATAAACCATCAAACGCGCAACCCAGGTGAACATTGCCCTTGGGGGACTGAGGCATCTCCGCCTAGAGCAGATGCGACAACTCTACCAAGTATGCGTAACACCAATTGTGGATTATGCATCCACCGTCTGGCACAACCCGTTGAAGGATAAGGTCTACCTGCGGACGCTAGGTACTGTGTAGAGAATAGCCCTCATTCGCATTCTCTCTACATTCAAGACCATATCCACCGTAGCGCTTGAGGTCAAATCCTGCATACTGCCAACCCGCTTACGACTCAAACAATATGCACAGATCGTCGCTGCCCGCCTCAGCACCCTCCCAGACGACCATCCAGGCCGCGCGATGGTGGTCCGAGCAGCCTCACAAAGCCTATATATAGGAACTAGACCTTGGTTCCCTCTTGCAGAAACCCTGCAGACAATAGATCTCACCTGACTCTGGGCCCTAGAAACTATTAACGCAACCCCTCCACCACCATGGCGGACCCTAGCGTTCCTAGAGATCGATATCGAACCAGACCATGACAAAGCCAAACACAAAGCATCTGCTCTCCAAAATGTAGCTGGCATTATGGTTTTCTCAGATACGTTAGGCCAACATAACCATCTAGAAGCCGCAGCGGTCGCCCTAGACTGAAATAATAATGTGATCTAACAGCGGAAAGTCAGCATTGGCTCCATGGAATACTGGTCAGTATATGCAGCCAAGCTTATGGCTATATACTATGCTATTAGTCTTGTCCTCAAGATCGCGATGGAAACTTGGCAAGCTATGACAGATAGATAGGAACCAGCAACTATCCTGAGTGATAACATGTCAGCGCTTCAAGCCCTCTTTAATGCACAGAATAAGTTAGGATAGAGGATCATCCAAGCGGTTCAACAATTAGCGCAAGAGTTGCAAACACGGGGAATCCCACTCCACCTCTAGTGGGTGCCGGGACATTGCGGTGACCCAGGCAATGAGGTGGCCGATCGGCTGGCCAAAGAAGCCGTGGGCCCCAAGAAAGAACACCCCTTTCAACATCTACTGTCGTGGGAGAAAGGATTTATCCGCAACTGAATCCAGAAGGAATGGGAGCAGGGATAGAAGATGTTGGGGAAGGGCCGCCATCTCCACTGGATAGACCCAAACCTACCCTCAGTCTACACCCGGAGAATGTACGGCTTGCTGCAATAGAATCGCAGCTACCTACTCACGCAGCTCCGAACAGGCCATTCATGGCTTGCAACACATAGCAAACTACACAAACTCTGAGAAGACGATAAATGCGAGTGTGAGGCCATAGAAATGGTAATTCACGTTCTAATTGACTGCTCTAAATTGAGGGTCCCACGACAAGAGCTATGGAGGAAGATTGGGACTACCTTCAACGATATTTCAAACATGCTGGGAGGAAGGTTTCAAGGTAAGAAAGGTAAAGAGGATAATATGCAAGGCGGTAGCATCATCAGTGCAGTACTAGACTTTGCAGAGGCATCACAGAGGTTTCAAAGCCGCGCGCCATAGGGCCACTCAACACAACGCCAGGCACTAAGGCCATCATAGGCCGTGACGAGGCTCTAAATTCGTCGGTATGTAATAGTTTACTGTACATAAAGATAGACAAGGATTAGATAGTGTTTTACCTGCATATCGCTTCGGCGAGGGGTCAGTGTATGAATACAACAACAACAACAACAACAACAACGACTGTAATAAACACGACTAACTCACAGCAAGTGAATATTTGATAGTCAAAAGTAATATATAAAACAACAAGATAAATTGTAAAAGAGTGGATTGTGTGACAGGAATGTACATGTACTGTACGGAGTTGCTATGAAACTGATGCAGATTTCAAGCCAGAAACAAATGAATGTGAGAGCAGCGAACGGTTTTTAATACCCACAAGGTTGTGAGTAGCTCGTAAGTACAACATGGATTAACTTATGTAATTAATATTAGAGATTCAGGGATATAATGCTTAAGTAATCGCATTCGCCCCTGCTATGACGAAGATAAGTAAGTCTATAGTATACAGGTAAGGCATCTCTTCACCAGCCCACGTTGATATAGCGCCCATAGGGATTAAAACCAAATTATAGAGCCTTACTACACTAAATACATGTCTTTTCGATGGCTTTTCTGATTCACATCCCTCTGTTGCTGAACTTTGAGTGGCCGTTTTTACCTTCAACCTTAAATGCAATGTCAGTGTCACAGTATATACTGGAATCCAGAGTTGGCTGTCCCTCCCTGGAAGATGCTTAGTTCACACTTTTACCAAACTGTTACCGCGGTTGTCCAACAACAGCTAATGCTGACCGATCGCTGCTGAAAATCATTACTTGTCTGTTATAGGCCTGCTGCTATTGCTTAGCTCAGCTGTGTCTGGGTTCGGTTCTGTTAGTATTGCTAGCGTTGTAGTATAGCTAGCCATTACATTGTTTGCAATGTTGACCTGGATGTCCTTAATGCTGCTTCTCATGCCTACCATGCACCCTAAGCCAGCCTGCATATGAATGAATGGATGACCCGTTTAATGGTACAGTAACCTCAAGCAGCCAAGACAGACAATATATCTATAGTTTGTCAGCAACGGTTCACCTGTCGTTGAGGTCTTGCGTGTAAATGCGTTAGACCTAGCATCAGAGAGGGCCCTGTGATCCCCGTCCGGGCTCCCTTGTGGGGAGGGCAAGTGTCTTTTGTATTGATCTATGTACATAGGGAGGTGGATGAAAAGATCAAGTCTTAACCGTGATTAATCCCCATGATTTCCTTACTATAATGCGTTTATTTCAGTCATACAGGTGTCATGTATATAGTGTTGCATTTTTCTAATCAAGATACCATATTGAGTACAGTATTACTGTACATGATCTTGTTGACTTCAGAATTAAAAACATACTAACAAAATCACCGGCGTCCACCAGGTATAACTGCCTCATGAGAGTCATCCGCGCGCCATCCGCAAGTTAATTTGTCATCTCTGACACAGAAAAGACTTTTTCATGCTTTTGTGCCTTCTCAACGTACCCATTCTCTCCATCATACAAGCCAATACGTAATGTTTGTTCATCACCAGCACTACGATCTTCAAACATTTTGGCAAGGAATTGATTTTTCAGACTTGCCTCACTCAAACATTTATGTTCAGCAAAAGCAAGAATACTGTTCTCCTCGACATTGGTTTTCTCCCATGAATAGGTCTCATGGAGTTGTAATGTAAGATAGGGGAAAAGGCAATAAATTCGCCTTCCTGTAATGAAGTTCGCAAAACCAGTCGTCTTGATACTGGAGAAGACTGCATTGATCGAAGTAGTATTCTCTGTTTTTGTAACCGATACCATCTTGTTTCGCTCCTGATTGTACCATATAATCATAGGCTGGCCATTGAACAGAAGTGCTGAGCGTTCTTTTCCGTAGCCGTGCAAGGACAGGAAGGATTGCAGCCACCAGTATCCTCCCGTATCACTGTAGATATCGAGACATAGATTTTTGCCCTCGGGCGAGCATTTACCCTGCGTGAGGACCCAGAGAGGAAAATCTCCATAAATAATGCTGTCAGAATCACGCAGACCTTTCAAAAAACTCTCAACGTCTCCAAAATATGCGTTTAATTTCTCCCAGCAAAATTTTTTAATTAGTTCATTATTGCTCGGATCATTTTGCTTTTGCTTCGTCGCTGTGCGCATAACCTCCGTCGCCTCTTTGCACATAACCTCCACCATGTCTGTGTCGCCATTCATCACTGCAAGATCTAAGGGGCTGACGTTATGGATGTTTCGAAAATACAAATTGGCGCCCCTGGCCACCAGCTTTCGTACAATGTCTAAATCCCGGACGCTGGCATAGTGGTGTAAGGGGGTGTTCTTGCAAACGGGGTCTGCAACATTAGGATCTAGTTGCGCTATGAGAAAGTCTCTGATTTCGAAATAGGCTCCTGGGACGTTCTGGATGATCGGTAAAAGTCTTTGGAAAATACCCTCAGGAGAAGAGTCTTCAGATATCAAAGAGCAACTTGAATCTGGCCAGAACAGAGTACTATCGTCATCTTTGGTAGAGCACATTTTCCGATAAGAGGCCATACACACAGTAGAACCGGAGATGGAAAATTTGGGCATATAACATATATGGTCAGAAATCACCAACTTATACTGTACACTGAAATTCTAATCAAGGCTTTATATTAATAGAACTGTACAACTTTTTATTCGGCGCTTACGTGAGTGTCGAGGGGTTTATAGGAGAAGATCTGTCATAGAGTAAGCCCGCTGACAGAATCACGTACATCTAATATGCTCCAAACCCATAAGTGTGCCAGAGCCTTTCGGCGCACGTCTCTGACTCTGAATACAGTGTGTGTGTGTGTGTGTGTGATTCATACCCTGACCCCTCGCCGAAGCGATATGCAGGATACAACTATCTAATCCTTATCTATGTCTATGTACAGTAATCCATTACATAAAGACGAATTTAGAGCCTTGTCACGGCCTATGGTGGCTAACATGCCGGGTGTTCTGTCAGCAGCCCTATGGCGCCTGGCTTTGAAACCTCTATGATGCCTCTGCAAAGTCTAGTACTGCACCTAAGATGCTACCGCCTTGCATATCATCCTCCTTATCTTGCTTACCTTGACTTCCTCCTCCCAGCATGTCTGAAATATTATTAAATGCAGTCCCGATCTTCTTCCATAGTTCTTGTCGTATGCTCTTCAATTTGGGACAGTGAATTAGGATGTGAACCACTGTTTCTATTGCTCCATATTCACACTTGTCATCCTCTCTATGGCCATGTAGTTTGCCATGTGTTGCTAGCCATGAGTGGCCAGTTCGGAGTTGGGTGAGCAGGTAGGCTCAATTGCGTGGCAGCGAGCTATACATCCTCTGGGTACAAACTGCAGGTAGATCTCTATCTATCCGGCGAAGGTGGCCTCTGTTCTTGGAGGTTCTCCATCTCTGCTCCCAGTCTTCTTGGATTTGGTTGCGGATGAAACCTTTTTCTCATGAAAAAAGATGTTGGAAGGGGTATTCTTTGTCTGGGCCAACTGCTTCTTTAGCCAGTTAATCGGCTACTTCATTTTCTAGGTTACCACAGTATCCTGGCACCTATTAGAGATGGAGTGGAATTCCCCGCGCTTTTAACTCCTGGGCTGCTTGCCGAACCGCTTGAATAATCCTCTGGCCTGATTTGTTCCATGTGTTTGAGATGGCTTGGAGTGCTGACATGCTGTCACTAAGGATAGTTACCAGTTCCTGTTGGCCTACTAGGGTGACCTAATTCTCCATTGCAATCTTAAGGACAAGGCTGATAGTATAGTATATTGCCATAAGCTCTGCTGCATACACCGACTAGTATTCCATAGAGCCAATGCAGACTTTCTAGTGCTAGATGATGTTATGGTTCTGGTCTAGCGCTACTGCTGCGGCTCCTAGTGCGTTCTGTTGGCCTAATGCATCAGAGAAGACTATGATGCCAGATGCTTTTTGCCTAGCAGATGCTTTATCTTTGGCTTTATCCCAGTCTAGTTCAATGTCGATTTCTACAAATGCTGGTGTCTGCCATGGTGGTGGGGGGGTTGGATCAATTGTTTCTAGAGCCTGGAGTCGAGTAAGGTCCATTGTCCGCAGGGTCTCCGCCAGAGGGAATCGAGGTCCGCTTCCTATATGGTTGCTCCGTGTTGCTGCTCAGGTCACTACTGTACGGCCTGGGTGATCCTCTGGAAGGGTGCTGAGGCGGGCAGCCACTATTTGGGCGCGTTGTTTGAGTCGTAAATTGGTTGGTAGCACATAGGCTTCCACCTCTAGGGCTGCCGTGGATGCCATCTTGAAGGCAGAGAGAATGCGAATAAGGGCAGTTTGTTATACCGTTCCCAGCGTTCTCAGGTGTATCTTATCCTTTAGTGGGTTGTGCCAGATGATGGATACATAATCCACAATTGGTGTCACGCATGCTTGGTAGAGTTGTCTCATCTGCTCTGGATGGAGGTGTCTCAATCCCCCCAGGGCAATATTCACCTGGGTTGCTCGCTTGACTATTTGCTATACATGTTCCTTCCACCGCATCTCCTTGTCGAAAATCACACCTAGAAGTTTTACTGTATCGCTTGGCTTAATTACTGTCCCATTTATTGTGATCTATCCTACTCTATGCTGCCTTTTGGACCTTGTCAGGTGAATTAGTTCTGTTTTCTTCATATTAAATGAGGATCCTGTCTATTGGGCCCATGCCTCGATGCAGGGGATATCCTCTTCCTGAATCTTTCTGATATTGTCTTCCACAGACTGACTGGCTTACCATTGAAAGTAGTCGTCAATAAAAGCTAACGCGCCACCATAGTGGTTGATGGGCTGGTCGACCAGGTCGGAGTTGAAGAATCTAAATAAGATTGGGGACAGCGGGGATCCCTGTGCCAGACTAGCATTCTCGAGCGGGGAGATCTCTGTCTGAAAATCGTTGAAGGAGATGCTGGCGTACCGGCTCTTCATGAAGCTCCGGATCTAGCGTCTGGCTACGGTTGGGATGCCTTTAGCCTGCAAGTGGGCATCAAGGCTTGAGTCGTTTACTCCATTGAATGCCCCTTTGAGATCAAATGCCACCAGCGTGATCACCTTTGACTGTAGCCACGCGCGATCGATCGCATTTGCCAGGGTTAAGAGCGCTTGTTCTGTATTACGTCCTGGCCGGCCTCCAAACTGGGTATCTGGGAGTAGTTTATAGGACTCAGCCCAGAATGACAGTCTGCGAGCCATGACAGCCTCTAGTACCTTCCCCAGGGTGTTCAGTAGGGAGATAGGTCGGTATGCTTCTGGAGAACCGTAGTCTGGCTTCCCGGATTTCCTCAGCACTATGATGCGCGCTCGCTTCCACCGATGGGGGTAGTAGCCTAATTCCACTGATTTTGTAAAGATATAGGTAATCACCTTCCAGAGATATGGCCATAGATGCTTCCAAACAAGGGTTATGATCTCATCCTCCCCTGGAGCTGTCATTCTCTTGGTGGCTTTGAGTGACCAATAAACCTCCAGTTCTGTGATTGGGTGCCATGGTATTTTCTCTAAGGGTAGTACCAGGTCTTCTTTCTCTGGGTCTGCCATCTTCGGGAAGAAGATTTCTAGAAACACTCTGGCCTTTGCGTTGTTTTCGGTGACCTCCTCGGATCCCACCTTTAGTGGCGGGATATTTGTGTATGAGTCTCGTGGGCGCATGTATATTGCTGCTTTCCAGAGAGTGGCCCTTTTTGGGCCTTTTTTATAGAATCTCTCTCTCCCAACGAAGACACTTAGCTTCTCGATGGTTCTAGTCCATTCTCGTCGTTTCTGACGCATGTCGTTGAAGAGAGATGTGGTAATTGGGTGGCTACTGCCTAGGGTAGCACAGCTAGTCTGCCATCTTCAGCATATTTAATTCAGGAGAGTCTGCTGGGGTTTGAGCTCTAGCATAAACCAGCGTTTTAAGTAGAGTGATAGTTTTTGCAATGGGACGTGCTAGTCGAGAACTACTATTATGGTTTCCACTAGTTGGTTGACTTTGTTGTCAAGGTCTGCAGTGGAGTGTATTTCTAGTGCTTGACCGAGCGACTTAACTAGTCTTTAGCCAATTTTAGCCCAGTCAGCTCTATCATATGCTCTCTTAGGTTTTGCATTTTCATTATGTTCTAGTCGCAGGTCCTATTCAGAGTATGTTCCACGATGGTCCGATCTATAGTTATCATAGTAGAGCTGGCACTTGATCAGTGTGGTTAGGTCATTAGTGAGTGTCAAGTCAAGAACTGATGTCTTCCCTGGGTGGCTTGGTAACTAGTATGTTGGGGTCCCTGGGGGTAAGCACCATTGAAGCTGATATTCTTAAAAGAAGTTGATCAGCTCTTCCGCTTGAGCGGTGAAAACATGGCTGACAGAGCGGTGGCTCCATACAGAATAATGTTGGTTGAAGTCTCCCGCTAGTATCAGCCTTGTGAATTTATTAGATTCCCTGGTGTGCTATTCAATAGTGTTTTTAATTTCTTTTAGTGCTGATTTAGCAGAGGTTGTGCTAGTGGCTTGGTATATATCTAGTGATGGGATGTAAACCAAGAAGATAAGGAACTGTATCTCTGCAGTCCATACTTTGATGGCCACCAGATCTGGGTGGTTACAATGGATTTAGCGATGGGAGGAAGTTGAGATTCGCTTATTGACATAGAGGAGGCTGCGGAATCGGATAGATTCATTGGTATTTAGGTATGTTGGTCGATAGAGTCGCCAAGCACTGTGGTTGACGTAGGTGCGATATGTGGTGATCGATGGTTCCTAGATTAATAGTAGATCCAGGTTCTGGCTCTGGTGATCGTTAATGAGGGCTTCCATTCCTGCCCTGGATTTCCAGATGTTCAACTGTAGTAGACATAGTGTTGATGACATTATTGGGAGGAATTCGGGTTAAGAGGTGCTTGGCACCTTTTGTGCCCAGTAGGATGTTCTCTATTGCAGTCTGTACACCTTAGCCGTATTCCTAGAGGGTAGTTGTGTTGCTTGTATTGGCTACTACAGTGGCTGCATTTTACCTGTTCCTTGCATGACCAAGCTAGATGGCCAAACTTCTAGCAGCAATAGTATCTTTTTAGTTTAACTTTGTAGGGTTCTACACTTCTGATATATCTTTGTCCAACTAGGAGGCCATTACTGATGATAGATTCTGCTGCCTCTGGTATATTTAGCCAGATGCCCATAGATGCGGACTTTCCTAGCGGGCTATCCTTCTTCTTTAGCCATGCAATATCCTCGATTTCAAATCTCTTCTCGGCCAGGTCATTCTCTTCCATAATCTTCTCAATTCCTTCTTTCTTTTCCTTGTCTAAGTCAAAGTCTTCTGTTGGCACTCAGTAAACTACAATACCGAATCAGGGTTTCACCAGCTTGGTTTTGTTTCCTAGTTCTTCCAGCCATGCGGTGTTGTTCTGGGCTGTTTCAGCCGACTAAGCATCTCTGAATCTAATTACATAGCCTATCTTAGTGGTGCCAACACCCGCTACCTGTACATCTTTGATGGGTTCGGTGGTTGATAAGGCCATTCTAATATGTTTATTCGCGGTATCAGTAGGCAGGAATCTTATGAAATTGTCCTTGTTGTTTCCATTGTTATCTGCTGTTTCTAGCCGTGCAGTGCTGATTTGGACGCAGTTCAGTTCTTTCTGGGGTCGTGGGATTATGTTGATCGCTGATGGGTTGATTGCGGAGGCAACTTCAGCCCATGGTTTTAGGGGTAGGTTTATAGTTGCTTGGTTCTCTATCTAGGTGCATAGCGCCTGGATCTCCTCCTGCAATCTCGCGTTCTGTTCTCTCAGGGTGATTTGTTCTGTTTTAATTTGTTAGATTTCTGCTCTTGCTAACTTGATTATGTTGGTCTGTTGGATGATCGCTGTATTTAGGCTGTTAACGAGTTTCGCAACCATTTGGTACGAGATTCTTTTGCTATTGTTTAATGGGGGGAATTCAACTACTAGGGTTCGTAGGGTTTCTGCTTGTAGATTCTGTCTCCGGCCTAGGGCTCTTGGGATGGCCTCATTCCGTGCAGAGTTTTCTGGTGTCTGCGGACCGCCTTCGGGTACTGCCATCGGGCCGTTTTTAGCTCCCGTTCGGCACGCCTCCTCGCTCACGGTTCTCCAGTTCCTTGTCGTAGAGTTCTCTATCAGTTACAGTGCCTTGCAAAATCAGTTCATCGTATACAGTGCCTTGCAAAATCAGTTTCCCTCCTGAACTCATTGAAATTCTTTTCAAATCTCTATATGAAACAGCATTGAAACGAGCTAGTCTATTAAAAGTTAGTTGGAGTCTAACCACATCCGGTGTAAATGGTACTGAACGGTAATATGAACCGAGATTCTTGTATGATACCTGTATGGCCCACTTTGACAGCTACGACTATAAATCGTAACAAATGCAACAGAAAAGTAGAGGCAACTTAAATACAGTATAAATCCCGACACGTCCCAAGCCCTTCTTTTAAAATTGATATTTGAAAATATTAGAGTAGTTACACCATCAATGAAACATCATTATATAAACTTCAGAAAAGTAACTCGACCTGAAACATGTCCCATGACAAGCATGCTCTCATACACGGCGGAACAAGTTACCCGATACTCAACAGGCAACCAAATGGCATTGGAATCATTGCGAGTCAGCCACTGACCCTTCACTAGTATGTTTTTATAAGGACTGCTTGCTGTTTGGGATAGACTGCAAACATGAAGAGATTCAATATTGAATCGCCCTTGATTAGTCTCCAGAAATTTACCGTCAGGAGAGAACGCCACTGCATAAACCGAACCAGAATGGCCTTGGAGCGTCTGCCGCAGAGTGCCAGTCGCTGAATCCCACAGCTTGATCGTCTCATCACCAGAGCCTGAGGCCACTAGCTTGCCGTCGGGAGAGAACGCCACTGCATTAACCCAACCAGAATGGCCTTGGAGCGTCTGCCGCAGAGTGCCAGTCGCTGAATCCCACAGCTTGACCGTCTGATCACCAGAGCCTGAGGCCACTAGCTTACCGTCGGGAGAGAATGCCACTGCATAAACCCAAAAAGAATGGCCTTCGAGCGTCTGCCGCAGAGTGCCAGTCGCTGAATCCCACAGCTTGATCGTATCATCACTAGAGCCTGAGGCCACTAGCTTGCCGTCGGGAGAGAACGCCACTGCATAAACCCAACCAGAATCTTCGAGCGTCTGCCGCAGAGTGCCAGTCGCTGAATCCCACAGCTTGATCGTATCATCACCAGAGCCTGAGGCCACTAGCTTGCCGTCGGGAGAGAACGCCACTGCATTAACCCAACCAGAATGGCCTTCGAGCGTCTGCCGCAGAGTGCCAGTCGCTGAATTCCACAGCTTGACCATCTGATCACCAGAGCCTGAGGCCACTAGCTTGCCGTCAGGAGAGAACGCCACTGCATAAACCTGACCAGAATGGCCTTCGAGCGTCTGCCGCAGAGTGCCAGTCGCTGGATCCCACAGCTTGACCGTCCGACCAGAACCTGAGGCCACTAGCTTGCCGTCGGGAGAGAACGCCACTGCATAAACCGAACCAGAATGTCCTTGGAGCGTCTGCCGCAGAGTGCCAGTCGCTGAATCCCACAGCTTGATCGTCCGATCACTAGAGCCTGAGGCCACTAGCTTGCCGTCGGGAGAGAACGCCACTGCATGAACCGAACCAGAATGGCCTTGGAGCGTCTGCCGCAGAGTGCCAGTCGCTGGATCCCACAGCTTGACCGTCCGACCAGAACCTGAGGCCACTACCTTGCTGTCAGGAGAGAACGCCACTGCATCAACCGAATTAGAATGGCCTTCGAGCTTCTGCTGCAGAGTGCCAGTCGCTGAATCCCACAGCTTGATCGTCCGATCACTAGAGCCTGAGGCCACTAGCTTGCCGTCGGGAGAGAACGCCACTGCATGAACCGAACCAGAATGGCCTTGGAGCGTCTGCCGCAGAGTGCCAGTCGCTGAATCCCACAGCTTGACCGTCCGACCAGAACCTGAGGCCACTAGCTTGCTGTCAGGAGAGAACGCCACTGCATCAACCGAATCAGAATGGCCTTCAAGCGTCCGCCGCAGAGTGCCAGTCGCTGAATCCCACAGCTTAATCGTATCATCACCAGAGCCTGAGGCCACTAGCTTGCCGTCGGGAGAGAACGCCACTGCATTAACCCAACCAGAATGGCCTTGGAGCGTCTGCCGCAGAGTGCCAGTCGCTGAATCCCACAGCTTGACCGTCTGATCACCAGAGCCTGAGGCCACTAGCTTGCCGTCAGGAGAGAACGCCACTGCCCGAACCTGGTGAGAATGGCTTTCAAGGGTCTGCAACATTGCACTCCAGGCTGACTCCACTTCTGGTAATTTCTGAATCCAGCTAGGGATCTTATTGATATATTTATTCCTGATTATACTTTTTTCTGGTATGAAAATAAGTGCCGATGCATAGAGCTGGAGAGGCGCCTGATCAATCACTGAGATGTTCTTTCGAATGAACCGCATTGCGTCGTTAAGGAATCTGTATATTTCCGTGTCCTTATCACTCTTGATAGATTGTTAGAACAAGGAATCCTATATGATCAATTTGGAGACACATACTGCAACAGTCTGTAAGGTCTGAATTAGCTGAATACTTTCTGCAATTCTTCCTAAAAGGCTCAATGATTCCAGCCAATGTAAAAAGTGATCCTCTATAAACACATGGACTGGATCACCGTCATGGATGCGTGTCTGACTCTCTTTCAAATGGTATACCCAGAAGCGGCAAACATATTGTATAACTGGTGGTAAGTGGTTGCCTATGATTTTGCCATCGATCTTAGCTCGTAGTGTCCCATGGCCCGGCAGGTTGCATATATTTTGTTGAAGAATTCCCGGTTGGGACATTCGTTCAAGGCATTTAGCCATGATCATCTTGTGAGTTTCCATCTCGTCCACCCAGAATGGGTTCATGTGACGTTTGTCAGGGTCAATGAGGAAGTCACGGAATGAAAGGTGCAACATCCTTATCGGAGAGTCCGTAGAGGATGGCACACTCAGGACAGAATGGAGAGATGAAAGATGTCCCTCAATCTGTTGACTGTCGATATTAAGCAAAGATGCTAGAGATGACCGTGAAAGGGGCTCTGCTAAGAGAATAATTGTGCCTACAATGCGTCGAAACTTATCTATCTCAGAATCAGTTCCCATTCTGCGATATTCAAAACCCCTTTTCAGCTGGCCTGACGGGTCTGACCACAGGGGATCTTTCTTATTTGGCGGAATGCGAGAGAGGAGGTCTTTTGTATAAGCAGCCGCGGCCATTGCAGCATACCCTTGCCACTCTTTGTTCTTGTGAGAGTCTGAGTAGTCACAAATCCCCCGTATGACCAGGCATGGGAAATGATTCATCAACCCTGCTGCTTCCATCTCAAAACATAGAACATCCTTTTCTTCCGCAAGTCGGTCACGGATCACAGCATCCTTCATTAGCTGGTTTCCCGAGGCGATCAAGCCATAGTGAATGACCGGGTCATCCTCATGCTCTGCTCGCTCGCGTCGCTCGACCAAACATGATGGATCGTTAGCACAGAGCTCTGCACAGGTCTTTGTATGGGTGATTTCGGCTTTGAAAAGTCTATCAGAACTAGGCTGCGGTCGTCTATATTTCTGACGTAGTCTTGGATTTCTTTCAAGTATCGATTCCATAACCTCTTCAAGTCGATGTCCCTTCCTCTCGTGCTGGGCCTGGATCCCTGCCACTGCCGCGCGTAGTATCTGCGGTGGTTGATTCAGGAATCCTGTATAATGGAAGGCCTGCTTCTGTATTGTTTTTCCAAAGTCATACTGGAAAACACCGCCATCGCCGTCACGAGGCGCGCTAACCACAATATCGCCAAGACGGATATCATGCTTTCTACTTGGTGCCCCACCACCAATACCCACCATCAAGCCGATCCTGACATTTGGAAAACTGTGAAGCATATTTGTGGCCACACTAGCAGCTAAAGCTGTTCCATATTCACCGTCAGGTAACACGGCTATGACGACGTTATGCTTTCCAAGCCTGCCCAATGTGTAGTCGTTGGTGTCATTAGGCGAGACAAACTCCGGTGGTTCATGCTCGTCATCGAGGAATTCTTGTGCGGCAACGTATTCTGTGTTTAATGCACAGATCCATCCGACTGTGTAGTCCTGAGGGTTAGACATCCTTAGCAATCGAGGATGTTCGCCACGCGCCAGCGGAATCGATTTTCAGATGTTGAGTTTTGGCCGATTATGGATGGTTCTCGATTAACTCAGATCGAAGTGGCCGAGTTGTGATCGTTTCGAGCCTGATAGTCCAGCCATCTGCAAGTCAGCTTATCCAAAGAACATGATCATCAAAGGAGAGGACATTAGTTTGACATGAAGATGGTACAGCAATTCAGCCTCGTCTTCAGTCACCCCGCTCGCCACGTGACACCTGTCTGCCTACTACGACGATACGTGTAATTTACGAAGAGGTTCGGTCACAACAATGTTTCGTATTATACAAGCGAACATTCTAGAACAGGAATATTTAAACGCTTAACCGTATACGAACTAGTTTGTTTCAAGTATGGGATTGAAAGAGAAAGAGAATGAGTTCATGAGGGAAACTGATTTTGCAAGGCACTGTATTCAGAGGAACTGATAGAGAACTCTACGACAAGGAACTGGAGAACCGTGAGCGAGGAGGCGTGCCGAACGGGAGCTAAAAACGGCCCGATGGCAGTACCCGAAGGCGGTCCGCAGACGCCAGAAAACTCTGCACGGAATGAGGCCATCCTAAGAGCCCCAGGCCGGAGACAGAATCTACAAGCAGAAACCCTACGAACCCTAGTGGTTGAATTCTCCCCATTAGATGATGGCAAAAGAATCTTGTACCAAATGGTTGCAAAACTCATCAACGGCCTAAATACAGCGATCATCCAACAGACCAACACAATCGAGTTAGCAAGAGCAGAAATCCAACAAATCAAAACAGAACAAATCACCCTGAGAGAACAGAACGCGAGATTGCAGAAGGAGATCCAGGCGCTACGCACCCAGATAGAGAACTAAGCAACTATAAACCTACCCCTAAAACTATGGGCTGAAGTTGCCTCCGCAATCAACCTATCAGTGATCAACATAATCCCACAACCCTAGAAAGAACTGAACTGCGTCCAAATCAGCACTGCACGGCCAGAAACAGCGGATAACAATGGAAACAATAAGGATAATTTCACAAGATTCCTGCCTACTGATACCGCGAATAAACATATCAGAATGGCCCTATCAACCACCAAACCCATCAAAGATGTACAGGTAGTGGGTGTTGGCACCACTAAGATAGGCTATATAATTAGATTTAGAGATGCTCAGTCAGCCGAAACAGCCTAGAACAACACCGCATGGCTGGAAGAACTGGGAAATGAAACCAAGCTGGTGAAACCCCAATTCGGTATTATAGTTTACTGAGTGCCAACAGAAGACTTTAACTTGGACAAGGAAAAGAAAGAAGGAATTGAGAAGATTATGGAAGAGAATAACCTGGCCAAGAAGGGATTTGAAATCGAGGATATTGCATAGCTAAAGAAGAAGGATAGCCCGCTGGGAAAGTCCGCATCTATGGGCATCTAGCTAAATACACCAGAGGCAGCAGAATCTATCATCAGCAATGGCCTCCTAGTTGGACAAAGATATATCGGAAGTGTAGAACCCTATAAAGTTGAACTAAAAAGATGCTATTGCTGCCAGAAGTTTGGCCACCTAGCTTGGTTATGCAAAGAACAGGTAAAATGCAGCCACTGTAGTAGCCAACACAAGCAACACAACTACCCTCTAGGAATACAGCCAAGGTGTGCAGACTGCAATAGGGAACATCCTACTGGGCATAAAAGGTGCCAAGCACCTCTTAACCCGAATTCCTCCCAATAATGTCATCAACACTACGTCTACTACAGTTGAACATCTGGAAATCCAGGGCAGGAATGGAAGCCCTCATTAACAATCACCAGAGCCAGAACCTGGATCTACTATTAATCCAGGAACCATCGATCACCACATATCGCACCTACGTCAACCACAGTGCTTGGCGACTCTATCGACCAACATACCTAAATACCAATGAATCTATCCGATTCCGCAGCCTCCTCTATGTCAATAAGCGAATCTCAACTTCCTCCCATCGCCAAATCCATTGTAACCACCCAGATCTGGTGGCCATCAAAGTATGGACTGCAGAGATACAGTTCCTTATCTTCTTGGTTTACATCCCATCACTAGATATATACCAAGCCACTAGCACAACCTCTGCTAAATCAGCACTAAAAGAAATTAAAAACACTATTGAATAGCACACCAGGGAATCTAATAAATTCACAAGGCTGATACTAGCGGGAGACTTCAACCAACATTATCCTGTATGGAGCCACCGCTCTGTCAGCCACGTTTTCACCGCTCAAGCGGAAGAGCTAATCAACTTCTTTTAAGAATATCAGCTTCAATGGTGCTTACCCCCAGGGACCCCAACATACTAGTTACCAAGCCACCCAGGGAAGACATCAGTTCTTGACTTGACACTCACTAATGACCTAACCACACTGATCAAGTGCCAGCTCTACTATGACAACTATAGATCAGACCATCGTGGAACATACTCTGAATAGGACCTGCGACTAGAACATAATGAAAATGCAAAACCTAAGAGAGCATATGATAGAGCTGACTGGGCTAAAATTGGCTAAAGACTAGTTAAGTCGCTCGGTCAAGCACTAGAAATACACTCCACTGCAGACCTTGACAACAAAGTCAACCAACTAGTGGAAACCATAATAGTAGTTCTCGACTAGCACGTCCCATTGCAAAAACTATCACTCTACTCAAAACGCTGGTTTATGCTAGAGCTCAAACCCCAGCAGACTCTCCTGAATTAAATATGCTGAAGATGGCAGACTAGCTGTGCTACCCTAGGCAGTAGCCACCCAATTACCACATCTCTCTTCAACGACATGCGTCAGAAACGACGAGAATGGACTAGAACCATCGAGAAGGCTAAAGCTGCTCATTGGAAGGAGTTCCTAGACAAGGCCCAAGAAGGCCACCTCTGGAAAGCAGCAATATACATGCGCCCACGAGACTCATACACAAATATCCCGCCACTAAAGGTGGGATCCGAGGAGGTCACCGAAAACAACGCAAAGGCCAGAGTGTTTCTAGAAATCTTCTTCCCGAAGATGGCAGACCCAGAGAAAGAAGACCTGGTACTACCCTTAGAGAAAATACCATGGCACCCAATCACAGAACTGGAGGTTTATTGGTCACTCAAAGCCACCAAGAGAATGACAGCTCCAGGGGAGGATGAGATCATAACCCTTGTTTGGAAGCATCTATGGCCATATCTCTGGAAGGTGATTACCTATATCTTTACAAAATCAGTGGAATTAGGCTACTACCCCCATCGGTGGAAGCGAGCGCGCATCATAGTGCTGAGGAAATCCGGGAAGCCAGACTACGGTTCTCCAGAAGCATACCGACCTATCTCCCTACTGAACACCCTGGGGAAGGTACTAGAGGCTGTCATGGCTCGCAGACTGTCATTCTGGGCTGAGTCCTATAAACTACTCCCAGATACCCAGTTTGGAGGCCGGCCAGGACGTAATACAGAACAAGCGCTCTTAACCCTGGCAAATGCGATCGATCGCGCGTGGCTACAGTCAAAGGTGATCACGCTGGTGGCATTTGATCTCAAAGGGGCATTCAATGGAGTAAACGACTCAAGCCTTGATGCCCACTTGCAGGCTAAAGGCATCCCAACCGTAGCCAGACGCTAGATCCGGAGCTTCATGAAGAGCCGGTACGCCAGCATCTCCTTCAACGATTTTCAGACAGAGATCTCCCCGCTCGAGAATGCTAGTCTGGCACAGGGATCCCCGCTGTCCCCAATCTTATTTAGATTCTTCAACTCCGACCTGGTCGACCAGCCCATCAACTACTATGGCAGCGCGTTAGCTTTTATTGACGACTACTTTCGATGGTAAGCCAGTCAGTCTGTGGAAGACAATATCAGAAAGATTCAGGAAGAGGATATCCCCTGCATCGAGGCATGAGCCTAATAGATAGGATCCTCATTTAATGTGAAGAAAACAGAACTAATTCACCTGACAAGGTCTAAAAGGCAGCATAGAGTAGGATAGATCACAATAAATGGGACAGTAATTAAGCCAAGCGATATAGTAAAACTTCTAGGTGTGATTTTTGACAAGGAGATGCGGTGGAAGGAACATGTATAGCAAATAGTCAAGCGAGCAACCCAGGTGAATATTGCCCTGGGGGGATTGAGACACCTCTATCCAGAGCAGATGAGACAACTCTACCAAGCATGCATGACACCAATTGTGGATTATGTATCCATCATCTGGCACAACCCACTAAAGGATAAGATACACCTGAGAACGCTGGGAACGGTATAACAAACCGCCCTTATTCACATTCTCTCTGCCTTCAAGATGGCATCCACGGCAGCCCTAGAGGTGGAAGCCTATGTGCTACCAACCAATTTACGACTCAAACAACGCGCCCAAATAGTGGCTGCCCGCCTCAGCACCCTTCCAGAGGATCACCCAGGCCGTACAGTAGTGACCTGAGCAGCAACACGGAGCAACCATATAGGAAGCGGACCTCGATTCCCTCTGGCGGAGACCCTGCGGACAATGGACCTTACTCGACTCCAGGCTCTAGAAACAATTGATCCAACCCCCCCACCACCATGGCAGACACCAGCATTTATAGAAATCGACATTGAACTAGACTGGGATAAAGCCAAAGATAAAGCATCTGCTAGGCAAAAAGCATCTAGCATCATGGTCTTCTCCGATGTATCAGGCCAACAGAACGCACTAGGAGCCGCAGCAGTAGCGCTAGACTAGAATCATAATATCATCTAGCACTGGAAAGTCTGCATCAGCTCTATGGAATACTGGTCGGTGTATGCAGCAGAGCTTATGGCAATATACTATGCCATCAGCCTTGTCCTTAAGATTGCAATGAAGAATCAGGTCACCTTAGTAGACCAACAGGAACCAGTAACTATTCTTAGTGATAGCATGTCAGCACTCCAAGCCATCTTGAACACACAGAATAAATCAGGCCAGAGGATTATTCAAGCGGTTTAGTAAGCAGCCCAGGAGTTAAAAGCGCAGGGAATTCCGCTCCGTCTCCAATAGGTGCCAGGACACTGTGGTAACCTGGAAAATGAAGTGGCTGATCGACTGGCCAAAGAAGCAGTTGGCCCAGATAAAGAACACCCCTTCCAACATCTTCTTTCACGAGAAAAAGGTTTCATCCGCAACCGAATCTAAGAAGACTGAGAGTGGGGATGGAGAACCTCCAAGAATGGAGGCCACCTTCGCTGGATAGATAGAGATCTACCTGCAGTTCGTACCCAGAGGATGTATGGCTCGCTGCCACGCAATCGAGCCTACCTGCTCACCCAACTCCAAACTGGCCACTTATGGCTAGCAACACATGGCAAACTACATGGCCATAGAGAGGATGACAAGTATGAATGTGGAGCGATAGAAACAGTGGTTCACATCCTAATTCACTGTCCCAAATTGAAGAGCATATGACAAGAACTACAGAAGAAGATCAGGACTACATTTAACAATATTTCGGACATGCTGGGAGGAGGAAGTCAAGGTAAGCAAGGTAAGGAGGGTGATATGCAAGGCGGTAGCATCTTAGATGCAGTACTAGACTTTGCAGAGGCATCACAGAGGTTTCAAAGCTAGGCGCCATAGGGCTGCTGACAGAACACCTGGCATGTTGGCCACCATAGGCCGTGACGAGACTCTAAATTCATCTTTATGTAATGGATTACTGTACATAGACATAGATAAGGATTAGATAGTTGTATCCTGCATATCGCTTCGGCGAGGGGTCAGGGTATGAATCACACACACACACACACACACTGTATACGATATTTAGATAAAGGGAACTTACAAATTGCAGGCACTACTGTACTCAGAACCAAGGAACCAGAAAATGGGTAATAAGTTTCGATGTTGATTATTAGAGTTCGATTGTGAAATTTACAAGGCTCTGGCCAGTAATTTAAGGGTGAAGAAAAAAACTTCCTTTAGATTCGCTACGTATTTCGTAGGTATTAGCATTTTCTCCGGTTACGGAGTTGCTGATCCCAGAGGATTTGCCTACTCAAACGCCAATTTGGAGATGTAGAGATTACTCGTCTGCGTTGTTTACTTGTGAAAATGTAATATATGTATCATTTGACGATTACTCTCGATATGGTCCAACATCTGATGCACTACGGACTAAACAGTACAAGCGTGTTTTGGCCTTCAAGATCATTTTCGGAAATGTGCCAGGAGCTCAGTGAAGTATAGGGCTCAATTTTGAAGCTATATGTATAGCTGCTACGCGTTTCATGTCTGCCTTCCCTAGACAGTACATCTACGAATTTCTTTCTGCCAAAGTACTTGTACTCAAGGAGAAAGAGATTCGAATTATGAAGCTCATATTGGTCAAGGTACATGTACACTGGATCAGAATGCAGTTTGTTCGAACTCTTTTTTGATTTTTTCAAGTTCAGCCGCCGTTGGTCTGTAGAAAGCGGAAGACGTCACTAGATGGCAATCCAGTTCTAATAGACGTGACGACACAGGTAGCGAGCCTTTTGCCCAGCCGATTCCCTCATCAACCTTATTACTTGTAATGGTGATCGTACGACCGTCTTCCAGACCAAATCCTTTTTCTGCGGTATCCGCTATCACACCGAGTAAACCCCGACGCAAACAAATAAGAGACGTGCCAAAATTGAGTAGAACTGCATCTTCGGTCACTTGTATGCTGGTAATGAAAATGGTGCCCGGATCCATCTGTTAAGCTCAAATTTTCGTCTGATATTGCTGGCAGGATGCTTCTTGCCTGATTTATTTATATAACATAGTGGTGCAAGGATTGCCTTAATAATGTGAATAATCAGAAGTCGATAGAGCCGGTTTACATAGACAGAACGGGAAAAGAGATATGTCGGAGGATGTGGGCTGTACTTATATTGCACACTCTCCATCCATTAAGTACATAAGTAGACAAGAAGCGTAATTTGATTCCATTTTCTAAGGCAGCCTAACACTCCAACCGCCCATAATTTAGATTTCTAAACCGTGTATTTATGTAATCCTAGTTCTGAGGTTCTTAATGATTTAAGCTGATGAGGCTCTAGAAGATGTCATATGTGTTCTAGTTAAGTGGTGAGGTCGAGCTTTGATATCAACACCTCGCCTACACCGGACTGGTTCCAATACGACATAGAGGCAGGCATCTACGTGACTCAGGTGATATCCTGTCATAAGCTTATATACACCTATACGTGTCTCGGAGCAAGCCCTAGAGCCGGCTGCTCCACAGGCTCGTTGAAAGGAGCCCGTATGAAGACGGATTACAAGCCAGCTTACGAGGTAGTTAGTACATACACTCAGGTCGTGGATCAGGAGACCATATCTAGAGCCGGTAACGCACGAGCTTAATGAAATGAAAAGGCCAAGAGCGGACGTCTAGATCAGTGGTAAATTAATAGTATGTCGTAAAGTCCCTTTCAATATTACAATAATAGTAACTACTGCCTGACGATGCAATTGCCCGTAATAGCTAGCGCTTATCTGAGTATTGATTCGACTACCGCTGGGCCTATCGCAGAACGGCCAAATGTATTGGTGATTCGCGTTCACACTTAACATTCGCTTTTGCTTTGAAGAAATTAACACCTGTAAAGGTTTAGTCCTTGTAATATCCAGTCTGGTGGTCAAATACTTACAAGGCACCGATGTACTGAATAATAATTTCTGGACTAATCACTGTGCGACTACTTTTAATCAGCCTATATTTTCAACAATATCATGGAAAGCACTTAGTCAGCCATACAGGTCTTTTAGACTAGCTCGGAGACAGTCCATTTTGCGCTGGAGATCGTTCATTCTGAGCTGCAGATTATCCATTGCTTGGTCCTCAGCTGTCATAGCTTGCTCCCGACAAGGGAGTGAGTTGGGGTTAGCGAACATTGCTGGTGAGAGTGAAAGTGAAAGTTGTGTCAAATTCTTCGAACACTCTATTTATAAAGAAGAATAGGACTAGGCCTAAGTAATCCAAGCCCCTGCGTCGCCGCCTTGTGTGATTTGTAACCCAATTTGTAAGCTGGACTTTTAGGCTCACATATGCTAGCGTCGCCAGTAAATTATATAAAAAGAAGCCTGAGATAGTATGCGGTACTGAGGGCACTGATTATGTGTCGCAGGTGTTAGTGTTACTGTTACTGCCAGCGGGCTAAAAATGCTTAGGAATTCAAACTTATGAATAATGGTCCACAGATAAAGCATCGCCCTCAAATACGCGCGAGAAGCAGTCAAATGGTGATTAAACCCAAAGGGCTTTTTCAAGCATCGTTTATTCATTCAATTGCAACACATTCGTTCGGTATTTACTGTCTCTTGGTGCACTAGTTATCAATCTTAAGCTGTTGAACACAACTCATTAGAAGCTGTAAAGGCTTTTGGAAACGTATAGTGCAAAGGTCAATACAATAGATGATATATGCTTGACACCTTTGCGCCACGTACTCAGTACACTCAGTACTAGTCGGAACCATGATCACATAGCGGCCGCCGAAACCTTCCTGAGAAGTTATGGCGCAAAAGAGAAGACTAATAGGGTTCCATCCTTTTCCATAACTCAACTATTTAGTAGAGTCTGCAGTGAGTGATCTAGGAGAGCACACCGTAAAGATACTGTACATGTAAGTATTGTGCCCATTCTTCTGCGCTGTACTGTGACTGCAATAATGGGTTAAGTGCTTTTTTGTTGTGACATAGCTCACCGTCTCAACGATGTTTTAGTACATGGATATGGTTCTGAAATAAATTAATAACTATATAAAACATTGAAAGGTGCCTGATACTGTATTGGTACTGTAGTCGTAGCAAGTGATGCCCTAATTGCTCCGAGGCGAGGAGTTCTCGGATCATCTCACTTGCCCGTTCCAACCAATTATTATTCATGACCGCCTTGAACCACATAATTGTACACGTCGCGTCTAGCCTATCTATGGAGAGTAAGGGGGTTTTCAGCAATTGCTGTAGCCGTCAGATAACCCGAACACCAAACGAGGCAGAGAGATTGGCCGTTCGAGCTTACAGGTCTAAAAGACACCTTAAGGCATATATCTGGGCACCTAGATTTCAGTCCAATGTTTAACCCTCAAGATAGCCCATACATCACCTTGCCAAAAGTTTCTATAAAAGACCGGGCATTGAATCTGACAGATGAGGGAGACAGAGAAAGAAATATCCACTTCTTTTCTTTGATCCTAGTAACTATCTTCACGATTGGCCTGGAACAAACCTACTAATCTAGTGAGGGAAAGTGACCCACCAACAAGGATGGAAATACGCGTTGGGGTGGGTTTTCATGGTGCTCATTTCAGGAACATATTCTAACATGTATTTTCTAGTACTGTAGTGAATGTAGGTTGCCAGAACAGGTCTAGCTAGCCTCACAATACCGGTCGACAGTCGAGTCTCAAACTTTTATAATCTACTATGGTAATATTTGACTAATGAAAATATGCTGCAGAGAATTGTACATGTCTCCAATTCTAATGGATAATTTCATGTACAATACAAATAAGGACGCAGTTGGATCCTAGGTCAGGACGATCTCATCCCGCAATATCTGCCAGAAGCGCCTTCTTGCTCTGCACCACATACATGTAGCGATTCTCCTTGTATGCTAATGTTACTGTACGCTAGAATTGGCTGATCGTTCTTGAATTGTGACTATATCGATGAACGGGATATATTTGTCAGTTCCCATCTGATTGATTCTCTTCCTCAGATCCCTAGTCTTTTTCTTGCGATAACGCCGAATCTCCTTGTCGGGATCATAGGTAGGATCATGCCCTTGGCAGAGTCTACATGAACGCATGTCAGTAGTTTTTGCAAGCTTATTACGACTGCCAGAGACTGGGATTTATTCAATGATATGTAGTAACGGTATGTTTTGTCACCATGTATTAGTGAGCTATTATTATCCAGTAAGATCTTTGTCACAGAACTGATTAAATCGAGGAGCTGAAATCTCACCCAAGGCTAAATGCAAAATGGGCTAAAAGCTGCTATACGAGCAGAGGTGTCAGAGTCTTGTGGGGTATAGATCTCCTATCATGTAATGACTAGATTTCTCGGTCAAGAATCTATCTTACTACTAATGCGTGGGTAATCCGAATTTCGCTCGTGTCCTCGCATGCGCTACCTATATGTACCAATGACGATGAAGAATGGCTAAGGCTTGTCGGTTCCCTTACCTCGCCGAGATCAACCTAATAGATATATACCACAGAAAAGCTGGTGGGAGATGACTAGACCTTGGTGCCTGTGTCTGGGCGACATCCTTGTTAGCGACAACCTATGCTCTACTATTGCTTCCCGATTGTCTACTCCCTGCCTTCTGGGTTTGATAAAAGACGAGAAATAAGACACTTCGCTACCGGTCTTCCTTTCTGTTCCACTGTTCACCCGCGGCCCTAATAATGCAACTATAAACTTGTCATGTGTTCCTGCAGTGTTCAGAGTTTTCATATTTGATACGATCTGGATTATGGCCCAGAATGGTGTCAAACCTCTCCCTCGTTGCAAGGTGGTCTGGAAATGGAAACAATTACAGAAGAGTCTCCAAATTTGCCGCATGTAATGGATCATAAAATTACTTTCTATATTCCTATACAGCTCTCAAAAAAATCCATCCCTATTGGCGTCATAAGTAACAAATAACAGGAACACCAGCTGCTACGAATGGGAAGCTTCAGGCACTAATGTTATAACCATGTTTTAACCATATTAGAAATTGGAATACAATTATAAGCTGCGGGTGAAGCGATTCGTAAGCTAGCTCCGGCGCGAGTCACAAGTCGTGTAATCTATGCTGCCTGGGTGGTCCAGAAGAGCAAGTATACGTAACTGGCTCGAATTAGACTATTAAAGAGGGTATCGCTTTCACAAAAGTTTGAAGTCATTCAAACTATCCATTGAAGTCATTTATGGTTTTACTATTCTTCGTTCTTATTCGCTTCGAAACTTGTGACTTATAGTTAGCCATGGAGTGGAACCAGATTATACGGCTTGGTCCTTTGCTAACATTTGCTCTATATTATCTGATATGGATTGTCTACTCTAAAACACTTCACCCATTGAGTTCCATTCCAGGCCCGTATTGGGCGTCAATCAGCCGAACATGGTATGTCTGGAGGGTATATTGCGGAGACATGGATCTTGTTCAGAGACGCCTACATGAGAAATATGGATACCTCATACGTATTGGTCCTAATGAACTCTCCTGTGCAGACCCAAAGGCTAAAAAAGATATCTATCGTTTGAGAAATCCTCTTCAAAAGACGGATTTTTATAGCGTATTCAAAAACCCTAAAATTGGCGCTGGAGAGAATCTATTTAGCCTTACTAACGAAAAGGAGCATAGCAAACTTAAGAGGGCAATAGGTAATGTCTATAAGTTGGAAAATATAGATGAAAAATGTGTTGACCGATGCTCCCAATTATTCCTCGGACGCATTGGCGAATTGGCAGACGAAGGGCACAATATTGAGCTCGGCAGATGGCTCCATATGTATGTCTCATGATCCGTTACTTTGCACTAATTGATCGTGTATTTTAGGTTCGCCTACGATACTATCGGAGAGATATTTTTTGGTCATATGTTTGGTTTTATGGAGCACCGCTTTGATCACGGCTCATACATCGAGTCCGTGAAGCTGTTGATGCCGATACTGTGCATAGCTGCTGTCAGTCCAGTATATCTTCGTCCAATCATATTCGGCTTTTCTTTTATGGTGCCAGCAATTCGAAGGGCTTTTCAGGCGTTAGACAATATTAACTGCGCTGCTGAAAATATCGTGAAAACACAATTAGAAACTGAACAGACAAACAATAATGGTCTTCTACAGAAACTATTTAGCCTTGAAAAAAAGAAGGCTATTAATATGGATCATGTTAAGATGGAAGCCTGGTCTGCGTTGTAAGTATTAAAAGCCTTAACAGCAAAATTAATGCTAACCAACTGTGCCAGATTTGCTGGAGCAGATACCACAGCCATAGCGCTCTGTTCAATATTTTACCATTTAATGCGAAACCCGACGGCTTATGAGAAACTACAAGTTGAGATTGATAGCACCTATCTATCGATATCCCCTGGGGATGATATCAGCTTCAGTGAGGCAAGAAAACTGCCTTATTTAAAAGCTTGCATACTGGAAGCGACGCGCCTTTCCCCTAGCATCGGTCTAACATTACCTCGCGTTGTTCCACTAGACGGACTGAGTCTGTGCGGCCGTCATATCCCATCATCATATCGAGTGGGGATTAATCCTGCTGTGATTCACTACGATGAAACAGTATTCGGCAGAGACGCATCGCTGTTCCGTCCAGAGCGATGGCTTGAGGAGAATGCCGCAGAAGATATGGGTAGATATCTGCTTAACTTTGGCGCAGGGACAAGGACATGCATAGGACAGAATGTAAGTCTTCCGGTAAACTATTTTAGGATTCATCAGGGACTGATTTGGTAGATTGCGAACCTCGAAATGTATAAACTACCTCTTGCAGTGCTACGGAGGTTTCACATTTGTATGAAACCAAACCAGGCATGGAAGACACGAGACGTCTGGTTCAATCAGCCAGAAGAACTTTATGTGAAAATCACAAGAAGGTCATACCCTATGTAATGTTATTACATGAAATCTATTATACACTTGGTTGCAAAACCAGTGCGCGCTTCTACAAACTTTGATTGTTTTTAACTGTTTTCAACTGTTTTCACCCTAACCTGTATCCAGGAAAGCTCCGGATTAATGATATTCCTGTGATTTACTTTAAGAATACCATCACAGGAAAACAGTCCATAGTTCATTTTACCAGAACCTTCCACTCGAACATCCCTTGCATTTGGGTTTTTATCTTTTAATACTGTACTATCCTATTTTCATTTTAGGTGTGTTTGGCCCGAATACCATGCAACCAAGAGTTGACCATCAGTCATTTTGTCGCAGGTTGAGTGACCTTGATACTTTACACTCGTCGCTGCCTGGCTATGGTGGTCATGAGATTCCAGAGCATACCGCACGAAAGGAAATTTAGCATGTATGAACCCAGACAAAGTCGAAGATTTGATGTAAGGCGTGAGCGAACCAGGCCGGCTAAGGTAGTTCTCACAGCTTTGTCTCATATATTCCTGGGCCTTGAAATAATCATATGTAATACCGTTCTCCTCAAAAATTTGACGTAGGATTTCCGGTACTGTTTGATGAATGAATCGAATGGAGCCAGAAGACTTATCCAACTCCACGAGACCTCTTGAATTGGTGACAACGAATTTTTCTACCTCTGGCTTGGTCCATGTTGAAGGCTGATTGGATCGGTCAGGCAACCCAGAGAGGACTGCAAAAAATAATTCCTCCATATTTAGCGGACGTTTAGCATGCATCACACATTGGACACACCGCAAAAACTCCAAGTAGGTTCCCCTCACAACACCTTCGAAACATGCTTTCATTTCTGGTCTATTCACGATATCTTCCAGGCATTGTTTCATTTCTGGCAACACGTCGTCCAATGCGATTCGGAAGTCGGATATTTGTTTTTCCTCCCATAGATTAATTAGACTTTCTATCCAGAGAAAACATCCGGAGGATTTTTGCACTATTTCGTCAATGAGAGAATCGCGCATCTCTGGGACTAAACGCTCCAAGTCCTGTAAATTATTTTTCAGATAACTTTGAATCTTGTCATAATGACCTTGCTGTTCTTCTAAAATCACGGTTGGACCTTCGTAAGCAGCGATGTACGGATAATGCCGGCTCGAAAAACAGAATTTGATGGACGATGAACAATTATTACAGAAATCAAGTAATTCTGAAAGTTCGTCCGACCAACAAGAATCCAATGCATCTATGAAGCATATCAATGGCCTGGACATCTTCGTAATTGCGGTTTTCAAACAAGACTTTAAGTAACGTTTATTATGAATCTTCTTGATACTCCTATCAATCTCCGGATTGCGACGTAGAATCTGATAAAGCATGACGCAGTATATTTCTGCCAATGATTTGCGTGGATGAAGCCGAGTACCAGTGACTGAGCAGAACGTCACCGTTGCTTGATCGCGCATCTGATAAGCGGTGAACCGAGCAATGTGCTCCATCAAAGTAGATTTACCAGCGCCAGGTTTGCCCTTGATCCACAGAAATCGTTCCCAGGATTTAAATTCATCAGTTTTCAGCAGCCAGTGGCCTGCGACAGATTCACGTGGTATATAAGAAAAATAACTCTCAGAATCGTGCATCTGAGAGTCACGACTGAGATGCTCAATGGTCTTGGTGCGGTTCCGTGAGGAGACTTCATTTCCGGGTAACCCGAGCGCTTGGCGGCGCGCTTGTCGGCGCGTAGTCACCCCCATAGGCAGTCGCAAGCTAATTCCAGCCGCGATCGATTGAAGAATGAATCGTTGACAGTCTTGAGACAGGCTGTTATGGAAGATCAGCCTAATTGCTGCATAAGAAAAGTCGATCGCGGAACTCTGCTATTTATATACTAGCAAATTAGCGTGCTTCTGCTGGTACTGTTGAGCTGAGGTAAGTTCGGAAGCATAAACTTGTTCATTCATTTTTCTAATCTTGAGGGGCTGATGGACTGGTTATATACACCATGTACATAGTACGCACAGACCTACTTCCTTATCGGAACAACACATCCACCGAGATATTCTAACTTACTCTGTATACGGAGTATTCAACAGGGACTAAGCACCATTGGCCTTGCGGCGTGGCTGTGTGCTGAATTAGCCATACTCTTGAGTACAGTATTTTGGGTCATGAAACATTCGATACCGTCTCGTTACCGAAACCTGAGACAAGGGTTCGGAATAATTCACAAATATGGCCTAGCGCCATCTTGGCTATAGGGGTTCAGAAACAATTGAAGAGAGTTGAGGCGCGCACTGGTTTTGCAATCAGCTGTATGGGGGGGAGATAAGGGGAGTGGGGACGGATTCTTACTCCCCTTTCTGCTTCTGGGAGGTTTACTCAAGACTATTGTTAACCATAATACGTACAGCGTGTAGTATACCCTGTACCAAACAACTAGTCTCGAAGTAATCCTTACGGTGTCATTATTAAATAGCTATTATGCAAGAGAAGTACATGTACCATTTATAGATTCGAAGTATTGCTAGAGCGGAGATATACTGTAGTAACTCCCATTCTTCGCATGCTATGGTTGCCTACGATCATGGCTGAGAATTCCGAATCCAAGCTCAAGCCCACTTCAAACATACCAGGAGCTGATATACCTACATATATCAAAGACCGCGACGACGAGTGTCCACACCTCCTAGGAGACTTTGAAAACTTTATTACCTCAATTCTCGAACCACATAAGAACAGAATACTGCTTAGAAATAAACACGCACCTCATTCGGACCTGATGCCCACATTAAACCGTCTATCTCACAGACTATTGAAACTTGTTTCATTAACAACGGGTCAAGCACACCCTTCCTGTCCGGAGTCCGTGCTTCGCTACCATCTCCTCACATCCTCTCAACTCGACGATCTGGCGAGATATTACCATCAAATCTGGCCACCGACACCAGAGACATATCAATACCCGAAAATTATTATACCATGGATCGGGACGGAAGAGCAAGATACGATTGATATTGAGACTAAGCGCGAGCGGATAGGGAGATTCATAGGGCTAAGAAGGACTTGAGGGGAAAGGTGATGTTGTCAGAGATTAGCAGTATGCTGCCAGGAAGAGATGTTGAGGAAGGAGTGCGGAGATAAAGATATGCCAATATCCCAAAATCTGGCTAGTGAATCATCATACAAACCTTGAAGCAGATATTTTTAAACTATTATATACATGTATATCAGTGCAGGTTATGCATCATAGAGCACTCAGACTCGAAGGTAGCAAATAATTGACCTAAATTTTAATACTACGTTTCATTCAAAGCCTATGTCTAAATAATATGTGCCGCGAGTCTACAGCTGCACTAGGACTACAAGGTCAAAGACTATAATAGACGGAACGAACAGATTGTTATATAATGTATTAAATGTAACTGGGCTGATACATGTATAACTAATTACAATAGTAAATATAAGACGTAGGCATTCTCAAGCATTCAATTCGGGATCTCAGTTTGGCCGTCGGTCTGCTGATGAAACGGGGTACTCACCCTTCGCTTGATCAAGGAATAAGTGCAGACTTCCGCCCAAAATTGAGATGCAATTCTTATAGTATTTTGGCCAGACAGGATCCACCGCGGGGATGCCTAGCTTTACTCAATTTATTCGTGGAATAAGACTGCAAAATCAGCTGCGGATATCTCTTTCTAGCGCGGAATGAACTTAACCATCTTTATATAGTGATTAGCAACGTCCAACGACAAGGATAGGATTGCATTATAATCCCGTATAGCTACGGAGTATGTACAGTGACACTGGAACACAGTTCTGTACGAGAATAATCGCTTGCCCGTCTCAAGGCTCTGAGCCGGCTTCGTTCTATATACACGAGGTACCCGTCAGGCACGAAGCTGAGATGTTGATGTCTAACCAGAACTCTCAAATGCCCGCGCTTACCGCCACAGAGATTTTGGAGTCCGATCTGCGAGACTCTACCAAATCATCTTCGAAGATCTCGACACCTGATCTATGAAACTTCCGCTCCGTAGAGACAGTCATTACAGCTGTATTCCAGAGCTGGACTGTATGGTCACTGGATGCTGACACCAGCATGGTTCCATGTGGAGAGAAGGCGATTGCCCTCACTCTGTTAGTATGGCCCTCAAGTGTCTGAAGTAAAGAGCTCCAGTTCTTCTCCATAACTGGCAATTTTCATCCACCGGAAGACTCTTTGTTGAAAATGACTGCCGAAATGGCTACTTTCTGGTGTGGATATCAATGCACTGACATATAATTGGAGTTGCACGTTCCATGACAGAAAACTATGGGAAATAAATCGTTTGACATTCTGGGTATATTGACAGAGAAAGGGCAGGTATTGGTCTGTAGAGTACTTGGATAACGTTTGGTAAGTATTTCGGGCGGCCTTATTGATGCAATAAACTGTAGGCAAGTCACTGCTTGTGTACTTTCTGCAGCTCTTCCCATCCAGCTCAGGGCTTTTAGCCAAGCTATGAGATGTTGTCGCATAAAATCGTCAACTGGATCCTTGTCATATATCTTGATCTCGTTTCTTCGGAGATGTTGCACCCAGTAGAGACATGCATAACGAAGCGCAGGACGTATATGTCGCTGGATACGTTTCTCTTCCACCTCCGCTCGCAGGATGCCAGGGTTAGAATAATCTAGGCCGCATATATTCTCCTTCAAAGTTGCTGACATGAGACTCAGGCAATCGAGTAACAACTTCCTATGCGCACCTTTCTCGCTAACTCGGAGACTTTCTAGGCCACATCTGGTTGGGTTGACCAGGTAGTCTCGGAACGAGGGATGATGCAATCGAAGTTCATCACTTTCTTCTGGCGGGATCTGAAGGATTGAGTGAAGATCAATCACTGTTCTAATAATCTCATTCTAACACGTTCAGGGCCACGCTGCAATCTACCTCATTGAGACTCAATAAGCAACTTTTTCGACATATGACGGATACATTATTACGTCATTCATCATGGCCTTAAACACGAGTCGAGATCCAATGATCGATCTTAACCGTCAGCATCAATCTTATTATCACTCACTTGAATCACAAATCGGTTATCGACTTTTGCTTGGTGGGACTGGGCATTTCAAGTACTACGAATATGATACTTGATGGCCGTTTCCCGTCGGTAGAGCACTATGTGCTATGGAAGATAAGATGGCGGCTTCGTTGAATCTACAATAGGGAGCATACGTCCTTGATGCGGGTTATGGAGTTGGTCATCGCTATTCACCTGACAAGTCAATACGGCGTCAAAGTCCAGGGCATCGACATTGTTCAGCACCACTCAGACAAAGCCGAACGAAATATCACTCAAGCATGCCTCTCCAAGAATCAGGCTATTGTGAAAAAAATCGACTACCACCATTTATAAACCTTTGAAGGCGACACATTTGACGGAATTTACACAATGGAAACATTCGCTCATGCTACAGAGCCTGAGACTATCTTAGCTGGTTTCTTCCGTATACTTCGCCCCAGTGGCCGCATTTCTTTGCTCGAGTATAACCGTGAGCTAACCGAAAATGTTCCTGAGGTTCTCGTACTTCCGGTGTGTTTCAGCAAATGCTTGAAAATGCCGGATTTACTGAGGTGATTGTCCGCGATTATTCGGAAAACATCAAATCAATTACAAGACTTTTTATGCTCTCGGCTACATTTTTTTCTTGATCATTACCTTCTTCGGTCTAGAGCATTATTTCATCAACACTGTTGCCAGGGTACAGATGCATCGGGGCCATGGCCATTGGCGGTATTTAGCCATATCCGCAAAGAAACCGGGACACTCAATTAAAGCAGGAAAGACCGATAATTATGTTTGGAGAATCAAAAGAGACAGATCATTGCCATTGGTTTATAGCCTTTGCAATGGAGACAAGGCGGTTCTAGTTGGTGAATGAAGAAGGAATTGATAGGGCTCGGTGACCCAGCTCAAAAGCGGCGTGGATTTGGAAGCCGAGGATGCTCAATAAACCGGAAGGGTCATGGTAATCGTGAGGTAGTGATCACATATCCACCAATGAATGGATGGAATGACATGGGGTTTAGGTGAGAATATTTATAAATCATATTCACAATCGCTCCACAGTGATTTTCTGCAATAAATGATCATAAAGAATAATCAGAATAGTATGTCTGCCTTTACATGTTCATGAATCTTAGATAAAGTAGCGTCTATACAATATCTCGCATGACTTACCATGAATGAGTGGCCATATTACTAGTTATGAAATGGATGTGTGAACCGGAACAGCAGCAAATATAGTATTTTATTGAGATGAGCAACCAACCAATCCACCCAAACAGGAAGGTCTTTCACCTGAGACGAACCTCTTTCCGACCTTGGGGAATCGCGATTGCATGAGGTCTAACTCGTGGTGCTACATCTTTGAAGCTAAGTCCGACCATCTCGAGGTCTACTTGCGTTAATCTCAGATTTGCTGGTAGCTCCATACTGCCCAGGCGATGATGGCGTAAAACATCATCAATAGGACACCTTTGAAACGACCACACTTGCCATCAAAAACGAGAGAATAAAACTGAAACACTGTTAGACAAGAATACCAATTGAAAGCCCAATATAAGGATTGCATACTGCGAGTACAGCAACGAAAAGGAGATGGAGGCGATATTCGTCGCGGAAATCCGAATCCTGCAGAATATTTCAGTAAGACGAACCTCTATCTAGCCTTTGACTTACTATTTGATCTTTCCCCGTCATCCGATCTACCAATATAGTAAATGGAAGTAAGAGAAGAACACACTGTATACTCGATCCGTATGCTGAACTGATAGTATGATCTACTTTTCCTCCAAATGAGCCGATAACCTTTGCTGCATTACCACATATCGGCATCAAGATAAAACCGAAGAAGGACTTTGAGATACGGGTTTCCCATAATGTCAAGTCATCAAACGATTGAACTATGGAGCGGGCAGATAATGCAATCAATGATGCTGAAATAAGTGAACTTGCTATAGCAGAGTACAGCGAGAACGTTGAGACTCCTTTCCAATCTTTGTCTTCATGAAGCAAGCCCTTTTCAATATCATCTTCAGGGAGAGTGTCCATTTCTCTATCTTCGAATTGCTCAAGACGTTGGGGAAATATCAATTGGAAGATGGGATAGACAATAGATAGAAGGACAACGCCGGTGGCTTTAGCAATATCAGTACACACATAAACTTGGAAAGTCCACATGTTCACTGACCAGGAGAAATGTTGTCGGTTGTTGGGGTACCTAGTTCTTGACTCAGTGACCTATTCGTTTTTCAGATCTTTAAACAAGCGCTCACCACCAGCCCACTTCCTCAACCTTATCGGAATAATCAGAATGTCACTAGCGAGCATTAGGCAAGCAGTTGCTAGATGACATTTGAACTCGTCAAAACGCTGCTGGTCACTTAACAAGAAGCATGACCCAACAACTGCTAGAAGAGTGAAGATAATGCTTCCTATCAGGAAGTCTTGAACAAGTGCTATCTGATTATGAATAAGTGCTGTGATAACAATAATCACTTCCACAATGTTGGTGAGTATTGTATAAGAATTTCTAGTAAATGACTTCTGCGCTGACAACCTACATCATTAAATGGGCTAGCAATCGGGAGGCTGTATGTTTTCGTACCAATTTTTAATTCCCGCAATGGAATACGAATATACAAGCGTGAAGGGACTTTGGCAAGCATTAATTAGCATCACTCGATTCGAGTAAGTCGATAAAATATAACTTACATGATGAGAAAAAAATTCAAAACGAGAATGTAAGTCCGATCATTATCAGTATGCCCACTGAAGACTTCCAATATTCAGTAACTTAGCTTTTTGAAAAATTTAGAAGAACACCATTCAACATACCGGCAGCTGGAAGACAGGTCAAACAATCAATCATATCTTTTACCCGTGATTCAATTAAGTATGTTGCAGCACAGTTTAACATTGCGAGTCGTTCCGAGAATTCTGTCGTCCTTCTCTGTAGGAAAGTTTCGAGGAAGTACTTTAGCGGCGGTTGCAGTTAGGTGCTAGAGAGTTAGCTTAAGGGAATTAATACAGACAGATGCAGGACCTCCTTCATTTTTTTAATTTTAGTTAACTTAGTTAGAATAGTTAGTTACATGTTCTCTCTTATGTAATTTACTCTACAGCTAAGATGTGCTAGTTAGGCTGGCATGTGCCTCTCACCATATACCAATATTATGAATAGAATAATACAAATACTGCTAGAAATTGATAATGTCAAATGGGCAAGCATTACTTATGTTAGTCATGACAACAGTACGTATTATGAAATACCATTCTAACCATGCTAGGACTAGCTTCAGATAACAAGCCTTTTACGGTGGGGCAGGACAAATAGAGGAAGGCTTCAAAAGGAACTACGGAGTAAAGAAAATAGTGTTTACTAAAATTTGTGACATGAATATATTCATTATAACCAGGCCTTCAAAGACATCCCATCCAAACTCTGTAATGTGCCTCTGGAGCGATACCTTTTTGAAAGGTCAATTTCTTCCTGCCTTTTCCATATGTATTGTAAAGAATATGATCACAGGTCACCTGATGGCTAGTGATTATTGGAATCTTTTGGTACTAGTCCGAACGGGGTTAGGCTCTGATAGGAGCGTACAATCTGGGTGAGGAATAAATTGACTCTGATTTGCACTCTCTAAAAACACAGCTAGCTACGCATCTTGATCCTCTTTATATACACAATATAGTGGCAAAATAGCAATCCTGAATCCAAAAGTAGGCCTGTCGATGTTGTGCCAATCCTGGGATCGGCAATTGTGTTTTTCCGGGGATTCACCGATTAGTAAGGTCGTCCAGAATGGGATTAGCGTATCAGATATCCAACAGTGATTCCGAGGCTAATTATAGTCTCAACCCCTGAGTTTTATGTAACAAGAGTGAGAGAAAGACAACGGAATACACAGAGATTCAACGCATCGAATCATCTCCTTATCAATACTTATAAGCATCTGGTCATTGATCACTATTACTGGACGATATTATTCCTCTGAGTCTATACGATCCATTCACCAATTTTTTTACATGTATTTGAACTTTTGAAGCTCAATAATACCGTTGAGCGTGGTGTTGAGGCTGTATAGAGATTCATAGTACAGTGAATCAATGATATTTATTGCAGCCTAACAGACACATCAAATAACGATTCTAGTCAATATCAGCCATAAAGCCACCCAGAAATGGCAATGATGATGTATAATGTCATCAGCAAGATACCTTCGAGCCAGTTAGATTTTCCATCGGCGATTAGGTAGTTGACCTTAACGCAATTAGTAGTCAGAAATGACATAAATTGCAGTCAATCGTTTTGCTTACCAAGAGGACGGCCATGAATAGAACGACAACTTGGAATCCGTCACCAAAGTCGAGTGTCTACAAAACGAGAAAGATTAATGCAGCTGATAATCAGATAGGATCATGGAACGTACCATGTTGTCATTGCCCATAACCCACCCGAGAACAACCACTAACGGAAGTACTAAAAGCGCAATCTGCATGCTCGAGCCCACAGCGACTGCAATCGCGATGTCCATTTTGTCCTTCACAGCACATGTCACTGCAGTAGCATGCTCTGCCGCATTTCCGACTATGGGCAGCAAAATCAGACCAATAAATGTTTTAGAGACACCGCTAGTGCCTGAGGTCACTGCATCAATAGCATTGACCATGAATTCAGCGCAAAGGGCAATAAATAGGGTGGATAAGACTAGTACAAGGACGGCAACGTAAAAATGGAGCTGCGGGGTCTCCTTCTCGTCCTTTTCATCCACAGGAAGTCCCAGTTGAGGGGTACCGGTAACTATGTACGCGCTAAGACCACTCATAGCGACCACTCCCTTCTGAGTGTCACCCTTGGCGCGACTCTTGTTGCGCTTCTCAGTTTTCTCGCTGGGTTTGTTGTAGATGTCTGCATGAGTTTTGAGTTGGAAGATGAGATAACAGGTATAGACGAGTAACAAAATCACAGAAACTCCTGTAAATCTGCATTAGCTCTCCAATTCTATCAGCCCCAGCGTCCGTCACCAACGAACTTACCACGTGAAAGCTCGTCCGTATGTGAAGCACCGCCTATATCCAAGGTCATAGTCAGAATCTATGCCTCAACTACCCCTAGAGCTCTGATATTGATCTTACCGGCGGACCATTTTCGAAAGGCTGTAGGAATGATCAAACTGGCCACAGCAAGAGCCAGTAAACTAGCTCCAGTCTGGGCGAAGAGTTTGCTAAACTTCTGTTCGGTTCGATTGATACCGCCAAAGAAAAAACACATGCCCATAACCAGGAGCAGGTTAGATAGCATACTTCCAATCAAGGAGGTTTGCACAATGGTCACTTCGTCATGAACAAGGGCGATTATGGCGACAATCAACTCCACAGCATTGCCGAAGCTAGCATTCAATAATCCACCTATTGTTTCTCCAGTCCTATAACCATATATTAAAAAATGTGGTTGATGTCTATATATGTACTTACCTAAGGGCTATCTCCTCTGTTGCATCGCTCAACATCGCTGCCAGCGGGCTATCGAGTTATCTCAGCTTAAATCTGCCATGTCATAAGTCGAACTTACATGATACCGATAAAATTAACCACAAAGACAGCTGTCATATTCAAGTTGCAGTAATTGATAGCGACTATGCTCAGTTAGTATTATGTATTCCGCGTGCAACATAAAAAGAAAGCTTCGTACTTCCAGCTGGAACGCAAAAAAGCAGCAGGTTGATCCAAGATTTAAAAATAGTTGCTCGTAACTGGCTGGCTATGGTAAATACGGGTCTCTTGCTGGAATCGAAACTTTCCGTCGTCCTCAAGTTGTTAACGCCAGTATTAGTATTCATCGCACCCGGATTTGGTGGCATCGAACTATTCTCAAAGCGAAGATCACAATGTCGGCCACTCTCTAAGTCTTGACCTAGAAGAGATAAATTTTAGCAATTTTATATTTCATAAATATTTCGCTACAAAGCGAGTTCAACTTACTCATGATTAAGATATGTGATAGTCTATCAGTACCTCCTAACTTGTGTCTTCAGGGGAAGGTTCAGTAGGGGAGACGGGGAGCTCCACGAGTAACGATTTAATGAAAATCAGGAATCGAGTTTGATGTGAAAATGGATAATCAGTATATTATATAGTTGTAAGTGCAAAACACAGCCACAATGAAGAAAATGGTCTCTTAGGTGGGGTGGTGTGATAGTGAATATCCAAGAGAGACAAGCTTAGAATAACAATGTTACATCCACTACTACAGTATTCTCACGGAGAAAACAAGTTACTTGCCGAATGAAATTTACGCTTAGTCTCTTTTAAGAACTTAGTTTAGACGCGAAGCGACTCAACTCTTGCCTAACCTTATAATAAGCATCCTTGTGGTAGCTATATTTCGAGGTAACCAAGAAGGTCAAAACAGGCAGACAATCATATCAATAATGTCCAAGTAACATTCAGTTATTTTTAGGACACAGATGTTGGAAAACACCTCAGCCCCGATCCCATTGTTATCCAATCAGTCCCATCGTTGGAATGACTAGCGGTGTACGCACGCAAGGCATATTGCACTAGGGCATAGACGCCAGATGAGCCTTGTGATTTGCAGGCCTTATGCACTATAGTGTGAGGCTGCTATTTACAGAGCGTTGTCAGACACTTTCAGATACTGTTGCCTAGCCCATATACCACATTACTGATGGCAAGCCAGCCTTTGAGTGTTAGATAGACCATCTAGGGAACTTTCTGTTATGTTTTCATTGCTGCAACAGACAGATTTGAAACCTCCTTCACATCTTTGCACGAGATTGATAAATCGACGCCGTTTACTAGATCGACGCCCCCAACTTGAAATTTATACCAAACCCGAACGTGTAAAATTTCTTAACGTAATTGTTGCATACAAGTCTCCTTTAGATTCTAAGAAACTCTCATGTCACTCATAATATTTAAATTACTAATCCTTTTTAAGGCTCTCATATAGATCTCCAACCCCTGGTTCTTCTAACTAACCTGCCTACTAGATTCCTCGATAGCTTAGTCGAGGGCGTACCAGCCAGCTCGTATGATGGCTTGCTTGGAAGCTAGTATGACGGTGCTCAGGGCTAACAAATATTATTGAGAGGGTAATATCTAGACACGAGGGAAGGAATCTGTCTAGCCAGGGTACGGGGGCCGTATTTTATAGCCAGCCATGTCCCTACTTGACGTATACACCAACCCGCATAAGATCACATGACAGAGTCTGTATGCCAGTATGGCACCGATGGCCGCCAACAATAAGAAACAATGCCGACAAATATAAGTTTCTTGACGGACCTCTTCCGTACGATGGATTTCCTATTTGGGAAACCATGTGGCGCACGCCGAGCCTGCGGAAGCTAGGGCTAAGCCGTTACAACTTGCTTGAGAGCTTTCTGATTCATTAACTTCGAGATACGGTATACCCTCTCTATAGAGAGTAGGAGATTTATAGGCCCCGAGTAAGCTAGCTTACAGAACCCGGCCTAGCCAGTTGACGTGTCAGTTGACAAGCCAGCTTACGAAAATTGATGCCTAAGCTTCACATTGGCTAGCCACTAGCTATGTCGCCCTACCCGCAAGACTGTTCCCCTAAACTAGTTTAAATACGGTGACCAGTATTTTCGATACTGCGTTTCTCTATGCCCCACTTTGCACGCTACGGTAATATTCTATTAATTCTAATACAACCACGTAGAAATGTCAGGTGTCCAAGCACCTACAGAGTATATAAACTCGAGTCTTCCTCCTCTCATGGGATCCTAAGTTCCTAACCTACAACTAAGTTCTATGCTCAACCGCCATGAAATGATGTTAGGCTCAGTCGCTCAATCCAAAAACGCACTGAAACTGTGAATCAATTATCACCATCGCAGATCATCCTTAAGACCGTCTTCTCTCCTCAGATCAACAATATGCTGCCCGCTAAGGTAATGCAAACTTCTGGTTCCTTACCCACAGCTCGCCTTTATTCCATGTCCATATCGGACGGACGCCCTAGTCATCCTTCTGAAATGGCCCAAGGGCCCGGTTTTCACAGGCGCGATTTTGTTCGGCGGAAACCTGAACAACAGCTAGCTGATTTAAAAGACCTACACGCTTCGAATGACCTAGTGACATTAAAATCCCTACTTCGAGTGACAAAGATCACTTTGGACCCAGAATTGACCAAGCTACTATTAGATGAGGCCGTGCGTCGTCGTGATGAAGATCTAGCCTGCCTCACCATTTCAAAAGGCAAGAATGCGGACAGCACCGTTAGCCTGGTTCTTACAGTCAATCGACAACAAGACATGATTGATTATTTCCTCGCCCTTGGAGCAGACATCAAATTGGATGACCACAAGGGAGAACCATCTAGTCTGAGAATAGCATGCGATTACCGAGACATCGAGCTTATCAAGCTACTCCTTAACCACGACGAGATGAAATGGATAGTCCTTCTGCAGCAGCTTTTACGGAAATTACAGCATTGTTACCGACCTACAGGAACGCCAACAGCTTCAAACAATGAAGGATACGGCGGATTACTACGGACGTTTGTCTATGCATCTTGCCGTATACTCAGCCAATTTTGAGATGGTGAAATTGTTGAACCAATAGGGCTGCTCTATTAATGTTCAAGATCGTTATGACTGTAGCTTGTTGCATATAGCCGTTACACGGCATATGGCCGAACGCGAAGAATCCTTCAAGAAAATTGTCCAGTGGCTCATAGATAACGGATGCCACCCTTTGGCCACCAACAATGCTGGATTGACTCCATATCAGTATGGCCGAACGCAAAGAATCCTTCAAGAAAATTACCCAGTGGCTCATAGATAACAAATGCAACCCTTTGGCCACCAACAATGCTAGATTGAAGAGACTGGCCAGTAGAACTTTGGAATAGCGTGTCTCTAATACCAACCGCGTCGACGAGCTTTCTCATCGTTTACCTACCTGCCACCAATCGATACTTACATGATTTTGCTCACGATAACTCACCCGTCGTGCCAGCTCGGCACATCTCGATTTGTCAGTCCTTCGTTTGTTATCTGGAGTTGTCACCAGCGAGGCATTTAGCTACTTCGAGCGCTAATGCGAGAAGTACTCTCGGTAAATCTCTACTAAGGAAAGAGGTACTGTTGGTTTAGCCGGGTTCTGGATCACGAAGCACAGGATTGCGGCAAGGACAGTCCAACTGCCTTACGTGTTGAGCCTGGTAATATTGAAGTTATTCCTAATATGTAGGACTGATTCCCAAAAAGGGAGGAGAAGGATAATCACCATGAGTAAAGGGGATATATTAGGTAGGCGAAACGGAATAACTAACATTCCGGTGTTGATACTCAACACCTGGGGATTCCCATACACACAGGTACGTTTACGAAACTACACCAAGAATGACGTGCGGGGAATCTTGTGTCTCTGTAACAACATTACGAAGGATATATGTTATGAGCTGACCTCATGAGCATGTTCGGGCAAAGCCCTCACGGATATCGACAATAGCGCCTCCCGCCGATCCCCGACAACCCCGAACATGAAGCTATTCCCAGATCAAGAGTGGACAACCAATATCCGGCCGGAGATTGACAATAGCGCTCCCTGCCGATCTCCGACAACTCCAACAATCCCAGAAACCTCGGACATGAGGCTATTCCTAGAGAGAAGTCCGTCAGAAGTTCCCGATTCCCCTTGCCTATATAATATTGTACATGGCGCGAAGAACTTGTTGTTTTCTTTCTCTTTCCTTTCCTCATGTTATGTTTTCTATTCGAATATGCCCTTATAGTGAGCATTAGACGGGACTAGCCCGTAACAATATATATATAGATACGTTCGAGAGGGATCACTAAGGCTAAGTACTAAGGTAGGGTTTGGAATGTCAAGGTACTGAAATCTATCTCTTTGCTTCCGCAGCATGCATTCATTCATCGACCACGACCAGCTGAATATCTACACTTTGCCACTTTTTGTTTCCCACCCAAACTAACCCTAACCCTAATATATTGGACAGGTATGTTGGTTATTACTCTTGGAGAAAATAATAATAATCACAAGAAGGAACATTCAAGATACAATATATGAGCTACAGAGGGTTTCACAGCTGGTACAGCGTTTCTGTAACAGTAGTACAGTACTAAAACCACACAACATGATATCTGTGACAAGCCACCCCAAATAGGGGTACAACATGAGATCTCCTGTCAACGACTCCTGCATGCATAGGTCTCGGAGCGCACCACGAAGGACTGGGATTACAGAGCCGCTCGGCGGTTCCATAATTGTTGGAACTGCACCGTGCTGGGCACGGTTAGGATCAGCAGTTCCACAAACAGTGTAAACAGAGGAATCATGTGATGTGCATATTTTATGTAGATTCTAAGTATAGATTTACAGGTTGTGACTGTTACAAGACCAAAACAATGTTTAATAACGGTAAAATTCCAAGATGTGTTGGATTAGCTAAGCTGATTCAACCAATCAGATAGAGGAGATTTGTCAGCCAATAATAGCGAGCCACACACTGATCCACCGAATAGGGGGTAAAAGATATCTTCCACCTTGACTGTACTTAGAGACAAGAACAAGAACAACAAGGATCAAGGATTCACACATCTTGTGCATACATAATTTGATACGTTGAGATAAACCGCTAGAGATTGTTACATACAATCTAACAAGATGAGCATTTTATACATCCCGAAAAGGAAATTCTTTGCAGAGTAATGCATGTGCAGTTCTACGTGGTTTGAACCGCACCACTCCGAGGCCTAACCACAATATATGCAATAGACAGAAAATAGCGTATTGGAGCCCATTAGGCTCGATGCCTCCGGGCATAATTGAGTTACTACTACTAGCAATATGCTTGTGAGGGGTGACGTTAAGGAGCTGTAATTAGCGGGATGCTCAAGACCTTATGGAATTCGTTACGCATCGCACCAGGTCGACCAGTTTTACAGTCAGCTACTTGATTGGATTGACTTCAGCAACTGGTTTTGTTTTGGTACCGTACATGTAACTCTAATTAATCTTTTGCTCCTTCCTCGATTCGGCTTCACCACCAAGCGACAAACTTATCTTTTGACATATCTGAGTATAGAACAAACGTTCTTGCCGGACCACGACCACACGCGTAAGTGTATTTGGAGTAGGACGCATAGATAATGGAGTAAGGATAAAGTGAAGAGCCGACTTCAAAATGACTTCAAAAATTGTATAATATGTGTATCATAGTTCTAGTTACAATCTCTTATATGCTGTGATGGCGTTCATTCTCTATCCTAAGAGGTAACTAATCGAGCAAAACTAAGCATGAGGAAAGAGGGAGAAAAGACTCGCTATGCCGCTCGTAAGGATTCTTTTTATATGTGCGTCCGGGGCCTTGTCGGTGCCTATTTAGGAAATCCTGAAGACAAAGGAGGATATCCCCGTTAGGGTCATCCTCTTAGGGCTTAGGGCTTCGTCCAGGTGCCGGCAAGGTCCGTACGATATCCTGCTCTGTAATCCAGCCGTCACATATGCTAGGGTTCCCATACTTGATAGCACAGTTGTTGGGTACCCGTCGCTTCACCTCCCCCCACCCTATTCGGACTGGGTAGAGTGCTGTTTAAACCCATGGCATTCATTTGAGCATTTGCTTCTGAGCTTACATTCCGATAAACGAATTTCTCTATCTGATTTTGCAGAGATTCATTGACCGATTGCTGGGTTTTCAGGCTGTCCTGAAGCTGAGAACATATGCCTCTGAGTCTGGAAATTGTTTTGTCTCGAGCTTGGCTCTCCATTCTTAATAATTGGACCTCTGCTTCCAATTTAAAAATGATTTTGTCTTTTTGTTTTTCTCGAGCGCAGCTCTCCAGGATCTTCGACTGGACCTCTGCTCCCGATTCCGTTCGCGCCTCCTTGTGGTTTTCATCTTCTCGAGCGCGTCGGACCTCCTCTCGTAGTCTCCGGATCTCTTCTTCCAATTCCATTTTCTCCTCTTCCAATTTCATTTTCTTATTTTTTTCATTTCTTCGAAATTTAGCCTGGGCGTCTCTGTTTCTCTGTTGTCTAAGTCGCCGTTTTAGTTGCTCGCGCTCTGGATCCTTCAGGATATTTGTCAGCACATCAACTCCATAAAAAAGCACATTTCAGTATACTGTATTATTTTTGAGAGGAATAACACGTGAGCACAGGACTAACATACAGTCATGATCATTTGTGAAATCAGCGCACGACAATAACCCTAACCCCCTCTGTCTTCTTTCGAATTTCTAACTAGACCCTAGAAAGTTAGATTAGCTGGCTTACAGCCAATAGTAAGTAAGATATGTTTGAGCAATAGTCTTACTTAGCTCCCAACAATAAGCTGTGATCAAACGAAAAAGTTGTCTCATTCTATTAATCATACAGAGCAGCCTGAACTACAAATACCTTTATTGTTTACCTCGGTCAGTGTTAAATTATGTGATCGGTTATGGATCTTTGTCATACATATTCCAAGTGATCTGTAGATACTGACTCTTTCGTTGTAAGCTAATGCAGGCGACTAGTAATGTAGCTTGTCTTCGTTTATGTAGTAGCGCTTAGGTACTGAGTTACGGTACCGACTCAATGGCTCAGCCGCTCTATGTTACATTAGACAAGAAGTATATGTACCTACTATCTCAACTAGTGTGCGAGCATGAGCTCACAGCATTAGATCTGAATTGTATTTCATGTGGTCAGCCGATCCTTACGTAATACTATTACCGGGTCTCGATCGAAATTCGACGTACATAGATTATAACTCAGGTCCTACTCAATAGTAAGCGGGTGGCCTGTTCGAGGGTGTGTCATCTTGCTATTAGCTCTGGTACGGTTATTTGCTAATTTTTGGTCAATCAAGTCTTTCTATAATTGGGGTCTTTTGTTTGGGTTATCGAATCCTGAAGCCATTTTGCATTGAAACACGGTTTTGCATTAGGCTTGTCAAGCAATGTGAGACCCCGCAACTAAACGGTAGTTAACTAGTATTATATTATTACATAAGAGTTGGTTAGTTGATGTTTTGTAAAGCAGTGCCGGAAATTAATTTTAGCAAGGGGAAAGCAGTTAAAGTCAGTTAGCGGGCAAACTGATTATGTGAGTCTGCTTTACGTGAGTCTGCTTTACGTGAGTCTGCTTTACGTGAGTCTGCTTTACGCGAGTCTGCTTTATGTGAGTCTGCTTTATGTGAGTCTGCTAGAGTGTGACCTCATCGATGAAGTGGTCACATAAATGATAATTTGTATAGGAACCATTCTCTAATTTCAATTTTGCCATTGGTTTTAATTCCAAGTTTGCCAGCTTTTTCGTTTTCGCGATGTACCAAGCTAATTGGGAGATTCACCTTGACGTCATATATTTTTTTTGACCTTGAACCTTGATGACTTCCATGTACATTATTATTAATCATGTTTGTACATAATACATAAATGGTTCTGGATGGACTACTGCGACTTTACCACTCATATAACTAATAGTACCACTAAGTTTATGTAACTCGCCTTTTATGTAAAGGGTGTGATATGGACACCTAATTAGAGATGATAAACAATGATCATCTATATGGAATACCCAGGTGGCCAGCTCGTTTACATGACGCTCTTACCAATTACATTATTAAATATCTGTGGTGTTTTAACGATTTCCATTAACTAGGTCATATTATGTATGGGATAGTTACTATATAGCCCTGCAAAGTTTATAATAATGCTTGGTCTCCCCTGATAAACCATGTAGTCCAGGTAAACCTCCCTCTTTATAGTTGCAAACTCTCATGCTAAGTTCATTTCATAAAGTGCTGGACTGTGGTTGATCATGGAACGCTCCCATAAAAGCCGGACGAACACACAATATTCATTCAAGATCAAAAAGCCCCTCGGAAGTACCTCCAAATATCCCTATGAGAAGGCTCGACAGTGGGTCAACCGATCTCCCGAACAGAGGCAACAAGAAGTCGCAGAAAGAAATGGAAAAATCACGAGGCCTTTGAATGCATTTATGCTCTACCGAATGGACAACGCTTCGTATATTCGCGAGAACATCGAAGGGGGTGACAATCCAAAACATATTTCTATTATTGCAGGGCTAAGTTGGGCTTTGGAGCCTAAAAAGGTCAAAGAGATCTATGCTGATCTCGCTTTGGAAGATCAAATACGCCATGTCGAAGCACACCCTGAGTATAAGTTGACTCAACGGAAATTTGCCAAAACCGAAATACAAGACAGTGAGAGATGGGAATCAGCTTTATTCAAGCATATGGATGGCCATTCACATCGGCAAACAGAATTCTACAATCCCAGTGAATTGGATTTTCCGCTATTTACATCTCCTTTATTCCAGCTCACAGACGAGGACTGGGATAACTCCGGATATGTCTTCTGAAGCTATCAAATTCCGGTATGGCATCATGGGTACTGGTGGTACGTACTTCCTTTCCATACATGCTAGAAAAGACTACGTATACAGTATAGTATATCGTCAATATGTGTTTTCATGCTGATTCTGCTAGATAACCAGGATACAACCAGGCAGAAATATGGACAGCTCACTTTAGAAATCTAGCTAGCTAGGAAGCTGCCTTGAGCCAAATATTGGGCATTTTGATCCCAGTTGATGAGGAGCCAGGGCTCAGAAATGAATGAGGTAGTAGTCATAGTGTATTGAATATATACCTTCCAAGTCTATAGTTTGTGCTGGATCTCCTGCAAATAAGCTCGCTAAGTGCCTATATAAACCCTGCCTTTAGACCTGATTCAAACCGCATACTCGTCTCGTATTGTGTAGATCGCGAAACAGCAATACAGGCCCACGTTGTGCTAAAAGATCGTATGAGTTTCCCCTCGGGCTTTTACAGAATAAATCTCGTAGACTTGATGTATCAAAAATGGAGTAAACCTAACTGCTGTCTCGCACATAGAGGTCCCAGAACTTGATGTCAAGCTCTCAGAGTATGAGAAGATCCTACCATTTCGTCAGAGTCATGTTTGTGACAGTACGCAGTGCAAATTATACGGATCTAGTTGTGAGTGAATCTATAGTGTGATACTACCGAGAAGGTGAGCTCGTGGAAGAAGGTATGTAAGGAACCAAGAAGAATTGAAGAGGACACTCATCCATACACGGCTGCCTCATCTGAGTTGCTAGTTCTTATCGCTGTTGGCTCGGGGATAGAGAAATGAAAGTAAGGACGAATATGTGAAAGGAAAGAGAAGATGAATAGGGACTTTGGCGTGGGATAGAGTTAGGTCTCCGCACCCTCAGTGATAATTCTCGAGGCAGATTCTTTGGGTTCGTACAGTCCCGACTTGATTCAAGGTACCACGATTCTCGCCTTACGAAGTTTAAAGCTACGCGTTGTACGTCACGATCGAACAATGATAGTACATATCTACACCCTTTCCTTCTTACATCCTTTGCTTCGGACCTGTAGATTCGATTTTTTACTTTCGGAAATGCCATCAGGGTCGACATCTTTACCACCCAACAGCTTGTAGAAGCACTCATCTTGAAAAATATTCGACAAGAAACCACATTGGGGGAAGTTAGAAGTATCTGCAATTACATTCTCCAATCTTGGTATGTCTATATACTACAAGAGAAGGGCAAGGTTTTCATAAGTAGGCAAAAACTATCACAGGGATAATTGTGATTTGGACGAATGTGCATTTTATCCAATAACACAATGCCAAGAGATGGAACAGTCAAGACATTTTTTTAAACGCTACCTTACCAGGAAGAACTTCTGTGCTGCGTTTAGACCTGTGTAATGCTGCCACGGCCCATTCAAGGAGCCTCAAATCGCTTCCTGGGGCTCCCATAAGGGAGACAACTATCGGCATTTTTTCCACCTTTCCAGTGATCCGAGATTCGTATCCGGTTTGAGATACTGAGAATCCCCATCAGAACTTGGCTCAAATGTGCTCGAAGAAGAACGGATATAGTGCTTACTTGGAATGGTCAATTCAGGTGCCCCAAGAATGGGAGCGATATACGTTGGTGGAAGACCCGGAACCTCCGGACTGCTATTCCCAGGGTATTCATCTCGATATCTTGGTTTGATATTATCAGTATGAATTGCCATGAGCATTTGACAGGACGATGCATATTGCTCTAAAAACCAAGTCCGAAAGATGGACATGCGTTTCAATATCTCATTATGCTGTTCCATGGTGACTTCGCTACCCAGGTCCCTTTTCGTAATTAAAAAGGTGGTGAGTAGAATGACCATAAGATATCGGAAAGTCAATACGCATACCAGTATTTTCTTACAACCTCCGTCACAAAGGGTGGATGGCCATGAAGCTCATGATATCGAGCTCTAAATTTACCGAACGAGTGATAAGCTGCATAATACCACCCATGGCGCATTAGCTCCAAAGAGGATTTTGTCAGTAGATACCAAGTAGACGCGACAGCGGGGTCACAATGCATACGTTGTAAAGATATTGGTGTAAATCTTTCTCGTCCACAGGTGCTGTCTCGCGCCAATCACTTTCGATGGAGATGATACGATACGAACATCCGGTCGCTTTACATACATCATCAAGGAAATTTTCCATCGCACGAAGCTGTTCAACATTATCTTCAGGCATAAAATCTGTTGGATAGAGAATCACGAGTTCGCCTTCATCTATTGAAGCTTTGTTGTCTTGCTCTCCCGAAGGATGTAAGGCTCGAAAGACATCGGGAAAAATATCAAGACCTCTTCCATGCCAGCCAGGTGTGTCCAATTCCGCCCATGCTTTGACTAATCCTTCATCCGATATTGAACCGGTTGAGGGGCGGAACCCGAAGATCCCAGTTTGAAGCGCCGGTATTCGGGCACTTCCAGTAGCTATTTCCGTTCATACAACTATCAATAACTGATGGTCAAGATGGACAATTTTTGAAATAAGACGTACTGTCACTGCATATCGACAAATCAATCCAATGGTAGGCTGCAACTGCAGCAGCACTTCCACCACTGCTGCCTCCTGTGATTAGGTAGCCGTCTCCTCGCGGATTAAATGGCGCTTGGTAGTCCACACTTTGAGTCGGATGTTCCATCATGGCAAAGGAACTAAGATGGGTCTTTCCAACTATAGTAGCGCCCGCTGCTAGCAACAAAGATATGGTATCTGCGTTATTTTGCTCGATGGGATATGTCTCAAAATACGCACGGTTCCCAAGCGTCGTACAAGTACCACTAACGTGATAGTTGTCCTTAACAGCGACCCTCAACCCTTTAAGGAGTCTTAATAAAAATTTAGTTAGTTTCATTATCGCGTTTTACTAACCACGTGTCAGGGAGCTAGATTCTTACTTGGTAGTATCTTTTGATGACGTGAAATAGGATCTTGCGGGGACAGCAATCTTATGCGCTCGATAAGGACTCCCAGCCGCGTTAACCTCAACGAATCGACTAGCAGCTAGCATTAGAAACACATGTATGTAAGTATATGGTTAGCCTACCCGTCCTTATGTAGGGAAGGCCACAGAGCCTGCACAAATGCAAGTTGAGTGTCAGGGTAGGCCTTAAACACCGAGTAATAATTGCCTTTAACGAGACAGTATGGTCCGGTTGCAATACCCAGGTCATGCTTATATAAAACCACTTTGAGGGTGTTCCATCTCTCAAAGAGGCTTATCACATCAGGCTCCAAATGGACATTATCTGAACAAACGCCACCAAGCACGATGCACCGAAGAAAGTCAGTATGAAAGACATCGTCCTTGTCCAAGACTTCCTTTCTGCACTGCTCTAGCATACTTGTTTCAATTCCCTGGTCCCTGGGAATCCCTATGTACGTCACTAGCGTGTAGGCCTCATTCGAACCCTCGGGCTCACTTTTCGAAAGTGTTGAGATAAAGTTGGTAGGCAGGCTCGCAGACGGTGTTGTTGACCTTGCGAGGTACTGGCCTTCATGTATTCTGAAGCAAATCATTGGTCTACTCCGAAACTATGACTGTTGCTACCGCTTTACAAGAGAGACTAGATCTTGTATTGTTTGTATGTGATGTGGATGTGGATGTGGGTGGACCCTTCCGTCTTGTGAATTGAATTCCCAGTATTGGAAATTAGACCAAGCTATTCCTGTTTGGGATAGACACAAAGAATCATATGAGCATTGTGTCGGATTAGTCGGTTTATTCCAGGCCAATCCTGAAGAGTGTTTTACTAGGATCAAAGAAAAGAAGTGACTAGCAAGATTGTATCTGTTGAGTTCTGTCTCTCTGTCTCCATCAGGTTTCAAAGCCGGGTCCTTTATAGACACCTTTGGCGGGGTGATTTGTGAGCTATCAGGAGGGGTAAATATTGGGCTGAAATCTATGTGCCCAGATATATGCCTAAAGGTGCCTTTTAGACCTGTAAGATTGAACAGTCGATCTTTCTGCCTCGTTTGAAAGCTGGATTATCTGACACATTGATCACTAGGAAATTTCAACGATTGGATTTATAGCTCGATACGAGAACGATCTTACAAATTAACTTTACAGCCTACATCTAGAAAAACAATTGAGAACAAATGCTGGTCTCTAGTGAGTATTCTTAGGATAACAATGGCTATCACATTTAGAAGGGAATCTTAGAAGAATGCAGAAAGGTCAACGTGGGTTAAAACTGATTGCGCTGACCTTACCTGACTTAACTGTTAAATTGCCAGCCCATGATAATAGCTATTATTATAATGAGAAAGATTGTCGCTGTACAAAATAGGGGTGTACACCATTGGCTCTCTGTGCCAGTTGGTTCCTGTGCTCTGAACAGGGGTTTTTTGCTGATTTCTTGTGTCGTAACTGTCGTTCTAGGATCAGGACTGGGACCACCCGGATAGGCTGCTTTTGTATAGGGTTTTGTTCTACGAACATCAAGACGATCAACGCTGTCCTTCCCATCTTCCTCTGGAGGTACAACCCGAATTTTAGGAACTTCTTGATTCATTTTGAGTGGCAATGCTTTTGTGTAAAATGATTGATCCTCCGGTATTTGTTGGGGATTTATACTTTTGATGGCCATAATACTAGAAATAGATTGTCAGCAACCATAGCAATAATCACTACGTGGTGTTGTCATTCTCTCTAGTAACTTAAATTACTTAGTATTATGTTAAATACGTACTGTCGCGCCCGAAATGTCCTTTATAGCCCTGGACACAAGAGTCATTTCGCAAACCCTAATTATTTAACGGCGCTAAGCCTAATATAGGTAGTTCTAAATACATCGTTTGTATGGAACTCGTACTGGTAGTGGTAAAAAAGTGTATTGTAGATACAAACATGTCTAGGAGCTTCGATTCATTGCAAACATATCAAACACGATGACAGGGTGTAGATCTGGCAACTTGTCAATATCTCGTCGTCCGGTATCTTGTAAAGCTATCCAGACAAGCAGCTAAATTTCTGTGGCACTAACTCTATCTATGAAACATTTCTCGTTTTATCATTGAGGTTCGAGTTGCCAATCTTATGACTGGATACCAGATGTGTAAGAGGCTAACTGTTGATGGCAAGGCTCCTAGTACGTTAGGTTCGGGACGATGGCAGACAACTCGCAGTCCCCGTCAGTTGATCCATAGGTGGTCGCCCCCCACTCCGGGCTACTATGCAGATTCACATGTATACTCCCTTAGTCCTTCCCCGCATCCTCTGTCGCAGGTACAGCAACCCCTCGGGTTCCTACAGTCAGGTGAAAGGAAGGAGGGAGCCGAATATGTTTGCTATTGTCGGAACGTGAATATCAAACCTAGCGCGTTTCGGCACTGGATATCAGTTAGTCTAACGCGGCACGTGCGTGCCGCGTATATATGTAGTTAGCTACTCCCCGTCCCCCTTACTCTTGGAAAAACGATTTTCGAGTTGATAGGCGACTTCCTTATAATTATTTATATCAAACAGTCGGAGGCTCAAAATCCTCAACCCTCTCTACCACCTAGCTCCCAGGAGTGCAGCCTTTGACGCGTCTCAACGCGCCCGGCAACACCATGGCGCGTAAAGGCCCTGGTACAGATGGCCCTCTACAGACAGTCCTTCTGGAATCCACGTCTACAGCCACAACAAGAGCTTCTGAAGGACAGAAGATCTTCAGCCCCATAGCTGTATTCCTTGATAAACACCGCAGCCAAACCACCGGCCTTGCTCCTCACCTACTGAGAGCCCTCACCGCTCTAAGTGATGACCTCGCCTTGGTAGCTCAACAACATTTCAACGCTTATATCAGCGGTATCTTGACGACCTTCATTCTACCTGCCCTGTCCCCTACCCCTTCCTCTTCCCCCACCCTAAATCCCTTACCCCCTTCACCCCCTCCCTCACGTCCCCCCTCAGGTCTTAACCAGTCAACTTATGCGACTATTACCCAACATGCCCTGGTCAAATCAACTCCCACCACTCACCCTAAAGTCTCCATCAAAAAGCCTATGCCTCTGGTGAAACAACCCTTTCCTGACATCTGGCTCTTCGTACGCCTCCCAGCTGACCATGCAGCCAGAAAAATGGAAGCCTACGCTATCTACTCTAGCCTACGATCTCAACTAAACTTAAATAGTGCAGCACTAAAAGAAGTCCAAGCTACAAAGACTGGCTTTGCACTATGCCCCTCATCTCCAGAAGCCCTCCTAGCCCTTGAGGCCCAAAAAGAGACTATCTCTGCATTCTTTGTTAACTGCCAGATAGAACGCAGCTCCCGATGGGTCTCGTACCGAGTCACCAACGTGCCAAGGAAAATTGGCCAAATCTTGGATGGTCAATACTCTCTAATCCCTGTCAATCCTACACTACTATCCTTAGAAATTAGCGAAACTACAGGGCTCAAGCCTATATCTATTAGCGAGACCACTACGAGCGCTGCCAACCCTGATACTCTCTCCTCAAGCTGGTTTGTCAACTTCCCAGAAGGCACGAAATCACCACTGCCTATCCAGCTACGTCTTTTTGGCACTATCACCAATGCTCGTCACCTCTCTAAGAAAACAACAGTTATTCAATGCACACGATGCTGGAAATGGCATAATGCACGATCCTGTGCACGCCCCTCTCAATGCCGACTATGCGGCTCCTCAGAGCATACTGAAGAGGGCCATGTCAACCGCTGCACAGCCCTGGAGCCTCATCAGTGCCCTCCCAGATGCATACACTGCCATGGACCACATCCTGCTGATTTCCCAGAATGCCTTCTGCGCCCCAAAGGCAATACTAAACATACTAAAGCTCAACAAACAGAGATCCGCAAATCCTGCGCCATAAACCTCGCAAAAGCTCGAACTGAAGGAGGATGTAGCTCTCAGCTCTCTATAGGCACACAAGAAACATCTATGGCATTAGATGAGATGCCATCACAGCCTTCAATCCATGAGATTATCTCTCCTTTCCGTTCAGTAACCCCCCCACCTCGCGCCCCAACTGAAGATCCTCCCATTACAGCTCGTGTAGTCCGTTTTACAACCCCTCAACTACAAAACTGGTTCGCCTCTGTTCTTGAACAGGAGCTATGATCTATCACTATCCAACTCAAAAGGCGCCTCTCAAAATCCTACAGTTAAATGTAGGGCACGCGCTAGACGCACATGAAATAGCCCTCACATTGGCATACACTAGCGACATCGATATTATCCTAATCCAAGAACCATATACATTCAAAGACCTCAGCCGACAGATCACTAAAAAACATCCATCATATGAATGCTTCTCCCCAACTGATAGCTGGGCAATAAGTGGCCGACCACGAGTCCTCACCTATGTCTGAAAGAAGAAAGGCATCCGGACCTCCCAGCTACGCCCCTTTACAACTGACACTAAAGAAGCCTCGGATCTCCTGTTCCTTCAGATTTTTTCGCCCACAGGAAAGTCCGCTCTGATAGTTAACATCTATAATGCCCCAGCAGGCTGCAGCAGAGCAGGTGAAGCCGCGAAAGCTCTCACAACCCTGCCAGAGGCGTATTTCCCTCAAACAACGATACTTGCAGGCGATCTCAACCTACTACACAACAGATGGCAACCCTCGCTACAACGCAGCCCTACAACTTTTGCAGAGCCGTTTATCAACTGGCTGGATCTCCAGGGTCTAGTACTCATTTCCGACATAGACTGTCCCACACATGAAAGGGGTAACGTGTTAGACCTCAGTTTCGCCTCAAGCCCTCTGGCACTCGCAGGAGCCAAAGCTAGCATAGCGAGCCACTTAGATGCTACCTCAGATCATCAACCACTAATTACCACTGTTCCATGGGATCAGAGATACAAGGAAACAGCTCAGAAACTGAGATTTGACACACTAGACCACACCTCCTTCCTCTCGCTCCTCGCCTCTAATCTCGCTGGCACCGAGAGCTCAGACGCAACAGAAGAAGATCTTGATGCCCTTGCTGAAAAACTGACATCTGCAATCCAAGGAGCATATAGAGGCTCTGCTAAGAGGACCATGACACAAGGCATAGGACAACCATGGTGGAACGAAGACTGCAAGAAAGCTTTACACAATTACCGCTTAGGCCTCTGCTCAAAGACAGACTTCCGCAGGATAACTAGATGGTCTCAATGACAATTTTGGCGAGAGAAGCTCTCTACGGTAACACAAATGAAGGATGTTTTTGACATGAGCAAATGGCATAAGTCTACAGGCATCTTCCGAAGCCCTCCACTAAAAGATCTGCTAAGGCCCAACAGCCTCCCAGCAGTTACTGTACACGAGAAACGAGACGTACTAGTCCGCAATCTTCTCCAGAACTCGGCAGAGGCAGGAGACATACCTCTGGACTCCCCAACAGTCCCTTCCACTAGTCTCTACTTCCCAGATATATCGATGCTACAAGTGGAGGAGTCAGTACTTCAGGCAGGAAACACAGCCCCTGGCGCAGATGAAATCCCAACCTGCATACTCAAAGTAGCCTGGCCTCTGATCAAAGATAAGGTACTAATGCTATATCAAGGGTGCCTAAAGATTGGTTATCATCCTAAATGCTTTCGACACGCAATCTTAGCAATCATCCAGAAACCAAAAAAGACTGATTGGTCTTCACCTAGATTATACAGACCAATCGCTCTCCTATCAGTACTTGGCAAAGGACTGGAGCGCTTGGTGGCACGGAATATGGCATGGATCTCTATACACCATAAAGTATTAGCAAGGCAACAATTTGGGGCTCTCCCACTAAGATCTGCAACTGACCTGACCACATGCCTAACACATGATGTTGAACAAGCGCTAAATCAAGGCATGACTGCCTCACTCCTTACCCTAGATGTCAAAGGCGCCTTTGATTCCGTACTTCCCGGCAGACTGATCCGCAGACTACGCGAGCAGGGCTGGCCTACCAATCTCGTTCTCTGGATTGCCTCCTTCGCTACTGGAAGATCAGTTCAGATCCGACTCGATGGAGAGATCAGCCCCTCAACAGACATTACCTGCGGTCTTCCACAAGGATCCCCAGTATCTGGCATTCTTTTCATGCTCTACATAGCGCCTCTATTCCGTCTAGGAAACCCAAGGAACAGATTTGGTTACGCGGACGACGCAGCCAACCTGGCGATCTCAACTTCTCTTACTACTAATTGCGAAGCCTTATCAGACTCACTTCAAGAAGCTCTTAATTGGGGCGCTGCAGAGGGCATTACATTTGCACTAGATAAATACGAGCTTCTTCACTTCTCCCGACATAAAGCAGACCAGGACCCAACCCGCACACCTTCAGTGAAAGCTGGATCTATTACAATATCAGAAAACACTAAACGGCTATATCTACGATGGCTAGGAATCCTCTTTGACAAAAAGCTAACGTTCAAATGGCACGTTAGAGAAACAGCATCTAAAGCCCTCACTGTGGCCAACGCTCTTCGCTCTCTAGGGAATACTGTTCGAGGAGTCAAACCTGATTTACTACAGCAGGCTGTATCAGCCTGTGTACTCCATAAAGCATACTATGGCGCAGAAACCTGGTGGCCAGGACGTACTCGCCCTGGACCTTCCCAGATTTCAAACCGAGTTGGAGAACATCTTGAGAAACTAACTAAAGTAATACTAACAGGCGCAAGAGCAGTCCTTCCAGTCTTCCGCACAACCCCAAAGCCAGTCCTTTATCGAGAGTCTGGATTCTCTCCACCAGAAATCGAACTAGATCGAATAGCCCTCCTTGCAACTGTCCGCCTACGGCGCCTCGACCCTTATCACCCACTTCGAAGACGCGCAGAACAGATCGCTAGTAACGGCCGACAAACCAGCCGATTTGCCCGCCGTACACTGGCCCTCCCAAACTCTGAACAGATAAACCCTCTCCAATACGCTCCCTGGCACCCTCGCGAGCCTCGTGGGAATGCTCAAGCTCGAATAGGAGCTCCCATGGGACGCACTAAGGAACAGGCAGCGGCTAATTTCATGGCTTTTCAACGTACCATCCCTAGCTCAGATATTGTAATCTTTTCAGATGGATCTAGGCTAGCAGACGGACGTGCAGGGGGTGGCTATATTGGACTTCAAGCACACCATCAGTTCCTCCGCTCCTCACTCTTATACGGACACGGGAAAGAGGTCTTCGACGCCGAAGCAGAAGCAGCTCTAGCTGGCGCTTAAGCAGCAATAGCGTACCCAACAGCTCAATTTGCTACCAACCTATGGATCTACCTTGACAACCTGGAAGTTGCCATACGCCTTCTATCTCCCTCTACAGGATCTTCCCAAGAAATCTTTGAATCCTTCCGCACCCTTGCAGCCGCCTGGCCATTTCGCAAAAGGCTTCCTCACACTAAAAGCGGATCTATCCAAATCCGATGGGTCCCTGGACACGCTAAAATCCCTGAGAACGAAGCGGCTGATCTCGCTGCCAAAGAGGGAGCTGCCTCAATCCCTCCTGCTCCTCACAAATCCTCATACGCCTCGCTAAAGAGATACGCCAAGACTCAATCCCTATCCGCTGCTCAGTCACAATGGGAGAAGGTGGCTATTGCGGCCCATACTGGTCATGGAGACTTTGCAGACTACCATGAACGCTTCAACCATGATGATGCTTATCTTCTCTGCCAATGCGGAGCACGAAAAGCACCTCTGCACTTCTTCTTCTGTCATATAGCTAAGAGACGAGCCCCTCGGCCTCCTGGGCCCCCTTCTGAGGTCATCTCTTTTCTCTTAGGCACTGCTAAAGGAGCACAAAAGCTAGCCACATGGCTAGCAGAGACTCACTTCTATGAGGATATCTGCCCTCGCTAACCTCTCCTTAGCACCTAGCTAAGACAGCCCTACTCTTCCTTTATATTTCTCTTCTCCTTCTTTCTTTCTCTTCTCTTCTTTCTTTCCCTCTCTGCAAAACTTACTGTTCAGTTATAATAGTGGTGGAGTAATAGGTCATGGAGTGTAGGCGGACCATTGCAGCTGGCAAATACCTAAAACCCACTCAAAGTGGACCTCCCTGTAAGACCACGGCAGCTATGGAAATGCGCCAAAGAGTCTCTTATTTGTATATAAATCTGATAAAACCTGAAACCCGAGGCTTACCCCTCGGCGGCCTATGTCCCAGTAGGGATCGGTGGGAAGCGTGCGAGTCACGAACCACGGCCGTTAAATATACACACACACACACACACACACACACACACACCACTTACTCTTGGGGGGCAGTCATCAATATCAGGAATTCCATACCATATTGATCAGGCTCGTCAGCTCGTCGGAATAGCTGTTCTACGTGGCTAGTGCTAGCGACCTAGACGTAGATAAACCGACAGCTATACAATCGCGTGGAAGCTCCATGTCAGTGATAAGAGATCAGGCAGTCGCACTGCAAAAGATCTGGTTGTAGCTCCCAGTATTTACTGGGAGGAAAAGCTAAAAGCCGTCCTTGAGGAAATGTTACACACCAAGAGCAAGACAGATCACCACTTTCGATTTGAAGGGGCGGACATTATCGTATCGGTCAATGATCGAACGCAGACTAACTTTGAGGATTTTGCGAGCTCCACGAACATTGATTGGCTGCTAATTGAGGCAACTGTGTAAATGGGGCCACTTGCCTCGTATCAGAAAAACACTTACCACCTAACTGTTCATTCTCCTTTCCAGTAATTCCTGGAGATCGAGTGACAGCGGTGGAGAGATTTTTCAAGTGGCTGATATCACAGTACACTAATGAGTCGTACATAGCTGATTTTCGGAGCGCTCAGGATGTAATCATAGAAACTCGTATGGATCTGGAACTAATCCTCGAGTATCCAGAACCCGAAACCTTTACGAATGAAGGGATACCCAAAGGAACTGCGCTTCGTATCATTCGTGAGATTCCCAGATGGGCCGAATATCTGGAACAAAACTCGCCCTCTAGGGGGATTTTGGAGGACATTGACCAATAAATAAGAGTATCTATGGCTGAGTTGGTAAGTCTTATACTCTACCCGTGTGTTGATATGATAAAATCAACCGCGGTTTCGGGGCGTGCTATCTGTCCTTTCGCTAAAGAAACTCGCTTGTAGATCCTGTTAACCCAGCCGCTTCCTGTTCCTTTGTGCGTCCCATAGGACCTCCTATTCGAGCTTGGGCACTCTCTCGTGGCTCGCGAGGGTACCAGGGAGCATGTTGTAGAGGGTTTATCTGTTCAGAGTCGGGGAGGGCCAGCACACGGAGGGCAAATCGACTGCTTGGTCGGCCGTCTCTGGCTACCTGTTCTGCGCGTCTTCGAGTATTTTACTTGATATTCCTTCTTGTCCCTTATTTACAGGGGAGCTTTGCTTATACCCCTCTTCGCATGGCTTTTTCTCATGATTGAAGATGCATAGTACCAAATGAGGCTTAGATCCTATTCCGTCAGACTAGCTGTTTCAATTTGTCCAAAGATTGATATAAGAATAAAGCGTGCGCAAAGAACAAATCACAGCCATGGTGATTAATATTGTACTATATCAAAGCTCTTTTGTACTGCACCTATACTTTTGTGTTGATTTCAAAACCAGCAAGAACAGTGATATCCCCCCTCTTTCTTTAGCATACATAGCATTTCATAGAGGAAGAGTAGCAGTATTCGAGGATTTAAAAGGTCGGTGTTCGATAGATCCGATTCAAAGTGCCGAATGTATGCTAGCCACATGAGTTCCACAGTAGCTGCATCCTGAATGTATCCAAGGTCGAAAACGTATTTGTTAATAGGTAGTGATCTGGTAAGGGTAGGGATCTTGCTCTCAACAGTGAAATTGATTCTCTTCGTTATGTGGTCTATGATCGAAACAAGACCGCGTAATATAAACATAAGCTTCCTGATCGTAATTTCCGGATAGCAGTTGCTGCGAAAATGTATTATTTCGCTTAAGAGATTCTCTACCGCGAAGAGGAGCGAAGGAATGGAGGTAGACGCCACGGAAATCATGCCCGCAATTGTTGATTCCGCTGGACAGAAATTACCTCGCACTCTCCAGTCAATATACGTCGTTGACATAATGTTCTCTGTGCGGGGAGGGCGACCTTGAACAATAGATATGTAGCGGTACAGCGGTTCCTGGATACATGGTGGTGCCCACTCAATCAATCTGCGTAAGAATCGTAATATGACTGCATAGCTAATTTGACTCATGTCGACCGTGGGGAGGCTTGCCCATACTGCGAGGTCGTCTATTTTCTCATCTGGAGAAAGACATGGCTTGTTTAGACCTTGGAAAGGACATAAAGCTGCCAAAGCGCATAACGCCCACTTCCATTCGGCGGAATTCTGTAGACACTTCACAAGCGTATGCCTTATCTCACTAGCATTCCAAGAAAAAAGATAGTGCTGGCCTTCATTGCTTTCCAAATGTAATGCTTGTCTGATATCTAATCCCTCGTCTCCGAAATTTGCCTCATAGTGCTGCAACACGAGCAAAGCATGGGGCCATGGGTCCTGATGTTGAACCATTTGAATATCACAGTCTTGATCTACTTGGTCTTGCAGTATAGAGTTACTATCCTCTTCGACTGCAAGCATCCATCTTGAATGACTCCAAAGCAAGTCCTTATGTGTTCCTGACTCGGTATTAGATGGCTGGTTGGACAAAAACACACATATATAAATAGACGGTAAAAGAAAGGCAACAAAACCAGGGTAAAAAGGAGCAATCACCTTGCTGATGATGGCGGAACTCGCGGAGGCTTTTGTACTTCTCTCCACATACTTCACACTGTAAATTTCGAGATTTCTGGTGTTTATAGCCTCTTGTTTGATTGAATAAAATTTTTGATTCGCACATAGCAGCACAGAATGAACCAATGGCACCGTTTAGGATATATTAGTAGATTGTAGGTTGTTGATGAACTTGTGGAGGTTTTGATCCGCAAAGGACATGAGAGATGCTAGTTATTAGCTTAGATGTAGACACATCCTTTATGGCTTCATAATTAGCCAAAACTAAAAGTGTACACTGGTCATAATAATCCAGCATCAAGATTTGGGGTTTAGTAATTCATTAAAGATCCTCCATCAGTGCTCCTTATATATACACATATCGTATTCTTCTCTTCGCGATGACAAAAGGTACAGTACCTGAGAATTGATACAGTATATAAATTTGTATTATTACGTGTACTGAACTTGGAAATCTCGAAAGACCAAGCTCCTCTTACAAATCTAAACCAAGCTCATCTCATGTCCCTGATAAGGATTACAACCCCACTTTTGTGACGCTGGCCAATGCCTTGCATTCGTTGCTAACTAGGTGAGCCTATCTACGAAGAATAACAAGCATAAAGAAGGAAAGGAGAAAAAACACACCGCCCCTCTGCACGCAGCTCCTTCATATGATCCTTTGTGTGGACGGAGCTTCCCAATACAGTACCGCTCCCAATATACTAATTTCTCAGGGCTCAAGCCCTATCTCGAAATAGCGGGAAAAGCCTCATAGGATGACACTGTACGGAAAGCTCCGTCGCCAAGCCGTAGAGCTGTCAAGCCGTAGAGCTGGCTGTCACACTTTGACAGGTTAATCATAACAGCTAATCCCTAATAATCTCAAACGAGGTTTATCTTAATTTTTAAAAATTTGTTATATAACCTATGCCAGGCTATCACAAGAATCTCCAGTACCTGTGTATGAGTGTACCATTCCTTTAACTTTAGTAATATATACGTTGATTTCCAATCCCTTACATGAAAAATAACTAAGCTACTTAGCTACATGCGGTTACCGCGCTATGTTGGTATGTATCAAAGCTGAATATAATACCTACAGGGAAAATCTTATTTTCTCGCACTCTCCCGCTGCGCGGTGTGGATAAGGGGCTCCTGCGTTATTTAACTACGCGTATTCTGGGGTTACTCGACACGTCGGAATAGGTGACCTGTAACAGTATTGTGGGAGTTCTCAATTCAGATCCTGTTCTCATTGTACGCCGTTATACCACTTTAACAGCTACCCTTAACACTGCCTGCACTACAGATTATTTATGGCTATGAATGCTTTATAGAACGCATGTGTTGCATTTAGAGCAGTCCAACCTTTAGCACAGCTTCAATTACTCAATAGACACCATAAAGCTGACACACATCTAGTGTATGACAGGTTACGAAACCTCACAGCAGAGCAGCCTGGTGTGTATACATTGCGCATAAGATAGCAACGTGAAAGATCTGGTGCGAGCTTCCCCATATATCAAACTTACCCGGCGCCAAACGCTCCGGAAATCTAAACTATAGATGTTCGTCAAAATTCTTGTCTCTCACAGAATGGAAGACGTAGTATGCGTGCAGACATACCGCGTATACACTGACTCCAATCCCATAGAAAGTAAGCTCGAGCAGGTACCATTTCATTCCCAAGTATTGAAGCATATATTCAAGCCCGTATCGTTGGACTCCATGCAATAGGGGTATAAACGATGAAGAGCCAAAAATAACGAATGTGCCCGCCTTCACTTTCCGCCAGCCTGGCATTTTGAATAAGGGATTCGAGATTAGAACACTAGTGACTGTACCCGTGGTTAGAACCTGGAACTCATGTCAGCGTATCGTCAGATTTGTCCCGGCTGCCAGGAGGATGGAGCGAGTGGTAACAATCACTCGGAGAGGCTCACAATAGCCCAGTGCAGTTTTTGCAAACTCGCTTCACAGAAAAATACATAATAGATGCTAGAAGATAATATGCCCACTGTCACAATGACAACACCAAGCAGATCCATTCCATGCCAGAACTGTTCTACTTGATGTGAGTGAGGCTGCATCAGGTGGTACAGTGTGCTAAGGACCAGACAGATCTCTGCACACCCAAGGTAGATTCCAAACATAGAGTAGTCCATGGACGAGACATTGACAAACTGAGGCTCTGCCAGGTACCTCAGGAGAGTAGCTGCGACGAGTGGCAGGAGTAGAGCCCCGATCAGATGAGTGTATACATTGCAAGACTCATTGTGCAAAAAGGTTAAGCTGAAGAGGATCTCCAGATAGTCTGCTTTCGGTAGTCGATAGCCCCTGAGAATATACTGGTTGTCGAACTGCCATTCGGAAATCTTCTGCCAGGTTACGGTTCGCTCTTCAGTCTTTGGCTGGCTCGTGGTGCTCATATTGACTTTCGGCACCTGCCTTTTTTGAGACCTCCTCCTGACATATGAGCCACACAGAGTATGAAGCACGCACAGGAGGACATAGGAGAAGTAGATGAAGGATACAAAAGGACTGGATTGCTGAAAGAAGGGCAGAGGAATGAATAAGCGTCACAAAGAAAATACGATATAATAGTAAGGGATCCGCCGGACCTGCTATAAGGCGATTGATGGGGAATATAGGCGCGGAGAGATAGAACTGATTACTGGGTTAGTAGGGCAAGCGCAGCATAGGTTACGGTACTACATTACCAATACACTAACAGGTTTGATACAACTCGTTATTTCACCGAAATACATACTATCCATATCCAGTTTAGTATTTGAGGTTAATTAGAGTTTGAAATTCGATCTATGTTTGTACATTTTGGGAAGGATATTTCTGACTGTAATCGTTATGTGGTGTGGAGTCAGATTTCTCATAAATCGTGTGATTTACTAAAAAATAAGTTAACTAACTAATTGACTGACTGATGATTACATCAACTACTCTGTCCCAGCCACCACGAAGGCAGCTATGCAGCTTGCGTCCTAGTGACTGCCAGCTCCAGTCAACGAAACAATAATGACAGTGTTAAAGAAAGACTTCGATACAACCTGAGGAATTCGTAAGCTGGTATGTGTGGGCTTTGTAAATTGCTGAAATGGCGCGTCCTTGGCGCCCTAGCCTGCTAGGATACAGTTGGGGATCGATCCCAGCTGTCTACCACTAGAAATGCTAATAGTAGGTCTCGTTGTCTAATTAGGACATGAACCACTGTTTCCGTAGCACATTCGCACTTGTCATCTTTCCTAAGGCCACGTAGTTTGTCATGCGATGCTACACATGAATGGCCGGTGCAAAGGCACATGAGGAAGAGCGAGCGAAACCCCAAACCTCCTTTACACCAAGCACTCTGAGCGCAAATCATATAAACTAAGCTCGACAGTAATAAACAATTGACAAAATTGATGGACGAACAAATAATGAGATCGATGAAAAAAAAAGCATAAGAATGAGTGGGATAGTGAGGGATGGCGTTGAGGAAGAGGGGAGAAAGTTGTCATGTTACGAGGTAGGGAAGGAGCAAGCCCTAAAAAAGAACCCTATCTTGGCCTACTACGTAGTAATTGAGAAGTCACGCTACAAAATCGTGCAGCTAATCAGAAGCGGGAGGTCACGTTACAGCAATTTTTTAACCAATCGGATCAGACCTTGATTGACCAATCAGAGCAAAGTGGTAACTCCCGAGTTCAACAAGCTGTCAGATAATCCGGCTTTCAAACGAGGCAGAAAGATCGACTGTTCAATCTTACAGGTCTAAAAGGCAGATTTAGGCATATATCTGGGCACCTAGATTTCAGCCCAATATTTACCCCTCCTGATAGCTCACAAATCACCCCGCCAAAGGTGTCTATAAAGGACCCGGCTTTAAAGACTTGAAAGACAGACACAGAACTCAATACATACAATCTTGCTAGTCACTTCTTTTCTTTGATCCTAGTAAAACACTCTTCAGGATTGGCCTGGAATAAACCGACCAATCCGACACAAGCCTTTAAACTAGCAGAGCTTACGCTCTGCTAATTATTTGGATAGGGCCGGAGCTGGCAGTCAGGATTAGGACACATGTCGCATAAGCTGCATGCGAGGCGGTCGGGATGGTTAGGTGATTAAATTAATCATAAGCGAAACTAATTATTTACAGACTAACAGTACGTAATTAGTTAACTATGTAATAACAAATTCGTTAAATTATACTAACTTGAACTTTTCATCCCTGCCCGAGCGAAAACAAGGCCTACATTTAGAGTTGCCAAGGCCGAGACCTCATTTAAACAGATCCCCTGTCTTCTCAAGGTGCAGAATTATTGTTTCCTATTAATCTATCCTATCTGATCATGGTTGAAAAGGCACAGAGAACTCCCATAGAGACTTTTTCAAATAATGGCTTTGTCATCGACGCAAATCTAATTCCTTATGATATACTCGCGCTTCTAGAAAATATTGATTCGCATCTAGAGTTGATTATCAATGACCATGATCAGATAAAGAGACTTCTAAAAGCATTGTTAGGAACGGCTCCGAACCTACCAGCTTCTGGAGGTGCCAAACCGGATGCTGATCTGAATTCGCATGTGCAGCAGCCAGCTAAAAGACCCTGGGATAGCGATCTAAGTTCGGATAGCGGTACGAATTCTGATAAGGATCTAGATTCGTATTCGCAGCGGGGGTTTAAAAGACGGAGGGTATAACTACAAGTTTCAAGGGTAGCTATACAAATTTGATCCAGTTCTAAAAACCATATTTACTATGCCCATTGTAATGCAATCGCGGTATAGTTTAGTATTAATTTCAGGGTTTAAAGATCTTTTGTAAGTGGATTAACATAGAATTTATGGGCTCACTGGCAGCTGATCCGGGGACAAAGAGCACAATTAAGGAACTGCAAGCCCAGATGAAAGCAATCTAAGCCAGCTAGGTATGTACCACCTCGAAGATTTCATACGCATAGGGCCAGTAGCCGACCTGTACTGTAACAACGTTACGTTGGGTAGTCTGTAGAGTTACGTTCGAGAGGGATCATAGAAGGTTAAACACACAAAGTAGGGCGTCAATATACTGAAACCTATATCTTCTGCTTCCGCAGCATGCATTCTATATAAGAGACATTCGGGCTGTTTCATGGCAATACATCATTGACCATATGAACCTTGCCCATAACCAGCTGAAGTATCCATACTTTTGCCACTATCTGTTCTAACCCTAACACCCCCCAGGGGGTTTAATAGATATGTTGGTTATTACACCACCTGGTTTTCAACAGAGTACACCACTAGGTCTTCAAGCGTACACTCGAGCCTTTGAATTATGAGCAGGATCAGCGCACTGTCACAACTGTCAAGAGATAGAGCACAAAGGTTTTTTCTCTTTTTTTAAAAAAAAGAGCTCAGACCTGCGCCAAATGTGCAGGCGAGGGACATCACCACAATACTTGCCAGTGCGAATAATTGAAAATGAATTTGTGACGAGCACGATGAGGCATAGCTATTGAACAAACATGATACCTACAGAGAGACATGTCCAGATCTTACAGCTGCGATACTACAATTTCAAGATCAAGCAGTGCTAGTGCTCTCAACCTATGTGGAGGGGAATAATGAAGAAGCATTAGCATCCACCATCACATGGCTGCGAGCCTACGCAAAGATTGGAAAGAGAATAGGAATGCTGACAGATCTTTTAATAGTAGACTCCACCGCCATGACCAACTCTAGGGAGGAGATCGGATATATTCTGTCAGACAGATCTAACACAGCTTCACTGGATGTATATCTACTGGAGGAGCCAGGCGAGATTTTACACGAGTCTGAACTCGAAGGAAAGGCCAAACCCGCAGCAAGGAATATCAAGATGCAACTAAGTATCTAAAACCTCATAGCAGTTCATTCAGCGATAGATTACGACCTTTGGAAGAGGCAGATGGATTCAATACTAAAGACAAAGTGACACAGGCCGAAGAGCTACTTGCTACGCACTTCACACCTATACCAAAAAGCCTCAAACATGAGGGCACCCAGTCACAAAGGGAGCCGATACACATACCACATCTCATGATAGAGAAGATTAAACGGAAAGCACCCGGAGACGATGGCCTCCCAGCAATGGTATGGAGGCAGCTCTAGGGCTCTAATTTATGACTCATATCTAATGTTCTACATATAGTAGTATTGCCACAGATACCAGAAGCGCGGGCTTATTCGTCAAATGATGGGTTTGATGATTAAACTCTACGTGAAGATTACATATCAGAAGCTCAATCTGAGATTAGTTCTTGAAGTGATATTCCTTCCTCCGAAATTATACCTTTGGAATCAGTTTCACAGACAGTCATTATTGCAACTACTATACACTACCGAACTCGTCTTCCGCAAACATAGCTCCATATCGCTGCCAGAAACGTTCACTCCGGCGCCGTCACAAATGGGTTGTGGGATTACTTTCAGGTCAAGTGAGTCGAGAATGGATAATGAAAAGGATCGTGAAGTTGCAATCGACAGATCAGGATATTCGATGTGCATATATTGATAGCAAGACTGGAACGCAGCTTGCTTGGAAAATAACAGATTTGCAAAGCTAAACATTCGTCATCAATATGCAGCGACATCTTGAAAAATACTCAATTCTTTCACCTCGTCACGTTAGGGACATCATCACTCAAAAAGAGCAACGTGGCATTCTCAATGTTCTAGATTAAAAGGCTCTCACACCCCAACAACTATGTACTCGAGAAGCATCTCATTCATTGATGGCAAAGCCTTTACACCAGTTGAAAGACCATCATTTGAACAGGTCTTTCAAGATATTCCGGAATCACGCTTCCGTTCGAATCTAATTCTACACACTGAAACATCGCCTTGATGAAAAGCCTGATATACAACGTCGAGAGTTGATACAAGAAGATTTCTGATCGTGGGGTCTATTCCAGGCCAATCTTGAAGAGGGCTTTCCTTAGGATGAAAAGGAAGAAGCGATTGGCAAGTTGTATGTATTCAGTTCTCTGAGTTATCCTTGTCTGCTCCCATACATCAGGTTTCAATGCTGGGTTTTACAGAGCTTTTGTCGGGATGAATTCTGAGTCGTCCTGAGGGGTATATTTGGGGTCTGTACTTTAAGATAGAGCTTCTGATTGATCACGTCGTCTTCCTTCTTCCGATCAATTGCATTTTCTATTGGTAATTGGACAAGCAAAAACTATCTTCCAATTCTTACTATTTTTGGTCATTGGCTCATAGAGGGATTATCATATAAAAAAAGAGTGTTAGAGTTCATTGAATGCGATGGCTGAGTATGAGTCTCCTGTTCCTGACACGCAGATAGAGCACAGCCGCACGGCCCTATCGGCCCCGTATTAGGAAATCATCTCAACATGAGACGTCGGTGAAGTTGATTTCTTCTTTTCTCTTTATTCTCAGTATTGTCTTTTGACAAAACACCTCTTGTACGAGATATTTTTGTAGATAGATCCGAATCAAGCACATTGGCAAACGTCACGGTGACCCTAGGAATTTTCTATTTTTGGCACTCTATGTAGTTCCCAAAATAAGACAGCCAATGGCTCTCTTTTACAAATCTTTCAACTAATACTTTGACAAATCCTATTAAAGTAGCCTGTCGACCTACAATCAAAAAACCGAACCCGCAAGATGAGTTTCCAATATAATGCCGACTTCTTGCAATACTTATGTGGCCAACTTCGCACGTCGACACTGGAAAATGAATATTGGAGGAACCAGTTCTCATTGAGAGTGAAAAATGAACAATCAAAATGGCCTGCTGCCCTGACAGGAGATTCGATGTCTCAGTCAGAATTATTACAAGCCGTGCAGTTGTTGTATAACCTGCTTAACGCATCGTCATTTGAAAATGAACAATGGAAACGACTGTTTGCTGCCCAGATGTCTCAATCGCACTTCATTAGCCGAAGGGGCCTTCTCCCAAAGTTGAAGATACCTAATTGATGCTACATGCAGCCTACCATTCGGGTCGGGAGTCAATAACATACTTCACATATCTACTTTTCATTTTTATATCTCCTAGTAAATTCTTAGCGACGAAGTAGAAAATGTCTCTCACCAATCTTGTAAACCCGACCCTGGAGAAAAGGTAACGATGTATTTGCACGTACAATGTATTTATATATGATTTCTTGGTATACTGGATTTTGGTTTACCTGAATCACTTCGCTCGGGCGGCATTGAAAATTTGAGTATAATCTCTATGAAGTGATCTGATACTTCAGCTCGGCAGTCATCTAGATATTGTTAGTTGCAAAGAATACGCAATTATTTAGTTTAATAAAATTTACCCTTATCTAGACACTCTCAATTGCCAGACTGGCAAAGCGTGCGACGTGACACACAGTTAATCGAACTAACCCTGAACTGCAGCCCAACATGGCAATTGACATAACTAGAGGATAACTACTAGTTTAGTTGCTTATTGATCTTATGTCATAGAAGTTCAACCTATTTATAGAAGTCCATATGGTATGCATTTGTACGAAGTATATATTCTAGTCTTCAATACAGGTCAGCCTGGTATTCACCCTGACTGAAAACTCTGGCCCAGACATATTCTGAGCAATGTATTCTTCTCCTATGGAGGACGTGGATGAAATTACATCTAATTACGGAGAGCCACATATCTCTACCAACAACGACGTCGACTTCTTACAAAGAGTCGGCGAAGTCGTCGGCGAACTCGTGGAAAAAAAGTTAGAGAAGTTCTTAAGAGAGTTTCACGAGATAATTAATCAAGGGAGGAGAAACGGAGGGTCTAGACGAGGAGCGAGGGGAAACGGAGGGAGGGGACGAGGAGGGAGGGGAGGGGGAGGGACGGGACGGGGAGTACAGGGAAGGATAAGAAGGGGGCAAGGAGGAATGTTTTCTTCAAACGAGCCTGTGGTCTCCCGGTCCTACAATGAGTGGCCATGCTAGCATTACAGACGTGACGAAGACGGGTTATCAATTCTACATTGTTGCTTGAAGTTATGGCTATCTCTTCCACAGTGAATATAATCCGTGATGGTTACTTTTTAGCTTCTTCCTAATAATGGTGATACCTAATCCGGAAGAATACCCATGGTACTGAAGATCAATTGGTGCCGATTCCCTGGGCCAGTATCTAGATGCCGACTATACACGTGCTTTGCTGATGCTTGTTCTACAAGCAGACATATATTCCTATTAGCAAGTCCTTGAGGATGCCTCGGAAGTTGTTTTTATGGCACTATTACACCGTCAATTATATGTGTAGCGAATCGAGGGTTTGCTCAGAAGAATTGTCATATAGATTGCTATGGTTTTTATCAGCAACAGATCTTCTTTTGCAGCAATCAGTCAACCTTATCGGTAGTCCGGCCAAAGGGCCATCCAACGGATATATAAATGGGTTCAGGCCCTACGACATCGATTACCGCAATCTACGTCCCAGCGAACATGGATATAAAATGGAACCGGCGAGTAAAAGCTGAAGCACACAGATCAACGAGAATATAATATCAACCAGAAAAGCAGCCGTTCCAAGCCAAAGCAAGGGCCTTTCGAACTGCCATTGATGCAACACGACAGGACTAGACTCTTCAAAAGAACATTAGAAAATATTCGAAAGCAATCGACACTACAGTCTCAATCGAAGAAAGCATATAAAAAGCTATATGACGGATTTCGGGCAGGAATGACAAGGCTTAACAGCTATTTGAATAAGGCGCGGTAGACTCCAATCTTTGTGCCTGCTGCCAAGCAAGTGAGACAGTAGAACACTCTTTATTCCGCCGAACGAGCTGAATAACAATGAGAGAAGGCCTGAACCAATGCACAGATACAAAACGAGGAAATCTAGCAAAATCATGTTCGAACCCTGACGGATGAAGGGAGTTCATGCAGCAATCAACTACGCAATTCCATATAACCCTCGAGCTACAATAGTATAATCTAGGGCTTACTAGCTGACTTGATTAGGGGTTCGTCTACTGACATGGCTCTCTCAAGCACATACGTGGGCTTGTTTGGGGGGAGCTTGCTTACACGTATGTACACCCGCGGCTGCCTGAGTAATCAGGCCTTGAGAACTATGTAATAATATATCGATTGAACAAGCAGTGTACCTGATTGAACAGATCGTACGTGTAGGGGTCGTTTAAGTGACGTAAGGGTTCGACAAACTTTCACTTTAACGCGGTAGGTTTATCAATCGCGCCCATTTCCATTGGGGGAAATGCGCTCTTTGGCCACAACGTTGCTGTTAGAGATGAAACCGTTAGACTGTGGTTGTGGATAGAGGCTCTCGTAATATGCACCAAATAAACTTTCAAATGGCAGCACTAAAAAGGACCTTTATGATGGCCCCACTTCCCTTTGGTCCGTAAGGGTTTACCTACAATGCCAGCCTAGTTGACGGGCATTGTAATGATAGTATGATACACAATGTTAGTATTAATCAAGTACCAACACAAAGGTTCAGCCGCTCTATGTTACATCCAACAAAATAGTGGCAAAGGTCTGGCCACATCTCATTTAACTATGTATTACCTATTTAGGTAGATACTCCTCTAATTACTTGACCCCATTGTGCCAATCCGTCTGCCAATAATGGATCGTGTTATGTCTGATACAGCAGCAGCGAAAACAGACTGGATAACGTCGATTTGCCTAGATCGGGAGTCGAGCTTGAACTGCTCATACTATCCGCATCAACCACCAATTATAATTGTTGTTTCGCACTAAACCACGGTTAATCTGTAATTCAGTAGCCCAGGCTTTCCAGACTTCTCGCCAGCTGACGAGTGAGTCGGATATCCTTTTGATCCAAATATCTTAAGGAGTTGCATACATGGAGCCAGGAATAGCTTACGTGAGAATGCCCTATGAAATTACGAGAAAGTACGCTAATCTACTCACTAAACCAGACATATTAGCGACGTCAAGGCTCTAGTTCCTGTGTGGTACAGTATCGTGCACATTCATAGTGGATCATTGTTCTGGGACATACAGTGTTGATCATTGTCTTTGGTCTGAGCTTACTGCGGCACAGTACCTTTTTCTTTCAGCGGTCTAGAAAGATATATTAGTCGGTTATAGACATAGAAAGAGATGAAAAGTCTAGTTTACAAAGTGACTCTCTTTTTCCACAAAACCAGCTATGGCTAACGAGGGATACATATATTTTCCGAATTCTGCAAGTCCTGGTGGTCCTGGAGTTCCTCCAGATTCTCAAAATCCTGAAAATCCTGAAAATCCTGGGAGCGCTCGGGATTTTGTTCGGAATTTTGGCCTTGCAGGTTTTCCGAATTCTGCAAGTCCTGGTGGTCCTGGAGTTCCTCGAGATTCTCAAAATTCTCAAAATTCTGGAAACACTGCTACTGGAAATACTCAAAATCTCTTTGAGCATGATTCAACCTTTCCTATTGACGAGTTTGATTTTCGATACCTGATCGATGGAAATCCCAGCTCTTTCAGTGGCATATTGAATCAGGAATCATCACAACCCCCTAAGGAAAATGATCACGATTTGAACGCAGCAGAAAAGGCGATCGCCGAAAAAGGATTGCAGTTTTTTATTGTAAGCATAAACAATTTTACACCTCCTAACCTAGGAACTCTCCACTAACCATAGTTATAGACACTAATGCGAGCATCTTATGAAAGTGTTCTTCCCGAGAAAGACGCTGACGATATCAAGAGACAGGTGAAGAGGGGATCAGATATTGACCAAAAGGTCATTAGTAGTATATACAATATCATAGCTTCGGGAACATCAGTGTGTACTCCAGATATCATAGAGAAATTGACACAAGACGAGAAGCTTCAGTTGGCTGGTATGTTTTTGCAAGTAAGTACACAGAGCCAGTCCCATCCCTTTTTCCTTTTGTTTTCGCTTGTTTGCTAATCTATAAAAGGATATCGAGGTCGCCGCTTGGATTCGGATGTACAATAGAGGGAAGTTTTCAAGCCTCTACAAGGATATGGTAAAGACCGGTTTACTTGTTGATTTGATCCTGCCTGGCAAAAAAGACGTGGGCAGAAAGGGATAGGAACACGAGCAAAAAAATCGGAGTATGGATATATGTATGGCACTGCTAGAAGGCTACATAAGCTTGAGAAAGAAATTTAACTTTGTAAATAAGTTCACAGTTCTACGAGAATCAGATATATGCTTGATTTCAAAGGACACGATTCACTTATCGGAATCAAGAGACATTGGGAAACCGTATGCTGCAAATCATGCCTCTAGCGAGATGGATTTCTACTTCTTCTTTTCCCCTTCTTTCCCATGCTTATTTTTCTCGTGTATGAGCACCTCATGTACGTCTTCTTAGCTAGATCAATACATTGAGCTTGGCCGTTGTCACACGAATAGCGGTTGTATATTTTGAGAATCGCACTATCGTATACAGCCGCGCCTACTAACATAACAACTCGCGCACCTGCTAGGTCAATGATAGCTTGTCGAATCTTTAGATTTTACTACGGAGTAGTTTCTTTGTAGTCTACTCTGCTGTTTACGAGAGCGATTACCGGGGAAGTAATCCCGGAGTATAGTTAGTGCTGCCACAGAGTCAGGTGATCATTCATGCATGCGCAACATACAGACTATTACATATCTAGTGGAATGTTTTCAACCAATACATTTGCAAACCCACATGACGGCACCAACGTTCTGTCTTTGTCCTGGCAGGATTATCTGCTTCTCATGATTTGAGCGATCACATAATGGAAGTGATAATCCATTTTCCTAATCTCACAGGATCCTACAGTACATCAAAAGACGCATTTCTAATTAGATACGAAAAGCAGTAAATAGTAAAACGTAGCAACCCTTAAAGGTACATCTAGTGAATTCTATGATGGGATAGAGGAGACTCGATATGTACCCTAATCTGGGATGGTGCTAAGCTAACAAATATCATGTACTGCGGGAAAGATTGGTATTACATCAACACAGTGTCAGCCAAAAATAACCCGATTACTCAATTGTCGACCCGTTCACGGGGCCTCGTCTATGGCCAAATACTTTAATTTGTAGTTCATAGGAAACCCCTCTTTGAATATTGGGTCACATCACGAAATGAGAGGATTGGAAGGACAGTACACATGATGAGTTCCTTCTCTGAAGACAAATCTAAGCAGTGTTAATGAATTCTGGCATTTCCGTCTTGGGGGCGGTACTCCATACACAAAACACACCAACTCGCCAAGTTGAGATCTGCATATAATATGTGGGAACCAACTAGACCAAAAAGCTGCGCGCATACTAAATGGTTTAATGGTCTAGTATGGTAGTATATAGCGAGGATGAGATGGTGTGAGATGAGATTCCCAAGATAATATGATCAATTGTAATATCGGCCATTAATTATTTTCATTTCTCCCATATCTGTCGCGATGGAAGCTAAGACCCTACTCTAGTACAATCACTCAATGTCTCGATGTACTAAAGGATATCTATGAGAAGCCAACAAAGCCACTCTTGGGGAAATACGATTGTATTGTGAAGCTAGATCTAGGTAAAATCGCAAGATATCAGAGCACTTGGCTAGTAGAAACACCAAAGAAAACAACAAAAAAGACGTAGAAATAAGTTCAGTGAGCCCAGTGGGCATTGAGCTAAATGCGTCAAACTTAAGAAATAGTATTCGTAACTGTTTGTTATCTGAGACGCTCTGGCAAGGATTCTTGCGCTAGGCAGGCACTAAGCCATGTCGCAATGGATTATTATGAGATGTTGCTTGCCACTGCACAGATGAAGACGGTTACTACCTTGATTTGTAATGAAACAGACAACGTAATCTTTGAAAACCTTTTCTTAGATCGTTCAGAATTCCATTGACTGAAATATCACTTGCCTCAGACTTCACGTTTATGTCTAATACAGTCGCAGTCAAACATTCAAAATGGTGACTCCCACAATTAAGGAAAGGATCATCAAGCAGTCATTTGCGGTTATGAAAAATTTAAACGAAATACAAGCAAACTGTGGGTGCATAAAGCACGTGTACACGTTAATGTACGTACGTACATGAATGGTTAGCAGGTACTGCAATTCTGTATGGGTTCAAATGTGTGTATTTTTAGCTATCTAACTCACGCCCCGACGCGGTCTTACATCCCTCTATCCTAGACGAGGTCACGTGATGCCCTGCGGCTCAGTGCGTTGGAGTGAGGCATCTCGATTGCTTCCACAAACCAACACAAACAATGATTTAGTGACATTTCTTGAGAAAAATTTGGTAGAGACATTCACATTTGATGCTCTAGATAAGTACCAAAGATCTTTTGTGCATTACACTGCAATGGCCAATTGCATTGATCTCTTGCGCTACTTGATTCAAAATGGTGCATCAGTACATGACCGTGATATGTGGGGCCGGACTCCTCTCACCTATGCGGCTGAGAACGCCTCACTTGATGCCATGAAATTGTTGTTAGCGATGGGAGCCGAAGTCAACGCTTTAGACGACGACGATACATCCCTACCCCCTTCAACACCTCTAGATTACCTGCTCATTAACGTAGATATAACAAACGAACTGCCGGACGAGTTTGCTGCTACGGCAGAGTATTTAATTGCTGCAGGTGGAGTGTCCGTGTCTTTTAAAGCTTACCGTGACGGACCGCGGATCTTTCAAATCGTCGAAAGAAAGCTAGTTTGGCGTATGATTTTTCAATTCTATCACATGCTTACTACCGTTGAACCGGGAAAATTTTGAGCATGTTTCTATTCCACAAGATCATGTAATACCCGAGACTAAGGAATAACCTGAAGTCTCTTTACCTAAGGAAATAAGTGCAAGTTACTCTGTATTGACTAGAAAAATACAACACTATTTCTGTAATCCCTATATGACTGAAAAGTAACAAAAAAAGTACAAACAAAACCAAGAAGTCAGCAGTACTATGAATGAATGAATGTGTTAGAATAGGGTCAGCTAAAACCACTAGATCAAGCACGTGAGCCGGAATTGACTCACACAGGCTAAGGTGTGTTTTAACAAGTACATAGTAGATTTCTTGATAGCTACTACTATCTAGGCAAATGTGAAGGTAAACATGCCAATGCTTTCTGGAATCCGTCCTAAAAGACCCAATGATTCCAGTCAATATAAAAAGTGGTCTGTAAGAATACATGGATTGAATAATATTGATGCACACCTGACTCTCTTTCTATAGCCAGAAGCGGCAAGCATATTGCATGTCTGATGTTAGGTAGTTGGTTATGATTCTACTATCGATTTTAACCTGTAGTGTCCCATAGTCTGGAAGATTGCATATATTTTCGTGAAGACTCCCCTATGAAGGCATTCATTCAAGGCATTTGGCCATGACCATCTTGTGAGTGTCCATCTCATCCACCCAAAATGAGTTTCTGTGACGTTTGTCAGGATCGACGAGGAATGAGAGGTACAATATCCTGATCGGAGAATCCACAGACAATGGCACATCAAGGACGGAATGGAGAAACGAGAGCTGCCCCTCAATCTCCTGGCTATCGATATTAAACAAAGATGCTATAGATAACAGTGAAAGAGGCTCTGCTAGGTGAACAATTGTGCCTACAATGCATCGAAACCGCTCCACCAGTGATTTCTGTGCCTTTTCTGGACGTCCATGGATCAGCTGGTTCAGAATTGGAGAGTAAATAGCATCCATCTTATCCATTTAAGGGTCACTTTTCATAGTTTGATACTGACGGACCTCCTTTAGCTGGCCTATACGATTTGAAAATGCTTCGTCTTCAAAAATAAATAGCGGAATAGCCAAGCTGACGTCGCCTCTTAGCCAGGCCAACCAGATGGAAGTGGCCGGCCATCTTTTGCATATTTCTCCTGGACTTGCGCAAACCGGTATTCTAGGAAAGTGTTAATGTCGCGTCTGATAATACTTTGCGCTATCTCATGAAGCTCCATATGGTTGAGCACTTCCTCCGGCACATCCTTGAATCCAGATCGGATTTGCTGCTCTGGTCTACTCGTAATGAATATTCACAAGCTTGGTGATCATTTACCTCTCTTTTCTGATAAAAGCCGAAGCAAAGTGTCTCCGTCCTGCACACATTCATCTAAAGCATCAATCACGATAAGTTGAGAGACCGTGGGGAGTTGATGCGGAATCTGTGACAGAGGTTGACAGATAAGCTTCTCAAATTGCTCTCCCATGGCCTTGTTAAATAAATTGAGATCTGCATCAGTTGCTAATTCAATGTGTGTTATCAACAACGGAATCTTTTCTAAGAGCTAGGTACAAATCGTGGTAAAAAACAAAGGCCACACTACCCCGATCAGCCTCGCCTCGTTTGAAAAAGAGGCTGGCTCCTAATTTGCCATCCTTATGAAAGGACTCGGATGTGGAGCCTTTTGCATACAGTAGCTGTGCAATTAATTCCTTACGCCTTCGGTCGCTACATGTATCAAGGATCTCAATTGTAGCATTTGTCTTCTGAGCAACATTATGTACATCCTTATATTCTTCTCAACTATAAATCTTATTAATAAGAGAATGTGAATCTGCAGGACTCGCTAGAGACTAACCCGAAGAGGTTATATCATTAATCCTCTTCTCCGCTTCAACCTTATTTGGCGGAATGCGAGAGAGGTCTTTCGCATAAACAGCAGCCATTGAAGCATATCCTTGCCGTTCCTTATTCTTATGTGAGTCCGAGTAGTCACAGATACCCCATATCACGAGGCACGGGAAGTGGTTCATTGCCCTGCTGCTTCCATTTCGAAGCAGAGAACATCCCTCTCAGCAGAAAACCTGTCTCGAACTAAAGCATCCTTCATCAGCTGGTTCGCAGTCGTAATCAAGCCAGAATGGATCGCTAGCTGATTCTCATCGCTTCGTTCAGGCCACACGATCAACTTGGAGTCGTCATCTCCACAGACTGCTTCACAACTCATTTCCTCGGAAGGATGGATAACATGTGTGTGGTATAATCGATCGCTAGTTGGGTCCGGTGCTTGTATTTCTCTCGCAGCTTTGGCCATCTTTCAAGAGTGTTGCTTACTGCTTCCTCAAGCTTGTGACCTTTCATTTCATATTCAGCGTCAATGTCACCCATTGCGGCACGAAGCAGGCCTGAAGGTTAATCTAAAAAACCTGTGATTCGGAATTCCTGATCTTGTATGGTTTTTCGAAAGTCATGCTGGAATAAACCATCCTTTCCATTGTATGTGCTCCTACCACAACATCGCCGAGCCAAATATCATGCTTTTTGCTGGGTGCACCACCATCGATGCCAACCGTAAGGTCAAACCTGATGTCAGGAAGCTGCATGCCATATCTCATGCGACACTGGCTGCAGCCGCGATAGCATATTCCCCCTTTGGTAGCTGAGCGATCACCACGTTGTGCTTCCCTATCTCACCTGGTGTGTAAACGTTGTTACAGTATCATTACCATATCTATATTCAGGCTTTTATGCTCTTTTCAGAGAAAGGCTTTTGCGACAACATATTCTGTTTTGATGGATCCCAGATCTTTGCGAGACGCACTCCATTTCAGAGGAATGCTTGAACAAGAGAAATGATAATAGTGTTCAACATAAGAAGAGAAGAAGTTTCTTCAGCAGTTCAGCCTTGCCATCAATTCACCCCGCCCAAAGCGTGATCTCTTTCTGCAAAGCTGTCACATTCAACAAAGCATACAGTATATTGTCTGAATGTACGATATCACTCTTTTTGTTTTGCGGTCTAGGGCCTCTTAAGTAAAAATTATTGTCATTCACGTCCTGATTAATTGTCCAAAATAAAAGGCATACGACAATATATGTAGTAGTTTTTCACATCGCAGTATCATCTAGAATTACCCTTTAGATAAATAATATTCGAAGAATCTAGTCATGGCTTGTCCAAAGAAGACCTGCCGCGTATCATCTTGTGCAGGAGGATCCCATTTCGTTAGCCCCAAATATTCAACCGTCCGAAGAGCCTCATTCGGTGATCTTGTCGAAACCAGGCATGTCAGGACGTATGGCCCTAATGTCATTATATAGTATAACCACTCCTCGACAAAGTTATATAGACTTGTATTATGTGTTTTCCGTGTGCCCGTCTCCGCTAAACTAATTTCATTCAACAAATTCGGACTTAATATCTTCTTCAACATATCCTTATTCGATAATGGATCAAGTGCTTCCCTAAGCATTTTTTGCAGACAAACCCAGATTTCGTTCATATCTAATAAGTCAGAAAGACTAAGGCCGTCGCCATTTCCCTTTCCGAATGCTGTCCCAGGATCAAACAAGGGTTCCTCTATGTTGAAAAGAGCCATATGTTGTTCGCTCTCTTCAGCTCCGCCTTTCAACCAACTAATCTGTCTACCGATTTCGGCGTGGCGGTCCTTTCCACACCCAAAAATTCGACAAAAAGTCCAAATACGCCAAAAGGCTCGGTCAACCTCAGTTGCACGGATGTCATCATTGGGATTTTCCAAGCCACTAATCGTCTCCGGCCTCAAAATTGAATGGCAACGGCGTAGCACTTGAATTTTGAGCTGTGCTAAAACCAATACGTCACGACCATAACACTGCAGGTATGAACTGGGAGTGTATTTAGGTCTCGGTCTTTCGGGGTCCTTTATCATATCTAAAACGTTCTTCCAGGGCGGAGTCATCTCTCTCAATTCCCATGCAGGAGGATTCATGCAAAACAGAGTCCCTTGTATTAACGACAATTCGTTTTTGCGATAGATTTCATAGAACTTCTTGTTCAATAAAGCGCATTTGAAGAGGTCCTCGAGGTTTCTAAGACAAGAGAGTATGCACTTAATAACATTGTCAGGAAAGAAGCCAGTGCTCATTCTTGCAGGAAAACCGGAGGCCTCAGTCTCAAAATAACCACAATTTTTCTGAAGAACCGATGCTTGCTCGGGAGCATGTAATCGATAAAGGCAAACCAGCCTAGCACTTACGCGAAACACGTAAATACTAAATAGTCGGTACAGTATAGAATGGAATTACTACTACATATATTCCTAGTTAGGAAAATGCACATGCCTGCAAAATCTCTGAGGATTCGCTCGAATTCTTACTTTAGATTTCTCAACTGCAAATATCTTGAATTTTCCTTCATTTCCCGAGACTAAGATACCGTATGGATGTAGAACCCCCTTCCAACCAGTTTTTTCTAACTACGCAATACCATCCGATTACTATTTTATTAATCGGTCATCTGATCACACTCATCCGGTATCTATATGGTATCGTGTCAGGTGCTGTTATGCTGGCCTCATACTGTTGTTTGGGACAGGGCTCTTCGTGGGAGAGTGAGTATGCTGAGATAACTTACGTACATTATTTTGTACACTATTCGCACGAGTGCGTCTTTTCTCGCTTCGCTCGTGAGAGGGAGCGATTCAAGATTAAGCACTCCGTATACAGATAATGTGCACATGATACGGCTACATTATCGAGGAACAGTGGTAGTAGTGGCCCGTCGGATTGCGAAACAGCGTAATAAAGATTTGCGGGATTATTATCTCCACAATCTATCAGATTTTCGTTCATATCATCTTGTCTATGTTGATGAGTTAGGGCGCGATAAGTGAGCTGGATTTAGACGTACAGCTTGGTGTCCTGTTGGTGTAACACCCGTGCTAGTCTCTCGGTTTCGCCGCGAACAGCGTTATCAGACCCTGCCGGCATATGCTCAGGACGGCGTTGTTCTCTCACGTATCTTCCAATGAGCTACTGATACTTCGGTATTCGAGGACTTTATTGAACAGTTACTCTATCGCTGTGGACGGTGGCCTGAGCATAAATCTGTGCTTGTGATGGACTATGCGTCGTTTCATCACTCCAAGCGCTTGGAGCAGATGTGTAGCGATTTTGGAGTGAAGTTGTTATACCTGCCTCCTTACTCTCCGGACCTAAATCCTATTAAAGAGATGTTTGCGGAATTAAAAGCCTTTATTAGGCGCAATTGGAAGGTTTATGAAGAAGATCCGGATTAAGGATTTGATAATTTCCTGGAATGGCGTGTGGACACGGTGGGTGCGAGAACAAAGAGTGTAGAAGGCCATTTTCGCCATGCTGGAATTACTGTAGAAGAAATATAGATACAGTCGCACCAGAAATCTCCTTCCGAATTGCATATACACATCATTTTCAAACCCTAACGCCAAGTACAGTCTACCGGTATATAGCTAGCGTGTTTTCAAAGGAACCAACTGTTCTCTGTACATATGCCAAGATGACCCGTAACCAGTCTATTTACGGATTAGTGCTCTTGGCATTAGGGTTCGAAAACAAATGTCTGTTTCCAATCGGGAAGGAGATTTCTGTTGCGACTGTACTGTACGGATTATGCAAACGACTGTATTCCAGCAACTGAAGCCATTTCTGTGAAAGACTGAATACGACCAAAACCGTGATCGAGGTGGTGAAGCTGAACAGGAGCTAGAAACGGCCCGATGGCAGTACCTGTTGGATTAGCTAAGCTGATCCAGCCAATCAGACAGATGAGATTTGTCAGCCAATAAGAGCGAGTCACACACTGATCCACCGAATAGGGGGTAAAAGATATCTTCCACCTTTACTGTACTTAGAAGGAGAACAAGAATCAAGGATTCCATACTCTTGCATACATAATTTGATACGTTGAGATAAACCGCTTGAGATTGTCACGTACAATCCAACAGTACCCGAAGGCGGTCCGCAGACGCCGGAAAACTCTGCACGGAATGAGGCCATCCCAACAGCCCCGGGTCGGAGACAGAACCACCAAGCAGAAACCCTACGAGCCCCAGTGGTTGAGTTTCCATCATTGGACGATGGCAAAAGAATTATATACCAGACGGTCGCGAGCCTCATCAGCAGCCTAAAGAAAGTCATTACCCAACAGACCAACATAATTAAGTTAGCAAGGGCAGAAATCCATGAAATCAAAACAGAGTAAATCACCCTGAGAGAACAAAATGTAAAATTGCAGGAGGAGATTCAAGAGCTACGCATCCAGATTGAGAATTAGGCAACTACAAACCTACCCCTAAAACTATGGGCTGCAGTAACCCCCAAAATCAGCTCATCAACGATCAACATAATCCTATGACCCCAGAAAGAACTGAACTACGTCCGAATCAGTACTGCACGGCCAAAGCAGCTGATAATAATGGAAATAACAAGGACAATTTCACTAGATCCCTGCCTACTGATGCTGCAAATAAACATATAAAAATAGCCCTATCAATCACAGAACCCACCAAAGAGGTACAGGTAGTAGGTATTAGCACCACTAAGACAGGTTATGTAATTAGATTTAGAGATGCTCAGTCAGCTGAAACAGCCCGGAACAACACTGAATGGCTAGAAGAACTGGGGAATGAAACCAAGCTGGTGAAACCCTGATTCAGTATTGTAGTTCACTGAGTGCCAATAGAAGACTTTGACTTGGACAAGGAAAAGAAAAAAGGAATTGAGAAGATTATGGAAGAGAATGACCTGGCTGAGAAGGGATTTGAAATCGACGATATTGCATGGCTAAAGAAGAAGGATAGGCCGCTGGGAAAGTCTGCATCGATGGGCATCTGGCTGAATACACCGGAGGCAGCAGAATTAATCATTAGTAATGGCCTCCTAGTTAGACAAAGATACATTGGAAGTGTGGAACTCTACAAAGTTGAACTAAAGAGATACCACCACTGCCAGAAGTTTGGCCATCTAGCTTGATCATGCAAGGAACAAGTGAAATGCAGCCACTGTAGTGGCCAACATAAGCAACACAACTGCCCTCTAGGAATAAGGCTAGGGTGTGCAAACTGCAATGGGGAACATTCTACTGGACATAAAAGATGCCAAGCACCTCTTAACCCGAATTCCTCACAATAATGTCATCAACACTACGTCTGCTACAGTTGAACATCTGGAAATCCAGGGCAGGAATGGAAGCCCTCATTAACGATCACTAGAGCCAGAGCCTGGATCTACTATTAATCTAGGAACCATCGATCACCACATATCGCACCTACGTTAACCATAGTGCTTGGCGACTCTATCGACCAACATACCTAAATACTGACGAGTCCACCTGATTCCGCAGCCTTCTTTATGTGAATAAGAGAATCTCGACCTCCTCTCACTGCCAAATCGATTGCAACCACCCAGATCTGGTGGCCATCAAAGTATGGACCGCAGAGATATAGTTCCTTATCTTCTCAGTTTATATCCTACCACTAGATGCACATCAAGCCACAAGCACGACCCCTGCTAAATCAGTACTAAAAGAGATTAAAAACACCATTGAACAGCACACTAGGGAGTCTAACAAATCCACAAGGCTTATTCTGGCAGGAGACTTTAACCGACTCCATCCGGCATGGAGCTACCGCCCTGTTAACCATGTTTTTACCTCCCAAGCGGAAGAGTTGATTAACTTCTTTCAGACATACCAACTCCAATAGTGTGTACCCCCAAGCACGCCAATATACTGGTCGCCAAGCTTCCCAGGGAAGGCATCAGTTCTCGACTTGACACTTACTAATGACCCCACAAAACTGATCAAATGCCAAATTTATCTGGACAACTATGGATCAGACCATCGCGGAACATACTTGGAATGGGACCTGTGACCAGAACGCAACAAAAGCTCAAAACCCAAGAGAGCATATGATAGAGCTGATTGGGATAAAATCAGCTCAACCTTGCCGGAGCTGCTCGGTCAAGGATCTGAGATAAACTCCGCCGCAGACCTCGTCTATGAAGTTAACCGACTGACTGAAGCGACAACGACAGTCCTTGATTGACACGTCCCTTTACAGAAGCCCTCACCCTACTCGAAACGATGGTTCACCCCAGAACTCAAATCCTAACAGATCATAGTAAACCAAGTACGTAGAAGATGGCAGAACAGCTGTGCTACTCTAGGCAGTAGCCACCCAAATACCACATCTCTCTTCAACGACATACGTCAGAAACGACAAGAATGGATTAGAACTATCGAGAAGGTTAAAGCCGCTCATTGGAAGGAGTTCCTAGATAAGGCCCAAGAAGACCAGTGGAAGTGAGCGCGCATCATCGTGCTGAGGAAGTCCAGGAAGCCAGACTATGGTTTACCAGAAGCATACCAACCTATCTCTCTACTGAATACCCTGGGGAAGATACTAGACGCCGTCATGGCTCGCAGACTGTCATTCTGGGCTGAGTCCTATAAGCTACTTCCAGACACCCAGTTTGGAGGCCGACCAGGACGGAACACAGAACGAGCGCTCTTAACCCTGGCAAACGCGATTGATCGCGCATGGCTACGGTTAAAGGTGATCACGCTAGTGGCATTTGATCTCAAAGGGGCATTCAATGGAGTGAACAATTTAAGCCTTGATGCCTGCTTGCAGGCCAAAGGCATTCCAACCGTAGCTAGACGCTGGATCTAGAGCTTCATAGAGAGCCGGTACACTAGCATCTCCTTTGATGATTTTCAGACGGAGATCTCGCCGCTCAAGGATGCTGGTCTGGCACAGGAATCCCTACTGTCCCTAATCTTATTTGGATTCTTTAATTTAGACCTGGTCGACTAGCTAGTCGACCACCACAGCAGCGCGTCAGCTTTTATCGATGACTATTTTCGGTGGCGAGCCGGTCACTCTGCAGAAGACAATGTCAGAAAGATTTAGGAAGAGGATATCCCCCGCATCAGTGTTGGTTGCTTCGTGCAATCGAGATGCCTGGCACTGGTATGCAGCAAGGAGAGGTCACGTATGGTTTACACGTGACCTCGTCAAGCAAGGACTATATAGACCGCGTCAGGGCCTCATTAAGACAGATAGACACAACAGAACACAGAACCCAAGAATCACCTATTGAGATTGACTCAAGTGCTTCGTACGTACGCATATGCACCTTAGTGCACCCACAAAGGCATGGGCCCGACGGATGGGATCTTCATTTAATGTGAAGAAAACAGTACTAATCCACCTGACAAGGTCCAAAAGGCAGTATGGTGTCAGACAGATCACAATAAATAGGATGTTAATCAAGCCAAGCGATATAGTAAAGCTTCTAGGCGTGATCTTTGATAAGGAGATGCGGTGGAAGGAACATGTACAGGAAGCAGTCAAGCAAGCAACCCAGGTAAATATTGCCCTGGGGGGACTCAGGCATCTCCGCCTAGAGCAGATAAGATAACTGTACTAAGCATGCGTGATACCAATTGTGGATTATGCATCCACCGTCTGGCACAACCCATTAAAGGATAAGATGCACCTGAGAATGCTAGGAACTGTACAACGAACCGCTCTTATCTGCATTCTCTCTGCCTTCAAGATGGTATCCACAGCAGCCCTAGAGGTGGAAGCCTATATGCTACCAACCAACTTGTGACTTAAATAATGCGCCTAGATAGTAGCTGCCTGTCTCATCATCCTTCCAGAGGATCATCCAGGCTATATAGTAGTGACCCGAGCAGCAACACAGAGCACACATATAGGAACTGGACTTCGATTCCCTCTAGCAGAGACCCTGCGGACAATGAACCTCACTTGACTTTAGGCCCTGGAAATAATTGATCCAACACCCCAACCACCATAGCAGACACTAGTATTTGTAGAAATTAACATTAAACCAGACTGGGATAAAGCCAAAGATAAAGCATCTGCTAGACAAAAAGCATCTGGCATCACAGTCTTCTTAGATGCATTAGGCCAATAGAACGCACTAGGAGCCACAGCAGTAGCACTAGACTAGAATCACAACATCATCCAGCACTGGAAAGTCTGCATTGACTCCATGGAATACTAGTCGGTATATGCAGCAGAGCTTATAGCAATATACTATGCTATCAGCCTTATCCTTAAGATTGCAATAGAAAACCAGGTCGCCCGAGCAGGCCAACACGAACTAGCAACTATCCTTAGTGATAGCATGTCAGCACTCCAAGCCACATTTACATTGCGATCACGAGCTGCTTCATTTAATCACCGTTACACAGGTTGGCGGCAATTCCCAACATATCAAACTGGCCGCTGATAGAATATCCTGCAGAAACCATATTCGTCTGAGCTTTCCTGGATTGAAGGTAGATGTGCTAGAGTATTCTAGATGCACATCAAAGAGAGGAGTCAATGAAGCTGGACACTTCCATTATCTACTAAAACAAAGAAATACAAAGAACATCTAAGATTATAATCACAAGCTAATTGTTATATCAAATCTAAAAAGAATGGTTCTCCCATAGTGTGATTAATCAAAAGCTTTACATAATAACAAAGAAAATGTTTCTCATTCATATGATTCATCTACAAAGGGATGCAAAATATCAGTGCAACATATATGTATGTTATGTCATCAACTGCTGTTCGTCGTTGGAATAGAGTAGGGTTAGGGGTAACTATAACCCTAACCTGACGAGAATTTGCCCGGTTTCAAATAATAATAACTGTAACAGCACTAAAGTCTGAAACATTACACATGATATCTGTGACAAGCCACGAGTCACACCAATTAGGTGGATAACCTGATACCTCCTATTTTATAGCGACTTCTTCAGACCATACCCGCTCGGCTGGAGGATGATACTGTTTTAAATCAATAGAATGGGTCATTTGCCTTGATAGCTGCACTATCATCCCATGCGTTAGCACCAAGACTCAGTAGTGGTTTCCAGGCATACATCAGCCTTCATTTCCATTCTCTTGGCGCACGAAGACGCTTGATTGACCTTCTTCATTCACTCGATATATCACTCAGCTATGATAGTATCCTACGTTACCATAATGAGATTGCAAAAATTGCACAGGTGTGTTAATAGTGACCCGATATTTCTCTACTGATATAGTATTAATCAACGGTAGTTATCACTCCAAACCCAAGCGCAAGAGGCATCTCGTCGTCTTATCGTATGTTTAGAAGCATTATCTCGGTCGCCGGTTGTCCATGCATCAACTAAGAGTATAATCTCACCCTCTTGTTGATCTCTACATGCGCGTCCACCACGTTGCAGTAGAGTTGCTGTCAGAAGATTTCTTGGAATGCCATATAACACAGACTGTCGTATATCAGGCAGGTTAACACCAATTCCAAGGGCCTCTGTTGCAAATACCGCCCTAATAGTTGATTCGGTTCCTGGCTTTCGCATTTCGGACGTGATATATGCCTTATCCACTTCGTGTGTGTCCCGGGTGTATGTGACCACTATATCGTGGCAAACCTATTCGGTATATTTGAATTGTTCGTGAATCTGGAGATACTCCGTCATATAATCAAGCGCTGAGAAGAGTTACCTTTTTGAATCGAAGAGGACAACTGTCTTAGGAATCTCGTGTGGTTCGATATGGGGTCGAGCTTCGCTCTGAGGGTTAGGATCAAATAAAAATCGTAACGCGGTAAACTTCGCGCGTTGACGCTGAGGTATTACCCCAACCCGATACAGTATTCATCTTGAAGTTTCCCCGTTCCATCAAAACCTTCAGGGTATGATGATCGAGTGTTGCGGAGCAGGCGAACCAAGGGACACGAGGGCCTAGTATAATTCGAAGCCTACCAATCTGCGCATATTCAGGCCGGAAACCATCGCCCCAATGATGGACAAGACGCGCTTCGTCAATCACAACAGCGGCAATACGTTGATTGATTAGAGACTCCTCAAAAATAAATCGCATCTGCGGGTTCGCTGACAACTCAGGGCTTAGTAGAATACGAGTGTATGCCTCCTTCTTGATGTCCGTCATCAAACCTATTTTATTGGTGTTTTTCTCTAGGAATAATGGACGTCCACCCCGACGTGAGATACACTCAGATTGTTCAGCGCCAATTTGGATTAAGGAGAGGATGACAATAGTCATAGTTTTATCAATTAAGATTGATAACGCCTGTGGAATCATACTCTTGCCGAATGAGGTTTTTACAATCAGGATCAAGTCACCACAACTAAAATTAAGCTGAAAAAGTGCATGCAGCTGTCCAGATCGAGGTGCATATGGATAAAGTAGTTGTATAGCCTCGGAGAGGACTTTCTTCTGTATATCCGGTGCTTGGTTGGCTTCATCCCGGATCATCCGCTGAGCTTGTTGCACCTTGTCCGCTCGATCCAGGTTAATCTCAGGCACTGGGGACCCCGGAACAGTGGTGGGTGGCTTTTGAAGTAATCTGTCACGTTGACGTAGGACTTGGTATAGTGTTAATTGACCTGGCGCACGAGATTGCTGCGATGTTCCAGCAGGGTGTCGGTATAGCCGGGGGGCCCATTTTCAGCAATGTATTTTATCGCTCACAAGTGTAATTCCCAAGGTAATTTTGGATAGCAAAAAGTTAAGCATTAGGTAAAGCGGTTCCTGCTTTTTTATATATTTATTAGCCATGTACTCGATGAGCTAAATCTTTCTGAATTTTGTTAGGGCAAAAAGTGAGGTTCTTAAAGAGAGAATTTCATGTACAACCAAGCCCACAGCATACCTAAATCGTGTATCAAAATATTTGAAATTAATCATAAATTATAATGTCACCTATTATAGTGTATAAACTAATGTTGTGGTTGAGAAATGACTCTTGTTGTTGATACCCAAAATTGTTGTTTTGTTAGCATACGCGCCCATACGCTCGACAAGAGCGCGGCGCGCCATATGTACTACTCAGCGCTCAGATTATGATTGATTGATTGATTAATTCATCTAACCGTCCCAGCCGCCCCACAGGCAGCTATGCGGCATGTACTCTGGTTGACCCCGGTGATTTTGTTAGGACGTGTTTTATTCTGAAGTCACACAAGATCATGTAACGTAATCGGTAAGCGAATTGGTCACGTAAGCGAGTTGGTCACTTCTTCCCGAAAACGCGCTCTACATTTATCTTAAAGATAAATTTCTAACCCACATACAAATTATATACAAAAAATTAAGTACTAATACGATTAGGACATCCAGTTATCTTATGTCCTGCAACACCACAACCACTGCAGCGAAATTGACGTCGTACAGGTGGATGAGAGACTGGGAGCTCAAGCTCGGCCGGAGCAGTAGTAACCGCTCGAGCATGTCAGTCATGCACAGGTATAGTTATTCTCACTCTAAATTCTCAAGTGGCCGCTCTAATGGGAACTCATGCTCCCAAGGATTTGTATAAAGGTTGAAAAAGCCACAATACTCTGTGTTCCTTTCCATTATCTTTAGCAAATGATGCAAACTCTGGCCTCCAATGTATCACTGACACCACGAGGCAGTGAAGAGTCGCATGTTGTTCAAGGAAGTGCTTGAAATTATGATTTAAGTTGCGGATCCGGACTCTCAGTTCTCGGAGCTTTTGCAGGATTATCTTTTTAAGATCCTCGAAGGAGTTTATTGTCAAATATAGCTTATTGAGGTTCTTCTAATACGTGAGAAAACCAAGTGATTCTTCCTCACGATCTCCAGTGATGGTTAGCTCTCTTAGGTACTCCAGTTTTCTAGAGAGGAGAGATTGTATTTCTGGTAAGCAATTCCTATGGTATGTGTCATAAATAGTTGCTCCCAGACTCAAGATTCGAAGGTCTATCTTGGGGTTTTCGGATACTGCAGTTAGGATAGCCCACATGGCACTCTTCTCAGGTTCAAAAATACCATTGAAAGTTCGGGCTGGGCAGCACTGGCATTTCAAGTAGGTGCACTTGATAGAAATGACATGTGTCCCTGATTCATGTAGAGCGAGCTTGAGTTTCTCTAATAGGCCGTCATCTCCTGCAGGAGACCAGTCACATTTGATAACCCGTACATTGCACCAGAGGCCCGCATCAAGCCAAGCTTGAACATTTGTAGCTTTGTTATGGCAGATGAACGTAGAAAACAAAAGCCGGTTTGTTTCGGGCACCCACATTTGACAGACCAGGCGGCACATTTTCAAGTCACTCGAGTCAAGGAGAGGTAGAATCATCGGTATGATATTCGAGTAGAAGGCCGCCCGTATATCTGTACCATCCATATTGCTGATGCAGCAATTTTGACCAGGGTCCAGAGCCGTTGAAGCGATGGCAAGATCACTCTGAATTGCCAGGCATGACGGCTGAGCGCGGGTTCCCTTCCGTTCCTGGCTTGGAGAAAGGCTACTGAGCCGCCAGCGCCGTATTAGGAAACCATCTCAACATCAGATGTTGGAGCTAGATACGGAAAGGTGCCACACACAAAAGTCTCGCAGATGACAAGTCTTACAGCGATTATTTTTGTCTTCAATCTCAAAGCAATGTCAGTGTGTGCTAGAACTTTAAGTTGGTTGACCACATTTCCCTTCCCCTAAAGAATCTGGACCATCGTATATATTTGCTAGATCACGCTTTGACCAGACTGTTAACGCGGTTGTCCAATAGCAGCTGATGCTGACTGATTGCTGCTGAGGGGGATCACTTGTCTGTTACAGACCCATGGCGGAATACGTTTCAATCCTGCTACAGTACTATCGCTTCCAGCTGGGCTGTGTATGGGCTTTGTTCTATTATCCTTAATGCTTCCACCCATGCCCACTGTGGCGGACGAGTTCGTGGTGATCAGGATGCCTTCTACACTATTGGCGGTCTCGATGGCTTTCTCTCTGTCATGTTCACATCCTATCTGCAGCCGATCTGTCCAAGGTGACGTTGCATACGCATTGATGGTCTCCATTTGATCTATTACCACCCTTTCTGGTCTCTGCGCTATTCCTTGTAGCGGAGAGGAAAACCTCCGAGTCACTGTGAACCTCAGCGTCGTCAGCGGGTTTGTTCTACGAAATATGCAGATATCAGCCCATGGTTTTGTTACTTTTTCTGTGCGTAATTTTCTTAATGAACATATATTTGCTTCAGCTTCTACAGTACCACTGCCATCGCGACTGTCCGAAAGGCTCCTGTAACTGTGAATAGCTGCCTTGCGGTCCGTGGGGGTAGCATCTTTGGCCTTTTCAAAGCCATAGTGGCCTTTAGTCCTGTTGTTGCTACTCAAGAAATTTGTTACTTGTAGGGTAGTTGAGATCTATAATTACCCCCTGAATTTTCGCATGCTCTTTCAGGTCAACTGACTCTCCTTTGGCTGTGAATGTATATGTAGCCCTGCTTGATTGATCTGCATTTCAAGCAAAGTGTACGATGGTCGTCTTCAATCCCTATTAGTAGCAGTGGAAATAATGTAGCCAGCAGCTCCTCAGCTGTTCCATTTTGTCAATGCTGGTATTTTGTCCATTCTCGGTGTATTTCCGTGAACCCCTCCCTTTAGTAGCGATTTACCAAGGGTACTTCTCAAAATAGCGCTTGAGGTAGCTGAATGCCTCGATGGCGGCCAACTCCAGATAGCAAACAAAAGACTGGTGAATCGAAACGTGGTCGAACCAGTAGGGCAGGTGAGTTACCGTTAGCAAAATCCGGTGAGTATCGATTGGTGGCAGGTAAGTAAACGACCTGAAGGCTCGCCGACGCGGCGGAACTTGTAGACGTGCTCTTTAGCTGAGATACACAATGGCAACATTTTATGAGCCTACAAAAGCCTCATCTGGCGATCTTTATAGAGAGGCAAAGTCGACCGCCAATGAGAGTAGCTGCATAATATCGTTACAGTATCAAGTCTAACTCACGCGCACAACGTCATCCCCACTGGTGTCCATGACATACAAAGTAGCAGGCTGATTGACTAGTCCTAGATGCTGTTGCCTAACATCAGTATTACTGTACCAATCACTAACATATTGCAAGTCTGCAACCCCAAGTCTGCTTTGTTTCAATTTTAGAATGAATTATTTAATACAGTACTATGTATACTACTACGTAAATATGCCGTTGCTTATCTCTGTAGTACGCTCTTTGTTCACAGAATTTTGCTTTGTTAGAGAAGGCTGGGATGGAACTAAATATATTAGAACATTGTTACCCCAGAGTGTCTGAGTTCACCAGGCAGTCTTCCTTACTGCAATTTCATGTATCACCTCTTTTATCCATCTGAACTGAGATTGATTCTATCTAAACCACGCTTTACTATCAATGGAAGTGATAGATCTTTGGACGCTAAAGTATGGATCAATAAAATCACCCAAGTCAGCGTTCCTTCCTATGGCTATACTTGTCTATAGCTCTTTATCTATGATTAGGCTAATGATCTTGTTCAAGCTCAACTTTTCAGTGAATCAGTGATTGGTCCGGATGTTAAATTGAGTACCCTTCCAGGTTCATTCAATTTATTTGACTCCGAAGAAGAGAGCACCCAAAAGTTAGTTCCATCAGATCTTCCAATTCGAGGGGCTCACAGAGTAGCAAGGTATGCTTCCGTACCTTCCAACAGGTTCATGAGCTTTTGACTGACCTAGCTACATATCAGTGAAACCAAAGCATTCTTCTCATTCAGAGAAATGGCAGGGATAATGCACCCAGTAGACGAAATAGGCAAGCAACGGTATCGTGCAGCGTGCGACGCCTGTCGCTATTCTAAAGTTCGCTGTTCTGGTGGCTGGGTTTGTATTCGCTGTAAAAAGCACGACTACAAATGTCGGTACGGCGTTGCACATCGACCAGGCAGGCCGAAAGGAAGCAAGAATAAGACGACCTTGGAAAAGTTGGAGAATCTTCAGGCAGCTCAACAGAGAATGTACGTTCCAAAGGCTGAGAGTGGAGTGGGATTTTCTAAGCCGGAAAAAACAATAAATAATAGTATTGTAAGAGTAGGTTCCCCATATCTATGTCGGCGCGGAATTAACTGTCATATTAGTCAACCCCTGGTAATTTCGGCCATTCCGCGCATATAAAGATGGGGAACTATGTTTTTGCCAACCCAGAATTCTCCGTGTACACTTCACCTACTTTCGCAGGAATAGGATACTACAATACTCCTGAGAACGACTATGAAAATATTTCACCTGCAATAGCGCAAAACCTGCCTTGGCCAAGTGACACTCGAACTACTGCATCTGCACAGTCAGATCTGCGGACACTACCGGATGGATGCAGCTGCTTGGATGGACTCGAGTCCAGTCTAAGACAAATGTATGGGCCCTCACGATGTTCCCATCTGACCGTGGGCCCAATCACAGGCCCTTTGTCATTGTGCAAAACTCTTTAAGCTGTACGTACTTGTGCTGGAAAATGGAGAGAGAACTCGTGACTTCTCATTGTAGGCTCATCGCACTTTTGACATTCTCAATCACTTTTTCATCTAACCGGCCGAAACAATACAGTATCGAATCTTACAGCAACAATACTAATTTCTCTGGCTATGTGTGCAGTTGTGCTTCAATCTGCATGCTCAAACTAGAATTAGAATTAAAGGTAGCTTTGTCAGGGATATCATCTTCAACAACAATGAATTCTCCTTGTCATTATCGCCAATACTTTTCTCGCTGACCTCGATGCTGTCGCTATGATTTTCCGGCTCGTGCTCCGTAAACGAACTGTTTGGGTCGCTCATAATTATACGAGATCACAGTTCTCTTATATCATATTTACCTAAATATTTCAGATCATGGTAGCGGTGACAGAATCGAAGATCCAACACTCCGCAACATCATGTTGTACAAGCTCTACAACATGATTTCCGAGGATTTGAGGTGTTGAAGGTAATCCACGAGACGAGAGCTTCGATATATGATTAAAAAAACTTCTTGTGCATCTGCAAGGAGTTTGCGGTGCATGGAAGTTGCTTCCTGTTTGACACGGTCTGGCCTTTATACCGGCGCCTTAGGGTCGAAGGTTCAGGTTGTATTTCCTGGCAGTTTTGGCATATTGAGGCTTTTTTTGCGATTCTAGATCACTAACTGCCTTCAAAATATCTGCTTCGTTGACCGTATTATCAAATTTCGAAGGTCATTTGTAGGAGTGGGGTAAAACGGGCATATAGTGATTGGGAATCCTTTGGATAAAGGTCTCCATCAATAAATGTAATATCGATCGGCATTGTTATTTGTTATTGATACGCATTGATTCCCTATTGAGACGTCGACGGGGCAACAGATGTTTGTATGAGGCGGATACTACGTCAATGAGTGAATATGGATGGAGGTCTAAATACGGACTGTTTCCCCTCGATAGATAGTTTCCCTCTTCATACTCACTTTCTCGTCAAAGCTGGTACCCTATATATAGTAGAGAATATTATTCATTTAGATTAGTCGTATATTACATATACATTAAGATCGGTTCCTTCCACTAGAATCTATACTCGCTAGAAATATCCTCTTGAAGGCCTGATCACGCCCACATAGCCTTGAACTTTTCGTTGAATTCCACCTGAAGCATCTTGAACGCCTGGAGAACTTGTAAGAGTCCTTGACTACTAAGAACTACATCTGTATCTGGAGTCAAGAAAGGATCAGCGCTACCGTGATATTGTGTAAACCCACTGTCTCCAGTCTGGGAAACGCGATTATCTTCTTCATCGTCAATCAGATCATCATCCCAATTCTCGAGCACGTTTGCCTTCGTCTTAGCCAGTCGAATGGCTACGGGTTTGACTGGCTGCTTTTCCTTGCTGGGTGGCAGATTCATAGACGTAAGCTGGTTCTCAACCGACCCCAGTGCATTTTCATCCATTTCCTCTTCTAAGCGATCGCCGCTACCAAGTGTTTCCAACATATCAACATCTATTCTAGGAGAGAGCTTCATGAAGTTCTCCAGAGTCGTTACGATGGTGGCAAGGACAAGAGAGAAGTCATTCAAAAAGGACCATAGGTCTCCCCGGCGAATCTTGTTCTCGTTCACCAGAGCATGAACGTTCCCATGTTTGAAGAAGTCGTATAGGTATGCATTTAGAGGTGCTTGGCCATTCTCCGGCGCAACTTGGACGTGTGGGATAGCGGACTTCTCAAGCCATACTCCACTTCGGACCTTGTTGCAGAGGTCACGAATACTGTTCCATTCGTCACGGTGCCCAGATAGCGCGATAAAAGACGAGGTAACTTGTGTTGGCTCAAGAAACGACATTAAAGTGCTTACTTCCTTTGCTGGTTCGTTCCCTCCGCATTTAGTTCCTGTTAGAGGAAGTGTAGAATCGCTGTCATGAATATGCTGCTCGATGAAGGTGGTCACATATGCCGAATATACGCTCAACGTCTTCTCATTATGAGAATTCAGTATCGCCGCTGCACTCCTAGGTAATTGTGGCAAGATTACGACGGATGTGGATTTTTCTCTAGCCTCCCAAGACTCGAGTACACTTGTTGGGAGGGAACGACGTCCGAACACATGTGACAACACCAACATCAGCGTGCGAAGTGTTTCATTAGGTGATCTGTCGATATTTTTGCAGAGTCGGTGGAAATAACCGTTACTGAGAAGTGCATGGAACGCGAAACTGGAGTTCTCGGTGTAATAGAGATGTGCAACCATTCCGGCAAAATTCAAGGCTCTTCCCTGTCTGTCCAAAAGCCAATTTCGGCGGAGGTATTCAATTGAAAACCGCAAATGATGCAGTACCGTGTGCTTCGACTCTGGTCCACCTAAGTATACCATAGGGCAGGAGAGAATCGAGTTGACTGCCTTGATTGCGTATGAGGCCTGATTCGACTCGTGGAGTAGGATAAAGAGACGTAATACCAAGCTGGTAGTGATCGGAAAATGTCCATTTAAGTCGGGCAATCTGGAGCTCAGCAAGCGGCATACCTTCTGGTAAGAAAGTCCCTGGAAAACGACATTGCCCAGAAAGTCAAATCCACGACGACCGGCGCGACCAGCTGCCTGGCGAAAGTTGAGAGCTGTTAGATAAACCGAATCCCCGCTAAACACGACCGTCTTACAAGGCATATTGACACCCAGTGCCAGCGTCCCGGTGGCAATAACAACGCGCAGATAACCCTTCCGGAAAAGAATTTCGCAGACTTGGCGATATCTGCGATTCATGCCCGCATGGTGGACACCAATCCCACGCTTCAGAGCACTAATTAGTCGCTCAGGAACTTCGAATATACGGAGCTCTGTAGCATAATTTTCGAACTCGGAAGATGTGAGCTTCATTTCGTCCGCAAAATGGAATCCTCGAATGGGATCCTCGGAATTGAAGGACTCAAAATGGCTTGATTCCTTGGAGGCCATTTCCCTCATAAGCTCTGATTTTGATATTCTTTGGTTATCGCCACCAGCTCGTCGTCTATATTTGCTTTTGGGTTCCTTCACGAGCAGCACTTGTTTCTCCCGAGCCTTCTGCCATTTCTCGAACTTGGTTAGTTTCTTGTGCCATTCAGGACTAGTCTCTTTCCAACGTTTTTCTGATTCTTCAAGTTGATTCAAAAGATGATCACAAATTCTCTCGCAGTTTTCTCTGTCGTAGTTAAAGAACAAGGCTGGGAGGGCATCTTGGTCATGGAGTGAACATATCAGTGGCAGTGTCGTATCGCATATATTACTCTTCTCGATGACAGCCGGGGTAAGAGATCCATGGAATTCACCGGAGACTTGAAGTTCAGGATTGGCCGTTGATAATGTCTTCGATAGTTCCAGAACAACTGCCTCAAAGGGGGAATTGTCATGGCTCATCCAATCTGTAACCACCGCCTTCAACTTGGTCTCCCATTCAATAACGTCAGCTTTCTTTATAATCTCTGGTAAAGCGGTTGTAGGATCCAAGAGATCATCGATAGGGAATGTGTCTGTGGCATGCTTCTTCATCACTTTCCATAGCATAAGACAATCCCGAGGCTCCAAGCTTAAATCCTCAGGGAGGCCGCGAGAGCGATCAATGAGGCTAGCAATGGGGTGTAGGAAAGCCATGCTCGGACTTTCATCAAGCCCAGGAGCAGAGAGTTTAGGTGGGGTCGAAAGCCCATTGAACAAAAACTTGTTTGGCGGATTATAGATGAATTTCCTCAGATCAGAGTACCGGGTTTTGTGCTGGATCATTCGTAGATCCAAGCCATTTGCTTTCTGGGCCATTTCAAGCCACTGTCTAAACTCCTCTGGGTTACCGACTGTCGCAGACAGTGCAATGATAGGACAAGGAGCTAGAAGTAGCAATTGCTCCCAGATAACGCCGTCCTCCGCCTGGCCAATACAATGGACCTCGTCAAAGATAATACGCTTGATGCGGGGTGACCACGACTTCGCGTTCGATGGAGCGAGAAGCATGATCTGCAGGATATGAGGCACAGTGATTAGCACTTGACATCCAGTTGGATTGTTTATGCGGTAATCGCGTGTGTGAATTGCCCAAACCGATTTGCCCGGCATGTTGTTGAAAGACTTGGAGAACCTTGCCTCAATCTCCGCAGCAACTTGGTTGACAAGTGCTTTTGTCGGAGCGACATAAACCAGTATTCCATCATTATCGTCTTCCAGGATCTGTTTGATGGCGTAGAAGCTGCACCTCATGTATTAGTGAAGGCCGCCACATAGCCAAGGGGGAAACTTACGATATGAATGTTTTTCCAGCGCTGGTTGGCGCTACCACAAACAAACTTCCTCGGGCATCAATCTGATCAAGAACCTCTCGCTGCCACATATCCGGCTCAAAGTCATGAATGCGGGGATCTCGCGTTGAGCCCATACTACGGTCTATGTATGGACCGGCGTAAAACAGTTGGAAGTCAGGCGGCGATAGGCCAACACTAATGTTAGCAATGTTCATATCCAAGACAGCAAAATTGAATGTCATTCTGCGCTTTCCATGTCGTGGTAGTTCAAGGTCTGGAAGTTTGAGTGCCTTGAGTGTGGTTTGTATGCACTGAGCTATTTCCTCGGTGACGCCATGTTTTGCTTTCGCAATCTGCTGAATTGTATGCCAGATCAACGCAACTAGAGGCATTGAAGAGTCCCGGCACCGACCGTTGCATTTTCCCTTCCACATAAGGACTAGAGTGCTTGTCATATACGCCAGTACCTCCACTTCAACAGCGCTTCTCTTGTCCGATGGTAACCTCTCGAGGTACTGTCTTACCTGAATATATCGTGTAGAGTAATCAAGCTCACTGTCAAATATCTCGATAATGGATTGCCAAGCAGAAAGATGTCGCTCGGCAATTTCATCATGTTTCCACTGCTGTTGAGTGGCGATTTGGTCTCGAATTACATGTTTTCCACCAATTTTGCGCCCCGAAGACTGAGGGCCACGATTAATCCCGAGCTTTGATGTTGAGTTCTCTCTACCTTTTGAGGATTTGAGATTCTTGGGCACTTCCGTCTCTCGAGGCTTCACACATACTGTCTCGGGTTTGAGTGATCCGCCCACTGCGTTCGTGAGACTTGCAGCATACCGTCGCACATCCTTCATGAAGAACTGGTAACGGCGGGTTATGAACGTCTGTCTAGCAGTGAGCTGGGGTTTTAGTTGTGCATTGAGAAGGCCCTTGTGGTTGTGCCAATGACTGAGCTCCTGGAAAATTCGTGACGTGGTTGAGCTAACGGTGGCTTCAGTGCAGTCCCTGGTTATAATGGAGACGGGCTTCAGATGTGCATCAACAATCGGATTGCTGAATGGCAGCACGTCTGTGGCTTTTTCTCTGAGCGCACCAACAACCTTCACTGATCGTGGACTGGGTGGGTCGCAACCGTACACCCCTGATGCCGCAGATCCAACTGCCGATAGGATGTTAATGTCAAACATGTCTGAAAGAACCATTCTGAGCAATTCGAACTTCTTCAGAGCGGCTAAACCGAAAGAATCGATGCTTTTTGTTCGCTTCAAAACGCTCAATGTCTCAAGAAATAGATTTCCATCAACAACATCGCCTAAATCACAGGGGCCTGGTATCTGTGTGATAAACTCATTCCAGAATCTCGATGTAAGGACATTGACTACTGCATTGGCATATTGTTCAAGGAAGGCCTCGCCTGCATGAGACCGTTTTTGGACCACGGCCCTTTCTACAAGTCTGCATTCGCTCAGTATGGCAGTGTGTAGCAACAGGGCACAAGCCTCCACAATACCATAGTCAGAAGGCGAAAGCTCAAGTCTCATCATCCCAAGGGCGATTACTGTCACCCACTCACTCTGAGTCAGTTCTACTTCTCGCTGTTTGACCATTGCCGAGATATTATTGGGAACTTGATCGTCGATATTGGTTGGAGAGAACGAGGATGGGTCTGGAGACGTCGAGTGATAGGTAATAGACTCACAAATGTTTCGGTCACGCGAGACAGAGCCCTCAAGTATCGTCGACATGACCTGCATATGTAAGCATTCTTGCAGAGTTCATGTTATCTTATAGCGGTGGAACGCACCTTTGAGTTTCGACACTCCAAGCTATTGAGAATCGAGATATTGTACCCATGACAGATAAACCAGCGCATCATGGACCGTAACATCGTCTTTCCTGGCCAATCACGCGAAAGTGGGCTATTTGAGTATTCATCCTGGTCCGATACTTCCAAATAATCGTCGTCTGACTGTTCCGTATCAGAATCCTCGGATAGTTCCGCAAACCCCTGAATATTTCTAGGGTTTGTACCATCGTGACACATTAAGAAGTATGCACCAACGGTATGGAGGTATTTTTCAAAGCTACCACATCGATAATCGTCAAAGAAGTGTATCTCGATTGAAGGGACCGAAGCTGGGAGATTCTGCGCTAGGTGTTGTAGGATTGCTTCTCGCGCAAGGCGATACTTAGGCTGTAGCCTTTCATCGATATTTGGAGGGATGCAGATCTGCGCATGATTGGAAAAGAACACGACATGGAACACACATTTGCGTTGCTTGAGCTGACTAAGGAGCTTTTCAACGAGATATGTGATATGCAGTAGCTGAAGGCCATGAGAGAAGTCCAGGTTCTCGTCAGAGAAACACTGTAAAAGTAGCGAGTCTCCTTCAATGAGAAAAAGCTCATCTCCTGCGTAATCTCCAACCAGGTCCAAGATACGAGTGGTGAGACCATCGAACCTACAGAACAATGTTATCCTGAGACGGGCGAGACTAATGTTGGATATCTTACCATTTCAGAAGTTCCTCAGCCTCTTTCATCATGTGAAATCCACTCGCAGGAAAGGCTGGTTTGAAAAGTAGAGGGTGATCGAGATGGGTGTCAAAGCTAAGATAAGGTAGGAATACAGGAAAAGCTCCAAGCTAGGAGGAAGATGGAATTTGAGCTGTATTTATACAGTGCCAGATCTTGTCTTACCGGGACTGCCCGTCCAATACTAATATTTGCGCTTTTTTCGGCATCCCAATGTGTGAAACTGCAACTTGTGCCCTGTTGATTCGTTTGTTTTGACATCTACTCTTCACTCGTACGTTCCAATGGAGTATAAGGGCTCATGGGGCCAACCTAATAAGTTTATCCTTCAACTCCTGCAAAACAAAAGCGAACTCTTCAGAGTGTCCAGCCTCATGAGGGCTAAAATTTTAATCTGATCAAGGCTGCGACGATCATATTGCAGTTCATGTTTCATTTCCCCAAATGAGCAGTAATAGCAGAGCTGCGGATCTGAATCTTCTTTGATTTTCTTTTATATTCCCATTATCACTCCTCCATGCGGCGTTGTGACCTGAAGAAGGTCATGGTCAAGACTCATTATCGCAGTTCGTACATCCTGATGAGAGCAGATCGAGCAGTCACCCTGATGGATAGAATGACTGCGATAGCTGTTGTGACGGCTTAGCCCTAGCTTCTGCAGGTTTGGCGCGCACCACCTAGTTTTTCAATTAAGAAATCCTTTGTTGTACGGTGATGTCCGTCAAAAAAGCTTGATATCTGTCGGCATTGTCCTTTGTGGTTCACTACTGCTGGCGCCGCGCTGGGATACTGTAATAGGAGGTTGTTCCAGAGTCGGGCAGGTATGACAGGCCAGATAGAGCTGGCATGAGATGAATCAACTCGGTGGACTGCTGACAGGAAGCCTGACCTGTCTACTTAGGGTTGGTGTGATTTGTCACAGCGACCCTGTAAGCTGTTGCGCTGTTACAGATACCGCGAGGCCACAGAGATTTGTTTGAGACGGGAAGTACCGCCGATGAAGACCTCGATAGATAGTTTCCCTTTTCCTTCCTCGAGTAGTTAACTGTCTTTCTCTGGCGTTCTCTCGGCGTAGGTGGGATGCATGCTCGATCACATGCGAATGTGATCGTAGATCGTCCGTTCTTCTCTTTAGTCGACCTCCGTACTATAAACGCATAGCCCCTAACTGCAGCCCACGTATTAATTGACTCGAATAATGCCTCTCGGGAGTCGTAGATAGATTCGGGAGTTGTGGCTGTTCTTCTGCTAGCCGCGTATACAGTTGCAGGCAGCATGAGGATATCTTATCTCTCATCCTCCACCACAGCTGTAACATACAGCCAGTCCAAATGAATAATATTCACTAACTATGGTGCCTGCGTTGACGAGAAACTGACTAGTACATAGGAACTAGCTGCCTTTTTCAGTTATAGCTAAAGAGTCAGGCGAAGGCTGGACTTCAGAGCATCGTCCCCGATCAGCGCTTCTCTAAGCTAAGTTAGTGGGAGCTACAAGCAAGTGTTGAATTAGCTAAGCTGATCCAGCCAATCAGATGCGTGAGATGTGTCAACCAATAAGAGCGAGCCACACACTGCTTTACACTAGCCACATGTGACATAGCGGGTGGGGTCAAACAAAAAGCCTCAAGGCTGAACGATTGGAAAGATGTAACAATGCATAATTACGTTCGAGAGGGAGCACTGGTGTGAACGTGAGTGGGACGTGTGGTTTATTTAAGTATGACTTTGCGAAAACTATATAAGACTAGGAATTCTGGGTCATAGGATTCTTGGATCAAACATTGAAGCTGGATATGGGATTCCTCTTTTTAATGATGAAAGAAGTTGATTGTGAGTTATTCATTGTGGCTTGGTTGGTTGCATCTGCAAAGCAATTGATGGAGAATGACTTGGTCAGAGACAGGCTTGCGATTGATAAGGACGTCATCTGCTCCAAAATGGAAGCTGCAAAACTGATGAACCACATCCCATATCTCACCAAACAGGGTATCTGCGACTGCCTCAGGCTCACACAAGAATAAGGAATGGCAAAGATATGTTGCAATGGCTGCGGCTGCCTATACTAAAGACCTCCCCGCTCGCATTCTGCTAGGTAATTAAAGTTGAAGCGGAGAAGAGGGTCGGTGATGTACTTTCTTCGGGTTACTCTTTGCAGCAAAGCTTCCACGGTTCTCTTATTAACACAGATTTATAGTCGTGGAGGACATAAAAAGTACAAAATACTGCTCAAAAGACAAATACTGCAATTAAATTCAGTATAGCCCCTCGACTGCCTGGTACGCGATCCCTGTAGCTGTATCCCAGAGTCGGACTGTGTCGTTACTGGACGCTGACGCCAGCATTGTCCCATCTAGAGAGAAGGCGATTGCGTTCACCCTCGAGCGTTCGGTGATTGTATAGTCCGGCTCTAGGATACAGCCACAGGGAGCATGTGCTAGGCACTTAAGAGCCATACTGGCCGGGTGAATGCTAACGTCAGTGTCGGCATTCAACATTCGGCTCCTACTCCTGCGCTAGTAATTAAAACCCCATGGGTACAATGTTCTCTGGCTTCCACCAGATTATAGATCTAATGTATCCGTTCCTTATTCGACTAAGGTTCCGAATCGGGTGTTCTTCGTGTCAAGTTCTTCTATTTGATCTGACTTTCTGACTTCTTAGTATGTTGTTTGTCCTTACTTATAAATCATTACGCGAAGAGACTAGTCTAGAGAAAATCTGGAAAAAATAATGAATGAGAGTGCCTTAGAAAGCCATTGTTGAATAAAATAAATCAACTGACTGGGCAATTAGTCGTTCCACCCACGGGATTCATGACTATCAATATTTTCAAATATCTTTACCAAAGGAGGGGATGGGATGCATGATGCCTATATACTATAGCTGTTGGTGTGGGGCTTCCTGAAACTTCTATTGAACTCTTCATTAAATCAAGCTTAGAGATTTTTCTTTGCTTACCATTTAAGTCTAGCGATGTGACACTGTTTGGGACCACCATACGATGTCCTACCTAGCACTGATTCTCTTGGTGTAATGGTCTTCCCAAAGAGAGTTAGATCACTGTTATAACTTAAAACCTTGGCAGTGGCCCGCGACTTAAAAAGAAGAGTGTCCAGGCGCAATGGCTGTTTCTATCGGTGTTAAACATCCTTTGAAGCTGATAAATTTATGATTGGACCGCTTATTTCTAGACCTCTTTCCTGTTTTAATCATTTTGCAATGTTCCTTTTCGATCCATTAGTATATGTACTTAAAAACCGGTCTTGTATAACCGCGGCGTAGGTCAAAGTACAGCCTGTCGTCATCCACTATCTAATAAGGAAAGGAAAGAAAAAGAAACGATGAAAGGACGTTCAAAAGTGGTCAAACAATGCCAAGCAATAAATGCATAGTTGTCATTGCAAGCCTGCAGGTGAGTTGAGCAACGGACGGGCATCATATTCATAACAGCATTAGGAGAGGAGAGGTGACATGACTTTTCTCATCAAGGACAAGGAACACTACAAAAGGAATTCGAAGATAGCTTTATTGTACAGCAGAGTCCACAATATAAATATTAAGTAGTATGTATGTAGTAAATTATTGAGAATAGGGAACAAGGAATCTAACTATGCTTGTCCCTCCTAGGAAAAAGGAGTCCTCGCTAGGAAGTGTTGATATGCGCTTTCGACATGCAGCGTAGCCAACAAAGGGACCTGTAACATGAATCGAGAGTACAGGAGAGAATACTGTACAGTAATTTTTTTTCCGATGCTGTTAGATTATAAACTAGAGCCTCGCATACGCATAACTGACCTGTCACATTTTCCGGGTTGTGGGAATTTTCTATGACATCTATCTTTCTATTCGCCTCAAACAAGGAAGCCATTTTTCTTTTCTTTTTTTATTTTCAATACAGGTGCTTTACAGCTCCATCACTTGCTATCTCTTGCATTTCACCCTAATCATGTCACAACTTCACTATCTACTGTACACACAGACTCGAAATCTCCTTAATATCCGCATACTATTTGATTCATTTGTTTCACTCTGCCAAGGGTATCAGTAGATTCAGTATTTTTCAACATTTCACTATTTGTTCATGACCTATCCTTAAAACTCTAATATCTGTTAATACTAACATGGTAGGGTTTTACAAGACGTGGATGAATAATACGCTTATTATGGATAATATTGAAGTAACTGTATCTAATTTAAAGCACAAGATTGTAAGTGGGAGAGCGACAGAATGGTTCGAAGTTACTACGTTGAGAGTAATCAGTTAATTTCAGACCAATACAGTTACTTTTTCTAACAGCTGAAAATCGCACCAAAAGTTACAGGTAAAATACAAAGGTTCCTGGGTAGGTATTAGCCCAGTAAGCATGATCCTCCGCAGTGGGGCGGAATAAAAGAGACAGTAATAAACATGGAGGTTTTGAATCTGTCTGTATTCCCTATGAAGGATCTTTTTATTTGTCCATACTTCTCAATAAATTGCTTCTACTCCAATTATGGTTCTTCGAAATGATGGAGCTTTCGGGGATTCACAGAGGTTCAACTGTCCGTGGGGTAATTGCGTGAAGGTACTGTAAATACACTATTTTGTTTATCTATGAGGAGGCAATTTTTACCAACGTCGACCAGCTGTTCAGTCGCCAGTGCGACTTAAACAGACACTACAGAATACATACGAACGAACGCCCACATAAATGTGCGGTCCCTGGCTGCAACAAGAGCTTTATCCAACGCAGTGCGTTAACAGTCCACTCAAGGACTCACACTGGCGAAAAACCCCATGTGTGCGATCATGGAGATTGCCTCAAGGCCTTCTCCGACGTAAGTAAATATTCTTCAGAATAGTCGCATGACTACTGACCAATCCATCACAAAGTCATCGAGCTTGGCACGCCATCGTCGTATACATACCCCATACGTTATGTCCAAATCTGAGTGCAACAGAAGGCTCGTTAAAATCTAACCCGCTGAATATAAGAATTAACTAACTTTTCTAAATGGTTTAGGAAGAGACCCTTAAAACAAAGTCACCACCATCAAGCAAATACAAACACAAACACACAACAATCACGGGAAGAAGCGCCTGGCCCTGAAAGCGATACCTATCAAATACCTACAATTCCCACCCAGAGCTCTAATCCATATATGATCATGCAAAACCCTCATTATTACCCTCACTTCGCACCAACTACTGTCGACTCCAACGAGATTCCATATACAACCGTGCATTTCCTCGAATCTCCGGTAATGGTGCCCCAACCTTATTCATCTAATCACTTTATACCAAATTCACAACACACTTATGGTCCTTTCCCGCCTTTCACTTGCGCACAACTGCAATATTCGTCACAAGCTCCGTTTCAAGTTGCGCATTGCAGCAGAAGTTTGCACTCGAATAGCTACATGTCATCCCTGCCCCCATTTCCACACTCCTATTCCAATTTTGCGCTTACAGAAAGCATTATTGTGCCCTCAGAGCAAGCAAATATGTTGCCGAATTGCTCCTTGACAATGCAAATGAGCTGGCCCCGGGGAGCTACTAATGACGTCCATCAGTTATAGCATCGCAAATATGAATAATTAAAAATTACTCTAGTAAATACCGCGATTGTTTATAGTATTTCGATCCCTCTTTGTGGGTGCACTAAGGTGCATATACGTACGTACGAAGCACTTGAGTCAATCTCAATAGGTGATTCTTTCAGTTCTGTGTGTTCACTTCTTCTAAGTACATCATGTTCCAAAGCCGCGTCTATATAGACCTTCTCCTGAACTGATTTGTAAGCTATCCCATGGGCCATGGGGTAAACCTGAGACCATTCTCTTACACATAACAGTTTCGGATTGATCGCTTCATTTGATGGCTTCATTGGAAAGCCAGCTTATCTGACACATCTCGATTGCATGAAGCAACCAACACTCTTTGTCACTATGACCGAAAAAGTAATAGATCGGGTAGATATAAAACATTAGGCATCTAATCTTTTACCCAGGCTTAGAGGGGATTTGCAGTCCTCATTGGGCAGTGTGCAAAAGACTGCTATAGACTGATACGCCGTTCTGATGAGGAAGACGAGTCCTATCGTTATTGGAGATGTCCAGGACTGAGGATGTTGACTGAAATACCACGGCTGTGTGGCGATCACTATTTGGATGGTATCAGACGAGGGATCTATAATAGTACCGGCGTAGAGCACCACCGCTATGTAGAGCAGCTCGCCGTTAATACAATCTCGGTGACCATAGTGGTGTATTTTGATCATCGAAAACCTCGGATCAAGGGTGGCGGACATCGCGCAGATGGAGGTATAGAAAATAATAAGATTCAATACGGGGTATAGACACATCAAAAAGGAAAGTGATAAGTTGCAGAAAGGAATACGGTCGTCCAACACAAGAATAATTCTATCCAGGGGAAAAGTATGCCATCAAAGCAGGGAAATTCATACTAGAAAGTAAGCTCTTTAGGCAATTTGTTGAGAAGCGTACAGATAGATCTCTAGCGGAGCGGTGAGTTCTCAGGAGTGTAATAGCCACTAAGTAACATGCGCTCTAGCAAGCATATACCAGCTTGTCATTTCACCCTTCTTTTACAGTACATATTTAGAACCATGATTTTATGCCCATTATCATAGGACTGGAGCTAGCGATCATGATTAGGATACAAGCCATCTCGTTACCGTTTCACCTCGGCATGTCTCATATCGTCGGGATCTCAGTTACTGTGATATTATATAGATGGATAGGTGTTTTCAACCTATCCTCCTAAGTGTCCCTGGTTTTCCTAAGGCGATCGCATTCAATGAGTCAGTATGGCCCTCAAGTCTCTGAAGTAAAGAACTCCAGTTCTTCTCCGTAACTGGCAATTTCTTCATCCACCGGAAGACTCTTTGCGGAAAATGGCTGCGGACGTGGCTACTTTCTGGTGTGAATATCAATACGCTGAGGTATAATTGGAGGGGTACACGTTCCACGATAGGGTAAGTATAGGAGATATAGCTTTGACATCCTGGATATATTGACAGAATAAGGGGCAGGCATTTGTCTGTAGAAAACTTAGTTAACGTTCAATATGCCCGGCTGTCTTACTGATGCAATAGAATGAAGGCAAGTCGCTGCTTGTATACTCTCCGCAGCCCTACCCACCCAGATCAGGGTTTCTAATCAAGGTAGGAGATGTTGGCGCATAAAATCGTCAACTAGATCCTTGTCAGAATAACCTAGGTTGCATATATTCTCCTTTAGAGTGGCTGATATTAGGAGCAGGCATCTCATGAAAAACCTTCTATACGCACTTTCTCGTCCACCTGGAGACCTTCTAGGTCACATCTGGATGGGTTGACCAAGGCAATCTCAGTACAAGGGATCATGCAATCGAAGCTCATCACTTTCTGGGGTGTGAAGGATTGAACGAAGAAAAGTTAGCACCATGGCCAGCTATATCAAACACTCTGAACCCATATTCGATGGCTTGCTACTGTCTACTTTGGCACCTATAATTTTCAATCAATATCCAACTGATCCTGTGCCTTTCGATGATACTTCGACACCATCTAGACGTCCACGAAGGACATTAACCAATGGCGATAACCGCAAAGTGTGCTTGTATCATAAAAAGCACAAGTAGGCTAGACAAACTGAAATTGCAGGTAGGTGGTCCTCGGCTTCCCACGCTTCACTTTCCGATATGTATGTGTCTTTCCCATTTCTAGTCTTTCCTCCTACATATTCTTGATCGTTTCATACCTCCTTTGTTGGTAGCAATATAACTATAGAACACATGCTGACTAATACTTGTTGGTGTGGTCAGCAGCGTTCTTTGATCCAAAAATACATGATTAGCTGACCACATTGTCTAATTGGGGTAAGGCAACTCTACGACAGTTTAACCATAACCGCTAAGATGTCTTTTAATTAACCATGCTACGTCTTACGTCACAGGCTTTATATAGGACCCCAAAAACTATGGGCAGCGCTAACAGTACTATAATAAAAAGACAATATCCAAAGTAAAGCCAGCAGCTAGTTCCATTGAGGGAAGGCAAAGCGTCTAATATGGAATCCAAGATCTGCTCAGAAAGATATGCCACTATTTAGAGGGAACCTATAGGGAGATGGTAAGTTTGAAGGAAAAACTTAGCAAACAAGAGAAAACGATTTAGGATCAAAATGATATGATTAGAGGCCTACAAATCCAGCTGGAAAGATCCCAGAATCAATCTGTTGAAGACTGCAAGCAGCTCCCTAAACAATTAGATATTATAGCTAACGTCCCATCGCGCAGCGTCTATAGAGGCCAACTCACAGAAGTGGTCAGAAGCCAACCTGCCTAACAACCAAGTACATCACTAAACACTTGTGGTGCCGCCAGCGTACGCTAACACATTATTCTGCACAATCAATACGTCTCACGTTAGAGAAGAAGACAAATCTAAGGCCTAGGTAGTTAATATCAGGCACCTGATCGAGAAAGAGACAGGGGAATGAGAAAACAAAAGACTGGCGTCGTGCGGCAGTGATTAAGACCATGGATCAACTTAAAGTTATTTGCAGACATGAACAGGAGGTCCACCAGGTCGACGAAGCTGCCCAAAAGATCGATACACAGGGAATGAGAATCCTATGAGACCAGCTTTACCAGTCAGAATCTACAATACCAATCGGACAGCAGTCCTGGATGTGGTTGGCAAATATCCTGCCAGGAGCAGCCAAGGCTTTGGGAAAAGAGACTATTGTCGACATTGCTAAGATCTCCTGGCTTTGTAAGAAGGACTCCAATAAACTTTATGGTGGTGGCATATATCACTAAAGGGACCGACGCTAAACGCCTTATAGGAGGCAAATAGTTCGATATAGCAGAGAATCTGCGTATACTCCTGTCTCTGAGCCACGAGCAAGGCTGGCCCAATGTTATACTAGCCCTAACCCAAGCCACTCTTCCATGATTCTTGTTCACAATATTCACAGTATTGAACAGTAAGATGGGTTGTATGATTATCCACAATAAGTAATCGCCAATTCTTTTAATTGTCTGTATGCTAGTTGAAATGTTGAATACATTTAAAGATAATAATACTGCTTAAAGCTGGTACAGTAAGCCAACAATTGATAAGTACTGCACTCTGAAAGCTAGCCTTGATGTTATTATTTCCTGCCTCGACTAGGCTCTCCCAGTGCGCGAACTACTCAACACGGAGGTATAATTGTAGCTCAAGCATGCAATCCTAAAGGACAACCGTATGTGTAATTGGAATAATATAGGTATTGTGGCTAAGATGGGAAAATGTCATCGAGCATGTGGGGTGGATAAATGGGAAATAGATAAGTTCCTCCCTCTTGAGCACCTGGGGTCGCTTCAGGGGGTCTGAAAGAGGTCATGAAATACCACGGGATAAACGAAGGATCTTGATATAAACCATAGTTCTGTTGTGGATACGCCTTAAGCCCATCTATATAGCTGCGTCTATCCAATGTCGACGAGTATGGCGGTATATTGGACGCGGTACTTTGGTAGTCACCTGATGAATGCAGGTTTCGCTCGATCACAGGTGAGACATCGTTTTTGTAGTCCAGAGGAGTATTGTAAGATCCCATATCTGTCTCTTTCTCTATGGGAATAGGTAGCGGATACGCGGAGGAATTCGAGCTTGGAAAAGCATGATTGCAATCATGCCCAGTAAATACCGTGTATGCCTGCGACGAAGGCCCAGAAGTATTAAGTGTTGACTAATATCACTATTAGTATCTGATTTCTGTGTCGATATAGGTATGGAACCGAATATACCTACCTCACCACTCGGCTTTCCGATCCTGCGTCGAGCTGCTTCCAATCTCAAGGTCACCTTTTTCTTGCTCCCTTTTGGCTTGCCCGCTCGATGTGCAATGCCGTAGCTGCATTGGAAGTTGCGCTCACTGCAACGATCACAAACCATGCCACCAGAACAGCGAACCTTGGAATAACGACACGCCTCGCAGGCTGCACGGTATCGCTGTGGTGTGCTCATTTTGTCTATCGAATGCGCCATCTTTCTTGACTAGTGCTTTTCTGAAGCGTGGCTAGATTAAATAAAGACACATCAATTTTTGTGAAAAATATGGATATATACCTCGCTATTCTTGAAGTCACAGAACTAATAAGTCAGAGAATGAGCGCGCTACAGATATGTAGAGCATAGCCACAAGAGTGGCAACCTGAATTCACCCTTAGTAGGAGGATGCGAGGCGTAATGCATGAGTCTGCCTTGTACTTTATTATTGAATTAGACTGCAGTGTTTCTTTCTTTAGTATATTACTGTATCTTCGCTCCTATCAAGTGAGTATGATAATTTTCTCGGATCACTTAATTCCGCAGCCCGTACACCGTACCTGAGTTGACGTAGCCCCATATCACCCTTTTGTGCCTAATATTACAAAAACTTTTAAACGTTCTTTAGCCATCTTCGGTTTATCTGCCTCTACAGGATTGAATATCGTGTGTATCTCTCTGTTGGCGCTGTAAATCAAAACAGGACAAGGATGGCATATGGCTTGAGGCTAAGAGAGGTAGCCAGAGGCAAGGAATCATAAAGTCAAACTTCCCACTCTTCGTCTCTACAACAGAATTCAGATTACAGAGTACTTTAGAGCGAAAGGAATCAGAGCAGGAAGATGAGTTTGGAACAAATTATCAACACTAATTTAAGCACGATTCGGAAGTCCTTCACCTGTTGTTTTACTCCACCCCTTAAGGCTGTCGCCTGAAGCTAGTCCAAACAGGATTATTTGATTTTTAAAGATTTGTTTTATTGATATATTACACTAGTATTGTACTGTAGCGAAACATGAAATACCACAATATGCTTGCACTAGCTTTGATCATACCCTTGAGTGCAGAGCAAATAAATAAGTGTGTAAAATCTGTCTGTACTACTATTATGTAACCACTGGAGCTCTTTTCGCTCTCTTTCAAAAAAGTGTTTAGAAACGCTAGTATGGCGTAGGAATAAACTGATCTAGAAATAATACCTCTTCTTGTACTACGTTACTATGAAACTGACAGGCTAGACGCAGAGTATTTCTATTGCAGCGGGGATAACACAAGCTCTTATCACGTAAAGTTGATACAGCCTTTTCGATATGTCTTAGATGCCTAGTAAAGACTCTTAGTGGGTGGAATGAAGTGTGGCTGGTTGAAACTCCCCCCCCAAAAAAACCCACTGTCCAGTGGGACTGGTCTTTCTCATGCTCAGAACTCGTCGTCGCCCGGACTAAGTGTGATCATACGCCGGTCTTGTGGCTTACTTCGCCCCATTCTATTTCAGTCATACCACGTAGTATTCTTTACATAGGCAACTATGGCTTGTATTTATCTCTGGACGCTAGCGATTATGCCTTGTATTCACCGCTGATCGTATGTTTGGGCATGAATATGAATGAAGGAGATATACGATAAACGATTATAAGGGTTTTGTTAAGGGCTGACCCTAATATTGGTTAGGGCTACACCCTCACAAATACTGCGCTCCATACACTATTCTCTATTAGGAAAATGTCTCTATCCGAACGTACCCTATCCGAACATGAAGGTATCCACAATTCCGTGCTCAAGCTAAGCGAGTTGGAACAGCCCCATTCACCCTTTGCATATAAATTTGTACGTCTGCGCGAAAGCTGTTTGTTCTCTTTCCTTCCTTCTTTTCCTCATGTACGTTATCTACTCGAGAATGAACCTATAGTAATTCATAAGGTGAGACTGGCACGTAGCAGTGCTGTTTCTACCAGGGAATTGTCCTCTATAATGAAGCATCAAACCCCTCGCTTTAATACGTGTTTCTTCCTGATTGGTACGCCAGTTGGGCCTCGCTGCGCTGTGCGCTTCACCAATAATATCTAACACTAAGCTAGCGGTAGCCCTAATATGTGGTTGATAACAGGAAAGCGTCACGCTCTTGACAGATCTTCACAAAACTCATGAACTTCGACTGTGAGGTAGGGCAACAATATTTATTTAAATACGCTACAACCTAGTAGAATGAGGTTAAAATCGCCTCACAGATTGCATAATGCTGTTTTTTGTCGAGAAAGCCCCTTTTCGAACACCAGGATCTAATACGTCATCGAGTCCTGGAGGACTCGTGGAGAAGCGGTCTGACCCCACCAAGGATGCGCTAAGCGTCGGACACGAGAACAGCACATCCGCGAACGCACACCCCAAGGACCCTCGCAATCTGAGTGTAGTCAGGAAACGAAATGAAAGAAATCGGACGATCAAGGAACTTCAGGTGCCCGCGATTTTGACTTTGTAGAAGAATATACATTCACTCCAGTTCCTTGATCGCGATCGTGCCTATCTGATCGCTGAAGTGGATCCAACTCTAGCCAATCAATGCAGATGTCACGGGCATGTTTCTTTTCATGCTCAAATCACATTGGATATCCGGTAAATACACGGGAAAGAATTCCCAGAGCTATGGGAGACACGGGAGATCCGGCGAGTCAACTCGCAGCGAAAGCTCTATAAATACACAGAGGAGCATGGCATGGATTATAACAGGCTTCAAGCTATAGTGCAAGTTACGCAGAAAGCGCGCATTAGAGACGGAAATGGCAATTCGTGGCAATTCGTGGCCTATCGAAGCGCATGTACTTTACCGTCAAACGACTGAAGGATCTCAAATTCAACCAAATCGGGTCATTGTGTATCCTATTTCGGACTAGTGATTCATTTGTAATTCTTAAGCATATGTATCTAGGCCCCTGGGGCCACAGGATGATTGGGCAGCTTTAATGGATCGGCACGAACGAAACCGGTGAAGCTGTCGGATGAAAATTGCAGCCTATGGACGTTCTGGACCTCCCTCAAGTTCTCTGTTATGTGGTGTCGTGTTGGATTGTACGTGACAATCTCAAGCGGTTTATCTCAACGTATCAAATTATGTATGCAAGAGTATGGAATCCTTGATTCTTGTTCTTATTCTAGGTACAGTAAAGGTGGAAGATATCTCTTACCCCCTATTCGGTGGATCAGTGTGTGGCTCGCTCTTATTGGCTGACAAGTCTCATCTGTCTGATTGGCTGGATCAGCTTAGCTAATCCAACATGTCGCATAGAATAGTTAACGCTACTTTAACAGGCATACCATCTGTCTTAATCATGAGCCTCTGCTGTTTACGGAAAAAGAATAATTTTATCTGGTCATCTCAAACACATTTGATAGCATAAAAAGTACTACGCCTTTGCACAGCTCCACCTGTTTTAGATGTAGCGACTCTTTTAATCATGTACTTCTTGAGTTGATAGTACTTCGGAGGGCCAAGCCTGAGGCTGATTACCGATTCAGTTACTTTTCCTTTATGCCAATCACTTTGTATCCTACCATGGTAGTTATATGTGCACGTTCCTTTATCAGGATTATCACGGTGGGTATGGTAAGGCACCTTTGAATGGAGCCCTATCATACATCACGGATTTGACCTAAATCTGCGATACAGGGCGTGCCTGTATCACATTGGACACAGACAGGGCGCTAAAGCATTATTTCTGGGGGGAAGTAACGTTAGTGATGAGGTATGGTGTCCTATAAATATAGGCCATTGCCGCTCACCAGATAGTTTCTTTGCTCATACTTGTTAGGGATTGGCCACTTGTCGCACCTACAATTCTCCTACGCTCTTCAGTATATATTCAATCATCATTCTTCTTTCCTATCACCAAACACTCTGACACCGACCTACAACTCACTAAAATCTAGTACCTTTCCACCCTCCCCCCCCCCCGCGGCCCAATCGCTTCCCACTACTCTATTGCACAAACCCGACTTGACTAGACCGACGCCTGCTCAACTCAAGTGTAGAGCGATACTAACGAATCTAGTTACAGAATTCAAACTCTTCAACCACATCGTCACTAGTTCTCCTGACTCCTCCACTATCTGGGACAATTTTAGCAAGAGCACAACGCAGCCACAACAACCGCCGCGGGACGGAGCTCCAAAGTCTGCCACGCAAGTCTTGATTTATCGGCTCAACCCGTTTAGACAGGTAAAGCTGCCTCACCGCTACCAACCCGAACTCACCGATCGCACTCCTCCCTAATCGGAACCCTGCTGTTAATTGGTATAAAGCGGCAGGAGGGGATTGATATTCTTTCAGAATGGCGGAAGGTCCTTTTTTGTTGAGTGGGTTGACGTCCGTGCATGTTCGTCAACATTTTCACGTTAAGTATTCGTTCAATGAAAATGTTTCTCCAAAGTTGTTCAGCGAATACTTTGAACGGCGGCTTAAGTCGCAGGAAGTGAAGCTCTTCTGGTGGGGAGTATATCAGGAGAAACGTGACCCCAAGATGATTCACGTGTATATACAGACGCGGTATTGGGCGTTTAATGGGGAAGATATTGAGGACCTAGAACTTCCTAGCGCCAAGACGGAACAAGCAGTTTTCTGGTATATGGAGCGAGGGACATTCTTGCAGGCTTGGCCGAAATGTACAGTAATTAGAGCTCCGAAGGAATAAAGGATGAGGGGGGCCTGTTAAACTTAAACTTGCTCCTAAGATCATATGTGAAAACAGTTATAGAAAAACTATATAAACCTGTTGAAATCAATAAAGAAAATCTGTTTTCCTAAGCATCTTTATGCTGAGTCCCGATATTCTTTATCATATTACCCCTTAGGGAACATCAGCCATATAAGCGTCTCAGAATTCAGGCAATGTCTCCGAATACTTAGAACATCTCGTGCGTTGCTAAACAGTCTCTCGATATTTACTTCAGTAGACAGACGAAAATAATCGCGTACAGCTTTCGACATTAGGGGATAGTTGAAGGCATGCAGCATTCGCTTTCCAACATTTCAAGATCAAGTGAAATACTTGGAGACGGATATTTTGGAATGAGGACTAGGAACTTGGAAGTTTTGGGTTGTATGTAGCAATCTTAAGCGGTATATCTCAACGTACATGTATCTTCTCCAAAGTGTGCGGTGGCCTATCTTCGGCGGCCGCAGCAAGATCTACCTGAGGGGAGGAAAAGGGGTGAGAGGGGGGTTAGGAATATGTTGCTTCATTTTTCAATGTTATATTAAGGTTCGGATTCGAGTTCCTGTTCCACTCTTCCTCTGCAATCGCGTAGTTGATTACTGCATGGGCGGCCTTCATATCTGATTGCCAAAGATCCGGATCCGAGCGCGATTTTCCCCTAAGAAGAAGGATAGATTTCCTCATTTTGAGTTTGTGCTTTAGTTCATACCTCCTCCCATTGTTATCCATCTCGTGTAGCGGAATGGGAATTGTTCCACTGTCTTGCTCGCTTGTACAGGCGCAAATATCGGACTCTGATGCGCCTATCTTGTTCAAATACCTATTTAACCTTGTCTTTCCTGTCTGAAGCTAGGGTAGGATTTTTGCTTCTCTGGTTCATTCCATCCTATAAGGTTCTTGTATCTTTTTTGGAAGACCTATATCGATAGCTGTTGGAACCGCGGTGAATCCCAATGAGGATGTTAGCATGACACCCCATGGAGATTTAACGAAGAAGCGACGTCGATTTAAGCTCAATGGGGGAGGCTCAGCGACCGGTTTAACGGCATGATCCGGGCCTTTTTTGGCCCAAAGTTTTGAGCCTCATAGTATTTAGATAGTTTATTTTGACCCCTCGGAATCTTCCTCTTGGTAGCGAATTTGAATCCATTTGTTGACTCCATATTAGCGCTCTTTTCGTGCAGAGCAGGCCTCTTCGTGAGTTTACGGTTTGGGGATTGGTCTTCCTTCCCTATAAACCAACAAAGGCTTTTGATTATTTCCCAATATCTGCAGGGAGAATCCATTCTTGTTGTCGTTCCACAAGGGTGAGTACAGCAGTCTATACGTACCACCTTGCCAAAATTCGTTTTGTTTTGTAATTACAGGTTGCTAAAACTCTCTACTATGCAGGACATCATTATTATTAAGAGCACAAATATTACTTATTACTTGTCTTGGACTTACTGATGATCGTGTTACCCATTAGAAATTCATGAGTGGTTAGGCTTTGCTAGACGGCAAGATTTATTCAAAGAAAGAACATCTAATCTTCAACTCAGCTTGCTAATGAGTATACTGGACAGTCATAGGCATCTAATCGTGGAGACGCACCACCATTTGAAATGATGGTGGCGGTGGAGAGTGATAATATGAGTCTAAAGAATATCCTGTTGCAGGAGGGCCCGTGGAAACCGGTGCTAAATTAATCGGTTCAGGATACACGAGCGCTGCTCCTGAGCTGCGCCAACCTCCTCGCTGACACTAGCAATATATTAGGTCACGGAGTACTGAATTGGCGTCTTAATTAAACTTACTTGATCCTGAAATAATTGGTGCTGCAGAGGAGGCAGAATTCGATTATCAACGTGAAAACAACCATGAGGATGATAATAAGCACCCTGTAGTGGTGGAAGTGCCCTTTCGGCCATAACTGGGTCTTGAGGTGGAAGAGACTGCCCATGAGCACCATTCAAAACAGATTTATCTCCGGGATAACCATCACGTCCCTCCTGAGCCCGCGGACGAGGATGAGAATACGCTGCATGAGCGAGAACAAATGCTTGCGTTTGGGAAGACACGGGTTTGAAGATACATTCCTGATTGAACCGGACGCAGTGGGTGCAGCGTCCATTAGAGGAGCTCTCCAAAACGAAGCAACGAATCTGTATGTGTCAACCATGACTTGTACAAAACTATACACTGTAGCGGCAAGATATAGCTGACCTTGCGACGGCGACAATAAAGGCAGGCTATGGCTGTTCGCTGCCTCGGGGTGGCGGCTCGATAGGCTACTCGAGGTCCTAGTGGAGGTAGAGCGTACATGTCGGGTCGTTGGTAAGAACCAGTAGCTAGGGGAGGACGCAAATGATGAGAGCCTTGGGTCTGAGAGTGAACTGCAGCCATGCCAGGTGGTGGTGCCAGAGGATATGCAGAGGAAAGGAGGATATGCCGATTGGGTGAACGCTGCTGGTTACAGGGAATTGGAGGATGCGATTGAGGGAAAGAGCGGCGGCGGTTATGTTGAGGAAGGACGCTATTGGCTTAAAGACCTCTACTGATAGTGAAGCGATGGAAGATTGATTGGTCTAGCATAGAAATATGCGGAGATCCAAGGCCACTTTCTGGTGTATGTAACAGCAAGGAAGGGACGGTCAGGTGGGAGATAAAGTTGTGAAAGCCCGCATCATTTGGGTACGTGTATTGTATATATACAGTACTGCAGGCTCCGGGATTGCTTCATCATGGATGAGATCAGCGGTTTGGATTCCTTAGTGCTCTAAAATATTATACCCTGTATATCGTTCGTTGTAGCTTACATACTATGATCTATTTTGTAGTGTAATTCTATTTCCTAATTATATATTCAATTATATAAAAGCAGTAAAAGATCCACGTTGAGGATGTATTGTAAAACTCTCAGTGGAAAACTACCATGGAATTTCAGCTTCATTCTCTACGAGATATCTTCCCACTTAACTTCTCACATATCTCATACCTCACATAAGAGACACGCATGCTTTCAATATTACCACTATGTAACTAACTGTTTTAACAGAATTCATGAATATATAGCCCACCTTAAGTGCGGATACCGCGAAAAGGATCATTAGTCATTATATTCTTTACATTTTACACTGACGGATTTGTAATACATCACTAAGGAAAGATGCTAAAAGTGTTCAAAAACCCCTGTTTAAGGCAGCAGCGATCAGGAATAAAAACGGCCCTACCCTAATTACGTGGTTAATTTCAAATCGAGAATTTTCGCAATGGAGCAAGGATCTTATTTACGTATTACCACCTATCAGGAGAACTTGTGGGGCTTGAGACACATAACTGGTCGGATAGGTTAAGGGAAATACTCCGCTTCATTTTGCGGCGGAGATAGAAAATGCTAAGCCAGTTAATTGAAACAATTGAGCATTGTCAGCGATACGATGGAACTCACCTTCATTGTAAATGTCGGTTTATCTACGTCTAGGTTTGATATTCACGTTCCGACAGTAAAACTACACAATATTACTGACTCTAGCAAAATCAACATTAAGCTAGTGAAAGGTGCTATCAAGGCTAAGGGTACGAACTTATTCCAACACTACATCTGATAGCTAGAGTCAGTACTCTAATAGAAAGGCCCTAATATATTACGGGCTAGTCCCGTCTAATGCTCACTATAAAGGCATATTCGAATAGAAAACGTAACATGAGGAAAGGAAAGAGAAAGAAAACAACAAGTTTTTCACGCGCATACAATCTTATATAGGCAAGGGGAATTGGGAGCTTCCGACGGGCTTCTCTCTAGGAATAGCCTCATTTCCGGGGTTGCTGAGATTGTCGGGGCTTCCGGGGATCGGCAGAGAGCGCTATTGTCAATATCCGGCCGGATATTGGGGTGTCCGTTCGTAATCTGGGAATAGCTTCATGTTCGGGGTTGCCGAACAATAATCTAGCGAAACTTTATATGTTAGCAAGGTTAGCGATGGAGGACGCACAAGGATACACCAGTCCCCATCCTCTAGCGGCCTCTCACCTATTACGTTGGTAGGCATCCCAGTATCCTTATCTTCAACCCTCACTGGAATACGCATAAGCGATGCTATGTTGCGTGGGAATGCCACAGTACCACCGGGGAACTGTACCTGGGGTACGATAACAAGCCTAGCACTACCTGCTATCGCGCTGCCAAGGATGTCCTTGCGCATCTTACCTGACTTTGTAAGGTTCAGGTTACGCACCGCATCAGCGTAGCCCACGGCGTCGCCTGAAAACGCGTACTTCGCAGCCTTGAGATAGTCCTTAGACGTCTCCCCCTTCGACGATGCAAGACTCTGTGGTACGAGAATAGTTCCGCCCGGTGCCTTGCACATATGACCAAAGCATTCCTTGTGTACCGAGCAGCCAGCTTCGTACTCTGATATAGTCTCAACCCTTACCGTGTCTACTCTACTTAGTGGCTTAAGCGCTACAGACCTCACTACGTAGTCGGGTGTGGCTTGGGACCCTACGTATGTAGCCCTCCTCACAACCGTCCTTCCGTTTGGGGAGTTCTCCGCCATGGCTAGCGTACTCTGAGGGCAACATCCGTTGCGTACTCAACTATGGACGACATACAGTTATGGATGCCAACGTCATATGCGAGAACTGCGGCGAGCAGCTGAAGGAGATACAATATCAAGCCCGCGCAGCTGACGAGGCACAGAGGACCACATTCAAATGATCCAACTGTCCTCTTGATTCCTCTAAGCTTGACTTTACTAGCACACCATCGGTTATGTCCTCCGTATGGAGCTCACCCAGGAGGCATAGAGAGAGTTCGTCTACTAATGTGTTACGTGCTGTCTATACTAGAACACGGTACATACTTCGGTACCCCGTCTCACCATCACTTGCAGGAGATAGTGTGTTCCAGGCAATGGAGTGCTCCAGGCTTAGCCTTGTAGGTGCTAGAGGCTCCAGCGGCTCGACATACCGGCTTCCACATTCTTCTGAGCTTGTGTACAACGCACCGTATGCACTCATGAGTAACTGTGTGGTACGCTACGCAGCCACGTCCCCCAGTGCATGGGGTACCGTAGAGGCTATAGATGAATACAAGGAGAGTAGTGCTGGCGCGGGAGGTACGCGCTATGTAGTGGCGTCCTTCGCAAACGCTCCGAGCGTAGGAGGGAGAGATGCATTCTTTATGAGGCTCCCGCAGGATGGCGCGCTATACCTATGCTGCGAGGTACTAGACGTCTCCGATGACTATTGGGAAGCTATGGCAAGCTTGCACAGTATAGGTTACGGCCCGTCTACGCTACACGGCGTAATGGACCTGCTTGCGGTAAGTGTGCCCTCATAGATGTGCTAGCTGACGTCCATGGTACATTGTCGCAAGTATCGAGGGATATGCGCGTGGTTATGGAGAAATGGGCTGAGGTATTAGCCCTAGTGCCAGATATTTCTGTGTACATGAGGAGCTACTTTGGGTCAGTTGATGAAGCTAGGGCATATGCTGTAGCAAGGGGCGATCCTTGAGATGGTGTAGTTGGCATTAGTATGTGGTCTACGGAGGCTATAAAGGTCAAGGACGTGAGGTCTGTGGAGCTTGAGGTGCGCGGTGCATCGCTGCTATCCTCTGATAATGACGAGAGAATGCAGGTGGATGGACCACATAGGTTTGTAGACGGATCGATACTGGAGGTCAGGTTCTCGGTAGAGCCCAAGGCGAAGGCGGTGGTTATCCACGACATGTTCTACAAACCTGACAAGCCTCACGCTAACGATACTGTAGCATGTAAAGAGATAATAAGTTGCGCGCTTAGGGGAACGCAGGCCCCAGGAGACATACAACGTCGCGTGGCTAGTACCTGGTGCAGTAATCTCACTGCTATGATGTGCAGTGCCGCTTGGTCTACCCGTAGAGATGGCAATATCGTTGTGGACTTTGGGTCGGGCGGCGGTCAGTCACTTGATGTGCTGAAAGACAATGCTTTAGGGTCATACATACTAGTACAGCCTGACAAAGCGTACGGCGGTTAAGCGTATAGCGCGCTCGAAACATGCTCCGATGAAGGTATACCCGCTATAGGTTGCTGTAACAACCAGCAGGCTTGGGGTCTCACTGTTCTAAGAAATGCACCCATGACGTCTCAAGTTGGGTTTCAGCTACAACAGGAGAAGGTTTATATGTCTATAAAGATAGCATCTGCTCAAGCATAGCCGGAGATAGGTTTCAGTACATTGACATTCCATACCCTACCTTGTGTGCTTAGCCTTCCATGATTCCTCTCGAACGTAATTATACATATCCCTCGTAACGTTGTTACAGTTGCTGCTACATGTACGACGGCGTGCGCGTGGGCGAATACTTAGTAGACGCATCTAATGTCGTAATAATAAAGACTAACAATTCTACAGGTAGTGTCAAGTGGGGCAGCGATAAGACGTATACAGAGCCAGCTGTAAGTAGTAGAGATTTTAACGGTATATGCAGGGTTACTAGAGCATCGTCGATAAGATCTGTCGGATTAGTCGGTTTATTCCAGGCCAATCCTGAAAAGTGTTTTTACTAGGATCAAAGAAAAGAAGTGACTAGCAAGATTGTATGTATTGAGTTCTCTCTCTCTATCCATCAGGTTTCAAAGCCGGGTCTTTTATAGACACTTTTGGCGGGGTGATTTGTGAGTCATCAAGAGGGGTAAATTTTGGGGGCTATAAGATAGGGCTTCTGATTGCTCACTTCCTTTTACTGCCTCTGTGACGGCTGCAAGAATCGCTGTCGTGTGAGCTCGGTCCTTTGTAGTGCCGCTCCGTGGTCTCGTTGAGCCCTAAGCCCTAGCTGGCCGTACAACGGGATATCCCTTTGTTGTTACGACTTCCTATTTAGGCACCGACGAGACGATACGCGCTTACAAAGGGCTGTAGCGAGCTCACACACAGATTCTTCCTTTCTCCTTCTTTTCTGTATGCTTAGTTTCTTGAAGATGAGCTACCCTAGAGTTTAGGCCTGAGCAAATGTCACAGCCTCCGGATATCCGGTTTATCTAACAAGATCCTTACCTGACGCCTCCACGGATGCAGATGCTAACGCCATATGCTCGAAGGTTTTCATCGTTACTAGTACCTAACGGCGCTCCAGCATCCTTGCTCTATCTCTAACACTTCGTTGCGCGGGCGGCGCCTGTAAAACCTCGGGCGCGTTGCGTGTTTGGCCCACGTGTATACTTAGTACATCCAAATGCTCCTGTATCGCGTCAGCCATATCTGCATGCATGCCTCTGTCTACCTCGTCCACAGCGTGCCGCGTTACTGGTACAGTTCTTCCGGTGCCCACTCGCGAGCTCGATGGATGCTCAGCGAACCTCTGTCTACTCGACACGCTGCGCCTTCGCGCACTGGCACGCTCCGCCATCCTGACCTTTCGGGCTTCTGACGGCGTCAACGCTGCAGAGCTTGGCGGTCGCGGCACCTCCACAGGTTCCGATATATCTGCACCTGAAGTTCTATGTCTCACGTAACCTGTAGAGGTGGTACGCACTGTAGATGCACTATATGCGCTTCGCGGCCGAGGATAGCAGGATACAACAACATCTCTCTCATATAAAATACCCACGGCCTTTGGTACTATGACTGTAAGAGAGTGGGTAGGGAGCGTGATAATGAGATACGAATGTAGCTTCGATTTCCAAGGTAGGGTACGATTCGTAAGGTAGCTATTTGCTACCTTCTGAGTTCTATTCGAATCGTAGCTAAAATACATAGCCGAACCTAGTTAAACAATACGTATAAGGAACTAGGTCTATTTTCCGGCACTCCTCTCAAATCACTATCTAGGAGTATTAGACCTCGCCATGACCCGGACCGTGGGTCCCTCCTCGCGACCCGCGACCCTCCCCTCCGGAGGGTCGGGTCGTAGATTGACGACCCTCACCGCACCTGAGGGTCATAGAATCTTTGGAGGGTCACCCGCCAAGCGACCCTCACGGCCCGCATATGCATAACTTTCTCACGCTTTCCCTAATTTGAATGGATAATTCTACTGACAAACATTCATAAATTCCTATTTTTTATACCTGTTTCGTATGTCCGACTATGAATCTATTGTTTTCTATTAAACCTCTACGTATTTTTATGAAATATGTCTTCTAAATAAGCCTTCTTGCTTAGTAATCCTGGATTTACACCTTTTTTCTGCCTGGGAAAAACCGTTGTGGTGTGTATTGTGAAGAGTTGGAGAGAGAGGCATGTAACGATGGGGAAATATATATTTTGATTGTAGAAGTATAATCTGAAGAAGTTATAACTTTGATATTCTTGGTTATTAGCCTCAAACTTCCCGAAATCCTGACTTAATTATATTGAACATCTATTATCTACTTTCTACATACCTATGCCGTGTCAAAATTGAGTGAAATATATTGATCATGTTCAATTATGTTCTGCCAAAGTCGTAGGGTCGCGAGGTTGACCCTTAGGATGACCCTCACGAACCTCAGGGTGATCCTCACGAATTTCAGGGTGACCCTCACAAACCTCAGTTCTAGCTAATTAGCATGATGAGTATTAAATGTGATCTGTCATTTTACCTCCTGAGTCCCTTGCCGAACTGCAAAGGAAATCTAGTAAGTCTTCTCTTCTTCTAACCATCTTCACCATGTCCCAGTTTTCTGACGCATTCTCATCTACTTATGAGGGTCCACTCTCAGATTTTCTTGAATACAGTGCTGATGATGGTCCAGGTCTAAATCAGCTCTACTCCTCTATCCCATCTGGAAATCAAGATACCTCCCTTCCATCGTCTGAGCTTCGAGCGGCACCTGATTATCTTCATTGAATTTGCCCAGACTGGATCAGATCATTCATTATGTACTCTCCAGAAATGGGCAACGAATTCATACAGTGGTGGCTTCAGACCAATTTTGGGAAAAAGAGATAGATATCTTGGGATGCAAAACAAGCTGCAAACTGCTGGAAAAACTTTAATCAAGTAGCGTTTGAAAAAGATAGAAAGCCTGGGGTGATGTGCCATCAATGTTAGAAGGTACTTGATCACCCTGCGTCGGCTTACTTAGGGACATCTTTAATGAATAAGCATTACAATGGGATAAATTGCTGGAGAGTTGCCTTAGCTGCAGAAAAGAAACCAAACATCAAGCTTGCGTTAGAGCATGCGGTATGTTCGAGACCTGACTTTGACATTGAGCAATGAGCATCCCAGTTCTAACCTTGACATCTAGGCGCAGAATGCGACGATACAAAGATTTGATGAGCGAGTTTGACAGCAGAAGCTTGCTCAGCTCCTCACTGTATCGCATCTTCCCTTTCTTTTTCTTGAGCACACCGAGTTCCATAATTTAATCTCCTATGCCTGGCTAGCACCATCAATGCTAGAAATTCCTTCTGCCAAGGTTATGCGCCGGCAGCTTCGAGACCTCATCCATGAGAACTAAAAGAGTATCCTTCAGAAACTCCCTTCTGGTGTGAAGCTATCACTTGCCCTAGATTACTGGACATCTCTATTCCGACAGGCATTTATGGCGATTACAGGATACTTTCTCGATGAGAACTGGGAATATCATGAGATATTACTAGGATTTGAACACTTACATGGATCTCATTCTGGCGCAAATTTAAGTGTAGTGCTCCTCAAGCTGCTACAGGAGCATCAGATCACAGATCGAGTGCTTGCGGTAACCACCGACAACGCTTCGAATAACATTAGTCTCATGGTAAGTGTCCACGAGGCGATTGAGTCACTACAATCCTCGAACAATGTTGTTATTATTCAGGTACCCTGTATTGCACATGTGATCTAGCTGAGTCTTAAAGATCTCCTTGGGAAGATGAAGGCTGCTCCAAAGATTGATATGGCTGAGCAGACATGGTCTGATGATCGGGTGGATAGTCTTTGTGCGAGGCAGCAGAAACGCGAGATCGTGGACACTTTGAATAAGGTGCGACATCATGGCTTTTATCCTCATTCATTATCCTAATCTGTTTCTTAGGTTCGAAGCCTTGCGATTTATACCAACGCGAGTCCTCAGCGCCGAGAGTCATTCTACAACTTGCAAACCAAGGAGCTAAAGCTTGTGCCAATCCAGGATGTTGCTACTCGGTGGAACTCCACATTCTTAATGCTTGTACGCGCAAAGAAACTCCAGCAGACCTTCGATGCGTTCTGCTCTCAGTACGACCAAGAGCACTTTGCCTTGAGTCAGGAGCAGTGGCGGTAAGTGGACTATCTTATCTGCATTCTCTAGCCTTTTCACTGATTCATGACCCTTCTCTCGAAGTCCAAGGATGTCACCATCCATTGGGTCTTTAAGGTCTACAATAAGCTGTTTGACCACCTAGAAAAGTCGATTAGACAGCTTAGACGGAAGAGGGTCGCTTGGAAGCAGGTGATGCTTGCATCTCTCGAAGCGGCAAAGAACAAGCTCTCAATCTACTACAAAGACACTGACAACATGGATGGTCATCTCTACGCCATTGGCACCATCCTTTCTCCATAGGATAAACTTCAGTTCTTCTCAACCGCAGACTGGGACCCAGAGGAAGGCGGAATTGATTACCAAGCAATCTATCGCCAGAGCCTTGAGTCCTCTCTCGAGAAGTACTCAGAGAATCTTGCCCAGGAGCAGCAGATAGTGGATGCTCCCCCAACGAGTACGGCAATGGATGAATTTGATTTGGCCTGTGTTTGAGATGAGTCGCAGTAATCTCAGATTTGACAGCCAGTTCAGTCTGACGAGCTTACAAGGTATCTTGACAGCAGTGAGTGTCTCATCTCTTAATATCAATGGGAATAATTACTGATTTCTCTTTTAGACACAGTCCCAAATGCCCAACCTCGAACCTGGTGGAAATATCACCAAGATGAATTCTCTGGAATGGCGAGGCTTGCATGAGATGTTCTTTCTATTCCAGCTAGTGGTGCAGGAGTAGAGTGGCTTTTCAACTCTGCACAAGATATCTGCCATTATCGTCGAGGCTCTCTACAGCCTCAAACAATCTCAGATCTTATGATGTATATGTGTACATCACAGTTCGAGATTCATGAAGAGGAGCGAATAATGCTCTCTGAATATCTTTTGACTTAGGAGATACAGGCTGCAAAGGAAGAGAGAACTTAGCAATAAATCACTGTTAATCTAATTAGTGATAATGAAGAGGATGAAGGGCTTTCTTCTACAGAGCCCCAAGAAACTTTGCAAGGCCCATCTGCAAAGGCACTTGGCAAAAGACGCCTAAGAGATATTGCCAAGGATATGGAAAGTGATTAGGAGGGTGATAGTGAGATTACGTCTCTGCCAGAGACACAGTACTGAGTGTTAGGTAGAGTTCGCAAGCGTTCAAGGTTGCTTGATAGATATGAGATGTAGAACATGTAGTTTAATTTGTTTAATTCATCTGTTTAATTCATTTAGTTCATTTTGATTCAATGCTTTTAGGGTGATTAAAGCTAAACAAGTAGACCTACAAATACTGTAAGTGAAATACTCAAAAATACCGCTAAAATCTACAGAATTTATGCACCTCGTGACCTGATGATGTTTGCATTGTTTTACTACCCTGAGGGTTGGGTCATGGCCCTGAGGGTCGGGTCGCACCATCAACGACCCTCCCCTTATGGAGGGTCAGGGTAGGGGCTGACGACCCAAGAACCTCCGTGGTCCGGGTCGCGGTCCGGGTCGCGGTCCGGGTCGTCAGGGTGACCCGCGGGTCGTGGCGAGGTCTAAGGAGTATTGAACCTGTTTTATATACAAGATTCCATAGAAGTGATATCACCAAAAGTCGACACTTGTGCAAATCGAACTTTCTAGAGATAGGCTGTAAAGGTGATTTGTAATGTTCAATATCGCGTCGGAATGTGATGCCAATTCTCGAAATTTCTTAATACGCAAATCTTGTCCTATTCCCAAATTGGTTTAGCTCATTCTGAGTTCCAACATTCCGTGAAGTTATCCCCGATTCTAAGTTCTCCGCCTTACAATGACACTACCACCACCCTTCTCAGCTGCAGAGTATATAGTTCTAAGGCACATGATAGCACTATCCGGTGTCACCCCGTCACTGTAGTCTCCTGACAATAGCTCGTCCTCTATAGCGTCTATACACTTGCGCACATCGCTATTGCTGATCCTGGATTCACTAGCACCCATGTTTGCGGTCATATGAGCAACGGATCGTTGCTGCGAAGCCATACTGATTGATGTGTTTTAACGGCATAATGCAACAAAAACTCAGAAGCTATCTCAGATCACCAAACGTTGCTTCAGTTCCTCAACAATGGATTCATTAACCGCATCATCTAGCAGCGGCGGCGCGGTAGCCCTCAGGTACTCTGCAAATGCGTTGCCCAGGAGGTAGAACCACGTTTGCTCGCAACGCTCGGGGAGTGGGGAGGTACCGATGCTATCGCATTCACACCGCCTCACCTCCCATCTGACGTTAGCTAACTGCTTTCGTGAATACTCCGTGAACTCGTCATTGATATGTCCAACGTACTGGTCGAAAGGTACGAAGAACGGATCACCCTCAGGCCTATCCACAGGACCAGCTGGGTAGTTAATATAAAAAACGCCGCGCGCCTTGTACTTGTCCACCGCCTTGGTCCTCGCATCGTTAGCTGTCCAGTGGTAGCTTTGCTTGGTTATGGTCATACTGTAATACAGGCAACCTGCACCTGTGCCAGATATAAAGCACTGTACTATGGAGGAGTGAAACCTCATGATGCTATTCATAGCGGACTCACCGCGAGTCCATATGAGCTGCACCTTTACATAGTCAGTACCGCCACTTGCCTGCTGGTGCAACCTGCCTCTTTTCACTGTGAACTTCTGGGAGTACCCATAGTCGTCTCTGTCTTCGCTATCCTCTATATCACTATGGTCACCCCACATAACGCCGATAGACTCCAGGTAGGCGGAGATAGTATTGATACATGCGGCGTTGCCACTAGCGTAGAAGTCCCAGTCAGACTCCGGAGTAGTCATGTCCTTGACGAAGTATTCCAAGGCACGCGAACCTGATATCAATGTACCCGTGAACGCCATAGCATGAAGAAGGCTCTTTGGATCTGCAAATGCACGCCGAAGGTAGACTACTGGGTCCCATCGCCTAACTTCCTCTCTCGTTATAGGTACAAAAGTCGCCATGTTTGTATGTTCCATATGTCCCAGAGGCGACGTCTGGCGCACGCACGCAGCAACAATGGGACGCTTCCGCACGAGGTAGCACAACAAAGTTGACGCGAGAACGCTAGCATCAGCTGCAGTATACCTACTTTATCGATATGGCTACCAACGGACCTAGTCAAGATTACGTAATCCCCCAGGATATGGATGAGCTCATATTCAGATATCTCGTAAGTACACCCCAATACAAAGCATCGCAGGATTACGCCACAACAGAGGGGCGCGTTGGTGGGCTCACCATCAAATAGCTTACAGAGTACTACTAGTGTAAGTCTCACGGCTTGTGCGCGGCGTTCAAGCAAGATGGGCTAGCTCCTTGTATGTTCAAGGCTCAAGCAAGTAGATGTACTACTAGTGGAGTTGATGTGAAATATGAGTATTTCAAGTCTACTGCGCCATGGATCAGTGAAGAGGAGTGGGATCTTCACGACAGTAACAAATGCCCTATGCTGTGCCAAGTCTGTTGCTACATGGATGCTAACGATTGACCACGGGCAATGCTGCATTTTGAAAACATCAGGGCGAACAACTGTGTGCCTTATTGACGTTGTTGCACAGACCTTAGTCATGGCTCTTAAGCGCACTGTTACTGGATACAAGGATGGCGGCGATACAAAGCTTGCTACTGAGATAGAGCTACTTACTAGCCCACTACTGGCATTTGCTAACAGCCTAGGGGATGCACTACTTCGCGCTGATTTCAGGATACATTGCCCTAAGCACCCTATACCTCTATACATGTGCGCAGGTATATTAATTATGGAGAATCAAACGCCGCGCTGCAGCGTACGGGGTTACACTATGATACTTAGTATCTTCTACTACGGTGTGCATGGTGCCAACGATGCCAGAAGCTCGATGAGCGACAGCCATGAGGTACTAATGAGGGTTGTAGCTGGCTATGTAAGCCGCATGGAAGCTACATTATCCGTGAGGGCTTCGCCCGAACATGGTCATGAGGTCAGCTCATAACATGATGCTACCCATTCAAGGTGGAAGGATGCGGCGAGACAAGTATCCAAGTGTGTGCTTATCCAACCCTGGAAAAACGGTGCGCGCTTTTACATTAATCATTTCTCGATCCCTACAGCCAAGAGACCCTTAATTGAATTCATAAGTTATTTCGAGCCCCCTGCCTCAGATTTCTATAACCAAGTGGTATGAAATGTTTCATGGTTAACCGCGTTTCATTTCTTATATTCGTAATACAAGTCTACTGTCATCTAAGTACTACGGGGGACCCCGGTGATTTTGTTAGTACGTTTTTTATTTTTCGGTCATACAGGGATCATAGTTGTATTTTGGAATCCATGAGAATTCATTATCCGATGTTTGCGAATACCTATACTCATCAGCAGTAATATTTAGGTATTTGTTTGTGCAAGATGCTTCATGACAGCATTTTGAAGGTTTATTGGTTACTCAAAGCCGCCAAGAGAACGACAGCTCCAGGGGAGGATAGGATCATAACCCTTGTTTGGAAGCATCTATGGCCATATCTCCGGAAGGTGATCACCTACATCTTTACAAAATCAGTGGAATTAGGCCACTACCCCCATCAGTGGAAGCGAGCGCGCATCATAGTGCTGAGGAAATCCAGGAAGCCAGACTACGGTTCTCCAGAAGCATACCGACCTATCTCTCTACTGAATACCCTGGGGAAGGTACTAGAGGCTGTCATGGCTCGCAGACTGTCATTCTGGGCTGAGTCCTATAAACTACTCCCAGACACCCAGTTTGGAGGCCGGCCAGGACGTAATACAGAACAAGCGCTCTTAACCCTGGCAAATGCGATCGATCGCGCGTGGCTACAGTCAAAGGTGATCACACTGGTGGCATTTGATCTCAAAGGGGCGTTCAATGGAGTAAACGACTCAAGCCTTGATGCCCGCTTGCAGGCTAAAGGCATCCCAACCGTAGCCAGACGCTAGATCCGGAGCTTCATGAAGAGCCAGTACGCCAGCATCTCCTTCGACGATTTTCAGATGGAGATCTCCCCGCTCAAGAATGCTGGTCTAGCACAGGGATCCCCGCTATCCCCAATCTTATTTGGATTCTTCAACTCCGACCTGGTCGACCAGCCCGTCAACCACCATGGCGGCGCGTCAGCTTTTATCGATGACTACTTTCGATGGCGAGCCAGTCAGTCCGCGGAAGACAATATCAGAAAGATTCAGGAAGAGGATATCCCCCACATTAAGGCATGGGCCCGACGGACGGGATCCTCGTTTAATGTGAAGAAAACAGAACTAATCCACCTGACAAGGTCCAAAAGGCAGCATAGGGTAGGATAGATCACAATAAATAGGACGGTAATCAAGCCAAGTGATACAGTAAAACTTCTAGGCGTGATCTTCGACAAGGAGATGCAGTGGAAGGAACATGTACAGCAAATAGTCAAGCGAGCAACCCAGGTGAATATTGCCCTGGGGGGATTGAGACACCTCTGTCCAGAGCAGATGAGACAACTCTATCAAGCATGCGTAATACCAATCGTGGATTACGCATCCACCGTCTGGCATAACCCACTAAAGGATAAGATACACCTGAGAACGCTGGGTACGGTACAACGAACCGCCCTTATTCACATTCTCTCTGCCTTCAAGACGGCATCCACGGCAGCCCTAGAGGTGGAAGCCTATGTGCTACCAACCAATTTACAACTTAAATAACGCGCCTAAATAGTGGCTGCCCGCCTCAGCACCCTTCCAGAGGATCACCCAGGCCGTACAGTAGTGACCCGAGCAGCAACGCGGAGCAACTATATAGGAAGCGGACCTTGATTCCCTCTGGTGGAGACTCTGCGGACAATGGATCTTACTCGACTCCAGGCTCTAGAAACAATTGATCCAACCCCCCCACTACCATGGCAGACATTAGCATTTGTAGAAATCGACATTGAACCAGACCAGGATAAAGCCAAAGACAAAGCATCTGCTAGGTAAAAAGCATCTGGTATCACAGTCTTCTCTGATGCATCAGGCCAATAGAACGCATTAGGAGCCGCAGCAGTAGCGCTAGACCAGAACTATAACATCATCTAGCACCAGAAAGTCTGCATTGGCTCTATGGAATACTGGTCAGTGTATACAGCAGAGCTTATGGCAATATACTATGCTATTAGCCTTGTCCTTAAGATTGCAATGGAGAATTAGGTCACCCTAGTAGGCCAACAGGAACTGGCAACTATCCTCAGTGATAGCATGTCAGCACTCTAAGCCATCTTGAATACACGGAACAAATTAGGCCAGAGGATTATTTAAGCGATTTGGCAAGTAGCCCGGGAGTTAAAAGCGCGGGGAATTCTGCTCTGTCTTCAATGGGTGCCAGGACACTGTGGTAACCTAGGAAATAAAGTGGCTGATTAACTGGCCAAAGAAGCAGTTGGCCTAGACAAAGAACACCCCTTCCAACATCTTCTTTCATGAGAAAAAGGTTTCATCCACAACTGAATCTAAGAAGACTGGGAGTGGGGATGGAGAACCTCCAAGAATAGAGGCCACCTTCGCCAGATAGATAGAGATCTACCCGCAGTTCGTACCCAGAGGATATATGGCTCGCTGCCACGCAATTGAGCCTACCTACTCACCCAACTCCGAACTGGCTACTCATGGCTAGCAACACATGGCAAACTACATGGCCATAGAGAGGATGACAAGTGTGAATGTGGAGCAATAGAAATAGTGGTTCATATCCTGATTCACTGTCCTAAATTGAAGAGCATACAACAAGAACTACGGAAGAAGATTGGGACTGCATTTAATAATATTTCGGACATGCTGGGAGGAGGATCTCAAGGTAAGCAAGGTAAGGAGGGTGATATGCAAGGCGGTAGCATCTTAGGTGCAGTACTAGACTTTGCAGAGGCATCACAGAGGTTTCAAAGCCGGGCGCCATAGGGCTGCTGACAGAACACCTGGCATGTTGGCCATCATAGGCCGTGACGAGGCTCTAAATTCGTCTTTATGTAATGGATTACTGTACATAGACATAGATAAGGATTAGATAGTTGTATCCTGCATATCGCTTCGGCGAGGGGTCAGGGTATGAATCACACACACACACACAAACTGTAGCACTCCAAGCCATCTCAAATACATGGAACAAGTCAGGCCAGAGGATTATTTAAGCGGTTTGGCAATCAGCTTGTAAGTTAAAAGCGCGGGGAATTCTACTTCGTCTCCAATGGGTACCAGGACACTGTGGCGACCTAGGAAATGAGGCGGCCAATTGACTGGCCAAAGAAGTAGTTAGCCTAGATAAAAAACACCCCTTCTAATATTTTCTTTCACGGGAAAAAGGTTTCATCCGCAACCAAATCCAAGAAGAATGGGAATGGGGATAGAAGACCTCCAAGAATAGTGGCCACCTTCGCCAGATAGATAGAAATCTACCCGTAGTTTGTACCCAGAGAATGTATGGCTTGCTGCCACGCAATCAGGTCTACCTGCTTACCCAATTCTGAACTAGCCACTCATGGCTAGCAACACATGGCAAACTACATGGCTATAGAGAGGACGATAAGTGTGAATGTGGAGCGATAGAAACAATGATTCACGTCCTAATTGACTGCCTAAAATTGAAGACCATACGACAAGAACTATGAAAGAAGATAGGGACTACATTTAACAATATTTCGGACATGCTGGGAGGAGGATCTCAAGGTAAGCAAGGTAAGAAGGGTGATATGCAAGGCGGTAGCATCTTAGGTGCAGTACTAGACTTTGCAGAGGCATTACAGAGGTTTCAAAGCCGGGCGCCATAGGGTCGCTAACAGAACACCAGGCATGTTGGCCATCATAGGCTGTGACGAGGCTCTAAATTCATCTGTATTTAATGGACTACTATACATAGACATAGATAAGGATTAGATAGTTGTATCCTGTATATCGCTTTGGCGAGGGGTCAGGGTATGAATACCACCACCACCACGACTGTAGTGTATTGAAGCCCCTACTACTACTGTTGCTGCTGTTTGTGCTGGCTTAATAATTAATTATTGATTCCTGATGTTTTTGTATTGTCGTATTGTGTTAGGTAAGTTGCTTGACATATGATTCCGCACCGTAATAAAGAGGGCAAAAAGGTTTTGACTACTGTAGCAAGAATATATGTGTGCCTTTTCCGTGTCTCTCCGAGCACATCAAGTTTTAAAGCTGGGTTTATATAAACATTTTGGGGGTAATTTCGCGATCTATCATGAGGGGTAAACCTTGAGGGTTGAAGGCTATATTGAGCCCTGATAAAGAGGTGGCTTTTGATTTGCTATATCCGGGTTATCTGACGTTGAGATGTTATGTAGTACCATAGTGAGAGATAAAATACTAGCTTTAAGAATAGCCTTAAGAGTGGAGCAAAATACATAAGAATCGGCCTATATCATATTGGGTGTGACTTCTTGACGCGCTAATAATTTATAAGTAGCAGATACACTGTACTCCCAGCTAATACTGATAACGTAGTTCTGGTACATGGGAATTCTTTTGGCTTGTGCCAAATTCATTATGAAGTAGAAATTTTGCGCCCTAACCCTAACCAACGCCGAAGCAGTGAATTTACTCAGTGAATGGGCTAACTGTCAGGTTGCTGGGTTTACTTCAGGCTAATCCTAAAAATAGCTTATAAGGATGGGAAAGGAAGAAGTGATTGTATGTATTGAGTTCTCTGAGGTCTCCCCTAACACTAATCAGAGGCGTCCCGCTTTGCAGCAAGCCACCTGGTTGTAAGGGTCTGATTAAGAAAGTGGCGAACGGGGAGTAACTACGAGAATGGTATTATAAATAACAGTCCAATCGTATTGGGACTAACTTTAGCAACAGCCTTAAAGGTAGGCAAAAGGTCAAGGAGGTTTGGAATATGTCTGTACAGTACTAATAAGTGGCTAGCCGATACCATCGATCTTCGTGTGCCAACCTTAAAATTCACGGGTCAAGCAATATCACCAAAAATTATTTTGTCATATAATGCGGCTAAGACATCACCTAGTAACCTAGCTTGTTCTGCTGGCGATAATGTACTCAAGACTGTAAAAATATTCCTTCTTTCAGCGTCTCGCATATCACCTAATTTCTTTCCGACTAGAAAGCCAACCAGTAAACCAGTCCAGTCGCCAACAATATAACCTAATGAAGCACCGTTAAATGCCCCGAAGAGCCACCAAAAATTCTGATGTCTATTATCATCATCTTGACCTGGGTCGGAAGTTGTGTTCGAATCGCTTGTATATGTTTGACCTATTATTTCCGATTACACCACAGCTAACAACAACAATAACAATTCAGGTTACAACTTACTCGGCATCAGGTAGAGATAGCTAACAGTAATGCATATACTGGAAGCAACCGACTACCTCTGTAACTATATATATAGAGGTCCTGGACGATACACCAGTCTATATTTAGAATTTAGTATTGCAGGCCGACATTTTACACCCTTATTGTGGGTGCATAAAGCACGTGTACACGTTAATGTACGTACGTACATGAATGGTTAGCAGGTACTGCAATTCTGTATGGGTTCAAAATGTGTGTGATTGTAGCTATCTAACTCACGCCCCGACGCGGTCTTACATCCCTCTATCCTAGACGAGGTCACGTGACGCCCTGCGGCTCAGTGCGTCGGAGTGAGGCATCTCGATTGCTCCCACAGACCGATTTTCGAGTTGATAGGCGACTTCCTTATAATTATTCATATCAAACAGTCGGAGGCTCAAAATCCTCAACCCTCTCTACCACCTAGCTCCCAGGAGTGCAGCCTTTGACGCGTCTCAACGCGCCCGGCAACACCATGGCGCGTAAAGGCCCTGGTACAGACGGCCCTCTACAGACAGCCCTTCTAGAATCCACGTCTGCAGCCACAACAAGAGCTTCTGAAGGACAGAAGATCTTCAGCCCCATAGCTGCATTCCTTGATAAACACCGCAGCCAAACCACCGGCCTTGCTCCTCACCTACTGAGAGCCCTCACCGCCCTAAGCGATGACCTCGCCTCGGTAGCTCAACAACATTTCAACGCCTATATTAGCGGTATCTCGACGACCTCCATTCTACCTGCCCTGTCTCCTTCCCCTTCCTCTTCCCCCATCCTAAATCCCTTACCCCCTTCACCCCCTCCCTCACGTCCCCCCTCAGGTCTTAACCAGTCAACTTATGCGACTATTACCCAATATGCCCCGGTCAAATCAACCCCCACTACTCACTCTAAATCCCCTGTTAAAAAGCCTATGCCTCTGGTGAAACAACCCCTTCCTGACAACCGGCTCTTCGTACGCCTCCCAGCTGACCATGCAGCTAGAAAAATGGAAGCCTACGCCATCTACTCTAGCCTACGGTCTCAACTAAACTCAAACAGTGCAGTGCTAAAAGAAGTTCAAGCCACAAAGACTGGCTTCGCACTATGCCCCTCATCTCCAGAAGCCCTCCTAGCCCTTGAGGCCCAAAAAGAGACTATCTCTGCATTCTTTGTTAACTGCCAGATAGAACGCAGCTCCCGATGGGTCTCATACCGAGTCACCAATGTGCCAAGGAAAATTGGCCAAATCTTGGATGGCCGATACTCTCTAATCCCTATCAATCCTACACTACTATCCTTAGAAATCAGCGAAACTACTGGGCTCAAGCCTATATCTATCAGCGAGACCGCTACAAGTGCCGCCAACCCTAATACTCTTTCCTCAAGCTGGTTTGTCAACTTCCCAGAAGGCACGAAATCACCACTGCCTATCCAACTACGTCTTTTTGGCACTATCACCAATGCCCGTCACCTCTCTAAGAGAACAACAGTTATCCAATGCACACGATGCTGGAAATGGCATAACACACGATCCTGTGCCCGCCCCTCTCGATGCCGGCTCTGCGGCTCCTTAGAGCATACTGAAGAGGGCCATGTCAACCGCTGCACAGCCCTAGAGCCTCATCAGTGCCCTCCCAGATGCATACACTGCCATGGACCACATCCAGCTGATTTCCCAGAATGCCTCCTGCGCCCTAAAGGCAACACTAAACATACTAAAGCTCAACAAGCAGAGATCCGCAAATCCTGCGCCATAAACCTCGCAAAAGCTCGAACTGAAGGAGGATGTAGCTCTCAGCTTTCCATTGGCACACAAGAAACACCTATGGCATTAGATGAGATGCCAACTCAGCCTCCAACCCACAAGATTATCTCTCCTTTCCGTTCAGTAACCCCCCCACCTCGCGCCCCAACTGAAGATCCTCCAATTACAGCTCGCGCAGTCCGCTTTACAACACCTCAATCACAAAACCGGTTCGCCTCTCTTCTTGAACGGGAACTATGATCTATCACTATCCAACTCAGAAGGCGCCTCTCAAAATCCTACAGCTAAATGTAGGGCACGCGCCAGATGCACATGAAATAGCTCTCACATTGGCATACACAAGCGATATTGATATTATCCTAATCCAAGAACCATATACTTTCAAAGATCTTAGTCGACAGATCACTAAAAAACACCCATCATATGAATGCTTCTCCCCAACTGACAGTTGGGCGATAAGTGGCCGACCACGAGTCCTCACCTATGTTCGAAAGAAGAAAGGCATTCGGACCTCCCAGCTCCGCCCCTTCACAACTGACACTAAAGAGGCCTCGGATCTCCTGTTCCTTCAGATTTTCTCACCCACAGGAAAGTCTGCTCTGATAGTCAACATCTATAACGCCCCAGCAGGCTCCATCAGAGCAGGTGAAGCCGCGAAAGCTCTCACAACCCTGCCAGAGGCGTATCTCCCTCAAGCAACAATACTTGCAGGCGATCTCAACCTACTACACAATAGATGGCAGCCCTCGCTACATCGCAGCCCCACACCTTTCGCAGAGCCATTTATTAACTGGCTGGATCTCCAGGGTCTAGTACTCATTTCCGACATAGACTGTCCCACACATGAAAGGGGTAACGTGTTAGACCTCAGTTTCGCCTCAAGCCCTCTGGCACTCGCAGGAGCCAAAGCTAGCATAGCGAGCCACTTAGATGCAACCTCTGATCATCAACCACTAATTACCACTGTTCCATGGGATCAGAGATACAAGGAAACAGCCCAGAAACTGAGATTTGACACACTAGACCACACCTCCTTCCTCTCGCTCCTCGCCTCTAATCTTGCTGGCACCGAGAGCTCAGCCGCGACAGAAGAAGATCTTGATGCTTTCGCCGAAAAACTGACATCTGCAATTCAAGGAGCATATAGAGGCTCTGCTAAGAGGACCATGACACAAGGCATAGGACAACCATGGTGGAACGAAGACTGCAAGAAAGCTTTACACAATTACCGCTTAGGCCTCTGCTCAAAGACAGACTTCCGCAGGATAACTAGATGGTCTCAACGACAATTTTGGCGAGAGAAGCTCTCTACGGTAACACAAATGAAGGATGTTTTTGACATGAGTAAATGGCATAAGTCTACAGGCATCTTCCGAAGCCCTCCACTAAAAGATCCGCTAAGGCCCAACAGCCTCCCAGCAGTTACTGTACACGAGAAACGAGACGTACTAGTCCGCAATCTTCTCCAGAACTCGGCAGAGGCAGGAGACATACCTCTGGACTCCCCAACAGTGCCTTCCACTAGTCTCTACTTCCCAGATATATCGATGCTACAAGTGGAGGAGTCAGTACTTCAGGCAGGAAACACAGCCCCTGGCGCAGATGAAATCCCAACCTGCATACTCAAAGTAGCCTGGCCTCTGATCAAAGATAAGGTACTAATGCTATATCAAGGGTGCCTAAAGATTGGTCATCATCCTAAATGCTTTCGACACGCAATCTTAGCAATCATCCAGAAACCAAAAAAGACTGATTGGTCTTCACCTAGATCATACAGACCAATCGCTCTCCTATCAGTACTTGGCAAAGGACTGGAGCGCTTGGTGGCACGGAATATGGCATGGATCTCTATACACCATAAAGTATTAGCAAGGCAACAATTTGGGGCTCTCCCACTAAGATCTGCAACTGACCTGACCACATGCCTAACACATGATGTTGAACAAGCGCTAAATCAAGGCATGACTGCCTCACTCCTTACCCTAGATGTCAAAGGCGCCTTTGATTCCGTACTTCCCGGCAGACTGATCCGCAGACTACGCGAGCAGGGCTGGCCTACCAATCTCGTTCTCTGGATTGCCTCCTTCGCTACTGGAAGATCAGTTCAGATCCGACTCGATGGAGAGATCGGCCCCTCAACAGACATTACCTGCGGTCTTCCACAAGGATCCCCAGTATCTGGCATTCTTTTCATGCTCTACATAGCGCCTCTATTCCGTCTAGGAAACCCAAGGAACAGATTTGGTTACGCGGACGACGCAGCTAACCTAGCGATCTCAACTTCTCTTACTACTAATTGCGAAGCCTTATCAGACTTACTTCAAGAAGCTCTTAATTGGGGCGCTGCAGAGGGCATTACATTTGCACCAGATAAATACGAGCTTCTTCACTTCTCCCGACATAAAGCAGACCAGGACCCAACCCGCACACCTTCAGTGAAAGCTGGATCTATTACAATATCAGAAAACACTAAACGGCTATATCTACGATGGCTAGGAATCCTCTTTGACAAAAAGCTAACGTTCAAATGGCACGTTAGAGAAACAGCATCTAAAGCCCTCACTGTGGCCAACGCTCTTCGCTCTCTAGGGAATACTGTTCGAGGAGTCAAACCTGATTTACTACAGCAGGCTGTATCAGCCTGTGTACTCCATAAAGCATACTATGGCGCAGAAACCTGGTGGCCAGGACGTACTCGCCCTGGACCTTCCCAGATTTCAAACCGAGTTGGAGAACATCTTGAGAAACTAACTAAAGTAATACTAACAGGCGCAAGAGCAGTCCTTCCAGTCTTCCGCACAACCCCAAAGCCAGTCCTTTATCGAGAGTCTGGATTCTCTCCACCAGAAATCGAACTAGATCGAATAGCCCTCCTTGCAACTGTCCGCCTACGGCGTCTCGACCCTTATCACCCACTTCGAAGACGCGCAGAACAGATCGCTAGTAATGGCCGACAAATCAGCCGATTTGCCCGCCGTACACTGGCCCTCCCAAACTCTGAACAGATAAACCCTCTCCAATACGCTCCCTGGTACCCTCGCGAGCCTCGTGGGAATGCTCAAGCTCGAATAGGAGCTCCCATGGGACGCACCAAGGAACAGGCAGCGGCTAATTTCATGGCTTTTCAACGTACCATCCCTAGCTCAGATATTGTAATCTTTTCAGATGGATCTAGGCTAGCAGACGGACGTGCAGGGGGTGGCTATATTGGACTTCAAGCACACCATCAGTTCCTCCGCTCCTCACTCTCATACGGACACGGGAAAGAGGTCTTCGACGCAGAAGCAGAAGCAGCTCTAGCTGGCGCTCAAGCAGCAATAGCGTACCCAACAGCTCAATTTGCTACCAACCTATGGATCTGCCTTGACAACCTGGAAGTTGCCATACGCCTTTTATCTCCCTCTACAGGATCTTCCCAAGAAATCTTTGAATCCTTCCGCACCCTTGCAGCCGCCTGGCCACTTCGCAAAAGGCTTCCTCACACCAAAAGCGGATCTATCCAAATCCGATGGGTCCCTGGACACGCTAAAATCCCTGAGAACGAAGCGGCTGATCTCGCTGCCAAAGAGGGAGCTGCCTCAATCCCTCCTGATCCTCACAAATCCTCATACGCCTCGCTAAAGAGATACGCCAAGACTCAATCCCTATCCGCTGCTCAGTCACAATGGGAGAAGGTGGCACCACAGAGCTATCAAGATCTAGAAATAACCACTTCCCCTAAGCGCCCTGGGGAGCTTCAACTCAACCGACTTGACCTCGGCCATGTTATTGCGGCCCGTACTGGTCATGGAGACTTTGCAGACTACCATGAACGCTTCAATCATGATGATGCTTATCTTCTCTGCCGATGCGGAGCACGAAAAGCACCTCTGCACTTCTTCTTCTGTCATATAGCTAAGAGACGAGCCCCTCGGCCTCCTGGGCCCCCTTCTGAGGTTATCTCTTTTCTCTTAGGCACTGCTAAAGGAGCACAAAAGCTAGCCTCATGGCTAGCAGAGACCCACTTCTATGAGGATATCTGCCCTCGCCAACCTCTCCTTAGCACCTAGCTAAGACAGCCCTACTCTTCCTTTATATTTCTCTTCTCCTTCTTTCTTCCTCTTCTCCTTCTTTCTTTCTCTTCTCTTCTTTCTTCCCCTCTCTGCAAAACTTACTGTTCAGGTATAATAGTGGTGGAGTAATAGGTCATGGAGTGTAGGCGGACCATTGCAGCTGGCAAATACCTAAAACCCACTCAAAGTGGACCTCCCTGTAAGACCACGGCAGCTATGGAAATGCGCCAAAGAGTCTCTTATTTGTACATAAATCTGATAGGACCCGAAACCCGAGGCTTACCCCTCGGCGGCCTATGTCCCAGTAGGGATCGGTGGGAAGCGTGCGAGTCACGAACCACGGCCGTTAAATATACACACACACACACACACTCGATTGCTCCCACAAACCAACACTGGATCTCTTTTACAAATTGGATTGCGATCGAGATCCAAAAACCCATGAAAAACCATACAAAAACATAACGAAGGGATCAAACAAAAGATCTATTGAGGTAGCTGGCGTGTCCGAAAACACGTCTCCACTTCGATCTCGTCCCCCACTTGGCCCCGAATCGCCTCCTAATCGCTCCCGGTTCTCTCAACGAAGCCTTCAACACGAACTGTCAGCTTATTGCTGTCAACAAGGTCCCGTAGGGCCTTGTTAGGGCTTGACTTCGTAAAAGCGTCGGCCGGGTTATCGTCTCCATGGATCCAACGGATCTCGTGGATCTCGTGCTTCTCATAAGATTGACGAAGTGCCATGATATCGATCATGAGGCGTTTCTCTTTGGTGGTCCCAAGCTTACCGAGGCATTCATAAAGCGAAAATGAATCCGTACAAATAATTACAGGCATTGCCGGTAGGTCCAGACGACTGGTGATCATTTTGGCGGTACTGGCAATAGTGAACGCATGGTCAAATCCAGCTGTAAGGCCATAGACCTCAGAGGCTAGTACACTCCGTGTAACGCGTTTACACTTTGCTGATTGCCAATGCAAGATGTTGCCAGTGGCGACGAAGCGGCCTTGCTGCGAGAAGTCTTCGTTGACCATGGTAATCAGGAATCCGATTTGGGAAGTCAAATCCCGGTTATTGGCAAAGGATCCATCAGTAAAAACCATAATCCTGGCTTTGGCGAGGTTGAGAGGCACATAACGGAGCCCTCTCTCTGGATTCTGGGCCTGCCATATGAGACGTTTATTCAACGCCTCATAATCAGAATCGGAGCGATCCTTCTCTTGCAGCTGAGCGGCCACGGCCAAGTCATACGCAGCTTCAGGTTGGCAGATCGAAGCCAGATAGGCTCCCCGTGCGCGTTGTTCGACATACTTCTGTGCGCGTTCTTCCATACCCACTGGTTGGATCTTCGCTGCTTGCCCTTTCTGTTGTAAATTGACAATGCCATTCTGCAGGGTAATTCTTGCACCATTGAATTCTAGAGGCTTGGTCTCCGAGAGTCGTGTTTTTGGCTTCGCTTTAAAGCTTGCCTCTTGCAACGCGGCTTGTTCACCTCTGGAGAACTTTTCTGTACAGATAAGAAGTGTGTCGTCCGTTTGCATTCCCACAAGTCCAAATTCGTCGTCTCCTAGCTTTGAGATAAGAAGGCATGGGTCGTACGTCGAGGTTTCCATGTTCAATTTGTTAAGATGGTGCGCCTGGTATGTTCCAAACCAATGAACACCTGCCTCAGGGATCCCATATAGCGGGCCTTCAACTAATAGGAGTGAATCTGGTGGATACTTATCCTGCATTTCAATGGGAAGATTGGCGATAATCAGACGCTCGAGCTTGGTCTTCGCCTGTGTGTATGCTTGCGTGATATCCCGGATCTCAACGACCATTCCCATCTCAATGAGTGTGGGGATAAGCGACACTAATAAGCGTTGGCTTGCACGCTGGATCGTGGGTGCCTGGGTCAAGATCTTATCCTTCCCAGCGTCGTTATATCCTTGTATAACAAGTCGAGATTTCTCATAGGGAATCTCGTTCTTGCCCTTTATCTCGTTGACAAGGCGGGAATTGAAAATTCTGATGCCACGCAGGTCCATATCGGCACGGTGAAGGATCTTGAAGGTCCCATTTGCTATCAAGCTGTCGATCTCTGTTTTTCCTGATAATTCGAACGGCGCGCCGTTGGTGGCGATCTTGCCTTCACGCCGCAGCTTGACGGCAAGTTCAAGGTCGTCCCTCTCCTTTTTGGATATGAACACTTCGGCGTACGCTTTTGGCTTATTTTTGGAACCACGCGGTCGTCCTCGGCGGCGTGGCAACGCAGGCATCTCGGGGGTCTGCGGTGCGTGGACTCCCCCAGTCTCAACATGGTGATTCGGATTTGCAGGATGGTCTTGCAGTCTTACCCTTGCTCTAGTCCTCGGAGTCTGGTCGAAGTCGACTTGGGACCGACCGTCCTGGCGATTGAGATCCTCTTGGGGGGGAGAGAGAGGCAATCTAATCAGGCGATCACTCTCATCCTTGCTATCACGTAAATACTGCTGTACCGACGTCGCCCTGAATGCAACAGCACCATTTCCAAGATCTACAGTCACGTCATGGCCATTGACTGATATAACTTTGTACGGTCCTGACCAACCATCTCCTTCGCGCCATACTTTGACTTCGCTCCCTGGTGCGAGATTGAGCGTTTCCGTGATAATTGGGCCGTTCCTGGTGTTAAGTGCGTCATTGACTCGTCGCTCTGCCACGGCACGTCTCAATTCGGCCATCGCCTTTCTCATTGCCTCAGCACGTCGAGCAGTTAACGCGGATGGGGGCGAGTCAGTCGTTATGCGCGGGTAAGCGCCAAAAACGAGTACGGTTGGAACTATCCCATCTGGTCCCACGGTATCATTGACGGCTTTGATGGCCATCTGGAGGATCACGTCCTTGTCGACGCTGGCGCCTAGTTCTGCCGATATAATGTTGTATGCTCTACGCAGTGGTGCATGGTAACGCTCAACTTTCCCGATTGCATTGTGTGCTTCCACTGGCACTTGGTGACATTGGATTCCCATCATCTTAGCCTCAGTTTTGAATTCTAATGCGGCAAAATTGGTTCCTGCGTCGTGTGAGATGACATCAGGAGGGCCAAGATAGGTGTCAATCCACACTGCCCGGAGCGCTTCCCATGTATCTTTCGCAGATAAAGACTTCAAAAATCGTGCGGCCTGGAAGGACGTCGCCCAATCGACAACATGAAGCACCGGCTTGCCATCTAAATACATAACATCGACGACAATCTCATAGTTAAACTCACGATCGTCATTCAATGTGAATTTAAAGCGTCGTGGTGCCTGCCGGTTCATTTGGCAGTGATGGCAAAACTTCTCAATTTCTGCAAGATTGTTGTAATCCACATCGTCATGGCCTGCTCGTTTTAAAAGCTTGTGCAAGCGGTCAACCGCAGGATGGCCAAACCGACGGTGAAGTCGTCTCATCTCAATCTCTGTGAGAAATGTTACTGGCGCCTGCATCTTATCAAGGAAGAACCATGGGTGGCCTCGCTTTCTGATAATTGGGACCCGTACGTCTCCCTTTACCATGCAGTTCGCAATGTTATCTAGGTAAGCGCCATGTTTATCCATATCGTCTAAGCAAAGCAAGAATGGGGTTGGCGTGTTCATAATATGAAAATCAACATCACCAATTGGGGTTGTTATGGTAACAGCACCCTCAGAGTGAACACTCTCACCTTGGCCAAATCGAATTGAGTGCTCTCCTGCACGGGTCCTATCGACGGTAATCTCTGGATAGCTTCTCTGCAAGGCAGCAAGTTGACGTCGGCCAACAGTTGATACCTTTGCTGCTCCAGTATCTGGAAGAATTCCTTGGAAAATCTCGCCTTCATGGTGTTCAAGTACAAATTGAGAAGCAGGTTCTAGGAGGCCATCCTTGCGCTCTGATTGATCAAGCTCTCTTACCTCCAATTTGTGGTGGAATCCTTCCTGATCGATATCGTCGTGGTATCCACTTATCCAATGGATAAAGGAACGATCTTGCAGTTCGTTGATCATGAAATACGCAGTGGCGTCGTCCTCAATGTCGTCTTCTTCTTCAACGTCATCCTCCTCACTATCTGACTCAATCATACAGCCCTTTTCAAAGTCCATGACAAAGGCGCGATATGTGCGGTCAGAAGCGGAGCGTCTACCATCTACACGTCGATAATCATTAAACCGCTCTCTCGCTCTGCGGCGCTCCTCGTCGGAGTGTTTGAACGAGCGGCAATCGGACCTGTGGCAGATCCAACACTTCCTATCACCTTGTTGGCGGGAATTACGATCATCACGTCCCCGGCGTCGATATCCTTGACGTGGGGTTTGTCGATTATTCTGGTTTGTGCGGCCCAAGAACTTTCTATCTGTGTACAGCGTCATCGGATTGTCTTCTCCTATCCCATTGGGAGCTGAGTTGGCTTTAACTCGGGTTATATATTGACTGGCTGACTCCTTTCCTTGGACCACAGCGGCCCTGGCACGGAGTCTTGATACCAACGTCTCAAAATTCGTTGCAGGATCACTAAGAGCGTCGCTCATCTCAGGCGAATCTTGACAGGCTCTAGTGACAGCAGCAACTAGATGTTCCTGGCCCTTGTACGCATTTCCCAGGGCACGTTGGCACAAGTGAAGTTTCTCAATAAGGATTTCTACTGCTTCCACAAGCGTTTTGCTGGGGTTGTTACGGAGAACGCCTTTCAATGTGGTCGACGTCCAGTCCTGGTAGTACACCCGATGGTTGGAATCCGTGTCAAAGTACGCCTTTATAGCTTTGTACGCATCTGTAAATGAAGCATCTTGACCAATATGGTGCATGTAGTAGGTTTTTGCACGCCCAGAAAGCATCTCGGGAAAGAGTATCCAACATTGCGTTAATTGTACTCCAATCAATCGACAAACTCTCAGGAAAGCAAGGACTTTGTCGTCTAGGATATCATATCGTTCTCCTGAATAACTCTCTGCCTTGTCCCATGCCTTGGAAAACTTTGCGGCCAACGACGGGTCAATATCCTCTTGTTCATACTCTGTAGGCGGCAATCTCATGTACTCATCAAGTTGCCTCGCAGATGTCAACGACGTAGAGGGACGCGGAGGTGGTGTGGTAGATATCTTGATTGGACTGGGGGCCGGTGTCCCTATCGGCACTGCGTTGGCACCAGTCAAGGGTGTACGACTATCAAGATCTCGGACATGAGTCTCCAGCTGTAGGGGGTTATTGTTGATTCTTCTCTCTGGATCTCTCCCGAGTGTTGTCTCTTCCTTTTCCTTGTCAGAATAAGGCAATCCAATGAGGTGATCCCTATTATGATTCTCAATTCTCTTAGCCGGCGGGGTGGTGTCACTCCTTGGTGTTAACTGAGCTTGTTGACCTAAGGCCATCCTTGATCTTGAGTCAAATTTCTTGCCGGCGATCATGTCATCTGGCCATCTTGGGGGAATATCCATCTGAAGCAATTCGACTAATCCTTCTGAGATGTTTTTCTTACCTCTATGGTCCAAATAAACACCACGTATCTGAAGGAAGTCTTTCAGCTTGCTTCTCATGGTCCTGTCAAGCTTATTGAATTCGACCAGAGTCCATTCTTCGAAGTAATCATGAAGCCATTCGAATAGTTCACGGTCAAAGTGATGACTAACGGCAGCCTCGTACATGGCCCTTATTGTGTAGTTGACCAACGCTTCTACACTGTCCCCCGGTCCAGCATCCTTTTCCCACAAGGTTGGATCGATCTTCTTATGCCCGGTGACAGTGTTAAATCCAGTCTCTGTCATAAAGTCGTCGTCAGGAATTCTAGTAGGTTCTGACTCGGCTTCGCTTCGATGGCTAGTAGCAGACCCAAAGACTTCAGGGTCATTGCTTAGCAGTGGTTGTCTCGAATTATCAAGGGTTTGGGAAGCCATTATTCTCACTAATCTTGGTGATTTCCTTATTGGGTTGACTCGGTTATCTTGATGATTGATTGTTTGGTGTTGACTTTCGAACGTGTCAACGACGTGGTCTCGCGATAGGGCGGTATTATGGAATATTGACGCCGTAGGATCAACCTATTCCTAACACAGACTGCCTAAGATTATCTCTTAGGGGGGAAAGTCTTGTAGCAAAGATTCAGTTTGTCAGAGATGTGACGCTGCAGAATCTCCCTCTTCCACTTGGTTCGTGATGCAGTCAACGAAGCCTGGAACCAGGTTCTTTATAACCACAAGTGATTACAAGAAAGAACCTAGGACCTTGCCAATCTATCTTGATATTGCAACCAAGACTGATCAGTGTGGGTGCATAAAGCACGTGTACACGTTAATGTACGTACGTACATGAATGGTTAGCAGGTACTGCAATTCTGTATGGGTTCAAAATGTGTGTGATTGTAGCTATCTAACTCACGCCCCGACGCGGTCTTACATCCCTCTATCCTAGACGAGGTCACGTGACGCCCTGCGGCTCAGTGCGTCGGAGTGAGGCATCTCGATTGCTCCCACAAACCAACACTTATCAAGATTATAATAAAAATAAATACTGGGCTAACCGATTCTATTGTAATACTTATATAGAGCCGTCTGAAAACAGTTATTTTTCTAAAGATCCTAGGACTGATATTTGTCAAATTCATAAATAAATACCGTACAAGAGCCAGTACCATGTGATAGCCTTGGGAGTGGAGGAAAATACAAAAGGTTGTGTAAGAAATCCTCCCATAATTCTATTTCCTTGTCTAGTTCTGTGATTGGGTGCCATAGTATTTCCTCTGAGGGTAGTACCGGGTCTTCTTTCTCTGGGTCTGCCATCTTCGGGAAGAAGATTTCTAGAAACACTCTGGCCTTTGCGTCATTTTCGGTGACCTCCTCGGATCCCACCTTTAGTGGCGGGATATTTGTGTACGAGTCTCGTGGGCGCATGTATGTTGCTGCTTTCCAGAGGTGGCCTTCTTGGGCCTTATCTAGGAACTCCTTCCAATGAGTGGCTTTAGCCTTCTCGATGGTTCTAGTCCATTCTCGTCATTTCTAACGCATGTTATTAAAGAGAGATATGGTAATTGGGTGGCTACTGCCTAGGGTAGCATAGCTAGTCTGCCATCTTTGGCGTGTTTAATTCAGGAGAGTCTGCTGGGGTTTGAGCTCTGGTGTAAACCAACGTTTCGAGTAGGGTAATAGTTTTTGCAATGGGACGTGCTGGTCGAGAACTACTATTGTAATTTCCACTAGTTAGTTAACTTCATTGTTAAGGTCTATAGTGGAGTGTATTTCCAGTGCTTGACCGAGCGACTCAACCAGTCTTTGGCCAATTTTAGCCCAGTCAGCTCTGTCGTATGCTCTCTTGGGTTTTGCATTTTCATTGCGTTCTGGTCGCAGGTCCCATTCGGAGTATGTTCCACGATGGTCCAATCCATAGTTATCATGGTAGAGCTGGCACTTGATCAGTGTGGTTGGGTCATTGGTGAGTGTCAAGTCAAGAACTAATGTCTTCCCTGGGTGGCTTGGTGACCAGTATGTTGGGGTCCCTGGGGGTAAGCACCATTGAAGCTGATATTCTTGGAAGAAGTTAATTAGCTCTTCCGCTTGAGCGGTGAAAACATGGCTGATGGAGCGGTGGCTCCATGTAGGATGATGTCGGTTGAAGTCTCCCACTAGTATCAGCCTTGTGGATTTATTAGATTCCCTGGTGTGCTGTTCAATAGTGTTTTCAATTTCTTTCAGTGCTGATTTAGTAGAGGTTGTGCTAGTGGCTTGGTGTACATCTAGTGGCGGGATGTAAACTGAGAAGATAAGGAACTGTATCTCTGCAGTCCATACTTTGATGGCCACCAGATCTGGGTGGTTACAATGGATTTGGCGATGGGAGGAAGTTGAGATTCGCTTGTTGACATAGAGGAGGCTGCGGAATTAGATGGATTCATCGGTATTTAGGTATGTTGGTCGATAGAGTCGCCAAGCACTGTGGTTGACGTAGGTGCGATATGTGGTGATCAATGGTTCCTAGATTAATAGTAGATCCAGGTTCTGGCTCTGGTGATCGTTAATGAGGGCTTCCATTCCTGCCCTGGATTTCCAGATGTTCAACTGTAGTAGACATAGTGTTGATGACATTATCGGGAGGAATTCAGGTTAAGAGGTGCTTGGCACCTTTTGTGCCTAGTAGGATGTTCCCCATTACAGTCTGCACACCTTAGCTGTATTCCTGAAGGGCAGTTGCGTTGCTTGTGTTAGCCACTACAGTGGCCACATTTTACCTGTTCCTTGCATGACCAAGCTAGGTGGCTAAACTTCTGGCAGCAGTAGCATCTTTTTAGTTCAACTTTGTAGGGTTCCACACTTCCAATATATCTTTGTCTAACTAGGAGGCTATTGCTGATGATGGATTCTGCTGCCTCCGGTGTATTTAGCCAGATGCCTATAGATGCGGACTTTCCTAGCGGGCTATCCTTCTTCTTTAGCCATACAATATCCTTGATTTCAAATCCCTTCTCGGCCAGGTCATTCTCTTCCATAATCTTCTCAATTCCTTCTTTCTTTTCCTTGTCCAAGTCAAAGTCTTCTGTTGGCACTCGGTGAACTACAATACTGAATCAGGGTTTCACTAGCTTGGTTTCGTTTCCCAGTTCTTCCAGCCATGCGGTGTTGTTTTGGGCTGTTTCGGCCGACTGAGCATCTCTGAATCTGATTACATAGCCTGTCTTAGTGGTGCCAACACCTGCTACCTGTACATCTTTGGTGGGTTCGGTGGTTGATAGGGCCATTCTGATATGTTTATTCGCGGTATCAGTAGGCAGGAATCTTGTGAAATTGTCCTTGTTGTTTCCATTGTTATCCGCTGTTTCTGGCCGTGTAGTGCTGATTCGGACGCAGTTCAGTTCTTTCTGGGGTCGTGGGATTATGTTGATCGCTGATAGGTTGATTGCGGAGGCAACTTCAGCCCATGGTTTTGGGGGTAGGTTTGTAGTTGCTTGGTTCTCTATCTAGGTGCGTAGCGCCTGGATCTCCTCCTGCAATCTCACGTTCTATTCTCTCAGGGTGATTTGTTCTGTTTTGATTTGTTGGATTTCTGCTCTTGCTAACTCGATTGTGTTGGTCTGTTGGATAATCGCTGTATTTAGGCCGTTAACGAGTTTCGCAACCATTTGGTACGAGATTCTTTTGCTATCGTCTAATGGGGGGAATTCAACCACTGGGGTTCGTAGGGTTTCTGCTTGTAGATTCTGTCTCCGGCCTGGGGCTCTTGGGATGGCCTCATTCCGTGCAGAGTTTTCTGGCGTCTGCGGACCGCCTTCGGGTACTGCCATCGGGCCGTTTTTAGCTCCCGTTCGGCACGCCTCCTCGCTCACGGTTCTCCAGTTCCTTGTCGTAGAGTTCTGTGTATCGCCAAAGTAAGTTCGATTATGTTCTATCAGTTGAGTGCTACAGTTGTTTGCAAAAACGGTGCACGCTTTTACTCACTTCAATTGTTTACTGATCCCTGTAGCCAAGAGATGCTAAACTATTTTTGTAATTGTCGGAACGTGAATATCAAACCTAGCGCGTTTCGGCACTGGATATCAGTTAGTCTAACGCGGCACGTGCGTGCCGCGTATATATGTAGTTAGCCACTCCCCGTCCCCCTTACTCTTGGGGGGCAGTCATCAATATCAGGAATTCTATACCATATTGATCAGGCTCGTCAGCTCGTCGGAATAGCTGTTCTACGTGACTAGTGCTAGCGACCTAGACGTAGATAAACCGACAGTAATTATTCCGAAGCCCCTGCAGGTCTCATGCGTCTCACATGTCTGTATTGACTAGTAACTACAGGATACGTGATGACTCAAAGCATTTGATTACGTGTATTGGTAATACGTAGACCTTGTTCCACGTGGTTATGCCAAATGATCCTCCCGGAAGATCATGTAGATCAGCCTTTACTGACATTGATTGCTACCGAGATGGCCCCAAATCTACCATCATCAACGCGAGAATTTACTCATGGCATACTTACAAGTAATGAGCTCACCACATCCGAGATGGCGGGTGCTGCTGACTGCGATCCGAGTACAATATGAGAACACCGGTCCATATTCGGTACCATGACGGCTCCTCCAAACATAAGGACGCCCACGATGTCTAATAATACCAGTAAATTCAAAGTTCGTTGCAATAATCTCCTTGAAAGTCTGAATTATACATATCTTAACAAGATGGTGGTTATATAGGACGAGTTCAGTTAACAAGTGACAGAATGCAGTGTTAGTCGTGCTCTTAAACCTCAAGGTTAATCTAAAATGGCTTCCAAACAAAAGTGAAACAGCTAAATCCTGACCTACGTGACAGATATTTAATCATATCACCTAGTACTGTATGTGTGGACGAGTCAGGATGTGATAAGAGGGCAGGTTTCAGAAGAACAGGCTGGTCTCCCCTTGGTGTGGCACCATCTCAAGTGACTCAATTTCGTGATCAGCGTTATAGTCACTTGCAAAACCAGTTTCACCCCAAGTATTCTCTTTTCAAATTGTCAGTGGCCCACTCCAGATGTACTGTTAATTATTAGGTATGGTAATTGGTCGAATGTTCCTGCAAATCCTGCCAACCATGAATTCTGGAGTTCGGCATAAAATATGGCCTGTACATTAGTTACATTACATGTTGTAAGACTTAAAAATTACGAAGTGTGACAGTGGCAATAGACTGGGGACCTGCTAATCCCGACAGAATCTGTCACGGTCAATCTACACTAAAGTAACATAGGCGAGTCATAAATTTATATACGGCTGATGGAAGACTTACGGTTGATAGAGATGGATAAAGAAATTTACAGAACGCTGATTTCGTAGGCTAGGCATAAACGAAACGTGCAAAGAGAATCGATCATCGAATCATAAATTCACCAAGGCTAAAAAAATCCAGTCTGAATTAGGCGGAAACCAGAAAATTGGGAAATTTCTCAGCCAGCGAGCGGTTGAGCAAGAGCAATCGTATCGTTCAATCAGGGCTGGGGAAAATTAATGATCCTGTCCTTCCGAAACTTGGACAGGCTCGAAAGACACTACTGACATTTGAGCTATCAGTCGGAGATCTTTTTTGAGGTCCGTGTGCATCTGTTGGTGATTCCCAATCATTAGCTATTAAAAACAAAATTCTCACAGACCCTTGGACTCACATACCTTAGCTGTCTTTTCTTCTGCTCCAAGACAGATTTCAACCCTCAGGGTGTTAAGCGCCGCAAGTCGGCTGTTAATCTCTTCATCCGTCCCGTCGTCGACAAGACGAAGTTGGGGTAACTTGTCAATTGTTGGGATGATGTACTGAGCAGAAATAGTCTTGTAAATTTCAGATGCTCTTGCAACGAAGTGGAATCTTGTCCTCATGTCGAAAGCATTATCTAGCAAGTCCTGCGAAAATATGTGTTACTGCTAGAGACCAAATCGGTTCATGGGATTCATGTTGCGTACTTTCTTAATACCTGTATCTATCAGGCCATCCGTGTCCTCGGCTATGTCGTACACAAAATTGCTCTTGTTCACTGTTAGATCTATGATGGTTGAGATTTGTTTCAAGAAATCCATGAAACTATTGATTTGGGCCTGGAGCGCGGTCAAGTGGTACACGGAGGTCCTGACAATCTCCATGACTTCGGCCTGGAATATCAAGATAGCTACTATTAGGTATTCAATGCCCTAAGGATTTCGGGAGGTACACTTACGATAGAGCTCTTCTCTGAAGATAGCTTCTGTAGGGCTGCTTGTAACTCTACAGCCTTAGCCATGAGCCCCTTGATCTCCATCTCTCTCCTTGCTTGGTCCTCTTCCATCCTCGAGAGGTCTCCTTTCAAGGTCAAATAGTGAATAGATGCTGCTGCCACTCCTAGCACCAAACCATTGCCCGAAATCGCAACTGCAGACACTGAAGCCACAGCTGCGGCTAACCCACCTTCTGCCACCCTCGCAGCGCTAACTGTCGTACTGAATTAATATCCATCTGAGCATTGCTTGGAGAATTACTGAATGGTTAGTTAGACTTACCAAGCTTCGCTGCCTGATCCTCATACCACTCCTTCTTCTCGCGAACAATTTCCATAGCTTTGTAGTGCGCCTGAAGCCTCTTCTCTTCGGCTTCTCTTGTCTCTTCCTTTTGTTTCTTTTCTTTCTCACTCTTTACAATCTCATTCTTCACCTGTTCAGCTTCGCTTTTTTTGTTCCCTATTCATGCTCAGTTATCGCCACTGTGTAGAAATTTAATACGAACCAACTGCCTCCTCTAGAGCCTTAAAGAGGTCGCTTGTCTTTTTAGACCATTTGTCGAAGGCTTCTTTGATCTCGTTGATAGCCACAACACACTCATCAACTGACTTCCGGCCCAGCAGTATATACCTTCGGAGATGCCTGTCTCTCCGGGCATCTTGGTTGGAATTACAGAACTTTAGCATCTTTTCAATCTTTTTTTGTAAGAAAAAAAGTCAGCATGGTTAAGAATTAATCAATGGGGGAAAGTGCCTACGATCCCATCGCTGTTGGCGAGTTCGTTCGACAAAGAGGCTATACGAGTCATCTTCTCTCCAGTCTTTCTGAATGTCTCCATTCCAAATTCGGCACAGTCACTGATGTTGGCAAAAAGCGTCTCATACCTTCGAGGATTAGCCAGCAGCTCCCCCTTCCCTTCCCCCATTTTTTTCAACAACAGTATAGAGCTATAACTTACTCGAGACCAGGCCCACTAAGCTTTATGCCTATCAAATCTGATCTAGAGGTGATGAGTAGACACTGACCAAGAATGCCGATGCACTCCGGTCCAGCACGAAGATTGAGACGCCAGTCTTGCCAACCGAAGTCGCGCTGGAGAGTGTGGTGCATGCGGACGACTGCTTCCATAGTTGCTTGGAATCTAAGCCCCTTGGAATAGAATCAAAATTAGTAGGCATAAGAAACCATAGGCAAGAATATTAAGAGAAAGAGAAATCTTCAGGTAGTTGAAGGAGAAACTGTTGAGTCTTATAGTCTCGATTCGCAAGAAAATCGCCTGGGGTTTGAACGGTAGGCTTGGAAATCTTTACCCACAGGATTCTTTACCCGCACCAATCTCTTTAACCCTCAAGCGTCAGTATCTCCCACCAGATGCTCCAACAGCGCCCAAAGAGCCACATCTCCGTTGGGTTTAAGTGGTAGATAACGTGCGTAAATCTAATTGAGCGATGCCGATATGGATGAAGTGCTACTACAGCTTACAGCCAATCATTCGACGAATGGAAAATTCGTAATGCAGCTATCGTCCAGCGTGAAAACGGATTTAGGTGTGCTCTCCCCGCAACCTAAATGCACGGAAGTTTAGGCGGTATCCAATGGGATCTTCGATACACACGTCCAATAGGATGATGGATGTACTACCTTCACCTGCGCTAAATTGTGGAAATGCAGTCGCGCTCCATTCTGTTCTACCGACCTTTTTTTTCGAAGGGTTTCCCGACTATGTTTTTTCAATTCCAATCCCGTGAAATGGAGTTATGCGCACAGGCCGGGGACTCCTTAGAGAATCCTGTTGACGAGATTCCACAGTGGACTACGTCCCGCCAAGACAGGGAGCCACTTACAATATGGTATGGAGCCTTCAGCAACAGCCAGCCTACATACGCTCCATGCAATTCTTCCTGGGAGCCACAAGGTGCGGATGAAACCTTTTCAGCAATGCCGGCCAACCGCTCATTACCATGTGACACCGATGATATACCAATCATTCCTTCGATAGTGCTTTGGGGCCCGAATTTGGTTGATCTGCCCGTCCTTCAGAGCCCTGATTCGCGGTTTGCAGGCTGTCAACCCAGTCCATTATTACCCAATGATCCGGGATGTCTACTGCCTTCTCCCCTTATCAGGAGCCTCTCACCAAAACAGGGTTACTCTGAAGAAGAGTGGGAAGCAATGAAGGAAACCCTCCACAGGCTGTACATGAAGGAAGGAAAATCCCTTGACGAGGTGATAGTCATTATGACGCTTGTATACCATTTCAAAGCGACGTGAATACCTCTCCAAGTCGCCGTTCATTCGGCTTGAACCCAATCTAACATTGAAATTAGACCGAAGATGTACTACTGGCGATTTCGGAAGTGGCCCGATTTCCAGAAGAATGCCGTCCAAGCCCAGTCAGTCACCTCAAAGGGCCTCCGACAGAAGCCTGAAGTGCTCCGGACGAGACGAAAAGAGAAGCTCAGAGAAATTTCGGATTTCGAAGATTTGCTATTCCAGAGACTAGCCGGAAATATAGCAGCATCGACTTCATCTTCATCACTATCCATCAAGAGCACGGAGACATATCGTCTGCAAGAAGTGGTACTCCACTCAGTTCACAATTTTGTTTTTGGTCTCTTTGAGACTCATCGGTGGACTGCAGATCAGTTCTCGATTTTTCCACCTTCAGGCAGTTTGGATCTCAGCAGAATGTGGCAACAGCTAGCGGACCAGGTCTTCGGGGCGCGCGTTCTCATCCGTAAATTAGAGATGAGACATGCCGGCCAAACTTTTCGTAACATCTTCCATCTCCTAGAGAGAGCAGCTTTCTCCCCAGACCCGGCGATGATGGTCAAGTTCTGGCGGATATGCTTGTATTTCATGGATATTTGCGCGAGCATGAACAATTACAGTCTCTTAAATTCCTTTTTCCAACATTATCGATCACTTCTATTGACAAGATATCAAGAAAACTATCCTCTTGTCCAGCTGCTAGGAGCACTAGCCAAAGTTGAGAACGAAGCGATGTTAAGGACCTTGCAGATTGGCTATCTCAAATCCATTCACTCCCTGAAGTCATTTCTTCGAGGAGATCACGCAGTCGTTCTTTCCATGTGGTCGAACTATATAAAACACTGGGGTTTCGATAGTCTGCACCCAACGGAGCTTGCAGCGAGCTACCGGGTGCTTCTTACCGAAGCAGACTTCCGGCTTGGGAGGTGTTCCAATTTATCAATTTCTGTCCTCCACCAATTCACCTACTCTGTCTTCTACAATCTTCATGACGATGCGATGAGCTTTGAACTGGCAATAGATCTGCTGCAGCGGAGCCAGGAGGTCCTATCGTCGCTGCATCCCCAGTGGCAATGGGGCCTAGAGGCACAAGCTTTTGCTTTTGCTTCCAAGGTGGTTGCATTAATTTACGGAAATCAAGGGAGTCGAGTGAAAGCCCAGAAGTACTACAAGGAAGCCATTTCTCTCTTTGAACGAGGCGATCGGGAATGTCGAACGCGAGCTCTGATGCTTGCAAATGAGCTCACACACTGCATGACAAGATGGCACGACGTCGATGATGCCAAAAGACTCCATTGGAATCAATGTCTTGTAGCCTCAACGCTTTCGGAACAAGCCAATACCGGGCAGGGTACCGAATAAGTGTCCTACTCTGTCCTACTTGAAGGGGTATTAATTATTCACATTTCTCTGTTTTTCTTTAATTCCTCGAACGTGTTATTGTAGCAATTTTCTGAAATCTGGACTCATGCTTGTAAAAATTTAGCTTCCCATCTGTGAAAATGTGACAACTGCCAATATCTTGTATTCAGTAATAAGTGGATGTGCTGGTCTACAGGCAATATCAAGCATGGGAAGAAAAAAAGAAGAAAAACGAATATCTTAGTCTTACGAGCCGCTTAGATAGTAAAAGAATTCGTATTCTACTTTCTGAATTGGACTCCTAAACCGTAGGGGGGATTGGGGCGATTTAACTTATATACGAAGTTGCGACGTAGACACTAGGAATAACGGTAATTCCATTTCGAAGGTACGTGCCGTAGCAATGCCAAAGGCATTACACGTACGCACGCGATATTGCGTTCCGACAACTAGCATCAGGAATGTTGTGCTAACAAGCTGAGAAGAATAATGAGTTAGTTTCCCCTGGATAGAACAAAAACGTGGAGAACGCTCCATCAAGTATCAAACCCCCAAAGGGAAGCGCACAACTGATATAGCTGCTACTGCTCACGATCCTTGGCATCCAGGAGAGTTCTTTACAATGAGCAGTATCATTATTAGTAGCGTTCTACCTAGTTGCGTCCCGCACAACTCTAAAGTAGCGCTTGTATTGCAAATGTAGGATGGCAAGATACTATATGAAGGCAACCATGATGTCGCTGACAGCTCACAGGAAGTGCTAGGCACCCCTACACTAGTGGGTAGTCTGGTTCGCATGGAAGGTTCCAGTAACTATCAACTCGATCGATTTCCGCGGTGTATTGGAGTTTCAATGTGACGTCATGCTATCTTACGGTAAATTACGGTTAAGTGAAACTTTTGGAATATCATTAATCCGGCACTTTCCCTGATCAAGGTTAGGGTGAAACATCTTAAACAATTGAACAGAGAGAAATCGTGCACCGTTTTGTCAGATAATCCGGCTTTCAAACGAGGCAGAAAGATCGACTGTTCAATCTTACAGGTCTAAAAGGCAGATTTAGGCATATATCTGGGCACCTAGATTTCCGCCCAATATTTACCCCTCCTGATAGCTCACAAATCACCCCGCCAAAGGTGTCTATAAAGGACCCGGCTTTAAAAACTTGAAAGACAGACACAGAACTGAATACATACAATCTTGCTAGTCACTTCTTTTCTTTGATCCTAGTAAAACACTCTTCAGGATTGGCCTGGAATAAACCGACCAATCCGACACGTTTTTGCAAACAACTGTAACATACTATCACTAAGGATAGTTGCTGGTTCCTGTTAGCCTGCTAGGGCGACCTGGTTTTCCATTTCAATCTTAAGGACAAGGCTAATGGCATAGTATATTGCTATGAGCTCTGCTGCATACACCGACCAGTATTCCATAGAGCCAATGCAGACTTTCCGGTGCTAGATGATATTGTGATTCTAGTCTAGCGCTACTGCTGCGGCTCCTAGTGCATTCTGTTAGTCTGATGCATCTAAGAAGACTGTGATGCCAGATACTTTTTATCTAGCAGAGGCTTTGTCTTTAGCTTTATCCTGGTCTGGTTCAATGTCAATTTCTACAAATACTAGTGTCTGCTATGGTGGTTGGGGTGTTGGATCAATTGTTTCTAGGTCCTGAATTCGAGTGAGGTCCATTGTCCGCAGGGTCTCCACTAAGGGGAACCGAGGTCCAGCTCCTATATGTGTGCTTCGTTTTGCTGCTTGGGTCACTACTGTACGGCCTAGATGGTCCTCTGGAAGGGTGCTGAGGCAGGCAGCCACTATCTGGGCGCGTTGTTTGAGTTGCAAGTTGGTCGGTAGCACGTAGGCTTCCACCTCTAGGGCTGCCGTGGATGCTGTCTTGAAGGCGGAGAGAATGCGGATAAGGGCGGTTCATTGCACAGTTCCCAGCGTTCTTAGGTGTATCTTATCCTTTAGTGGGTTGTGCCAGACGGTGGATGCATAATCCATGATTGATGTCACGCATGCTTGGTAGATTTGTCTCATCTGCTCTGGGTGGAGGTGCCTCAGTCCCCCAAGGGCAATATTCACCTGGGTTGCTCGTTTCACTGCTTGCTGTACATGTTCCTTCCACTGCATCTCCTTATCAAAGATCACGCCTAGGAGCTTTACAGTATCGCTTGGCTTGATTACTGTCCCATTTATCATGATCTGCCCTACCCCATGCTGCCTTTTGGACCTTGTCAGGTGGATTAGTTCTGTTTTCTTCACGTTGAACAAGGATCCTGTCCGTCAGGCCCATGCCTCAATGTGGGGGATATCCTCTTCCTAAATCTTTTTGATATTGTCTTCTGCAGAATGACCGGCTCGCCACCGAAAATAGTCATCAATAAAAGCTGACGCGCCGCCGTGGTGGTCGGCTAGTTGGCCGACCAGATCTAAGTTGAAAAAGTCAAATAAGATTGGGGACAGCGGGGATCCCTACGCTAGGCCAGCATTCTCGAGCGGGGAGATCTCCGTCTGAAAGTCGTCGAAGGAGATGCTGGCATACTGGCTCTCCATGAAGCTCCGGATCCAGCGTCTGGCTACGGTTGGGATGTCTTTTGCCTGCAAGCGGGCATCAAGACTTGAGTCATTCACTCCATTGAATGCCCCTTTGAGATCAAATGCCACCAGTGTGATCACCTTTAACCGTAGCCATGCGCGATCAATCGCGTTTGCCAGGGTTAAGAGCGCTTGTTCTGTATTCCGTCCTAGCCGGCCTCCAAACTGGGTGTCTGGAAGTAGTTTATAGGTCTCAGCCCAGAATGACAGTCTGCGAGCCATGACGGCCTCTAGTACCTTCCCCAGGGTATTCAGTAGAGAGATAGGTTGGTATGCTTCTGATGAGCCGTAGTCTGGCTTCCTGGATTTCCTCAGCACTATGATGCGCGCTTGCTTCCACCGATAGGGGCAGTGGCCTAATTCCACTGGTTTTGCAAAGATGTAGGTGATCACCTTCCAGAGATAGGGCTATAGATGCTTCCAGACAAGGGTTATGATCCTATTCTCCCCTGGGGCCGTCGTTCCCTTGCGGCTTTGAGTGACTGATATATCTCCAGTTCCGTGATTGGGTACCATGGTATTTCCTCTGAGGGTAGTACCGGGTCTTCTTTCTCTAGGTCTACCATCTTCAGAAAGAAGGTTTCTAGAAATACTCTGGCCTTTGCTTTGTTTTCGGTGATCTCCTCGGATCCCACCTTTTGTGGCGGGATATTTGTGTAGGAGTCTCATGGACGCATATGTTGCTGCTTTCCAGAGGTGGCCTTCTTGGGCCCATGAAAAGGTGGCTAGCACAATGTTAAGAACACCTATGTGCCATAGGTGTAACAATTATCGTCTTTGCGCGATCCATAGACAGAGAATTTAAATTCTTTATCTAGCATACTACAGGCCACAGCTAGATCATAAAGTTTAATACAGATCCATCCGACTTGAAAATTCTCCATCTGCAATTTTAGTGCTGTCTCCATTTCGAAGGTACATGTAGATATATCTGAAGCTGTAATTGAACAAAGGCGAAAGATTGATGTTAGAAGGAGGTATTCAATAGGTAATGTGCAGATAGATTCGATATCTCTTTGTAGCCTTCCTAGTATTCGGTCATGGAAGGAAAGGGTGGATTCCTGATATGTCCACGTTCTTACTCTTCTGATTCTTCCGAACCCACAGCGAAGACAGTTGCCTAGTCTGGTATTGTAAACTCTGACTTATCTCAGGTCGTACAGTAGTAACTCACGTTACTAATTCTTAAGATAGAGGAGGTCGCTGCCATGGCGAGTGGGTGCCCGATTATGTTATCAATTTAAATGGCGAGATAAAAAAGTTACGTTGTTCAGTCATGGATCCACTAAAGAAATTTCCGGTGACATTTGGGTGGGTCTTAACTATGGCAGGCACAGCTTGGTTACCTTCACCTTTCGAGACGCCTACAAAGCCTAGCACCAGGCTGGGCTACCTAGGCAACACTAGCCCATAGGCCCAAGACCGCCACAACATACTCAACCGTCGACAATTCACAAATGTCCACCAAATCCTCACAAGGCGCGCACTTCAAAATCGTGTCACCTTTTCGCTAAAGGACGCTGATCACCTATAGATAGCTCTCTTTCGACTCAATAGGCGCATCATAACCGAGATGTTATATAAAGCCGAGCTGAGGAAGAATTACAAGGCCTCGGAGCAAGCGGCATTCGGTATCGCGTTTCCATCGATGGTGACCACGAATTATACCGTCCGAAAATTAGCACAATCGTTAAAAGATTTTGTTCAAGAAAGCACCAATAAGAAGAGAAAAAAGTTTTCTAGCCATCTCGCTAAGGCTATCGAATATCGAACACTAGCGGCCAAAGAGTACGAAAGCCATTATGCTCGCTTATGCACAGGCGACGAAAAACTTGCTTCACAGCTTCAATGCCAAATTAAGAATCACGAATATTACCTCAATCAGATGCGTCTTGTTCTCTCTCTTGCCTCCAATAAAAGAGCGGCTACCGTAACCGTTTCATCTAATCAACAAGACCAAGAATTCCAACTAGATGAAGGGGAAAATGCGGCCGTCCCCACGGAGTTTACCGCATCAAATGAGGAAGCAGAGTCTGTTACCAAACTACCACCAGGACCAGTAAAGCAAAAGAAAGAAAAGTCCTTTGATGAAGAGGAATTTGCGATGTTTTGCACCGGACTTTCCATTGCCATACACGACATAATTAGTATATGGGAGAGGGCTGTCAAGGGGTCAATCAGATGTTCGGTTGCAGCCGCAAGTGAGGGAGTCATGGTCATAATTTTCGGAGATTTATGCTGACACTGTCATCGACAGTCACGTCGTGTTTATACAGAATCATCAAATCCGATCTCTATGCGGCCCAACAAATCTACCCGCATTGGTTTGATAACGCGTTTCTTCAGGCCAGGGAATACCATTTAATACAAGACCTGAAACTGAAGGTGATGCGCAAATATCTTTGCGTCGAGAGCGGGGGGGCAGGAGATGATGCTGACTCTATTAAGAGGTGAGTAAGATTGCTTAGTGTACTTTCCATCTCTAATCAAAGCTCAGGATTATTACCGAGGCCTTACAGGTTCCTAGCATTGGACCTATATACCTCTCTGATATGATCAAAACAATCCTAATGAAAGAAATGAAAGTAACAGTTCCCGACTTTCACGTTTTTGAATTCAGCATTGGGGTACATATTTCGATCCACGCCAAATCCACCCCCGAAAGAAGCGACCAAATAGAGAAGATCCGCTCAGCCACAGGCGAGGAATTATTACATCTTCAGGCTGTACTTAGACGTCATAAGGTTCTCAAATTCGACAAAGATTCCGGAGAGGAGAGATTTCTTGGAAAGGTCAAAGAGCTTGTGTCAAGAATACAAAATATGACACAGCCATCGATTATCTGCAGCATTGCTCTATGGATTGAGTATCACCTTTCTGAAGTTTATCAAGCGCTTTTAGCGTACCCTTTGATTCCAACCATGATTCATGTTTACATCTACTTACGCTTGAAAGCTTCGGTAAACAAATTGGAGAACCTTGAGACCTTTTGCGAGCAATATGGTGCCACTTTGTTCTGGAATGGTCGACCTAGTACCTTGGAGGGATGGGAAACCGCCGTAAAACAGTGGGTGATTACTGCGAATAATAATTCTCCCAAGATCGCCGAAAGCCGACATAAAGCGTTTGCTTCGCTGATCACAACCTTGGTGAAAAACGAGTACGCATTAAATACCGATGTCATTTCACAGCTAGAAGAGGGATCAGGTAACGCTTCAGAAACGCTAGAAGCGCTGAAGTTAAAGTTACAGTCGGAAGAAATAACTGACACAGTTCTCTTGAGTGACGCAATCCTTGCCGTGGTACGCGCGTTCGCAAAACAAGAAATGATGGGAGCGAATGCAGCGATATATATATACAGCATAAGACAACTAGATTCCGCTCCAGCCTTCATCGAGCAGATTCATTCCAAATGGGAAGCTTATCTTAATGGTAGGCCAGCCTGGAAGAAAGAATTTTATAGGAAATCCTTCCGGTCCAAGATAACGGTCGATGGGAAAGGTCCGAACGATAAGTAGACGAGATGACGGACTTTCTTTAGACAGAAAAGCCGAGCAAGGCACAGACGCCACTTCTCAAGCAAGATGTTTCGTTTTTTAGTCTCTTTCTAGCCATGGATTTGAATAGAAGTCCTATCGCTTTACTCCATCTAATAGCGCTATGACGTTCGACGCGTGTCGTTGTCTATTTCTAAGTAGATGCGTTGCGCGCGCCAGTTGCAAAAATGCCGCATTTATATATTCCTATTTCTGAAGCTAGCCAACCATTCTATTACCGGACTCAATTCTATCGGCCTATGACGACCATCTACGGAAGTCGGTGTGTTCTACCAACGGGTACAGTAAGCGCCAACTTTCCATGTCCTGCAGTATCTATTCAACCTGACCTTGATGCGCCAGTTTGCAGCATCTCGTAGGTGTTGATGAGTGCATTCATCCGTTAGAACCTGTCTTTCACGGATCCTAGGTCATACATTACATTACACAGCCGCAACGATTCCTATGCAGCAGAAGGCATGCTTTAAGCCGTTGGACCTTGACGTTTCAAAAGAACGAGGATGGCATTGTGAGAAAATTAGGAACTGGCTGGAGGAGCAATGGGATCATCGTACTGGACAATCCATCTTGAATCCAGTCGAAGATGTCAATGGAAATTTCGGGATAAATAGCACAGCGTGCATGCGGTGGAACAAACGCTCGTAGTCAATAGTGAGGGAGGAAGAAAGCTATTGTGGGGTTCTCATCTGTTATAGATCTTATGAAGTAGGAATCACTCTTCAACTAGCTTTACCCTCTCTGCATTCTCTTGCTGAGTGCTATGTACCTCAATCTAAGATAGGCAGATTCGGTTAGAGCAGACCTCCAATGCTTCACCGTCAATGTTTTCGTTGATATTCGGAACTGAAGTGCCCGAATTTAGAGTTCAGTAGAAGTAAAATTTGCATCAGGGCTGGCTATGGAAACAGAGGCTTTGTTTAACCACCAGTCAGCCAATGTGCCTATACTATCCTCGAGTAAATTGAAGCTCAGCAGCTCACGAGAGGCAAGAAGGGAATGCAGTCCACGTCTCTCTAAATCCTCAAAAATAACCTTTTTTCAAAAAGAAGCTTTCCGTAGATCGGTATGGATTTATGTCATCATAGCTATCTGAGTTGTGCTTTCTCTTTGTTAAAGTCGTTAACCCTTTTTGCATCACCCTTGACATGTTGTTACGAAATTGTCTTTCAGGATCCAAGGCTGGGTAAGAATTCTTGGATGATAACCATGTACTATCGTTCGTAGCGGATATTTGCGGTTCTGGATCTCCTTCCCTGTTTCTTCAGCGGGAAACATCCTTCTGCGCGCGGCCACTTCGACAAACGCGGCAAACTTATTATTCCAACACTTCTCAATGATATCGTCAATCAATGGATTGCCATCTAGCTTCAGAAATATCATATCTTAGTGCTCTTTGAGATCTTCAGAAAGACGATAATCTGCGGGAACCTCATAGTCATAGTTTATCAGGTAAGATAGGGAACCAAGAGCGAATTGCTCTGTTCGAGGTACTAAGAAGCCTGAAGTTCCAAGAGTCTAAACTCTTCATCGTAATTACTTAGTAATCTTCCATATGGAGGATCACTTGCTTCAACCTCTGTACCGATTTCTGCCGTACGATCAAAATCAGACAGCTTCCGCTGGTCGCACCAGTGATGGACAGAGTGAATTTTGAGATGGAGTCTCATATATCTTGAGTTCTTGATAGAAGTATATCCACTCAAACTCTCCAGACGGCGTTCCAGGCCACCCAGGGGACGAACAGGCTGGTCAGGCTGCGAAGACGGCAGCGCTCAAGCATACAGCGTCTGGTTTTGAGAATCTGTTTCTAGCGTACGTTAGACGGGCTTCCACCGAAGCCAGAAGAGCTGCAGTGTCCGAATGAGCTCTAATCAATGCCGTACAAGGCAGGCACAGACACGGACGTGGCTACAAGATGCCTCGAGGCTGGAGCCTTGACCCGGTGGCTGGAAAAGCTCTCTCTTTTGCATTTTGCTCCACTTCCCAGAATATTATTAAAGCTAGTGCAATAATAGTTAGGCGGTATTTTATCTTTCGCTAATACTAACATGTCAAGAGAATAATAGAAATACTTCAATAAGTTAGCGTCAATGTTTTGTATAGAATGGTATCATATATACCAGACTAATCATGTTGGGACTAGCTTCAGGCAACAGCAGCCTTAAAAGGTGGGACGGAAGAAATAAGAGAGTGTGTATGGAGTACTGTACTATAGTAGTAAAAAGTGAAGGACGTTTCGAATCTGTCAGTACCGTAACCCGTAGTTCCTGGTGGGCCGGGAATCCAGTGGATACCCTGGTTCCGGAGGCTCATCCCATTTTTCCGCAATGCTTTATGGTGCAGATGTGCGTACGCTAGCTTAGTAAGAGGGTATTCAGCAGTCGCTATCATCTTATTACTGAAGCCTGAGACAGCGGCTCGGATACGATCTAGTACCTCTTAGCTAATACATAGTCGAGGGGCTGAGAAACAATTGAAATGAGTAAATGCGTGCACTCGTTCCGCAACCCAGCGTATACGATATAGACTATCGTATAAATGGGCGCTAATTCTCGCCATTTCATTCGTCGCTACTGTGTACTTGCGATCAGCATAAGCGTCTCGCATGGCTCAGTAGGAGAAAATCGTGTTGCGTTAGTATGGGTGCCCACTACGTAATGATAGCCAATCGCAACTTCCATAGTACTTAGTCGTTTACGTGGTTCAAGCATAACCTCGTGCAAGCGAAGATAAAAGCAACCAATCAAATTCCCATTACAGTCAGGGAGATTCTACTACTATGTATGTATGACTGTTACACGCGAGGCTGAGGCCGCTTAGCCTTGTGGTTACAAGACTGAAATGCGGCGCTGTCAAGCCACTTTGTGACTTGTACCATGACGATCTGTTCTGGCCAAGTTTTGAACCATGCTATTTTTTAGGCTAAGGGCACGTGTATGCTTTCTAAGTACGTATACTACGTACTCCATATTACCATATTGCCCTAGTTGAGCATACTCAAGAGGGCTAAGCCGCTTGAAACTGCTCTTACCATTTAAATCAGATGTGTCTTCTGCTTACTGCTCTAAGCATTGCAGAGCTCGACTTGAGATAGTGCTCCTCTCAAAATATTCGATTCATCTATGACAACATCTGAATACTTTGTGTATATGTCGCTACAGAGATAGTGAACAAGCATCCGAGGATTACAAGAGGTTTATTTTCCATTCATACTTATGTTTCTTTGAGAGAATAACTGCACATGATCAGATTCTGACAATATTTGTAGGCAATGACTTATCAAAGTTGCGCACAAAAGCGGACTGCATTACTAGAAAAGACACAGTTACAACAAGCTCCCGGGGACACGGAATATTTATCAATCCTTCAAGAAATTGATTTGAAGATTCAATCATTATGTCAAGAAGATGATCTATGCTCTAGAAACGATCAAATAAGCGGAACTCCACCGCCTTCTGGGGAAACCACGACATTTTTATCAATCCTTCACGATATTTATTTGAAGATTCAATCATTATGTCAAGAATACGATCTACGCTCTAGAAACGATCAAATAAGCGGAACTCCAACGCCTTCTGGGGAAACCACGACATTTTTATCAATCCTTCACGATATATATTTAATGCTCCTTCCATGCATTTTATCGAAGATTGAATCGATTCGGTCGTTATACCTAGAAAGAGATCACCTACTCGCAACTCGAGACAGATATACGTACAGGTTCCGAACTTGCGAAAAGAAGTCGAATATTTGAAGGCGGAAAGACGAGAATATACGCCTCAAGAAACAGATGGACCGGATGAGAGAGCTAGTTCAAAAGTTTCAGAGCGTGATACTTGAGTGCTGAGTGTAGGGGTCTTGTGGTGTGTAATGGCTTTTGTCTCAGGCAGGAAGGATATTTAGTCCCGTTAACTTAATGTGGGTTAGGGTTAGTGATTTTCAAGAACATTAATGCGGGGTACAGGAAGCTACAGAGTTGAGGGATCCTTCCGCTGTCTATGTTCTGTAGCAGATCAGTCATTGAAGATGGTGACACTGGATTTGATTGACCTTGAGTGGCTGTATCCTGGACACCGTTTGGAGTGCTACGGGATCAAGTTGACTAAACTCGAGTTCCTGTCCATGATCCGCACCCGTAGGGGCCATCGCGTCAATTGTAAATTTGCAATGTACATTTCTTTGTTTGCTTTGCTTCAAAATTGTGCTAAAATGGTCAACGGGGATTGTTTGCGCCATTACGCAGCAGTTTGCGGCGCAAGTACACATGCCTACGATACACCTAAAGTTCAATTACTTTTTGGGGGCGATATTGGATGATATTATAGAGATGAACGTTGATTCTCACCATTTCATTTATTTGCTACTCCGTACTTGCGATCAGTTTTGGAGAATAAGCCTCTCGCTACGACTCTCGCATGAGCCAGTGGTAGGACAAAAAGGTTATATTATGCAGCGTCAGTATCCACCCTAATTGAAAAGGATATTCGTTATAAACGAGGTTTCGAATTCCTCTGCATACTACATTTTTGGTCAAAGAAGAAGAAAAAGGACTCAAAATCGAAGGCTTCTGCTGCTCTCCTCCGCACCCTCAGATCCAAGGATCCTGATACCGACAGGCACAGATGCTGATGGCGACAGCTTATCAAAAAGTTGAGATATTTATTGCGCATGTAAGGCAGCCGGATTTGTGAATCAAAGTCGATTAGGATAATGTAGCGCCAGTCTTTGCGGATCATCCGTATTGACGCAGTAGATTAGCGAGCGTTCATTAGCAATTGGCTGCTTGTCGGGTGGGGCAGAGGAGATTAATACATAATAAGTTCTTCGTCTGCGCTGTCAGGAGGCCATAGGCGGACGTGAGCAGCAACACAGTCATTAGCTCCTGGCTTCAGATTTTTGGTCCCACTTAGGATCGAACGGGTTGGATTAATTGTCTTATGTAAAAGTCATTTGCTGCGCATTCTAGATCATACTCTTGGACTAGGCGTAGGATAGGCTTTTACGGGAGTGGGGCCAGACTTGAAAGGCTGGTCTCGCTTTTATTAGAAGTTGCGTATCTCCTCCAACCAAAACGCTGATACGACGTATGCAACTAAATGAAGTGACTCAAAGGCATATTTCCGAGTCGGACATTATCGGAGTCATTCGGTGCTTATTTACGACAGATAAGAGAGGAGAGAAAGGAAATCACGTAATAAGCTTGTCCCATTCGCGTCGTACTTCGCAGCATGGGTTTTCGCCGGCAGATTACCGCTATACCAAACGTAATGAGCACCCCAGACCGCAAGTGTAAGCTATTGGTTGGTTCATCTTACAACTGCAGGGGTTAGTTACAGGATTTTGTAGTACGTGGCTTCTTAGCAAGACCCAATAACTATTAAGTACGGCTTATCTGACCCTCGTCTCATCTATCTAGTCAGCTAGCCTCGTCCTCAGTTCTCACCGCAATTTGGGCCGGACCACCCTAGGCTATCTCACCGGTTTCAAATCCCTTACAAGTCATACTGTACTAGAAAGCCGCTTGTCTGTGCGGTGCGAGAGGGGCAGAAATGACAAGGCTCCCCCGAGATTGCGTTCTCCATATAATACTATCCTGTGTGCGTCGGTTCCTAATTCGGTATCCGTGGTGGTTCCCCTTGGTGATGCTATTTCCAGCGCGTGAAACTCATACAACAAAGTCTCCAAGCGTTTCCTTGGCATCGTAAAACCCCTGAGTCGGATCCGTGACATCCAGACACCATTCATGGACCCGGTGCGAATCCTAGTACGGGATGCAGACGAGTTAGTAGTATTAGTCGCAGTATATGTCACATGTTTGCACTTTGCATCTTCCCAATATTCATGGTACGTAAGTTACCGATACACAAACAGGTTTAGCATATGGGGTTAATTAGGGTTTGAAAAGATACATGTAAACTATGTCGCGCTTTATAGACCCTTTTTGGTACAAATAAACTGTATATAAACGTCGACGGATGGGTCAAAAGACTCAAACCCGGTTAACAAGACAATAAAAATATAATATCGCTTGCTTCTAGCTGTCACCGAAACTGTTCTTTGTGCTTCCAGATTGTGTACAAGCTTTCTTTAGCGAATACGATTACACTCCGTATAGGAATATGTGCAGCAAAAAGAAATACCTAGGTATAAAAGAAAGACCAAAAATATGCACAGACATTTGTGATCATGGAGGTCAAGAGCAAGATAAGTCTAAGATAGGAAGACCATTTCTTTTCAAGGAAACATTCCTTGAAAATATGTTTGTGCGTTGACTGCATTTCCACTTCTGTAGCACAGCGAAATAAATATCGCCCTTCTTCACTCCCTTGGCGTGTCAAGACCAGAGTTAAAAGTCTGCGCTGATCGCGGTTATTCGTATTAATATTTGCCTGATATACTGTTGTAGAATAGCCTGCATTCAATGTTGTGCGGTTGTCAGGTACAGTGATATCCATTCTTATTGGCTTCAACAGTTTCTTGATGCCCTCTCCCGTTGCTATCATGGCTTCTTGGCTCCAAGTGACCTTGACTTCGTTGGTTTCCTTGGTATGGGTAATGCGACAGTTCAGCGAGTTTAACACGGTCTCCCAATCACCTGCAAATTTGCCTAGCAGACCCAGCTGCGTCTCGTTTAGAGTGAGTGTCTCAACTTTATCGGCACCTGTTTCTTCCATAAACTCTTTCAAAGCAGTGTCTTTCGCCAAATCCCTCGTCACGTATAAGCTGCCATCATCTGCAACATGGTATTTAGGATCACGCTTTCCCCCAAGCATCTTCGAAACACCCGAGTCATCGCTCGGCTCGATGATTCCAACATAGAGTTCGCCATCCCCAATGAAGCTAACAACAACGTCAGCACAAGGTGTCATTCCAAAAGGGGCGTTACGACCAAGCCCCTTTGGTGCTGAACTAGGCGCACCGGCGACCATTGGCATAATCGACAGCTCTTTTTCAAATTTGATGAACGCCTCTACCTCTTCCTTGATGCCCACAGTCAAGTAAAGCTGTTCAAATGCGTTTGTATAGCTTGCTAGCACGTCACTAATGCGACTCTCAACTGCTTTGGCAAGGATACTGAAGTATTCTCTGGCTGTCTCGCGGTCTATGAGTAGCTCATTCTGTAGACTCTCTTCCAGATCTGATAGTGAAGCATCTATCTTGGTAACCCAGGTAGCTGCTGCAGCCTGACCATAGGCAGTTTTCTCAGCATAGACCTTGATCCATTCATCAAATTTTCCCGCATTGTCTGACAAGGGTCCTATCGCTTCTTTCCACTTTTGCTCGATACATTGCTGGCGTGACTTCAAATGGCCTTCGGCTTTGATGCGAGCATCCTTCATCATGCTGCTTGTAAATCCGCATTTTTTAAATAGTTCTTCTCCTTCGAAAACATATTTGGCCAATTCGGCTCTGTTTTGGATATTGGCATCAGAAACTACCCGTTTAAGAACGGCAAAGTAACCTGGGTTGCCTGGCCTAGGATCGAGACCGCCCAATTTGTTAGTATTCCAATAGTAGCCATCCTTTGGGGGGAAGTAGAGTCCTGTATTTAGGGGGTACCGTGAATCGAGACGGAAGGACTCGGATGCCATAATCGTTTGTTGGATGAATATACACGGCTTTTTGCGTGGTGTGGTGGCACAATAAATAGTCTAGGTCAGACAAAGTGAGGCGCAACTATGAATTTGATGTCAGACCCGTCGATGACTGATGTTGATTTGGAATGGTGGGAGGGATAAGTGGTTTATAGTAGCTGAAGGACTAACTATTTATCAACGAGAGTCTTCCCAAGGTAGGTCACAGACTGTGCGGCACTGGCATCACGAAACCGGTATCGTTGTAAGTCCAACTTGTCAGCATAGGCTCTTGATTTGTCAGAGATATCTCTTTGCTGCAGAGATGCTTGGAAACAATCTGTAGCATGTCCCCGTTCTGGCATCTGTAAAGAGGCTGAGCATTCTTGCCCAAATAGTGAGTACAGAGGTATGACCATAATCAATTACAAGGCAGATGAGCACTAACATGTTGTAAGAGTGATCGAGGCACTGAATCATGCCTAATTTGTGACTATGCTTTGCCCGTAGCTCTTTGAGGGTACGGTACAACAGCTTAGCGTTCAACTTACTGTGGATAAGATGTAATGACTAGAGAAGATTACGTTACCGATCGGCCTTGTGCTGTATATTTTCCATACTGTAAGAACGGGACTTAGACCCCGACTTATAAACTACGTAATTCTTTTAACAGGAATATGATACCACTATATCAAGTTTGACGTATCTCAAAACGCGTCGGTAAGACTACTATGGTAAGGCAGATACGATTGTAACTAGGTTCAAAGTCTGATTCGCTACCTCTTCTACTACATATTACCGGTATATACAGAACCCCACTTCTACTAGTTAACTACGTTAAGGAATTAGCGCTTCTATGCAATAGGAGGTTGTCCAAGTGTTGGGTAGGAGGAATTATTAATATGGCAGAAGCGTTTGGTGTCTTCAAGCCTTTATTAACAACTTGTCATAGGGCAGAATTACTGCCAGGTGGATGTAATTTTGCCCCATGTGTGACGCAACTGTAAGGTACGTGTCCTTGTGGTACGTGCGCGCTTATTTACACTAAGGGTTTACAGGGGCAACGTTACTTATACCACATAGCTGCTCAGATATCACATCACCCGAGCCACTTAGTTTTGTGTCCATCCATCGATTCGAAGTCCACTCATGTTCGCTGCATTCAATCCTAATATGTCACAGAAAAATGGCGCAAGACTGTTCTTTGAACGAATAGAAATTCCCGGACGCGAGGCAGCGAAGACGAAGTAGATGAGTTTGTTGCAACTTTCCTAACGCGATATCATGCGATGCGCAACGTGCAATCTTATGCGAAAATCGGAAACGAGATTGCATCGCTGTCTGAGTGTATTGTGAACTCATGGAGTGATTTGAATAAGAACATGAAATTTGAAGCGTCTATTCGAAATAAATGGAATAAAATGTCCGTCAATCAAAGAAAAAAGCTACTCCTTGAGGCATGGCCCAACATCTCTCAGTTTCGCCGGCCTGATATAGTTGTGGATTTTCAACGGGCAAACGGTCCCAGCGAGATTGACGATAAAACGAAGAGTTCTATGTTGTGGCCTTATATCAACCAGCAATCTCTTACCACCGATCTTGTTCTACCTTATTTTCTCAGTCACCGTGGCGGCCATACACCTAATGTATTCTTCTTTTCGGACGCCGTGTGGCCAGGATTTAGTGTGTTTCATGGCCGGATACCTCCTTCCTGGACCGCGAGTACGTGTAGCGGACATATTATCATTCAAGATCCGTCTACGTCTAATCGTTACGCAAGTCTCGTTTCTGATAGTGATATAAATCAGAGGCTAGAAACCCACTGCCAAAAAATACCTGTCAGTGAGGGGTATCTCACCCTGATCGTACAAAAAGGCATCTATGAATTCCTTGTCAAGGTTTGCGAGCTACTCAAACCAGAACCTCCGCCGCAGGGTCAAACCGTACCACTACCGCCTATCAACCTCCAAAGATTGCTATCAGATGAGTCCGGATTAGCAGAATTACCACATACTCCGTACAGTCTTCCTGCGGACTTCAATGTCATCTCTCTTCTCGCTTGCGTTGAAGCAAAGTTTTCTGCTTCGGAAAGTCATATTTGGGATCTACGGGAGGATCCTAGATATTTTGCTGAGACTTTGTACGCTCAGGAAAACTCGAAGGAGAAAGACATGTGGAGTCAGACTATTCGTACGGTCATAGCTGAGGCTTATACGGACCTACAAACATGGTCTCAGCTGCGTCGGCTGCTTACTGATTTGCAAAAATGCTTGGAAAGAGATAAAAAGCAGTTTCAGGCTAATAATGCACTTAACGAGGAACTTCAACTGGCTTTCCAGAAGCTGATCACATTCCTTGTGCCGATGTGTCGATGCCAAGTTACCAGATTGATAACGGCAATAAGCGGAGATATAAATTCTTTCGGTATGAAGAAGTTTCAAAGTGCATTTAAAAGGTTGTGTGATGAACGAAACTGGACCATCTCTGTCCTGCCGTCTCTCATCGACGCACTCGGTCATGCTCTCCAAAAGGAACATTCCTCTAATAAGAGTATCTCACCGTTGGCTATGAGAATCATTTCTGACCTTTCAATCGTGACTGTGTGTTTCCGAGAAATGAATTTTTTCCAACCCTGGGCAATGGAACTTCTTACTGAAATGCGTAGTAAGAGCGAAGAAGAGAAACAGGAACTCTACCAGGACTGGGAACTCATCGCGCGTAGTAGGGAAATCTTCGAGACTGAGATCGAAGGCTTCGACTTCTCAAATCTTGGCAAACCCGATGGCGGTCGATTTTCATGTCCCACTCAAAACCTTGTATCGGAACGGTCAGTGAACAAGCAACGACGTGCTGAAAAAGCACTCGATGATTTCTGGAATCAAAAAATGAATAAGAGAACAGAGGGGAATGAAAATAATGAAATGACACTCGCAAACCTTGTCTTTGAATCGCTGAGTATAAAAAGAACGCTCCACCGTACTCCTGAATGGACGGAAACGACGTATGCAGAGAACAAATCTGTGTCCCAAAATCCCACCACTGGCCCACTATCACAGTCTGATATTGACTTCGAACTTCGGTTCCGGACAACGGCTACTATTGGACAGGAAGAGAATAACGACAATACGAGATTCCGTACAAAGCCCAAGTCTCGTGGTGCTACCACACCGCAAGTCAAAGCTCCTGTTGAGGTGAACGACGTTTGTAATGCTGAGTCTAAGCCGAAGTTCACTGTGAAAGAAGAAACTATGTAGACTGTCTGTTTCGTATTTCCCCGTCACTTTAGTGAAAAACTGCCTGGAGAGATTCCCTGGACTGCATTCCTGAAGATGATGAAAGCTGCTGGGTTTTGCAAATATAACATGTTCGGATCGGCACGAAATTTTTTTAAGGGCGAGCGAACAATTCAAATTCACGAGCCTCATGGGCAGCATGGGCGGAAGCTCCCCTTCACTATGGCTCGATCTATTGGTAGGCGCCTCACTTCAAACTTTGGACTAAATTATGAATCGTTTATGGTGGGAGGATAATTGCTCCAACCCTGTCTAGTTATTTTCCAAATCTATTTGATCAATGAATTTAAATTGCTTTTTGGTAGTAGCTTGACGTGATTTGCCGCACTATGTTCATTGACTTTTACGGGTAATTTCACTTCGTCAATGAGGTCTTTCAGCTCCTGGAATATTTTATTTGCTCTTAGTACTTTATGATATTGATTTTGCCTACTCCTCAGAGCTTGCAACCATAAAGATATACCCATATAATTTCCCACCACTATCTTGGACAAATCTGCCAATCACATTATCCTTAACTCTGAGGGACTTTGTCCACTCGAATTTAAGTAGGATTTGATACCGATTTGTATATGGAAGCTTGCCATAGGTAGTGGATCGCGTAACGAGTGTTCCTTGCAAAGATCCTGATGTGGTGTCCACCACAGCCTCGATTTCACCACTGTTGGCAAAATATGCAGTCGCTCCTAGCGGTATGCTATCATTCTCAAATCAATGAGTATAGATGGGACAAGATGAGCTTCTAGAAAGCCTCGCTCAAGCCCTAGAAATAGTGATTTCTCATCGGTTTACAGATAGCAAGAAATTTCAAGAGTAAGGAGAAACAAGAGACCTGAATCGCTAACATTGATCCTCTCTCCTAGCATCCTAGGGGTTTTCTCGTCCCGGACGGCAACGATATATAAAGTAAAATTATTGACATTGTCGAAGCCTAAAATAGATACCTACATTACTCAATCATCTAAAATGTCCCCGTGGAAGCTACACTAGGATTCATGTCGACCAGTGACCAAGTAGAACCTGTCGGAGTAGTGCGCCCTGCTGTGTTCGTCGGGGTCCCTTGAGAAGTGGTAAATTGTGTTGCCGCTATTGTCGTCTTCGCCGTGGTAGAGGTCCAAAGTCTCTCAGCAGAGTCAACGGAATGTTCACTGGGGTCCATATCCCAGGAGACCGTAGAGAGATCTAATATAAAACCCTTAGCACATGCGGCCCCAGTCATAGCGGCATAATCTCTCCATTTCCTTTGTTCTTTAGAGTGAGAATCTGCATAGTTGATTATGCAACGAATCACAATAGTTGGAACTTCAATGAGTTGGAGTCCGGCTGACCCTGTATCCACACAGAGACAATTCGTCTGCCGACCGATTTTATCTCTTTCTTTTGCATTGAAAATTTCAGTATCAGCCGTCGCAATGGCTCCATAAAAGAGTCGAGGATTTGTGTCCGCTCTAGAACCACGTTGAACTAAGCGTGAAGAGTCACATCTGTAACAGCCTTGGCTAATATGTAGGTAATCAGCGTGAAAAAGCCTGTCAACGCGATTGCTTGGAGGCCCAAATGTTCTTTTCATATGCGGGAACTTGTTCAGTCCTTCTTCCATCCATTTCGTAATCTTTTCTGGGTCGTCCTGAAGCTCGAATTGAAATTGACGTACGCAATCTAATATAGACTGCGGTGGGCTCGCCAGCTCCCGTATTACTTCAGTTTCGGGAAATGAATATTGTACTATGCCCGAAGAACCATCACTTGGCACCGCAATCACAGCGTCACCTAACCTCATATCGTGTACGTCGTTGGGAATCGCTCCAGCTGCACCAAGGAGAAGTATCAGCTTTAGTCTAGCAAAAGTCCTGCGCATGCTGGTTGCTACAGTTGCTACTATGGTTGTTTTAGCAATATTGGTTTCTGAAAGTGGGCTTAGCACAACATTGAGAACCCCTATACGTCCATAGGTGTAACAGTTATCGTCCCCCGGCACATAGAAAGAGAGTTCAAATTTTTCATCTAGCATGCTATGGGCCGCAGCTAGATCATACCTGTTATTGCAGATCCATCCGACTTGAAAATTCTCCCTCTGCAATTTTGGTACAGTTTCCATTTATGAAGCAGAGATATCCTAAGATTGGTTTTGTAGGATTGTGAATATTGATGTGAGTGGGTGGGGAGGGACGGGGTATTTAAAAGATTCGATACCCTTTGTATATAGTATTCTGTAGTCTTCTCAGTATTCGACCATAGAAGGAAAAGGTGGATTCTGTTGGACTAGCTAAGTTGATCCGGCAATCATACAGATAGATCTATCAGCCAATCAGAGCGAGTCACACACCTTAGAGACGCATCCACTGAATAGGGGCTAAAAGAAAGCCTCCCATAGCGAAGATTGTCGTCCGACTAGTAAAAATGTCGGACCTATTCACCAAAAAGAGGATCCCCTTAATGGTTTGTATTCCAGTGCAGACGTTCTGTATCCGCTCGTACTGTGTTGAAATAACGTGATCTAATTTCTGACAAAAATATAGTTAGTCTGGCATCATAAACTCTGGCTCATCTTATGGAGTATTAGGACTAAGTTAAAGAAATCTCAGATTTTACGTCAATGCGGGAGTATCTGGTTTGTTGCCGTAATTATACACTACCTAGTACAGTACGGAGTATTGATCTGGTATCAGCCCTTCTCTCTTGAGAGAGGACAGACTTGTTCAGTACCAAAGAATCTATAATGAATTATGGTTCACGAAGCATACTTCCTGCAAAGCCACCGTCCGAAATCTCCCTACTCATAAAGTGCGGCACAGTCAAGCTCTACTACGTGGCACATAGTAGAAAGCCTGTCATCAGACCAGACTAGCAATACCCCTGTCAAACATGCCTTGTTGCCTTTGGTCAGCCTTGCACTAAATATAGAAGGAAAAGGACAGGGGGCAAGCAAAAAGATCCTAGCAGTGAGAAAGAGGGGAAGGGCATTTGTGAGGCTATCCCAATACGTTAACTCGTATGTAAAAATGTATTCCATTGAGCCAGAGCCGACCCACACTGGGAACGATGTGGGTAAGGCGCTGCGACAGGTAATTTGATGTCGCTGCGCTTTGGCTTGGTGCAATTACTTTGGTTATGCAAAGGTTCATCATATGTGATGTGCGCAATGGATTGACTGCACTAGACTCGCACGCCACGGTATGAAAGATGAGCTGACCAGACTCTCAAAAGCGGAGTCTTAACATTGATATGGTTATGTGGTGAGATTGATGGCAGCTATTCTTAGGGTTAGGGGTATTAAAGCAGCTCGATAAGAAGCTTCCAAAAACTTCCATTATGACACCACCACCCGTGGTTATTGAGTGTATTTGATTAACCATTATTGGGAATTCATTATTTCTAATATGTTGCATCTGCCAATGTAAGTCAGAATATCTCTAGTCCTCAGCAGGTAACAGTTCTCCATCATACTTCACAACCCTCAAATCCGGCTTGTTGGCAAAATATGCAGTCTCTCCTAGCGGTATGCTATCATTTTCAATATACAGAGTATTGTCTGGTCCTTTGAAGATGCTAATAACACCGAATCCTTCTTTCCGTGTCCACAGGGGGAATACCGCCATACTACCTTCACGATCTTGGTATCGAGGACGAAGTGTCTTTTTGGTGGAGGGACCGACAAAGGTCTATAATGCAATCCGCATGATCTAATCAGCATTGACATAGATACAGACAGATGCGAAACCTCCTTCACATGTTTTACACACACTCTCTTCTTTTTGCCCCACATCCCAGGTCTAGCCCCTGAGACTAGTCCAAGCCAGTATTTTATATGTAAATGTAATACTCATCTTTTATATATCTCTGATCTTGAATATATATAATCTTTAAGTAAATTATGTATGAAACTGGTATTGAAAAGTACTAGTCTGAATGAATCGTGGACTACTTCTAGGCAACAGCCTTAGATGTGGGGCAAAAAGAAGAGAGAGTGTGTAAAACATGTGAAGGAGGTTTCACATCTGTCTGTATCCGATTGGAGCAGACGTGAGAACAATTTACGGTAGTTGTAATATTTAACCCGGCTCCAGTTACTGATGCATTTACCCCTATACCTGTTAAGAGGCGATTAGGCTTGTGTTGCGAAACCACAACGGTTATCTCCTCCAAATGTTCATTGACGACCTATACACAAGACGGGACTTTTTGTATGGTGCGCACTATTGCGCCGATGAACCCCTTGTAAGATATTTAGTTGCAGGTTCAGTGTGGTACTGTACCAACAAAGACTATTTCACTTACTTTATGTGATGGACGCTCAAGGCCCAGAAACAACTTCATTTCTAAGCGTAGCAGTATCGACGAAGAAAACTAAGTGTGAAGAAGAAGAAGAAGAAAGGGGAAAACTGGCGCTGAGCCTTGAGGCTCTCCAAATACACTCTGTCATGGGATGGAGGCCTTATGGGGAAAGCGGTCTAAAATGGCAGAATTGCAAGATCATATCAACCAACTTGTTTGTAACTTAGGCCTTCCCTTCCTCTTCTCCCAAGCTTAGGATTATCATTAGAATAGGCTTATTGAGACGTCACACTTTAGGCTTACCAGTCGGCAAGAAACACGTATTCAAGCGAGGGGTGTGGATTTTTCAATATAGAGGACAATTCCCAATGTTAGAAACGACAGAGGTTCGATCAACCAAACACACATACAGAGGGTGGACCCTCATAAGTAGATGAGAATGCGTCAGAAAACTGGGACATGGTGAAGATGGTTAGAAGAAGAGAAGACTTACCAGATTTCCTTTGCAGTTCGGCAAGGGACTCAGGAGGTAAAATGACAGATCACATTTGATACTCATCATGCTAATTGGCTAGAACTGAGGTTCGTGAGGGTCACCCTGAAATTCGTGAGGGTCACCCTGAGGTTCGTGAGGGTCATCCTAAGGGTCAACCTCGCGACCCTACGACTTTGGCAGAACATAATTGAACATGATCGATATATTTCGCTCAATTTCGACACGGCATAGGTATGTAGAAAGTGGATAATAGATGTTCAATATAATTAAGTCAGGATTTCAGGAAGTTTGAGGCTAATAACCAAGAATATCAAAGTTGTAACTTCTTCAGATTATACTTCTACAATCAAAATATATATTTCCCCATCGTTACATGCCTCTCTCTCCAACTCTTCACAATACACACCACAACGGTTTTTCCCAGGCAGAAAAAAGGTGTAAATCCAGGATTACTAAGCAAGAAGGCTTATTTAGAAGACATATTTCATAAAAATACGTAGGGGTTTGATAGAAAACAATGGATTCATAGTCGGACATACGAAACAGGTATAAAAAACAGGAATTTATGAATGTTTGTCAGCAGAATTATCCATCCGAATTAGGGAAAGCGTGAGAAAGTTATGCATATGCGGGCCGTGAGGGTCGCTTGGCGGGTGACCCTCCAAAGATTCTATGACCCTCAGGTGCGGTGAGGGTCGCGGGTCGCGAGGAGGGACCCACGGTCCGGGTCATGGCGAGGTCTAATGATCACCCCGCCAAAAGTGTCGATAAATACCTGGCATTGAAACCTGACGTATTCGAACAGAAACAACAACTCAATATACACAATATTGCTAGTCACTTCTTCACTTCTTCTTTTCTAATCCCAGTAAACCACTATTTAGGATTGGCCTGGAATAAACCTACCAATCCGACACTAATTAGGAACTTATTATAAATTAATTCTAATTGGCCCAGCCAGTGATCAATATTTGACAAATGAATGCTAAGTCCATAATCAATTTCATGTTGGATCCAGGTCCATGGCTTTTTATAGATACAAATCATGGTCCTTAGCTATAAAGCATAAACGCCCACTACAAGAATTCTTTTCATACTAATTCTTATCTCTACATCAATTACCATTCTCATCATGGGCGACGACTTTAGAGTTTTTGGGTCTCCTATTAGCGGTGACTCTGGGGTCAAATTCTCCTTTTGATAAACCATTTAATAATGCTCTTGAATCTAATGCAGTTCCTGCTTTTGGTAAACTATCTGGAGCTCCCAAGAAAAATACTGGATCTAAGGAAGTTCTTCGTTTGGGTGAACCATTTAGAGCTCCTGAGAAGAATATTGGGTCTATTTTTAGATATTCTACGACTAGCGATGGCTCTAAACCAGCTAACGATTCTTCTTTTGCATCTTGGAATCCCAAGAGTCATCTTGGAACTACTAAGAGGACTTCTAATGATGACTCTATAGATGCAACCAAAGTTCCTCCTTTTGGTAATCCGTTTGGCCCTGTCCGTGAATCTGATGACGTTCCTCCCGATCCCGACAGCCTTCGCAACGGATCATATTTCTACCCTAATGGAGATAGCATACACGAAGGACCTGATGGAAGCGTTACCAGAAGATATCATGATGGCACCGTTATCGAGACAGGTTCAGATGGAATCTCTGTTTAATGGTTAGAGCCAGGCAAATTTTCCGGGCATTTTCAAAAAATATCCCGAAACTCGGGGGCACTCCGAATAGGACAAATGGATTCAATCGACGGTGCTGATATAACTAGCTGAAAGGGCAATAGAGGGTAAGTATGAAGGGGATAGGAAGGCTAAGAATAGTGATTCGCAACACTTTTACAAAGGAACGATCGAACAGGGTAGATTAGAATTAGCAAATTTTATTGTATCATGACCACAAGAGCATTCCTCTACAATAGCCTCTTTAATCAATAAAAGCTATCTTTATGGAATCTGTGCTCTATAATAGGATACTATCGGTACTGACGAAACCATTGTAGGATACGCGCTCGATCGAAAGTATATGACAAGGACAAAAGGCCGCGGCATTAATATGCTGTGATATGATAGGATCAATAAATAGAAGCAGTTTGAATGATATACTACTAACTTAGCATCGCATCTGCATTCCACCAGAAGCAAGCAATGGAATTTTTCTGGCGGTGGATCATTTCCATGGACTACATGGTTTTTGTATAGCCCATGTCCGCCTTGCAGATTGATCGATGGCTTGTTCTACAGTACACCGCCATTGAACAGTTTCTTTACATCTACCCCTGCTACTGATATAGCAAGGTGACCTTGTGCTAATGTGAAGGTGCCAAGCCAGATCTCATAATAACCTATTAGTATGCCTAATCTAGGTGCTATTCGATAAGAATACAAACACAAGGAAAGGAGGAAAAAGGACTGATTGTGCGATGACTGAGCGATGTGGACATATTATAAGGCATCAATAAGGCAGCTATAGTAATTCATAAGGCTGGACTTGCCCGTAACAATCGTCATCCCATGTGAAAGTCTTACAGTAGTCTAAGCTAAATAATAATAAAACCCCAATAATCCTTCCTTAAAATGCGCATAGCTATCACAATATGCCTCCAGAATTGACTCCTCTAAAGATTCACTAGTAAAGCTCTTTATTACCTGTTTGAAGTCGCCCTCAGAAGCGTAAGATAAGGCAAGGTCAACCATAGACTTATCACTCTGTATCTGTATCTTGAAAGGAAACATAAGACACAAAATATTAAAAAAATGGTATGGTTTTTAGCAGTACTTACCTAAAGGCATTAAGTTATGTCGTTAGTTTATTATCAAGCCGAGATGAACTTCAAGCAAAACAACGAGCCTCTTATACCTTTGTTGTCAAATATTAATAGCTTACTTTATTAAATTTGAGTTGGATTCCATTATCTTTTTCGCCATTTTCAAGGGCGAAAAATTGTAATGGGAAGCGATCCAATTTAGATCAAGACAGTGATAACAAACATTAGAATATTTAGTGGATGTTCGTCTGGTTTTTGCTATTGTTGCTGGATTCGGTTGGCCTGTACAAAACAGCTTTCCTGGCGCGATGACCTGGCGAATAGCAAGCTCTTCGTATGGGAGCCCAAAGAGCAGGATCTTGAAGAGTTCACCACAAGATTTCTTGAGCCATGGACTTCCAATTGGCACTTACACGCAACTCGTGAAGTATACGAAGTCATGGCCGAAGAAACTATCAATGCCATAGAGTTTAACAAGCACAAGGTACCTGATAAGCCTTTTTTGAAGATAACTCGTACCCTAGATAACTGGACGAAGCGGGGTGTCGAATTCAAGACGCTGTATCGCTCTGACTATCTTAGCAAGCTGTGAACCATACGATGATGTATCCAGAGAGACCTCCACTTAAGTTTTGTAAAGATTCTTGAAGAAGATCTGGTTGCCAAGGATTATGAGCAGTAGTAGAGATATCACTTGTACGTCCCCCTTTGGGGATTGATTGATTCTTGATGGAGCGTTCTCATCGTTCTTCTTCTCCCTATCTATTTCTAGGAAGCTACTACTACTACTAGTAGTAGTAAGTTCATTACGCCCAGAAGCACCAAGCCTAAAGGGCTCCAATACGCTATCTGCTTTCCATTGCATACACTGTGGTCATAATCTCATTTCGAGAGGAAAAGCTATGCCAGCTGCAAAAACCTCTCTAGCCCATACATTAAATCTTGAACGGTTTTCCTTCATTGTTGTAGATATTCTCCAAAAGCAATAACCCATCCCTCTAATACACCGCACCTCCCACGCGTCCATTCTCGATGTAGTTTCGTGAACCTCTTCCCTGAGTAGCGATTTACCAAGAGTACTTCTCACATTAGCGCCCGAAGTAGCTGACTGCCTCGCTGGCGGCAACACTAGATAGTAGACGAAGGACTGACGAATCGACATGTGACTGAACCGGTAGGGCAGGTGAGTTATCGTCAGCAAGATCCAGCGAGTATCGATCAGTAGTAGGTGGCCAGGTCAGTGATTCGAAGGTTCGTCAACATTTTGAGGTTATTGACGTGTTCTTTTGAAACTCCCCGCCAGGTCGTCCCAACCAATAAAGTTTTTTCCACCGGAGTTTCGATTTGAAAAGTTCTTAGCTTCAGCTAACCCTACGCCCTCTGGCACTCGCGGGAGCTAAGGCAGCACAGCGAGCCACTTAGATGCAACCTCAGATCATCGACCACTAATCACCAGCCCCTCGTGGAAAGTCACCTTCTCATAGTGAGGGACGTCAGTAAGTTGGACTGCATAGCATAGCCGAAGCTAAGAATCGCTTCCTTCGCTACTGGGCGATCAGTCCAGACCCGGCTCGACGGAGAGATTGACCCCTCAACAGATATTGCCTGTGGCCCATCATAAGGATCCCCAGTCTCTGGTATTCTCTTCATGCTCTACATAGCGCCCCTATTCCGTCTAGGAAACCTAAGGAACAGATTTGGTTACGCGGACGACGCAGCTAGCCTAGCGATCTCTTCATATCTTGCCACTAACTGTGAAACCTTGTCAGACTCACTCCAAGAAGCTCTTAACTAGGGCTCTGCGGACGGTATTACATTCGCACCAGATAAATACGAGCTTCTTCACTTCTCCCGACATAAAGCAGACCAGGATCCAACCTACACATTTTCAGTTAAAGCTGGATTAATTGTAGTCTCAGAAAACACTAAACAGCCATATCTATGTTGGCTAGGAATTCTCTATAATAAAAGCTAACCTTCAAATGGCACGTTGGTGAAACAGCATCCAAAGCCCTCACTGTGATTGAGGGTTAGGGCTACTTACGCCCTTCGCTCCTAGGGAATACTGTTCGAGGAGTTATACCTTATCTACTATAGCAGGCTGTATCAGCCTGTGTACTCCATAACGCATACTATGGTGCTAAAACCTGGCGGCTAGGCCGTACTCTCCCTAAGCACTCCCAGATTTCAAATCGAGTTGGAGGATATGTTGAGAAACTAGCCACAGTAATACTAGCAGGCGCAAGAGCGGTGCTTCCAGTTTTACGCATAACCCCAATATCTGTCCTATACCGAGAGTCTAGATTCTCTCCACCAGAAATCGAACTAGATCAAATAGCCCTCCTAGCATCTGTCCGCCTAGGGTATCTTGATCCATACAACCACTCCGAAGACGCGCAGAACAGGTAGCCAGAGATGGCCGACAAATCAGTCGATTTGCCCACCTTGTGCTGGCCCTCCCCAGCTCTGAACAGATAAGCCCTCTACAATATGCTTCCTGGTACCCTCGTGAGTCACGCGAGAGTGCCCAAACTCGAATAGGAGCTCCTATGGGGCGCACAAAGGAACAGACGGCGGCTGACTTCTCAAATTTCCAACGTACTATTCCTAGCTCTGATATCATAGTCTTTTTAAATAGGTCCAGACTTGAAAATGGACGTTCTGGTGGTGGCTATGTTGGTTTTCAAGCAAATCATCAGTTTCTCCGTTTCTCGCTCTCATATGGACCTTGGAAAGAAGTGTTTGATGCAGAAGCAGAAGCAGCTCTAGCTGGTGCTCAGGCAGCCATTACATATCCAACAGCTCGATTTGCCACCAATCTGTAGATTTGCCTTCACAACCTGGAAGTTGCTACACGCCTCCTATCCACCTCTATAGGATTTTTCCAAGAAGTCTTTGAATCCTTCCGCACTCTCACAGCCGCCTGGCCACTCCGCGAAAGGCTTCCTCACACCAAAAAAGGATCTATCCAAATCCGATGGGTCCCTGGACATGCCAAAATACCTGAAAATTAAGCGGCTGATCTCGCTGCCAAAGAGGAAGTCGCCTCTACCTCTCTTCCCCCACACAACTCCTCATATACCTCGCTAAAGCGACATGCCAAGGCTCGATCCCTCTCCGCTGCTCAGTTACACTGGCAGAACGTGGCACCACAAACGTACCAAGACCTAGAAATAACTATATCCCCTAAGCGCCCTAGAGAGCTTCAACTCATCCGACTTGACCTTGGCCGTATCATCGCAGCCCGTACTGGTCATGGGACTTTGCGAACTACTATGAACGTTTCAACCATGACGATGCTTATCTTCTCTGCCGATGCGGAGCACGAAAAGCACCTCTGCACTTCTTCTGTCGTATAGCTAGGAGACGAGCACCCCGTCCTCCTGGGGCCCCTACTGAGGTCATCTCCTTTCTTTTAGGCACTGCGAATGGAGCACAAAGGCTAGCCACATGGCTAGCAGAGACCCGCTTCTTTGAGGATATCTGCCCTCGCCAACCTCTCCTTAGCATCTAGCTAAGACAAACCTACTCTTCCTTTACATTTCTCTTTTCCTTCCTTTATTCTCTTCTCTTCTCTCTTTCTCTCTTTCTAAAACTTACTGTTCAGTTATGATAGTGGTGAATTAACGGGTCATGGAGTGTAGGTGGATCATTGCAGCTGGCAGATACCTAATTCCCACTCACAAGTGGACCTTCCTGTAAGACCACGGCAGCTATGGAAACGCGCCAAAGAGTCTCTTACCTGTATATAAATCTGATAGACGGATTGAAACCCGAGGTTTACCCCTCGGCGGCCTATGTCCCAGTAGGGATCGGTGGGAAACGTGCAAGTCACGAACCACGGCCGTAAAATAGACACACACACATTACTCCTGGGTGATCAGTCACAATATTAGGAATCAAGATAGCTCATATTTTCAGACTCGTTAGGCCGCTTCGTGTTCGCGCTTTGCTACCGTCTATACTTCGTGATACGGACTCAACATCAAGAGACTGTAAAAGATGTGAAGAATGAGAGGGCATACAGACTGGAATCACATTATTCTCAGTGCATGTACAGTGAAATTCAGCAGTTAAATGGCTTCCATGACCATCAAGAATCAGCATCCGATATTTCCCCAATGTATGGCCATTAGTAAGAGGAATAAAATGAGTTTTAAGCCATTCTAATCCAATCTTATCTGTCGTCCCATATCGCTAATATTGATTTTCTAGTCGTCTGGACGATCCTCAAACTAGCCTAATCGAGTGTATTTCCTTGCCTTGAAAATAATGTACGAAGGCAATGCCATCCAATCGAATTAACTTTCTCAATTGCAGTTACCCATTCTCGAATACCAGGCTGTAATAGTTTTGGCCGAACATATCGATCGCTTCCTGTTATAACCTTTGCAGTTGCGCAGAGTCCTATAGCAAAGCCAGTCTCATCAAAATTGCAGACATCTCCTGCCAAGGTCCCATGCTTCGATATGACCTCCCGAACGCGATCAAAATATTCTTGAATTATACCCGGATCTTTGCACTTAGCACTTTCATAGTTATATTTCCCGGAAAATTTGGATTGGATCTCTGGGCGACGTTGGATGAGATTATACACCCATTTCTCTCCAACCTGTTGATTTCCACGTTGTGAAAGAAGATAATCAGCCATCTCTCATACAAGAGCGTGTCGAGGAAATAATCCACGTTTATCTAGGTCAAGCACCCATTCGACATATGATTTCTCCCCAGATTTTGACAATTTATGGCTACTGGCATCTGTTTCAGCTCGATATAGTCTGTTTCGAAGAGTTGACCGTGAGACATTATAGATCTATGCTGCTTGTCGTACAGAACATAATTTTCCAGCTTTTAAATGGGAAATAGCTAACAAGATTCGTCCATCTTGCTCCGTTGAATTTCTTGAATTTTGATTGCGAATTGGTGGCCTCTTGACGTGTTGAATTATGTAGAAACAGCATACCCGTGCCGCTAGCGCGCACCTCACCAGCGAAGCGGGTGAGGGTGCGCGTCACATAAGTGAAATTGTCAGATAAATTATATTTTTTATTTCAAACTCCCCATATCATTACAAACCCCCAAAACACCACCAAAATGCCATCCGAAAAGTATAAAGAAGAGGAAAACAGGATCTCAGAGGCCTTAGAGATACTTAGGAAAAATCCGAAGCAAAAAATCAAGCCGTTGGCGCGTCAATTTGGCGTGGATTACCAACGGCTCCGGCGACGCGTGTTAGACGGCACTTCTCAACTAAACCGACGACCAGCGCACAAGCGATTGACAGAAGATCAAGAACGCGCTATAATTCTATGGATGAATGATCTAGATGATAGAGGAATCCCTCCAACCGTTCGCATGATTAAAAACTACGCGGATAAAGTGCTTCAAAATATGCACCCTGGCGCGGATAACCCCCCTCAACTCGGGGATCGCTGGGTCTATCGCTTCCTCAAACGACTGCCCAAAGAATACGTCAAAATGAAGCAAAAGACTATTGATCCAAAGCGACATCTTGCTGAGAACCCGAGCGTTATACAGGCCTGGTTTGACCGTCTAGAAACTGCAATAGAACGCTATAAGATTACACCATCTAATATTTGGAACTTTGACGAATCTGGATTTCAAATTGGACAAGGGGGGGATGAAGAAGTTGTAACAAGATATCCGGATGCTTTAAGGCACGTTCCTAGCTCTTCTTCACGGGAATTGGTTTCCACAATAGAGGGTATAAGCGCGGTTGGGAATACGATTCCTCCATTGCTTATTTTTACTGGAAAGGTTATCCTTGAGAGCTGGTTCCAATATCTCAAAGAAGATGAGTGGAAAGTGACTATAAGCGAAACAGGCTTTTCAAATGATGAGATTGCGTACGATTGGCTCAAACATTTCAATGAGCATACACGAGAACAAGCAGGAAACGATTTTCGTCTACTTTTTATGGATAATCATGAGGCTCATCTTACGTCTGAGTTCTTATCCTATTGCGACGACTATAGGATTATTCCCTTTGCTTTTCCGCCTCATACAACACATCTTTTACAGCCTCTAGATGGGTTGCCATTCTTACAATATAAACGCGTTCATAGAAGGGCTATCAACGAGCAAGCGCACCTTGGAGGTTATTTTTACGATAAGATCGATTTTTTGGCCAATATTGCTCGTGTACGCGCTGACGCCCTTACTCCACGAGTTATCCGGAATGGATTTTCTGCGCGTAGGCTTTGGCCTTTCAATCCAGAGATAATTATCGGTCCTTTAATTGAGAAATAGGACCTCCAAGAAGGGCAAGAGTTGCTAATTTATGATGGCAATGAGGAGCCGGATATCTCAAGTTCACCCACCAATGCTTCATTTTCTCCGCCAACTACTGCGTATAAGCTTCAAAGATCAATTACTAAGGTTGACGCCCAGCTGAATGAGATTTCCGACGTGATTCCTAGTATTCGGAGGAGTCTAAAAAAGATTTTTGACGGAAGCCTCACGCAGGCCCATCTTAAAGATCAACAACAGGCTCAAATCGAGCGCCTCCAAACGCTCAATGAACGCAAATCCGCCAAAAAAACTAAGCGCCAGGTGCAAATTGGAGGTATCCTCACTGTAAAGGATGCGAATAGAGCCATCAAAAAGCGTGCTACAGCTGAGGAAAAGAAGGCCGAGAGGAAGAGGCTCAAAGAGCTACGGCAAGCAGCATTGGGATCAATGCCTCCCCCGCTTACGCAAAGTGACGAGGCGGCGATTGATCGTAATACTCTATTGAATTTGATTGAGCAGGCTTACCCAAGATGCTCAGATCCAAATTTAATTCGTTGGGTTGACGAGAGAATGTAAATTTGTTAGCAATTTCCGTACAAAATATCATTTATCTGACAATTTCACTTATGTGACGCGCACCCACATGCGTAGCGTGTGGTCGCGGGCTTGGCGGCACGGGTAGAGCGCGTTTTCGGGAAGAAGTGGCCAACTCGCTTACCGATTACGTTACATGTTCGGTATTACGGTAGGGTACAATACCATGTGTGATACGGCCGAGTGGAGCAGTCTAAAAGCTTATTTGAAAATAGTCAGCTCTACTTAACATAGGTTATGAGAAACAATCAGCGAGAGCAAGTGACTCGCTCGGCGTCCTGGCTCACTGATTACGTTATATATTTTTCGTAATTATATACTATTTTCACATCGAACCCTCTTATTTAGATCATGAGCGGTCCCGGTACACCTCTCCATGTTTTTAGCAATGGAGCAAACAACTCCTGTTGCAGAACGTTGGCTCAGGTTTCAATACGGCAATGTTCATGATCAGTTACAAATGTGGATGAAAGACTTGCCTATTCAAGATACTATTGAAGATGAAAAAATGGACAAAATTCTGAAATTCCTAGCTGGTTATCTTTCCTTTGAGAACTGGAACCGGATCGAAGATGCCTTGCCGACTCTTACCGATCATCGCACCGAGAACGAGATCAAAGAGACCAAAGAAAGCATCATACGGATTCTTATCGAAGCCTTTTCAGCCAAAGAGGTCATCGAGATGTGTTCCAAAGGTAGAAAACATGATAATGAAACGTATAGTGAAATATTGGCTGGTGTAGGATCGTGCATAAAGATTTCGAAACATAAAAAAGAAAGTTTTCTAAAGAAAACTTTCATTTTGACGATTAAGCCTAGCTTTGATGACTTTATCAAGTTTAACTATGATGATAAATATACAGGGTTTCTTTTCAATAAACGGAATCCGAGTCCCTGATTGAATAAAATGCGAGAATAGCTAGCTATGCCTCGTTCCCCTTGTTTTTAGGGGGCAGTCATCAGTATCAGGAATTCCATACCATATTGATCCGGCTTGTCAGCTTGTCGGAATAGCTGTTCTACGTGACTAGTGCTAGCGACCTAGACGTGGATAAACCGACAGTTAGTTTGTTCAAAGTGAAGCCTTAGTTTAGCTCAGCTATAGTGATTGATTAGGTATTTCTCAAATAAACAATTTTTAAAGCGCTGCACGAGGACAGTATCAAGAATATCCGAGACATTCAGGATGGAACTGAATAGGAGCAGCAACTTCAAATCGGTTTGTTTGTCGTGGATTCTATAGGAAGTGGATGAGCCAGTGAAAACATGTATAAGAGCCATGTAGTCGCCTTGATTCCCTGGCGTGAAAAGAATATCAATATCATAGTCTTCACGATCTACACAGGACAGGTATTAATGGAAGCCGAAAAAAGTATACCTGCCTTTCTTTCCGGCTCCGACTGAGCGACAGAGGTAGTTGCAGAAGAAACGACGTGGTTACCGCGCTAGTCAACCAGCCTCAGGGGGAGCGGACAAAACATGGAAAAGTCCAGCGACAGGTAGATATATTATGTAAGAATTGAAATAATAAGATGAAAGCGACAGTCGTGGATAAGGAGGAAAATAGGAGAGCACAAAGAAAAGAGGAAGTAAAAGCTAGGCTGAACACTAATTCAGCCCCACGCATCTAGCTACTCCCAAAGTGTGAGATACATGATAATCTGGCAAACCTGGATTCCTCTCTCTTATGTATGATTGTACGCGTGTGAAGAACTTGTTATTTTCTTTCTCTTTCCTTTCCTCATGTTATTTTTTCTATTCAGACATGCCCTTATACTGAGCATTAGGCGGGACTAGCCCGTAACACTTAATGAAACCATATGAGTTTTATATTAATTGTGATGGCGTTCATTCTCTATCCTAAGTGGTAACTAATCGAGCAAAAACTAAGCATGAGGAAAGAGGGAGAAAAGACTCGCTATGCCGCTCGTAAGAACTCTTTTTATATGTGCTTCCGGAGCCTTGTCGGTGCCTATTTAGGAAATCCTGAAGACAAAGGAGGATATCCCCGTTAGGGTCATCCTCTTAGGGCTTAGGGCTTCGTCCAGGTGCCGGCAAGGTCCATACGATATCCTGCTCCGTAACCCAGCCGTCACATTAATACCTATGTAATTATCACGGTGATTTGTGAGTCCTCAAGAGACGCATAGAGCTTCTGATTATTCACTTCGTTGTACTAATTCGGATATCCGAATTATCTGACGAACGCACTTAATGAAAGCATACAAGTTTTGTATTCAATACCTATATAATTATCATGACTTGGACAATGGCTACCTGCATAATTGCTTTTCGTCAATAAATACCATTTCTATATAACCCATGTTTACATTCAATGTTGCCAAACATGAGAGCGACTTAATTCTCATAGGAGCATCAATATAGAGAGAGAGATCTTAAGGATGGCAAATATGACGATAACCACTCTGTATACAACGAGACCCACTTTTTTTTGAGCCAGCCCGTGATAAGAAGATTCACTAGCTTGGCTTCCACGTTGGCCCACCCCTTGTTGACTGCATGAACTATGTCCTCAAGTCGCACACTTACATCAAGGTTTATGACAAGTTCAAGTAATTCACAGTTACAGTATTCTATCGCATAGAATATGATGTTTTTCCCATAGAAATCTGTACTGTTCATGTCAACATCCTTAAAACTTAGCAGGGGGTTCTCTGTTTTGTATCTATTATAATCCTTCACAAACCAATGCAATGGTGAATTAGTGTAATTCTTCAAGCCTAAACTAGGAAGTACACCATGGTCTAGAAGTTCAACTGCAAAGTTTTTGTCTTGGTTCCTAATAAATATTTCTCCCACTCTGCTGTACCAAAGTGGGTCCATACCCTTATACAAAACCTTTTCTAATTTCCGTTTTGTCAGTCTCTGTGCTTCCCACAGCTCCTTATATTTTGCTTCAGGGAGTCTGGTCAGAATTTCAGGCCACATCTGGACTAGCATCTTAGCCACACCAGTATCATCATCAGCATTGCTGTATTTTGCTAGAACCAGCTCAAGAGCATATTTGTCGTCAGAACCTTTGGTCATAATCAAATCCCCATCTTTTGGTTTTATACAGCTTCCAGCTATCGAGCTTCCAGCTATCTTTGTTGGATTACTTAGATAATATTTGTCTAAACACAATATTGAATCCAGATATGGAGCATTGCTACCATCACGCAGAGCATCTTCTGTTGATAAGAAACAGTACAAAGCGTTATTGCCCTTGTTATCTCTGGCGTATATGTTGCTTCCTCTGCTATGAAACAGATCTAAGTATTCATATTGCTTAGTTTTTATGGCAATATGTTCTGCAGTCTCCATTTCAATATTAGTGCAGTTGATAAAGCCTTCAAAATCCTTTTTTTGACCCGCACAGTCGAGGAGAATCATCGCCATGTAGTAGGGTGTACTGTCAAATGTCTCCCTAAATATATCATATATATTACATCTGTTACGTAACATCCATTGCAATATTGTATTGCCAGTTTCCTCTTCTCTCCATCCAAGGCAGTCATTCGGCCAATGACAAACATAATATCGGAATAAGTCTGGCCTCTGATCCGTGATAGTTTTTTGCACCTGATGAATGGAGAATTCATTAAGTTCACAACAATGCATCGTTGGTTGTAGGACTAAAGCACAATCGTGAAATGCTCTGGCATATTCTTCAATTGTTTTAACAACATTCTGAAGTTTCTTATCCTTGGCAAGTTGAAGTGCAGATTTTCCCTTGCAATTAGTTAGTATTGCCGATAACACCACTCGCCTTTTATCAATCAGACGGAGCGCTGAAAGGAGTTTTTTAATGATTTCCTCTTTGCCCAGGTCAACTGCATGATAAAGAGCTGTAACACCATTGAAGTTTGGTTCATCTTCTAGGCCTTTTAATTCTTCGATATATTTATAATCATCACTCTCTACCGCAAAATGAAGTGGCATATGTCCATCCTTCGACCAGTTATGTGTGTACACGCCCGCGCCAAAGCAGTCATCGTGAGCCATTTTGGTCAGGTAGTATTTTCCCAACCAGTCCCATTGTACTGCTACGTTTCTTAACATCAGCAATGTAAGCATCGTATAGCCATCGGCATTCCTCCAGGATCCTGGTACAGTCCAAATATCTTGAAATATTCTCAATATGTCATCTCCATCATCTCCATCTTTTGATGCGACATCGGTGGGTAAAACTTCCAATGTATCATATCCTTCATCTCTTGATGCGGCATCTGTGACTGCATTTTGTGGGTTGGGTAAAACTCGTGAGTCAGGCACTACTCGTGCACCCTCGCTCCGTAGTGTTCTAGCGGCCTCAATGAGATCTTTTTGTTGAATATAAGTCATATTTCCCTAAGCTTGATAAGCACTGTGATTAATATGGGTAGAACCTAGTTTTGCATCTGAGTAGTAGCCTATTCAATAAGGCAGTTCGGCTTTGAATTGATTCAAATATAGATCCTGTGGTAGCGTTACGTAAGATCGACCAATTTGTAATGGACCGTACCCAAACAGCGACAGTAGAGCGGAGATAAATCTATCGCTGACTTATCCCCGCTGAACAGAAACCTACTATATGCACATACAGAATTTAGTGTACAGTCATCCCTAGGAGAAGCTTTACGTGTTTAATTATAGAGGATGTTGAGATACCCCTCTTGATGACTCACAAATCATCCTGCCAAAATAAAAGACCCAGCTTTGAAACAATCTTGCTAGTCTGCCTTGGTCTAAGGCGCCGGGAGAAACTATGTCTTAGTCCCAATTTCGAGATTAGGATATATTAGACGGCATAGCCGCAGGAAATACTATCCCAATAATTCAGGAAAGAAGCTTTCTGTTCGTACAGTATCACAGGGGTGTGCACACAGGTAAAGTGTAGGTTCGAGGTTCGTTGTATTCAGTTGTATATCGTAAGTTTCCAGAGGAGGCTCAGCTACCTACTTATGTGTAGGTAAACAAAGCCGAGCTAACCAAGCTCGGCTAACTACAGCTGCAACCTCTAATTCACTTCCTTTATCCCATTTTATCTCCTCCCATATTGAATACTTCGGGAATATGCTATTCCTACAGGATCACTAGACGATAACTGTATATACTGCCTCAATCTTTTTCTAAGATGATCTCTTTCAGTACAGCAACATTCCAAAGCTTTGGTCACAGACTGCAATCTGTTCTCTAGTTCATCGATCCTTTGTTGCAGTTCAGCCTCTTTCTTTAATGCCACAGCCACTGCAGCGAAATTGACACCGTACAGGTGGATGAGAGACTGGAAGCTCAGGCTCGGCCGGAACAGTAGTAACAGCTTGAGATGCCTCAATCTGATCTTGTATAAGCACCTGAGCCTCCTCCGTACTAATTCCTTGCTCATTAGATACTTGCTTCTTAGATTTTTGACGTTTCTGTTTCTCTTTTTCATGTGCAGTCCGTAAATCATGATTTTCTTTCCGGGAGAGTAAGAGATCATTCATGGTTGTTTCATAAGCTTTTGATGCCTGTGTAATTGCTTTATAAAAAACCTCAGATGAATTTTCTGTATGCTGGCTTATTTGTTTTCCAATTGTAGTCATTTGACGCTTGAATTGACGTGCATTCTGAGGTGTTTGTAAGCAAGATGGCTGTGTATCGCTTGATCGACTTGGAGGAGGTGTTGGGGTCTTCAATTGGACAGTAAGCTGTTGATAGACTCGATCTGGATTAAATGGTACTAATCCAGTAGCTGCAAAGCTATTCCAAATATTTTGAGCTTTATATGCCATCGTACGAGCCTTTGGAAATGCAGTGAGAAAGTCAAATTTGTCAATATGATTGAACCCAAGCCTCATCCGCTGCTCAACAAGTTGTCCATAATATCGCTTTAAAATAGCAAAATAGCCAACATCAAGAGGCTATAAGAGATGGGAAGAATGAGGAGACATACACACTGGACTAATATTATTCTTAGTGCATATGCAGTCAAATTCAGCTGTTAGATGACTTCTATGGCCATCAAGAATTAGCATCTGATACTTTCCAATTGACCGGTCATTTGTAAGAGGAATAAAATGGAGTTTAAGCCATTCTAATCCAATCTTATCTGTTGTCCATCCATTATCACTGATATTGATTATCCAGTTAGCTGGAAGATCCTCAAACCAGCCTAACCACATATATTTCTTTGCCTTAAAGATAATATATGAAGGTAAAGCCCATCCTGTTGAGTTAACTGCCTCAATTGCAGTTACCCATTCTCGATCACCAGGTTGTAATAGCTTTGGCCAAGTATATCGATCACTTCCAGTAATAACCTTGGCAGTTGCACAAAGTCCCATAGCAAAGCCAGTCTCATCAAAATTATAGATATCCTCTGGCAGGATTCCATATTCCAATAGTTGTATTCAAGTGACTTATGTCAAAGAGCTATGAAGAACTAAATACATGATGGTGAATGAACGTCCTTTTATATCCAGTCCTCCACGTTTCGTAGTATGAATATCGTAGGATCCTTATCTCGATAAGATAACGGTATATCTTTCCTATCATCACGTGACTCCTGTCATGTTTTGCGCTCTCTCTCTTCTTTATTTGGACCCACTTTCCAAGCTACATTTTAAAGCTAGTTCCAGATCAGTTAGAACAGTTTCTCATGTTTCAAGTTGATACTCATATCTTAATACAGGAGTATAAAGAAACCAATGATAGTATTATCCTTGTCAGCTTGGCGTAAGGACTATGTACAGCGCTGGTATATAATCTTACAAGGCTAGTCATTTTTGGAATAGATCAGGCACCAGCCTTGGCTGTGGGGCAAAATAAAGAGAGAGAGAGAGAAATAAGGTGATGTTACGAAGTTGAACTGCATGACGCTAAATTGTACTATGACCAAAGGGGAAAGGTCACTTTGGTGTTTGGAGTGTATGAACCATACGATTACAGACAAGATGGAAGTATGTCACAAAGTGGATACTTTGGTATGGGACACGCACCAAGTCACGTGAAGATATGAATAATATACCGTTATCTTGGATAAGATAAGGGTATACGAAACAACGATATATCATTGGATTATATCGTATACCTTATACTTGCTACCTTTTAAAGGTATACGGTATAGGATATACGAAACATGGAGGACTGGATATATAAGGACGCTCTTTTACCATCATGTATTTAGTTCTTCATAGCTCTTTGACATAAGTCACTTGAATACAACAGTGAGAGTCAGCAAGGCATTCTAACTCGTACGGGCACCAGGCTGTACGGGGGATCTCTTCTATCTTAGTTGTTACTATTCCCAGTCACCGTCTCATTACCGTTCGATACTTCGTTACCTACGATCCATCACGCTCCACTATCTCATTGGTCGGAACCTGTGCGAGGTTCAATTATCCTAACGTATCACGACGCACCGCTGTTAGAACTAAGGTGGATCCAGGTCCGTGACAGGTGAAGGAGGTTTCGAATCTGTCTGTATAGGATTACCTATAATATTCATCTCACACAGGTCAACATGATTCAGAACTAATGGGTAAGTGGGCGTAAGAAGTATTGGAAGCTCTTCATGTAGCCTGGAGATGACGCTGGAGAAACGTAACGGAAGCTGCCGTGCAAGTACGCTAAGTCTGTCTTGAAGATCTGCTAAAGAATAATAAGAGTGATGAGGCTCGGCCCCACTTATTAAGACTAAGAAAAAGAAATCTCATGATCAATCCGTTCGTTGAGTGTTTTTGAACTTAAGACATCATTATTCAAGCTCCTTTCTATTTTAAAGCCCTAGAGCAATGATACCTTTGAACTGAAAATAGTGCAGGAGGTCTATTTGATATCTTGAATATTCTCTACTGCAATGAAGAAGGACATGTCTCTCGTAGTTATTATGGATTCGTTTTCTTGTGGTCGCCATATCAGTGCAAGTCTATTCAATGTCTTCGGTTATATAACTGCACAAATCACATCTTTCCTTTTTTGCTGCCAGCGCTTGAGTTTGTCCGAGAAATCTTGAGGAATACTATTAGCGATTGTGTACACAACTTCGCCCTCATATTGAGCAAACAAAATGTTGTACGTGTCTGAAACCAAAGCTGCGAAAAAAAACCAGTCTTTATTCATAATTCTAACACTGAAGCTTGTGGGTCTTGATATCCACTATGCAAGGCACATCCAGTAGATGATTTGAGGAGCCATGTCGCAGCATAAGTAATGACTGACTGTGGGCTAATAGGTTGTAGTCACCTGCACAGCCATTTCCTGAATCTTGACTCGGTTTTGCACTCCAAACTGCATCCGCCTCATGCTACAAAATTATACTTAGACCGCCAAAGGCAGCTCTGGCGCGCGCAAATCCGCACTTTCCTTCCACCTTCAGTACCCGAACTATACCGCTGCCTCAAGCGACGGTTATGAACGAGTCGAACAAAAACTGATCGACCTTTAAGAGGCTCACTGTCGAGGACATTGGTGTCATTCAAACTTGGTTCGATCGTCTTGAAATTCAAACTAGAATTAAGAAGATTACACGAAGCAATATTTGTAATTTTGACGGAGACCGGATTCCAGGTTGGACAGGGGAAAAAGGAGACTGTGGCCACTTGATTTCCTCAAACCTCTACAAGAATTCCAAGTCCATCGTCTCGAGAATCTCTCACGCTTATCGAGTGCGTAAGTGCCACCGGAAAAGTGATTCCTCCGCTCGTTATCCTCGCCGGTAAAAAGCATATCGAGGAAGGGTATAAACATCTCCAAAAAGAGGATGATTTGATAACTTGTTGGGCTTTTGACCAACTAGACCAAAAAGCTGCGCGCATACTAGATGATCTAGTATGGATGTAAATAGCTGGCAAAGGTGATATGTGATGTGAGGTGATATTCCCAACATAACTTGTAGCGGGCTTCTCAAATAGCGCGATTATCTTCGAATGGATTTATCATTTTTCAATCTCAACTAAGGAATATGAAGGAAATGGTCGGCGAATGCTTTTAATGCATAATTTCAATGCTCATATTACATATGAGTTGATTGAGTATTTTGAACGCCAAAAAATTGTTATTTATAACTTCCACCAAACACGGCGAACATTCTTCAACGGCTAGATGATGTGCTTTTCCAAGTCTATAAACATTACCACGGAGTTGAGGTTAATTATCAAGCACGTGCTGGAGGCTATGTTTTTGTAATAGGAGGTAAATCCGTTGGTTGGGCAGGAGGAATTATCAATATGGCAGAAGGGTTGGGTGTCTTCAATCTTCGTTGATAATAGTACTGTATCGGAGGTGTTCTTTCTGTTCGATATGCTAAAGCGGGGGCAAGAAAAAGCGAATCGAACAGGCAAAAGAGATCGCACAAGACCTCGCTAGTCCCACCAATATTTGTGCAGCTATTGATGCTATGCTTCATGAGGGAGAGCAGTCTAGTCCATTTGCAAAATGTCATTTTGGAGTATATAGGTAAAAATGTTGTTTTAACAAAGATTACGCCATAACCGGTGAGCACTACCTCTAACACCCGGAGGGGGGTTGGCGTGAGTTGGCATGGGTAATTAATCATCGTCATCGCTATAATTATTAAAAGCCAATTTCGTAAGCGACTGTAAGTACGGCCTATTTATAGTATTAATGTAGAAATAAATAAGTGTATATGCATTGTCGTATTGAGTAGTTGGTGATTATCAAAATATCATTTGGAATGCCATCAACTACATCGCAGGAATGCCAGGAACGGCCAGAATGGAATCGGGCAGAGACCTTCGAGGACTTACTTAAGCTGAATCGAGCATACCTCGAAGGAGAAATAACCAAAACACCCTATTTTACGGACCCATTAGATGAGGAAAATACATTTATTGACGGGCTACTTCTTCTTAACAACTTAGGTCTTCTCACAACGAGTTGCAAGTCCTCCAAGCCTACTTCTGTCAGTACCGAGATTGCTGAGGTCCGTCAGAGACCATTCATTTGTTTCATCATGGTCAAGAATGATACGTGTGATCCAGAGATGGTCGCTAATAGGCTAAAAGATCGTTCTGATGTTTTTTTCTATGCACTTAAAAGGTATCCTTATGAAGTACTACGGGACTCTCGCACCACTAAAGCAGCTATTACCGAGTACCGTGAATTTAACAATGCAGAGTGGAAAGAGGACCTCGGTCTTCACTTAATGCGTGATGAAGAAGGAGAAGATATCTATATTGGATTTGAGAATATATGGGAACATAACAGACCTTGCGAATTTACTGTTGTGGGGCAAGATTATGGTTCTAAAATTGACATAACGGAAATAATTGCCAAGGCTGTGCGGTCACACACCGACGGATAGGGTTTCGTGATCTAGCTAGTCAACTGTTAGTTAGTCAACTAGTTGTTGCAGCTTTACCGTAGATAGAAGATAGTGCGCAGAATTAGGTCAATATCAATATTTCCCACTATAAAGACATCTTTGAGTATTGAGCTTAACTGAGTTTGTGCTCGTACATAGCAAGTTCCGATATCAGAGTTTTCTCTGGAACTCCATTCTGTAGATACCTTCTTCTACTGAGCAAGTCAGCTGGTATCACCGAATACCTACTTGTTTCCTTCGCGCCTATCGATCCTAAAATCTTTACACTCAGAAAAGGTACTCGTGTCAAGGAATACCCCGCCGGTAGCCAGCGTATTGTACACGTGACGTGGCGTAGCAGGAATAAATGTGGCTTGTATGCACCAACCTCAAGCTAAAAGCTTCGATTTCGAGTTGATAGGCGACTTCCTTACAATTATTTATATCAAACAGTCAGAGGCTCAAACTCCTCATCCCTCTCTATCACCTAGCCACCAGAAGTGCAGCCTTTGACGCGTCTCGACGCGTCCGGCAACACCATGGCGCGTAAAGGCCCTGGTACAGATGGCCCTCTACAGACAGCCCTCCTGGAATCCACGTCTGCAGCCACGACAAGAGCTTCTGAAGGACAGAAGATCTTCAGTCCTATAGCTGCATTCCTCGATAAACACCGCAGCCAAACCACCGGCCTGGCCCCTCACCTACTGAGAGCCCTCACCGCTCTAAGCGATGACCTCGCCGCAGTAGCCCAACAACATTTCAACGCTTATATCAGCGGTATCTCAACGACCTCCATTCTACCTGCCCTATCCCCTTCCCCTTCCCCTTCCCCCACCCCAAATTCCTTACCCCCTTCACCCCCTCCCTCACGTCCCCCCTCAGATCTTGAACAGTCAACTTATGCAACTATTACCTAATATGCCCCGGTCAAATCAACTCCCACTACTCACTCCAAAGCGTCTTTTAAAAAGCCTCTGCCTCTAGTGAATCAACCCCTTCCTGACAACCGGCTCTTCGTAC